ATACTATTATAAGACTTATTTAGTAATTTACTACTTAAAGTAGAAGATTTACTATATAATAAGCTTTTAGTATTTAGTAATATCTCTAGAGAGGATAAGATCTTAGATCTAAATATCTATAGAATAGAAGATTCTAAAGAAAATAGTATACCTTTAGAAAATATTACTACTATAGATCCTTATCTTAAGGATCTAACTAGTAAGAACCTACTTATTAAGAGACTATATAACTCTAATAGTAGTCTTTATAAAAGCTAAGAAAAGATAAGGATAGCTTTAATACTAAAGAAGTAAAAGCCTACCTTATAACTAAAGATATATTTATAAAGAATCTACTACTAGCCTTTATCTATTAAGTAGTAGCCCTTTAAGAGGAGAAGAGCTTACTATACTAAGATATAGTAATACTAAAGAAGGAGGCCTAAGAAATCTATACTTAGATAAGGGTCTTAATCTTTTAAGTATTAATACCTCTTATTCTAAAACTAGTAATACTAGTACTCTAAACTCTAGTAATATTAGATTCTTACCTATTAGACTTACTAGAGTAGTACTATACTACCTAGTATACTACGTACCTTTATATAACTATCTTAATCTAAAGGTACTAGATAATAAGGATATTATTAGTCCTTTTCTATTTACTCTTAAAAATAAAAGGATTACTAGTAATATGCTTAGTAATCTACTTTATAAAGAGACTCTTTTATACTTTTCTAAAGGATTAGGTCTAAAGCTCTATAGACATCTAATTATTTTTATTATAAAAGAATATATTATTAAGGATAAGACTTACTTACTAAGTCCTAATAAAAGAATACTATCTAGAGATACTTTTTCTAGAACTAGTAATATAGAAGACATCTTAGCTAATCATTCTACTAATATAGTAGAGGCTAATTATGCTAGAGAGTCTAACTTATTTTCTAATAAGACTAAGTCTATCTATACTAGATCTAGAGACTTTACTAGTCTATACTTTACTTACTTTAATCTTACTAAAGATAAGAATATAAGTAGTATACTAGAAGAGCTAGAATCTAGTAATAAAGATATAAACTTAGATCTAAGCCTAAGATCTAATATTTCTAGATCTAATTCTAGTATAAGTACTAGTAGTCTAGCTATCTCTAGAGCTAGCTCTAGTAAAGTTATTTCTACTATATATAANAGTTCTATAGTACCTTCTAGTCCTAATCTAGGTACTAGTTCTAGTAGAAATCTTAATTTATTAGATAAAGAGCCTTTTATTATTTCTAGTACTAGTAGTTCTAGTTCTTATAATTCTAGTAAAAGAGATTCTTATACTAGACCTTTAAGCCCTAGTCTAGCTAGTACTAAAGCTATTTCCTTTTCTAAGGATCTAGAAAGTCCTACTACTAGACTTAGTAAAGCTAATCTAGAAAGACTAGAAAGAGAAACTAGTACTAGTTCTAATCTAGACTTAAGGCCTTATATTAATACTTTACCTAAGAGTAGTACTAAAGATCTAGAAAAGACTAGCTCTAATAGCTTAGAATCTACTAGTAGTCTAAACTCCTACCCTTTAGAAGATACTAGTAATATAGAAATACCTAGCTTAAAAGATAACTTTACTAGTATCTATAAGGCTAATCCTTCTAATCTTAAGAATATAACTATTAGTAGTAACTCTAGCTCTAGTACTAATATATCTAGTCCTAAAATTAAAAAAGAAAGCCTTAGAAAAAGAGCTAGAGATAGACCTAAAAGGTTAAAACTAAAGGAAGACCTAAAAAGAGTATACTTATAAAGATTAGAAGTTAAATAGATAGCTTTCTTATATTATATCTATCCTTATCTTTTTAGTACTAGTATATTAACTATAAGGTTTTTATAGCTTTATAGAGATAGTATAGTACTAGAACTAGTTTAGCTAAGTCTAAATAAGTATAATACTAAACTTCTATATTACTTTATCTTTACTAGTAGATATATTCTTATTTTTTTCTAGCTATATTAATTTTATACTAGCTTTCTAGTAGGTATATAAAGTTCTCTATAGCTAATAGGTAGTTATTAAAGGTTTATAACAGTTTAGATAAGTCTACTTTTAAAGTTAGTCTTAGTACTAGCTTAGTAAATATTATACTCTTATTTTTTCTAGCTATCTAGATTTCTTATAGACTATCTAAAGCTAGGAGTTAAGTCTATAAAGCTACTAGATAACTAGAAAAGGTCTAGTATACTTTAGATAAGCCTAAATCTCTAGTTACTTAAGATCTAGCTTTTACTAGTAATAGTATATCTATTTTTATCTAGCTATCTAGATTTTATACTATCTATATAAGATATGCCTAAGATTATATATAAGTAGAAAAACACTAGATAAGGTCTAGACTAGTCTATTTAAGTCTTATACTAAGATAACTAAAAGTTTAAAAGTTACTACTATGTATATCCTTATTTATATTTAGCTATTCTTATTTTATAGTATCTATCTAAAGTATAATAAGACTTAGTAAAGCCTTTCTAGTACTAAGAAAGATTTAGACTAGTCTAGAAAAGTATAGATATATAGTTAGTCCTAGTTTTAGCTTTACTAGTAAAAGTAACCTTATTTATTTCTAGCTATCTAGATTTTATACTAACTATCTAAACTAGAGATAAGTATCTATATAGCTCTAAAATAACTAGAAAAGGTCTAGACTAGTCTAGATAAGTCTAGATCTAAAGTTACTTAAGACTTTACTTTTAGTAGTAAAGATATTTCTATTTCTTTTTAGCTATCTAGAACTCTTACTAGCTCTATAGGTTATAATCTAGGTTTCTTTTAACTTACTAGATACTAGAAAAGGTCTAGCTAAGTATTAGCTAGAGTTTTAAGCTTAGACTTCTAAGTAATACTAAGAATATAAACTTAATGGAATTTTTTCTTTCTATCTAGATTTTTTTCTAAAATCTAAGTAAGTAGGGTAGTAGGAAACTAAGCTAAGAATACTATAAAAGGTCTAGATCTAAGTAAAAAGTCTAGATCTAGAGATAAACTAAAGAAGTATATAATACTAAGCTTATTTTAGCTTTTTAATACTTTTATAGTAATCTTATACTACTAGAGTGTCTATACTAGGTAAGAACTAAGTACTAGAGACTTTAACTAGCTAAAAAAATAAAAAATAGAATTTTAGACCTTAGACTTAAACTTCCATTTAGTCGTTAATTAGGGTTATATTATAGTTTAATACTAAAACCCCTTATAACCCTATTTTTAGCTAGCTAGCTATTATATAATAGCTACTAAGGCTAGTTATAAGCCTTTTTATTACTATTTTACTATTTCTTTATTTTTTTATCTATATCTTATTATATAGCTTAGACCTATATCTATATTCTATCTATTATATCTAACTTTATCCCTTAATACTAGTAGTCTCTATAGTAAAGATTAGGCTTAGTAACCTTACTATTATTATAAAAGGTACTAGTAGTATAGATTCTACTTTAGAGTAGGATTCCTAATATAGTAATAACCGGCTAGGCACAAGCTAGAAGCCGGTACGCTTAACACTAAATTGTAACATTAAGGTAACGGTCATATCTTATCCGTTTAGCCGACCGTTATGCAGCGATGCCGAGCTATCTCCGAATGAGATCTGTCAAGACTAAGCGAAGTAATCTTTGCCATTTGCAAGTCCAACTCAGGTCCACATTCCAGTTCTACCGTGATACAAGTCTCTCCCAGCGTTTCCTAGGAGGGATAGATAAGTTGTGTCTCCAACCAACTGCAAACTCATCTATCGCGCATGGCAGATCTCGATGCCATCGCGCTGGAGGGCGCCTCGACATTTCTCAGGCTACTTGTCCACGCATTGAATGTGGTTCTCGACCCTGGCTCTTACGATGGCGAGCTAGCCTTCCATCGCATATCGCCTTTCGAGTGTCTGTATGACCTGACAGCCAGAGTGGTCGATATTATACATTTTCTGCTGTACAATGGTCACGATCTTGACAGTGGACTCGTGTTATTTGTTGCAGAAGAATATCTGCCTTTGCGACTGGCATTGAACATCCCCAGTATCTACCACGCATACAGAATTTTTCGACTCCAGGACGCATACTGGACCAAGGTCTTTGTCGCATCGTATCTACTCTGCTGGTTGTTTGCAAAACTTTATCCCATGCGCTTGCAGCAGTCAACAGGAACTGAAAGCGACCGCGTTCGCAGGAAAATCACCAACCCTCTATTTTTCGCTCTTTCGCACAGTCTCGCGTGCTTTGCTGTATTTAGCGATCAATTGGAAGCTGCACTCTGGTCATGGCTCGGCGTCATGGTCATCACAGGCTTCACGCTTGCCATCTCGCCGACACCACCTCGAATCAATCCTCAGAGAAACTCAGAGTTCGAAACTAATCTTCAAGTCTGTTGTCATCTTGCCTGCCTTGCAGTTTGTTGGCTATTTGGGTTCTCGCACATCTCATTAGGCCTCAAGGTCACGGATCAGAACTGGCGCGACAGCCGAGGGCTCATGGTGATGACGATACTGCAATTCGATGCGGCCATGGTCTTTCTCGTTGCAGCAAGGGCAGAGCGATGGTCAGTCCTGAGGTTTGGGCTCGTGGGCGCAAGTCTGGTCGGAATGGCATATGTTCATTACATTGAAATGTATGCTTTGATTGAAGGCACGGAAGCGTTGCTGAGTTGACAAACACTTGTGAAAGTCAAGTGGCCTTCTCAACGAGTTGTGGGGTTGAACATACCGGTCGTAGAAGCACCACCTGCGAACTTTTCAATAGTCAGCTGCCGACTTCAGGAGATACAATCTGGAATATTGTCGAATCTATGGAGCTACTTGCAGAGTACACTGGTCTTCTCTTCCGGTCGCTGAAGTTCATCATCTCCTACTCGTACTGAGCCTTGTATCACTGGGGACAGGACTCCGAGCTTCTGGCCTTCAATCATTGTGAAGGTATCGAACTCGTCCACCTCATCGATGACGCCCAGTCCTTGAGGAGGCCAAACAAGGTTCAGTGCGTAGTAGATAGTGGAGCTGACTACGAAGCCCAGTGGATAGGCAAGATAGTAAAGCTTGATGCAAGCGGCAGGTACGCTGACTTTAGCTCCGACTGCATGTGCAAGACCGGGGATAAGGTAGCTCCAACCACAGATCCAGGCCAGGAAACTTCGCCAATTGACGCCATGCCAGAAGTAGTAGACGCCATCCTTGTCACCGTGGTAGAGATCTGAAAGCTTCAACTTCCTTCTCCTTACCAGCCAGTAGTCGCAGATCATGATACCAGACATCGGTCCAAGAAATACACTATAAGCAGAGAGGACGCTGATGAACGTCGATGCAGATGCGAGCAATTGCCACGGACAGAGCGCGATGCTGATCACAAGAGCAAGATAGGCTCCGCGTCTGATGTTGATGTAGCTAGGGAACAGACCAGCAATATCCATACCGGCCGAGAATGCATTGTCGATGGTATTGATTGCAAGCTGCGATGTCACCAAGCCGCACCCAGCGAAGAAGGCAGCCGCGCGCGACTTTGCATTGTAGTCAGTATCCAACCACTTTTGCACGATATCTGGCGGGTNTCCTGACGAGATGATTAGTTTTGAGCTGTGCGAGAACCGCGGTTGAGCAACTCACCAAAGCGCCTCGCCATATATCTTCTGTGTGGCTGAGGATGTGAGGCAGCCGAAGAGTGGCATGATGATGCCCAATCCGATGATCGAGATCCATTGGCCAAACACCTGGTCGCCAGGACGCCTTGCAAAGCGAGAATAATCCATCTGATTGACGAGTCCAGCGGCAATGTTCCCAATCACAGTGGTAACACCCATTGTAATGCTCCAGCCTAACTCTTCGCTGCCCGTGGTAGTCGACGACTGATTGAGCAAAGGACCGGCACCGTGTGCCGCAGACAACGCCCAGATTGTGATGCAGACCAAGGTGATACCCGAGACCACAGTCATCCACAAGACGACATGTTTCATGCCCTCAGGTCTGATGTATATGATGGGAGCCATGATGACGTTGAAGAGGACCCACCCGATGAACTGTTTCGTATCCAGATTTGCACTGGCCGGGAAGTGATTCTTCATATGCTGGAAACTAGGAAAGATTGCAGCAAGTACATTCTGTACGCAAAGACCACCAGTCCAAGATTGTACGGCGAACCAGACCAGACTCAGGACAATACGCTGTAGCAGAGCCACGTACTGTCCTTTGACGCCCCAAACATAACGAGATACTACACAGAAGCCGATATGCCAGGTAGCACCAACATAGCCGTTCGCGATCGCTACCAGCGCAATGATGACTTTACCGATGATGATTGCGATGATGGTCTGCCACACAGAGATACCAGTGGCGACGAGAGATCCCCCAAGCTGCCAGTTGGAGAGAGCGATCTGATTGATAGCCCAAAATGATATGANAGCTGTTGTCCCAAGTCAGTCACACGGATGCCGGATAAGTGGGAGTTTCGGCATATTGACTTACGCCCATCGAGACCAAGTCCGTCTGTGTGGGGGAAGGGGACGGATGTCGTCGTTGATCCATACATTGGAGATGTGATCCTCGCTCGCAGGGACCTTCAGATGTGTTGACCAATTCTTGAGCTCCATCATCCTGAACGCGAGACCTTTACGAACGGGTCCTCTGGATCGTGTTGCAAGCCAGGGGTGGTATATGTTTGGGTGCAGTACTGACTATCGTGAGATAATGGCGACGACAATCTCCGGTGGGGCAAACTATACACAACTCATGTATCGGTTATAGAAGACTTGGTTATATTGGAGCGGTTTGCTTATCGCTCGCTACGGGGTCAGTCGGCTTTCCGCATTGTGAAGAGAAAGGGAAAGCGCAGGGCGATAGGTTCAGTGATCACAATATCGTAAGCAGCGCTGCTCAAGGTAGCTTGTCGATAGTAAGTGTGAACTCTAGATATGCCGTCGGGCAATGTTCGCCGAAGGTCCCATACTGTACGCCGATCTTTCTTATCTCTCGTGCACCCCGCTCGTGGCTATGCGGGAGGCGGGGTCAGCGAATGCCTATCAATGACCCCAACGCCGCCTACTTCCTATCGCCCCGCCGGACAGGATATGAGAAGCGGAGGCTGAGCAGTCGTCGGTGTATGAACCATTGGGATTGTGATATTCGTCTATAACAACTTTGGAAGCTGCACCTGGAATATCCGAAGCAGAAGCTTGAACCGATTCGAGACACTCCCTTGGTGAAAAATGACTTCTCAATCGAAGGATAGATGCATCCGCATCGGTGTCGATGTGGGAGGCACTAATACCGACGCCGTCGCCCTCGACACGTCGCAGCAACATACCGAGACACGCGGTCTTCTTGCCTACTTCAAGACTCCGACCACACCCGATGTAACCAAAGGCATCGAGACTGCGATCCGAGCGATTCTCGAAACTTCCAAGCTCTCGACATCAGACATTGTGAGCGTCACTATCGGCACCACGCACTTCATCAATGCAGCCATTGAACATGATGCGCGTCGCTTGAACAAAGTGGCAATCATTCGCCTTTCGAAAAGCTTCCTGCGTGAAGTGCCACCGTTTTCGGACTTCCCATCAGGACTGGCAAACATCATCAATGGCTACGTGGGATATGTTGATGGTGGCCTTCACATTGACGGATCCCAAGAATGTCCCATCGTGGAATCGCAGGTTGTTTCAAAATGTGCCGAGATCAAAGCTCTGGGCTTGTCCTCCGTAGTCATCGCAGGAGTCTTCTCGCCGATAGATGAGGTGTTCCAACAAGAAGAGCAGGTCAGGCGAATTGTGATCAGAGAACTTCCGGGCGTTGAGGTTGTATGCTCTCACCAAGTCGCCAACATTGGATTCCTCGAACGAGAAAATGCGAGTATTCTCAACGCATCAATCCTCAACTACGCCAAAAGAACAGTCGGCGGCTTCCGTCGCGCAATGCGAACATTGAAGTTGACCTGTCCACTGTTTCTTACTCAGAACGACGGCACATTGCTCGACTCTACGTCTGCTGCCAAGTTTCCGATACGCACATTCGCGTCTGGCATGACGAACTCAATGCGCGGAGCTGCATACTTGGCTGCTCACGACACTCGAAAATCTTCCGCCATTGTCATAGACATTGGAGGCACCACGAGTGACGTCGGAGTCTTGCTACCTTCTGGACTTCCTCGACAAGCCGCCGCATATGTCACTGTTGCCGGGGTGCGAATGAACTACGCGATGCCACACTTGCACAGCATAGGTCTTGGAGGTGGCACTATGGTGCGGAAAGGTGCTGAGAACAAGATAGTGGTTGGGCCAGATTCTGTCGGGCATTATCTCACCAGAGATGCTTTGGTCTTCGGAGGCGACATCTTGACAGCATCTGATATCGCTGTTGCTGCAGGCAAAGCCAAGATAGGCGAAAGCAATCTCGTCAAGCACTTGCATCACAGCGATGTCACAGATGCGCAACGCTGCATCAAAGCACTGCTCGAGAGAGCCATCGACGTGATCAAGACATCTCCTGACCCAATGCCAGTTCTGCTGGTGGGAGGTGGTGCAGTGATTGCTCCTGCTACCCTCGCGGGTGCTTCCGAGCTTACACTGCCTCCATACCACGACGTGGCAAATGCTGTCGGTGCAGCAATCTCGAAGGTCGGTGGTGTGGTTGACACAATCCAGGATGTTTCTGGTCAGACTTTCGAGCAGGCTGAACAGAAAGCCAAGCTTATTGCGATTCAACGGGCGATTGACGCCGGTGCTGTCGAGAGCAGTATTATAATTGCGGAAGTCGAGAGTCTGCCAGTTACATATGTCGCCAACCAGTTGAGAACGATAGTGAAGGCAGTAGGCGAGCTTGACATCACTGTGCAGACGCAGACCACTTTTGACGATGCTGAAGATGAAGTAGACATCGTGGATGGAGGAGAAGGCATCAAACAGGTCGCACCCAAGACCGTCGAAGCCCAGCAAGTCGATCCGGAAACTTACATTCCTACGATACTTGAGAACGAGGCAACCGGGAATGCGGAATGGTTACTGTCAGAGATGGACATCGACTTCATATCANNAAAGGTGAGTGCTGCTCGTCTTCTTAACAAGTTTTCAGGAACTGATCGTTCGTCAGGCTGTTACGTCCTGGGATGTGCAGGAGGTGGCTCAGCAGCAGCATCACGATTACAACTTCGAGCAATGCTTCGTCAGGGACACAGGATACGGGTTGTGGACGTTTCCGCTCTCGCAGAGGATGCACTGATCTACTGGGGAGGTCACATGGGCTCGCCAGCAGTCTCGGTCGAGCGCCTGCAGGCCTTGGAAACAGTCTGTGCCTTCGAAGAACTCAAAGATTATCTACGCCATGATAAGCTTGATGCTGTCATGGGCCTCGAGATTGGTGGCGCGAATGGTATGGAGCCCTTGCTCGTGGGGTCCTCTCGCTTCTTCGACTGTCCAGTGATCGATGCCGACTTCATGGGCCGAGCCTACCCTACTTATTGGCAGACCACTTTGGCGGTTCATCATCCTGGCGAGCTTGTACCATGTGTCATCGATTCTGGAGACGGAAAGACCATATTGATGACTAAGGCACCAAATGACGAGATTGTCGATCGTGCTTTGCGTGCTTCATGTGCAGAGATGGGCTCGCGGGTTGGCATGGCAGCAAAACCCACAACGACTGAGAAAATACGATCTTCAGGAGTTCTGAACACCATGTCGCTCGCCTGGCGTATCGGGCGTTGCATCGCTCTAGCCGAGGCCACCAACACAATGTCTACCGTGGCAGAGGCGATCGTCAATGAGGCAGGCGGGACCAAAAGTGCTCGTATCTTGTTCCGGGGTAAGATCACTCAGGTTGAACGCCGTGTATACAAAGGCCATTCGCATGGCTCGATCACAATCACTGGAACAGAAGAGGACGACGAGGGTGCAGCGACGACCTCCGCACACCGTATGACTCCAATGAAAGTTGGCGGAACTCTGAAGATTCCCTTCAAGAATGAGAGCATATATGCTGAACATACATCAGACTCAGGAGAGCAGGAATATCTCGCACTTGTACCTGATCTCATTGCGGTCCTGGATACTGGCTCTGGTTGCGCCTTGGGCGTTCCCGAATTCAAGTATGGTTATTTTGTTACTGTGATTGGAATCACATGCTCACCACTCTGGTCCAACACACCTGAAGGCCTAAAGATCGGCGGACCAGGTGCATTCGGATACGATCTCGAGTACAAAGGGTTGGGTGAATACACAAGGCCAAAGAGTGTAATCGAAGAGTATAGAACGAGAGTGTGAAGAGCGAGACGGTTGAACGCGTTATAACAAGGTCACCAGGTTAATATGGATTGTGGTCAGAATCAATATTCGTCCGACATTACGGTGGTATGACATAGACAGGCAAATCCTCAGAACGCCACTTCCGTCCGGCAAAGGCTGACCTACGATATATCATCGTCCTTATTATCGCCGGTGTCATCGCTTCCATCGTTGCTGCCATCATCATCGCCGCCGTCCGAGGTGTCGTCACCTCCACCAGCGTTAATGTCGTCATCATCGCTCTCACAGCTTTCAGAGCTTCCGGGGCTTCCACCGGGCGCCTCAGAATAGTAACACTACCGATACGGAAGTAGCATAGAAGCTCAGAAGATGGCTGTCCCCTCGTATCAATCTTACCACCGCTACTGCCATCTCCAGCAAGACTTAAAACAGCCAGACGGTGGGTATGGCTGCGAGGCACGTAATCCAGACATCACCGAGGAAGATAGAGACACAACCGATGATGACGGTCCTGTCGTCGGGGGACGTGAGACGATGACATGGTACGATAATGCTAGTCAAGTTACATATCTGAAGTTGTTCTTCAACGCTCTCTGAGCGTCTTCTTCCAAAGCTTGCACTGCTGATTCATGGTTAAGATTGATCTCTCGCGCAAGCCTCTCGAATTTTCTGTTCTTGCGTTGCAACATGAATCTCAGTGTCAAGATACAACCCATGGCAAACGCTTGGAAGGCTAGAAGAATGCCCCAAGAGACTTGGAACGTTGGCCCGTATTCATCGAGCCAGAAGTAGTTGGCGAACAAAGAAGCCAGATTTGCCAATGTGTTTGCAATACCGATGGCAGCGGCTCTCTTGATCGGAGGTCGAGGAATCGTTGAGGAAAGCCAGGTGTAGGTGGTTGAGTAGATACCGAAGGTTCCAATGCACACCAGGAAAGTGAAGGCATATCTCGCCCAATAAAGATGAGGCAAGGCAACCAAAAGTACAGTGCCGATCATGGAGACTATACACGAGATGCTGGCGGGAATGGAGCGAGTCTGGTGTTTGTCGGCCATCCATGCAAGACCAAGAGCCCAGCAAAAGGCAACGAGGTATGGTGGCGAGGTGAGTAAGAGTACCGTGGTACGATTCTTGATGCCAATTTGCTGAATCAGAGTCGGAAAGAAGTGTGAGTATGAGATGGAGGCAGTCGTGGCCATCTGTAAGCCAGCAAACAACCAGACGCGATAGTCCTTTGCCGCCCAAGCGATCCCTGTCCAGATTGAGATGCTCTCTTCTCCAAGGACGTCATCACTTCCAGCATCCGCAGCAAGTCGACCTTGCGCAATGATCTTCTCTTCTTTGTTCAGCCAACGAGTGGTGGCGGGATAGTCGGGGAGAACTAGTAACGCGACGCAACCAACACAGATGGTAGCAAGACCNNTGTAAAGAGGGACGTCAGTCGTTGAGCATCCACGCGCCGAACATGCTAACGACATACCTTCAAGGATAAACAACCATCTCCATGCATGCAGATGGCCAACTCCTGCCATGCCTTTCAGAATGCCAGCGGAAATCAGTCCAGCGAATGCGTTTGACAGTAAAAGTCCGCAGATCAAGAGTGCCATCCGTTTACCCAGCTCTTTCTTTGTGTACCAACACGACAAGAAGTAGATGGCTCCTGGAAAGAAAGGCGCTTCGACAAGACCAAGGCAGAAACGTATGGCTAATAGAGAGCCTGGAGAGCTGGCTGCGGCAGTACAGCCACTGACCACTGCCCATAGTATGATGCAGCATGNGCTAGATTGATATCAGATTGTACTAACTAAGGAAATAATAGAAAAGCATACCAGAAAGATCGAAGGTCTCAATTTGGTCATGAGCAATGTCGAAGGCAACTGCATGAAGATATAGCCCGCAGAGAATATCGAGATTGCAGTCTGGTAAACGGCGCCATTGACCTTTGTGTCCTTCTGAAGCCCATAGAGGCGAGCCTGAGTGATGGAATTCCGATCAAGGTAGTTGAAGAGGTAGATGATGACGACCAGAGGTAGAATTCTCTTGTCAATCTTNNTTCTCACGAGCTGCCGCTCTGCTTGTGCGGCATGCTCGGGTTCGTACGAACGGTAGATATCCATGATCCTCTCGGGCTTGCCAACATTCTCGATCATCTCGGTGACGACCGACTCCTNTCTTTGCGATACTTTGATCGGGCTCCATGGTGGACATAACGGATGGGTAGGAGTTGGAGGATGGAGTCTCTCCCAGGAAGATGGACCTCAGGGTTATATGTTACTTTCTACGACAGTTTGAGTTAATGGGACACCCCACAACAGACTAGTCCCCGGGCACCCCATATTCCCCGCACACTTCGGACGGAGCTGTGTGATCGGCGCTTGTCCGAAGGAGTATCGCTCTCGGCAAAAGCTTGCCGTCCTTCAATTGGCGAAAAGCCTATCAGGGTTGCCGCTCATGATCTTGTTCCACTGCTCTTCCGAGACCCATGTCCGCAGCAGACTCAACTCTGTCGCAGTATCCACATCTCTCACATGCGGTGTCGGGCCTGCGCCGCCTCGTGATGCATTCACATGCGGCCAGTCGCTGCCGAACAACACCCTATCCGAAGCTTTTGCAACAAACGCTTGCACGACCTCCCTCATTGCTTCGACATCCCTCAAGCTCCGTCGATGCAAAGCTCCAATCTTGACCACCAGGTTGTTTACGCCCAAGAGCTCGAGGAATGCTGCGAAGGCGGGGCTGTCGAGGTCAGAGGGGCACGCTGAGGCGTTATGGTCCACGAGGATGGTGACATGGTTGAGTTCCGAGAGGCAAGGCCCGAGAGATGCCCAGCTCTGCAGTGGAAGCTGAGCAGAAATGTGCCAGCCATAGTTTCTAACGCCAATTGACGTTGCGGCCAGTCTAAACTGCTGGGTGATCCAGTCAAGGTCATCTCCAGCTCCACCATGTGTGCCGTGAATTCGAACACATCGCACGCCTACTGCGTGCAGTTCTCGAAATGATTGTGCGTCGAGATCCCTGAGGTGACTGGCCATGATCGTTCCGCGTACAATGTTGAGTTCTGGGGACATCTGAGCTCTTTCCAACGCATCCTGTATGCCGGAAACTCCATCTTCGATTGTGGCTTGAGTGATGACCAAGTTTGGTGACCGCACGCTCCTCACCAATGTGTCGAGTGTTGCAGGAACAGGCGTGTATGATCGAGAGTCCTTGAAGGGGAATCTAGCCGGGTCGAAGCAGTGAACGTGACAGTCCCAGGTTTGTTCCATTTTGAGGATTGCGATGGCTATGTGTGAGAACATATGTGTCAAGGCAGATGCGGATAGAATGGTGTGGGCTGCCAAGCGCCGAAACATGACCACAAGCTTGGCGCCTTGTTTGCACAAGGGTCCCAACACGAGGATTGTTATATTGAGAGGTATGGTTGCCATTGCCCTTTGGCTCTGTATTAAGACATGTGGCTTGCAGCACAAAACCCGCCTTGGTATCGGTATAGGTTCCTTACCATTCACTCGAGTCAAATCCGCGGACTCCGAAAGATCATTCTTTTGTAAAAGTGATGATACTTCATGCAGTTCAGAAGAGTTCTCCTGCATACATCTGTGCTTGTGATGGCCACAGAATATAGAGCATGCTACAGATTATCGTCGCCGGGAGGAGTCATGATTATCACGTCAGGGTGCTTCCTACAACGACCAAATTCGGACTCGGGTCCTGGATCAAATCAAATGCTTGATGACCGATGTGAGAAAACAGTGTTTGACATTTTGTTTAGATGTAAAGAAGAGTCCGATTACATTTGACATGATCATCATAACATACGCGACATTCATCGGGACTTGATACACCATCGATAGAAACGCCTTGCGACTTGAGCTTTGACTTGTTAATATACTACATATCTCCACGATCCGGGATTAGACTACAGCACGTTCCGATCGAAGCCGAAAAGCTGTGGGTCCAAAATTGCTGCCGTCGGCGACTGTCCGATGGCGCGGGGTTACAAGCCCAGACACCTCCGACATGGATGCTGAACACCCGAACCGACTCCGATCTATGGCGAAACAGTTCTATCACCTTGCCAGCGCAAACGCAATTAGCTCGAGGGAGTATAGTGCAATGAGTTCTATAAAGATATCGCCTCCTCTATCGCTACCTTGTTTTCAACACTGGTCTCTGTGTGGGCAACAAACCGACACCAGATTTTGCCGTGATACAGACGCCCTGATCACACCCTGGAACACCCGATTCGAGCCACCCCGCCCATCCAAACATCCAAAATGTCGACCAATGGAGCAACTTCACGGTTCGCAATCTCGAATCCGTGGCGAGATAGGATCCTCAGAGGCGAGGTTTGCTCGGTTATGTCCTGCAAGTTCTTTGTCAGTAACGAGGTCGCAATGATGGTCAAGATGGCTGGGATTGATGGCATGTTCATCGATATGGAGCATTCTGTCCTGACAATCCGAGATGTATCGCAACTCATCCTGGCCTGTAACTACGTCGGTGTCAGCCCGATTGTTCGCATTCCGTCCAAATCACATTGGCAACTCAGCCGGATTCTAGATGCCGGTGCAGCTGCTGTTGTTATTCCCCATTGCGAAACCGTCCAGCATGTCAAGGACATCGTCCGCGATGCGAAATATGCCCCGCTCGGCATCCGCGGATGCGCCAACAACCAACCTATCCTCAACTTCCAGTCGGTACCTACACTGGTGCAGAACGACTTGCTCAACCGCGAGACCATGGTGATTCCCATGATAGAGACGCCTGGCGCGGTCGAGCTTGCAGACGATTTCTTCGCCATCAATGGCGTGGACGGTATTCTGGTTGGTTCCAACGATCTCTGTACAGATCTTGGTATCCCAGGTCAATACGACAACCCGATTTACATACAGTCGGTGGAAAAGATTATTGCTGCTGGTGTCAAGGCGGGCAAGCCTATTGGCATCGGAGGAATAGGCGGTCGGCTTGACTTGCTGGAACGTTTCTTCCAGCTCGGTGCGACGTGGTCACTTAGTGGTGGTGATGGATCGATTTTGCAAGCCGGCATGAACAAGATTGGCCAGGCATATGCAGAGATGGACGGACGAGTGAAAGCATCCCGCACGAATGGGAAGATGACGAAGTAGCAGATATGTATAGTCCAGTATTCGGGAAAAATCTTGTCACAACACAATTTAGAAGCTGGCTCAAAGGTGCTCTTCCTTCTGATGAAGATCTGTCGCCGAGATTCTCATTGGCTACGATTGGAAACACAGCAGCATTATCTTGACTCTGCTCTTGACCGAACCCTGTCGCAAACCATTGCAGGAAGAGAAGGCTATTCGTCAAAAGCATACACTCAAAAGTTCAGGCCATGTTATAGGACAACTTTCATACAGTACGACGTCTTGTTGAGCCTCATACCAGTGTCACACCGTCCATGGTAAGAAGTTATGAAGTAACACATGGATGAGAGGGATTGCTCTACCATCTAACGATCTCTTCTATGAATCCGGAGCATATCAAAAGTTCTTGCAAGATATCAAAATCAGATAGACCGACGTGTATGCTGTTTCAACGTAGATCAACTGCAATGTACTATTGCTAGTCTATGATACATACTACAGCATTACTGTAGCAAATATGACGCAGCTATCTGGATCATGACCTGCCGTCTAACCGATGTATCGGAATCCTTCCGCATCATCTGCGTCCTCTGCGGTGTTTGGACGAGATCCGGGCGCTGGTGGTCCTCCCTCTCTTTTATCACGACGAGAATTCTCCCACTTAATCAAGCCCATGTATGCGAATGTGAACATCATTCCGGCGATAGAGAGCGTCACTTCGACAATCGCGCCCCGAGTGTATCGGGGACCTTCCGAAGCAGGGAAGAGATATCCGGAGCCAATACTAGACCAGAATCAGCTTTGATCTTGCAAACAAGATGGAAAGGGATTTACTTACGCGACAGCCTGGGCGAGAGCGACAGCCAGAGGCACAGCAACGGCACGTCGAGACTCGCTACCGGCGTTGTTGGCCGACCAAGTGACGATCAGTGGAGTACAGACNNTGGACGCGGCATTCAGTGAAAAGTTCCACATAGGCGGCAGGGAATACATACTGTAATGACCAGTCTCGGCGAGAATCAGAGCCGCAAAGTGAGCGGGTTTGTTGCTAGTGGGAGCAGCGAGGAATGTCGCAAAGCCCACGATCAACAGCAGCCAACCAAATTGAGTGGGCCAGCCACGATTTCTAAATCTATCAGAAAGCTTCGCTGCTACGATCATGCANNCTGTTTCCCTGTCAGTTTTTGCTAGACATGTCTTGAGTGGATCCGGGAACTTGATGAGACATACAACGGCAGCGGAACCATAAGGTGCCAGTGTAGCAATTTGGGCTGTGGCGCCTTTGAACCCGTTCTCGCTGAGGAGAGTGGGAAGATAAGCACTGAGAGCAGCTCCTGTGATCTGCTGACACATGTTCATGAGCATAGNCTGTGACTGTGTCAGTACCAGCTTCGACAAAGCACAACTTTCGATCTTACGCAGAACCTGTGGCCATCGGTACAATGCGCCGCGTGCCTGCTTCCAGTTGATCTCTTTGACTTCGGGGCCCATGCTTATGTAGCGCTCGTACANTCACTGCTGTGTGTCAGCTACGAGCCCTTCCAACCGTCTCTTTGAAGATGCTCACAGTAGTCTTTTTTCTTCCGCTGTGAACCATCGGCAAGATGGGATATCATCCGGCAGCACAATGATCGCAATGATGGCTATCGCTACTGTGGCACCACCCTCGATCATAAAGAGAATGCGCCATGATTCGAGCTTGACGTGGATGAATGATACGCCATAGGCGATGATGCCGTTGAAAAAGCCGCTATCCGTTGTCAGCTAAGCTCTGTACCACAAGTAGATCGTTGACTTACCNNCTAGCGGAGCCATTGCCAACCAGACGGCGACACGAATGCCCAACTTCTCTCTTGCATAGAAGCGTGACAGGAAGACCTGAATCAGTGGGGAGAAACCAGCTTCNNTAATGACTTGTCAGCGAAGTTGTTAGAAGGCGGCAGATAAGATACCTCCAAGGCCGATAAAGAATCGACATGCAAATGCGCCCGAGTAGTTTTGAACACCGGCGAAACAAGTTGCGGCAATGCCCCAAAGAAGCGCGCAGAGAGTGAGCACCGAAACCATGCGTGTGCGTTTGCCAAGCAGAGCGAAAGGTACCACTACGATGTATTAGTTCAGTCAGTCCGGGTGTGGCCTCCACTAGTACTGACTGAATGGAGCATAGCTCACGTAGTAGAGTGAACTGAGTAGCGCGTAGGTCTCGCCGGTGGGATCGTGACCGATATCTTTCATCATACCCAATGACTTTGCATTGCCCAGATTAGATTTGTCCAACGAAGAGGCAAGATAGACNNTGCAGTTTAGTTAGCAAAAACGTTCTGGTATCGTGGATCAGCTTCGCCACTCACTCAACGTAAGCAGAGGCATCACGATCAGGTCCAANNCTATGGAAGTTAGCGAGCAATCTCAAGGGGGAACGTCGAGTTTATGCACCTTAAGCATGGTTTTCGCCATAAATTTGGGATCAAACTCTCGAACGATCACTTCTTCTTGCGCGTCTGTGGTCTTCTCTGACGCGTCTTCAACATATGCATGGTCGAGCTTTTCAACAGCGGATAGAGTTTTAGCGGGCATGGCGAATGCTTGGGTCGAGGTTCGCGGCAATGCTGGTACTTTACAAGCCTTGGATTCGGCGACAGACGAGATATATGTGTTCAAGCACATTTGAGCCGTTACCAAGGCATGTGAAGTGCCTGACCAGTACTCGAGCCAGAATCGGCCCCAAGTGGCCCGCAAAAGGATCTGGGGACCCCGGACGTACACAGGCGCACGTTAATCGACGCTTCCACAAGTTGTATCGGACCTGTCCCGACATATGAAGCACAGACGGTACTATGGTTCCGATGACAAGCTCACACCTCCGACGGACTTGTCGGCACAGTAAAGCAACCACTTGTGAAGTTGCAGGAAGCCTACGTACCCCACCGTGCTAGGCACTGGAAGCGCCTCGTGGTGATCTCGAGGTGATGCGATGGAAGTGTAAATCTCAGATCCTCGGTGGAGAGGTGCTCAAGGTTATCAGTAACTGCCTTCACCAAAGTCGATTGTTTTTACCAACAAGACGCGCGCATGAACAGGGTTAGGTCCGCATGCGCCTCAACACCGTAGCAGGTGCTGCAGTGTGGCGAGCTGCGAAACGCCATGGGCATGTCGCTGATGTTGTGAGGAACTTGCTCTTAAGGTCACGCCAGATGGATCAAAGTATGTCCTTGTGCGCGTTAGTTGTGTTAGGGTCAGAGTCAAGGCCTACGTGCAGCCGCCATGGGCCTTCTGTACGGTCTTTGGTCACTCACGGCTAAAAGGCTAGTGTGTTTCGAGAAGCAGAGCGTTAGTGACCGGCGGCAGCAGTGTAGTAGTCCTGAGAAGCTGAGTAGAGTCGCTGTTTTGCTATAGCTCTGACTTTGGAACTGTAATAGGTTTCTGAGCCTGACTCGAAGACAGCATTGTAATGCTAGCTCGATTCTGGAACCTTGAAAGCTGTATAGTGTGAGCGCAGATAGGGAAGCGATGGCTAACGATATCGGTCACTAGTGGTGCGGGGAAGCGCAATCGGACACAATTCGGGTGTGCAAAATCGGACCATGTCCGATCCTGCCTTTCCCCCATCTTGCGGTCAAACATGGCGACAGTCAGGCGAAAAGCATGCGAAAGGTGCTGGCGAAGAAAGCAGAAATGCGACAGGCTGCTTCCAACGTGCACAAACTGTGCAGAGGCCAACGCTGCATGTGCTTCACGCAATCTGACATACGCACCCGCGCCCGATCAGGCTGGCCTTGCCATCGAACGTGGAGAAAGCTACATCAGCTCCCTCAAACGAAAAGTCGACCACCTACAGACTTTACAAGCCAACAAGGAAGCGCGTCTGGAAGGGCAAAGTCTCCACCATGGATCGCACCCGGAGCTGCTAATGTCAGAGGAAGACAACCATGGCACGACCGCCACAAGCCAGGCTGATCCGATGGAGAATCAGCACTCGCGCGAGACTTTGAATGAGATCGGAAGTCTTGTATTGACAGCCATGGCCGAGCCCGGAGATCATGATATCATATCTGCGTTGTCTACCTCTGCCTTTCTGCGAGCTGAGACCGGCGGGCTCTCGAAGGTGGCCGGCAATACTATCACAGATTTTCTGGAACAATCTCAGTCCGACATTATTTTTCCGCACGATGCGACCGCACATTTTCTTGCCCAATTTCGTGCCTACTTCGACTCGCGTTATGGTATCGATTACGATGAGCTAGTGAGTGACCACAAGATGGTCGTGCTGCGTCACAGTGATCGAGAGGCAGTAGAGGGCGAGGTGTCGTTCTCTTTCGCCTTCGTGTATCTTGCTGTTGCGATCGGTATCCTCGTGACGCCGACAGCCCGTCACCAGCAGAGCCTCGCCACGAAGCTACACCAGGTCGCTACCCAGTTGATTACCAAAGACGATTTGGATCGGTCTCCGCTTGCGGGACTGCGCTGCCTTCTCGCGCTTACGATATACGCACTTTACAGCGATCATGGAGGATGTCCGTGGCGTTTGGTAAACATGGCAGCCCAACAAGCGGTACTCCTGGGCGTGCATCGGGGCACAACAGCGGATGGCCCACCTGGTATAACCACTGCTAGTCGCAGATTGGTCATCTCTCTGTATCTGCTTGAGCGAAGCGTGACCTCGTCCATGCACCGTCCTTTTGCTCTGCAAGACGAAGACATCTCTTCTGCCTTCTGGCATGCAAACGACCATCATAACAAGCTATCTCGAGTAGACAGGATACACCTTATCGATCAAGCTCAACTTATATCTTCGATGCAAGGCGAGCTGCTGTTCCAGTTCAGCAGTTTCAGACACTGGGAGGAAACACTGCCGCTCAACTTTGGCTACGTCGAGTCTTACAGCAATGAGTCAGTCGATGCGAACGGCCACCTGCTGCAATTATCGTGTCGTACTCTGGTTAGGATATCTTTGTCCGACATACGCGGTGTTCGGCATTGTAGACTGCACATGTTTGAGAATGAAGAGAGTCTTGAGGAACAAACTCTGTCTCGAGCTCGGACTTTTGTTACTCTGTTGCAGAAGCGTCTTGATGAGGGAACCCTGATTCCATGCAGACTGGATCTTTATGATCTTCTCAGCGCTTGTGTTGTGTGTTGTTCGACGGTTGAAGAACCCACATGCGCCAACCAGCAAGACTTGGTAGAACTTCTGCATCTGACATTCGGTGTCTTCAATGCTATCGCTGAAGCTTTCGAAGAAGCCAAGTTATTCAGACGAGCACTGGAGATGATTGTTAGTCTCAAATTTACCGACTCGAGTGTGATCGGAGTTGGAAGAGCCGAAGACGGCCTTGTCCTTGCCATGATCGACACCCCCGGAAAAGTGCCCCGCTTCGTTCGGAATGCGCTCCACGACATTCGCGTTTCGGATATCCGACGGAACTCTACCGAAGCTCCTCATCTGCCGCAAGTAGTCATACCTACATATGCTATGCAACCAATATAGTTCCATGCTGTGATCTTGCTTCTCTTCCTTGACACAACCTCAAATCATCGACACAACCATGGCACCCTCAAGAATCGATTCCAGCCCCGAGCCTCAATTGGAGAGCCAGTCAGGAAAGCCAACTGTATATTTGATCGACGAATACCATCCTGAAGCTGTGAAGCACTGCAAGACTCTTTTCAACGTCATTGGCCCTCAAGACCCAGAGATCAAGAACTGGAGACAAAATGCTCGATACCTCTTGGTGAAAGGATCTTCTGTCACCGAAGATGATATTGCCCAAACCAAACATCTTCGAGCAATCGGCAAACAGGGTGTCGGTATCGAAAAGATCGACGCTGCCGCTTGCAAGGCCGCTGGTATCAAGATCTTCAACACGCCCGGCATCAATGCGACTGCTGTAGCGGAACTTGTCCTTGCCCTCACCATGAGTGTGGCCCGCGAGATCCGACCAATCGCGCTAAGGCAAGAGGCTGGTGGAGCGATCGCGAAAGCCACGTGTTCTGGTCTTATCCTCACTGGTCGTAGCATTGGCTTGATTGGTATGGGCAACATCAGTCGCAGAGTCGCCGAAATCTTCCGCGGCGCTTTTGGCTCGCACATCATCGCATACGACCCTTTCTTGCCTGAAGACGCTTGGTCAGATCTGCCTCACGAGCGCGCTACGACTGTTGACCAGGTCCTCTCGGCAGATGTTATCTCGATACATGTGCCGTTGGTTAAGGAAACAACAAACCTCATATCGTATCCCCAGCTTCAGCGCATGAAGTCAACATCAGTCCTCATCAACGCTGCCAGAGGTGGCATTGTCAACGAATCCGATCTTGCACGCGCACTTCAAGAAGGCTTGATTTGGGGTGCAGGCCTCGATTGTCACATGCAAGAACCCCCAACCAAGGACATGTACGCTAAGCTCTGGTCGAGTCCGAGAGTCGTCAGTACACCCCACATTGGAGCAGCCACGGACCAGACGCAGATGGAGACAGCCAAAGCGGCAGTCGACAACCTGTTCGAGTTTATCAAGCAGCAATAGTAATTTGTGTCTCTTACACATCGTCGATAGTTTCATCAATCATATGCTCAATCCTGTTCCACATGTCGACGTTCATGTTGAGATCGCCCCACGCGTACTCGTTCAGTCCAGCTTCCATTCCTTGCATAGCGTTGGCATCCATGTTGGTCCAGTCCATCTCAGGCATCCATTGGGAATAGGTTGCTGTGTGCTCCGGTCCTGGAGCTGTGCATAGTCCGTGACCTTGGTCACTGACAGGCATGACATGGTACTGGTGTTGCTGGTACGTCAAATTTGTATCTTGACATCGATATAATTCTTGCGGAGTTGTTGGGCGAGCGGTAGTGGCAGGAGAGGCAGAGAAGTTGTCGAATATTGATCTTCTCATGGAATCAAAGACCACCGCATAGCCCCGAGCGTCAGGCATCTTCTCGGAGATAGCATCGAGGACGTCGCCACAGAGAGACAGGGTGGCGTCAAAACTTGGTATTAGCCGACCTGCTCCCGTGCGGCTTTTGGCTTCGGAAGAAACACAGAAGATCACCGATAAGCCAGCGTGAAACAACATCTGGAAGTAGCTTCGAGTGTATGAAATGCGACCCGCTTGGTAGAGAGAACTGTACAGCTCGACAACACGTGTCGCGCAGCGTCCCCACAGACGCATAATGTTCTGCGACACACCTCGTTTGCTCTTGAACAGTGTATTGACACCGCCTCGCATGAGAAACAGTTTGTCTTTTTCAAGCAGGAAGTCATACCATTCTGGGCTTTCATACAAGCATGTGGGCTGCTCATAGCGAGGCGCTGACGCACGCCAGTGATCCAGTTCGGCCAGAAACTTATGTAGGCTGGCGTAGATCTCTCCAGTTGCCATAAACGAGCGGTAGTGGTCGTGGCTGTTGCTGCTCATGGCAAGTAGTTTGCTGCGAATGCGGGATGTAATTTGCCTCAGCTGTACTGAGTATATGAAAACAGAAAGATCTGATGATATTCTGGCAGCAGAGCATAGACTGTCGGCTCTGGGAGTATCGAGCCCCACTTTCGTGGGCAAGTCCACCTTGATGTCATGATCGGCGATTGCAAAAGGTCGGCCTAGAGTTGTTGAGCTGTAACGATCTAGCTGGTAACATTCCCAGAAGATGCGCTGGTTGTGTTGTTTTTCCAACTCGGTGGACCGCGTTGGTATGATCAGCGGAAGATGATATTCCAATTCAATACATGCCCTGATGCACTGTCGCGCAAGCTCCCACAGTGATGTGCCGACGTGATGGTAGACCCCGAAGCGAGCTACCAGCAAAAGATTCTGAATCCCTTCTTTGCCCTTAGAGTGTGGTACTCGACCAAGATATCGCATTGCACTGAGATAGTATCCATATGGATGCTCGCTGATCCTGCCCTGACGATGCATGGTGACAGCTGCGACTGCATAGACCATCAACACTGTGAACATGTCTTGTGCCGAAGGTTGTTGAACATCGAAGTTGTGTACTCTGTCGAAAGACTCGTTGATATGAGTACGCAGGAGGAAAGGATGCATGACATGTGAGTTAGTGAGATAAATGTTCAACAACTGCGTTGCCACGTCCAGCGAGGGTAGTTGGTGTTGAGTCGCCAGTGGCTCAGCGATTCTAGGTTTATATGCCAGGCATTGTAGCAATCGTTGTCGGGATGACTTCCATGCCGATGATGAGAACATGAATTGGAAAAGACTTGATGAATTAGCCCCGCACGCGTGAACTCATCAACAACATGACTGACTTCAATCCGACTTCATCTCCGACATATCTTTTGCCGCGATGTCGGCCAGCTGCGGGGCTGTCGCTGCTTTCATGCGTTGAAGCATTATGTTCTCCAAGAGAGGCCCGGAGGTTTCGTTCCCTTTCTTCAAGGCGAGCAATGTCTCTACATTCTCAATCAGTCCTGACATCTGATGGAAGAAAGGTCTGAGAAGCAAGTGGACCATACTCGCGGGAGTAGACCTGTGCAGAAGCCTGATCTTCAAAAACGCATTCAGTCTGCGATGCGACACAGGCCGAACATCTCGGAACATCCCTGTTGCACTGTTGGCAAGACTCGATGTTAGATATGTTCACCCAAATCATGTTTGATCACTTTGCACACCTTGATCTTTCTCCGGCGGCAAGCCTGACATGATGGCAGCCGATTGTCACCCTCCTCCATCTCATTTGCGATCTGATGCCGACAAGATCACAAAGCGCGCGGAAGGTGCAAAGGCACCGAGGGAAACAGAAGCCGAGACGGGATGAGGGCACGGACCTTGCAAGACTCGCTTATGTCATCATTACACTCGGATCTCAGCGACTGTGTCTATCTGTACAACGCCCCTCGACAATGCCATTCCACCGACTGGACGTTGCCTTCCAGACTATCCGTGATGTAGAGCGTTTTTCCTTCTGGACCTCCGAACGTACAGTTGGTCAAGTTGATGCCAGCTGAACCGCTGACAATCCTAGCTTTGGGAACGCCATGCTTGTCCACCACAAAAACCGAGCCAAGGCTTGGGTGACAGATGAGCACGTTGCCTTCTTCATCCAAGACGACTCCATCGGGCCCAGCATTACCAAATGATCTGAAAAAGACTCCTGCCTTGGACGTCGAGCCGTCGCTATGTAATGGTAGCCTCCACACCTCATTCGATCTGGTCATGGCCACGTAGAGAAATCGCTCGTCAAGCGACAAAGCAAGGCCGTTCGGAGAGATACCGTTGTCCACTAACTTATCAAGCCTGCCATCGTTGCCAAGACGATATACTCTGCCAGACTGATCAGTCATTCCAGTTTGTCCTTGGTCGGTGAAGTAAACATTGCCCTTGCTATCGACGATCACGTCATTCACACCCTTAAAGCACTCAAGATTGTTTCTTGCGAGGAGAGCCGAGACTCGATTTGATACTGGATCAAAAGAAGAAGTCCCTTTTCCAAGGCGTGAGCTTAAGGAATGTCAAATGATACGTTTCGCGACGCTGCTTACCTTCTTGTAGTCTGCAACGATGAACTTGCCATCCTGTCGCCGAGCCATACCGTTGGGCTCTCCATCGTACTGCACGCAGACTGTAGCCTGCTTGCTAAGCTTGTCTATCCTGAGTATGCGACCGTATGGGATATCGGTGACATAGAGATGGCCCTCTTCGTCACATGTTGGCCCTTCGAGGAAGATGTTCTGGAAAGCTCCGGCAAAACCTCCACGCCAATCGCTTTCGTCCTGGCAGCGCAAATCATCCGGTATTCGTGTCAGAACTTGCGCATTGATTATTGGCGGGACTGGATAAAAATTCATGTTTGTGTGCAGTTGGGATGTTGACAAAGCTTGCAGCCATCTGGCCCGGTTATTAATCTCAAACGCTGCAAACACAAGCCCCACTGGACTCGGAGGGCTCCCGGTCGAAGAGCCTTACAAGTCCGAACATCCGGTCTCCACGGCGGGCCAAGGATTTACGATAGGCTTTACGATCTCCACAGTAATAGTGGTATTCATGGGGTAATTATTAGCTAATAGTGGATTAAGGCTCTTTCTACTTAGTGCCTGGAGTAATTAAGGTTAAGATTATGGATCATATTTATTTAAATCCTTTTCTATATCTTACCGATATAGACCTATCTATACATATCTACTTTGTTAGCTATCTAAAAAGATACTATTTAACCTATAGATTTCTATAGTAAGATTAGGCTTTGAATTTCCTAGATGGGATTTTAGATAGATATTATAATATTAATCACCAGTATAAGCAAAAAAAGCACAGAAGATTGCTGTCCAGGTCGAGTTGCATATTGGAAGTAAAGTTAGTGATTGCCTCTGCCACAGCTTCAGTGACCTGTTTGGGAAAGAAGGTCAACCCTCCCCATAGTGGGCCAGTCTTGAATGGTTTCATTTTGAACTTGTTAACAATGCAAAAGTTGTTGGAAGCTCCCTTAAGTGCAAAGTAAAGATCATTGTTTTGCTGGGCAGTAGCTTTGACGATGCGTCCATCAGCAAGTACAACCTCGTACTCGACGACGTTGTCACATGCAAAGCCTCGACAAGGTATGTATAAAGTGTTACCACCTCCGAGGATGAGCCCAGCAACGCCGACATTGCCCTCACGACCACCAGCAACAACAAGCCCATGCTTGTGTAGTTCGGCATAGACATCACGCTAGCGGCCGCTGGGTCCGATGTCGACAGTCTCGGAATCTCCATGGACGTTAGTCCAGCAGAGTTGACCGAGGTCGATGGTGACACCATTGTGGATGTTGTTGTTAGATCCAGCCCATTGAGTGTGGCCGCCGCTGCGCACAGCAAAGTGCAAGTTTTTAGCAGCCAAGTACTTGACAGCTTTTGATACCTCGAGGGCGTTTCGAGGACGTACGATGCATGCTGGATGTATCTTTGCGCTGTTTGACCAGAAGCTCTGTCCCGAGCCGCGTATTTCTCCTGTAAAGGACACAACACCTCGAGACCTGTTTGGTCAACTCCTTGGCTCCCTTGTCAGGAGATTTGGGCTTTGGAAAAAGAGCTCCCATGATAGAAATTCGAGCTCGGATTGGCTGATAGCGATGATTGAACGAGACACAACCAGGAGATAACAGAACAGCTCAGCCAGGGGCATATGCACGGAGTGAAAACTCTTTTAGCCAGACATTGGTGTATCTTGGGAGTCTGCCACGTGGAGCCTCCGACTGGACGATTAGGCTAATCTCGTGTGTTTGAAGGAAACATAAGCAGTTTGTCATGACTGCACCATAATTGTTAGTGATGGAGATTACTCGTGCAGGTAAGCATTTACCTCAGTAAACATGCAATCGTGACTTGTGACAACAGCCGAGAGAGATAAGCCATATAAATTCCGGTGAAGCTGAATGAACAGGCTAGAGGGATCATGTAGGTGCGGCTTAAACACGAATGCCCTGCATGTCGGGATGCCCTAAGCCATGTCGGGAAAGATCTGAGTGGCGTGTTGGCTCGAGAGGTTGCGCATACCTCGCGAGGAATCGTGCTATTGTGATTGGCTGGACATTTCGCGGCAGTTGAGACTTCTTTCCTCATGCAGTATCCTGCAGTATCTCAATAAGAAGTATACCTGTAATGAACCGGTCTGCAATCATATACAATCGGAATTCGGAATATGATACGGCCTCGCGGCGATGGGGGAACATATTATCGGACCTATAAGCGCAAGCTAGTCCAAAAAGGCAACGTAGCTCGTACGTGCTGTAATAGAATGACTGAGTTCTGCCTGCCTTAAGAAAAGTTTGATCGAGGAGACGAAAGATCATGTCTAAGAACGCCACCAGCATGAAACCCTTTATGAGAGGCCGTATGTCATTACTCGTGACAGATCAGGGCTTTCTAGCCCAGGAATTCATGTTTGCACCCGACTCCAGCAAGCTACGGACACCGGCCTCAAAGCCTATGTCTACGGCGGTGTGTAGGGGCGTTTTGCCGTGCAGATCATGACCGTCTATCACCATCTGATCACCGGAGCAATGCTCGAGCAGGATCTTCAGTAGCATTTCGCGTCGCTGCAAAACCGCCCAATGAACAGCATTGCGTTGCCGGTTGTCCGTCTCGCAGATGCGTGCGCCGTTCTGGATTAGCAAATCCAGCACGTCTTCGTGATCACTGATGATGGAGTGAATGAGCGGGGTCAAGCCTTCTCCATCTTGTTGATTGCAATCGACCCCGTGCTGCAACAACACACGCACGATACGAACGTGGCCTTTTTGCACGGCGATGTGCAAAGCACTGACCCAATTTCCTTCAGGGCATCTGGTTGGAGGCTTCTCGATTGCGAAGCTCTCACGACTCGACGCACTCGACACGAGTGGTGGTGGCGAGGACTGGTGGAATTGATGGTCATTGTTGTTACCGAAAGTGCTGAATGATGTGTTCCGAACAATCGTGCTTGGATTCAAGCCACTGGAAAGAGCTTTTGAGGATCGAATCTCATATGATAAGAGCGAGATGGGAGTCGAAGTCTGTGTGATTCCTGACAGATTGGAGCGCGAGTGGTCAGACGGTTGGTACTCTGGAGAATTGAAAGTAGCCATATTCAAGATGTCGGACAATTGCGATGGTGATGGAAGTGCGGTAGGCTCAGACTCAGGTCCTGGCGTCAGAAGGCCTTCCAAGTTGGCAAAGTCGAGAAGATTGATATCGCCATAGATATCCAGACCGCAGGGACCTGTGTTGTTGGGCATATGACTACTGGGGAGGCTCGAGGAAGTCCTCGTTGAAATTGTCTTCGGTGGCGTTGTCTGGAAGCTCGGCCTGACTGCCTCTGGACGTTGAGACTGTGATGCTCGGGCGTGCGTTGCACTGTTCTGATTGTTTATCTCGCTCTGCTTTTCTGAGCAAATGGAGTGGACAGTCAGTCAAGTCTCTCGCTCGAGTATTGCAACGGCTCAACTCACGACGGAACCTGCGCTGGGCTTCGCGATTCTGGGCGCGACGACGCGCCAACGCCGCTTCATCCTTGCTGGTGTTCATGATCAAATGACACAGCAGTAACGAAGGAGCCTTTTCCAATTGGTACCATACTCTCGGCGACCTGCGGAGTACGGACGAAGGAGCTGTCTCCAGAGCTTCTCTCAAGACACGGAAAAACAGAGAGTGGGGGTCTCAGATTCTCGAAATTGCCATGAATTCTGCAATCGAGAAATCCGCCCAGCAGTAATCATGCGGAGCAATAAAGACCCGACCAGGCGTAATCAAGATTCCCTTCTTCTTTATTACATACCGCAACGCACCTTCTACGATTTGCCCGTCGGGTAAGCATTCCTTGCTACCATGCCAACGATGCAATCAGTAAAGACCCTGCTCTGCACTTTTGCAGCATCGGCTCTGCAAGAACACAACAACGTACCAACAGCTTTACCATGGCAAAAAGACAGTTCTCGTGACAGGCTGCAGTTCCGGCGGTATTGGCGCTGCCATGACCAAGGCTTTCAGCGACCAAGGTTACCACGTCTTTGCGACCCTCCGCAACGTCTCGAAAGCCGGATCGCTCGCGCAGCTGGCCAATGTCGAAATCCTGGAGCTCGAAGTGACATCTCACGAATCCATCGAGCAGTGCGTACTCGAAGTCCAGAAGCGCACCGGTGGCACTCTTGACGTTCTTGTCAACAATGCTGGAGCCGACTTCGTCATCCCGTTGCTCGACGCCTCGATTGAGGAAGGCAAGAGGCTGTACGACGTCAATGTCTGGAGCATCCTGGCCACCACACAAGCCTTTGCGCCGCTGCTCATCGAGGCCAAGGGAACCGTCTGTAACATCAGCTCGATCGCAGCAACAATGCCGCTTGCCTGGGGCGGTAAGCAAATATCCCTATCCCTGCTCTTGCGCCGATTATACTGACACCTGCCNGCAGGAGTCTACAGCAGCTCCAAAGTCGCCGCCAAGCAGATCTCGGAGACGCTGAGAGTCGAGATGCAGCCTCTTGGTGTGCGTGTCATCACTGCCATGGTGGGTGCCGTGCACACGCCCATCCACGACAAGGCAGGTGAGTTGGTCTTGCCTGCAGGTTCCTATTACCAGAGCGTCAGGGAGACCATCAACGACCAGAGGAAGGGACTGAAGAAGCCTGGCAGTCAGGAGGTGGACGTCACGGCCAAGGACCTCGTCGGTGATGTTGTTGCAGAGCGTGCAGGGCTCGTGTGGCGCGGAGGCACAGCCACCCTTGTGCGCTATCTGGGTTGGTTGTTGCCCTCGGGTCTCTTCGAGCATGTTGTCAACGACGGAAGAGGACTGAAGGAAGTGAGTCAGGAGAGAAGTAGAGGGCGCATATTGTGCGAAAGCCGGCATTGAACAGTTATGGATCAGGCCCGTGGACGCTGTGTGACCGCCGCCAGCACTCCATAGATTATCAGATATGATTGTGCAATGATAATCCTTAGTTTCTATAGCTATACTTATTCTTTGCCGGGTCATCGTCAGGCATATTATCAGGCGGTCGTAAACACTCCACGTCCTGCGAATCACGTATTGGAGCTCAGGGTCGTTTTCTGTTATATTCTAGAGTGGGTGGCTTGTACAGTCGGAGGTGAGCCTTTTCAGATCGCGCGTAAGCATTCAGAGCCAGCCGCTCGAGCAGGAAAAGGCTCTTGGGCACTGGAAAGTTGCTTCAGCACCATCTACAGGTCGAGAGATCTGCTCTCACTAGTGAATTTCCTTTATGGTAGATAACATCTCTGATTTTACGGCTGACTGTAGATCGAAATTCCTTCTTGCGAAGAAAACCAGCATGAAGTTTCAGCAATGCTGTTTGCTAATCAAACTTCTCATGCTACCACGCCCTTAGCACGTTTTCCGCCCTCCATCAATCTCAGGCCACACCTCCCGCTTCCTTCACTGCTTCTGGATCCAACCTTAGACAACCCCTGGCTCCGCGAGAAAAAGCCCAAGAATGCTCTACTGATCTTTGGGTTCTCGAACCACCTCTGCGGACGGAGGTCATACGGATCGACAAAGATCTTTGGATCCATGTGAGTCGTGAGTAGTGATATTGTGGTCAGCGTGCCGAGCGGCAGGATATAAATCCGACCAGTGACTTTGTCGTGGTAATCAATCGGGAGATCGGGCGAGATGCGAGGCTGTCGATTCATGACTCCAGGATGGATGCGGATGACTTCTTGAATTACGACTTTGAAGTAAGGTAGACTGTCAACTTGTGAGAAAGATGGGATCTCTTCTGCATCAGATATGGCTTGAATCAATTCTTCTCTCAGTTTCTGCAGTTCGGTGGGGTTGGCGAGAAGTTCGTAGACAGCAGCCATGAGGGTGTATGCTATCATGATCGTGAGCGGGTGAACGAGTTGCGTACATACCATTGGTACTCACCTGTGGTGCTTCACCGGCAAATACCACTAGCTGAGCCTCTGCAGCCAGTCTTGTGTTGGTCTTGTCTTCGTCTGGTAAAGAACTGTTCAATATGCCTTGAAAGATGGTGCTCTTGATCCTCTCGGGGTTGGGAGAGCTTCTGATCTCGTTGACTTTGTCAACACACCGCTATCTGTTATCCCGCATGAGATTGACTGTCTCTTCTCTGGGGGTACTGCATCTTGACTTACCGATTGCTTCGACCACAACTCTCTCAATGAGGGTGCCAATATAGCAATAAGTCCGATCGGTAATCATTGAATCATATCTGAAACCCATGTAAGATGCCCAAATACATGGGTGAGGCTAAAAAACAGTTCCGTGGCTTCGAAGTATGCTCTACCAAGGTTGGACTGGTCTCAGAAGTGAAACGAGTCGCCAAGCGCATACATGGTGATGACATCGCTCGTACAGGCTTCGAAGAGGTGGTGCAGTTGGATCACTTCGCCTGCTGTCTCCTCCATACGAAGGAGCATCTTGGCCATATGATCTTTCATGATGGGCTCAAGGCGACGAATGCTGGCCGTAGAGAAAAAGCTGTTGACCGCATTGCGACGTCGACGGTGCAAGTCATGGCTCATGGTAGCTACCATGGACTCGGCAGCTGCCATTCAAGAAAGCATCAGTTATATTGGCCCATTTCCCCGAATTGAGAGGATCCCACTTCCAGTCCTTTTTGCTACTACTGCAGGTTGGTCTGTTCTTCTCGAGGCGCCTGGGAAAATCGTATCAATGATATCTGGGTCGTCAAGATGTACCTCATCCGGGTTGATTCGAGCGATCGGGCTTCAATAAGTCAGAAAGCTTCGCTCAATCTTTTCGTGGCAAACAAACATACCATATCTTGCGTGCATGGTATCAATCGCCCGGGAGAATTGACCTCCAAGGAACACATCATGAAAGATCTCGGGCCAGTAGATACATACTGCGAGTGATGAGTTGTGTTACCCATGCCTAGATATGGATCGCACATACCTGCGAGTTTGGGTCCAGGAGTGTTTGCAAGTGGATGGAAATATACTCGAGACAAGTAAGTATACTGGATTCACCATTCGCTGCGATGAACTCACGCCTATACGTCGCAAGAGACAGGCCATAGGTGACCAATCCGATCGCCAAGAGAATGAGGACTTGCAGTCCCCTGTCCACTAATGACAGATCATCGTTGCTCCAATCAGACCACAACACAGGCACTTGAGAAAAAATTGTGCTTGACATGTTTCAAATTGCTCATAAATCAGGCCAAGGAGATAAATCTCTCTGCTCCTAGTCTCTACTGCACAATCTCAACGCCACCCATATAGCTCTAATATTCTGTCAACATTGCTCCATAAATCCTTCGAATTTGTCATGCTTGTGTAAACGCTTACTTGTAACGCCAAAATGACTTCCTCCATTTTCATGATATTGCTGCTTACTTGGGAGTTCTCGGAGTGATTACTCCGACGGGTAATCTTGCCTGTTGACCATCCGATCTTATCAGTAAGCATAAGCATGATCGGGATCACTCCGCATGTCACGATATGGAGTACCATCATGAAGGATGGGTTGGCGACTTCACACGGCAATTCACATGAGCAGAACAGCGCTAGCGGCGTGATGGACGCGTTGAAAAGTGATAACAACCAGATCCTTTGGGCGTCTGCAGGTCCTGTAGCAGGTACCTCGCTAGAGCTTCAGCATCTAGATGCAGCCGCACTCGTCTAATCTTAGCAAAACTTTAAGCCAAATCTCTCCCGTGAAGACGTTGCAGGATCAACTCAGTCAGCCTCCCAACACCAACACTTGCCTGTACGAGAGATCCTTCAGCTCGAAAATTGCATAGGATTGAAAAGATGGTGTTGGAGCGGCTCAAAGGATGGGAGGCTCGAGGCGCATGTTTCCAGGATAAATAGCCATATACGTTCCCTAGCTGTAGAGATCTGTATCAGATTGTCCTTCGCCTGTCTTTGACATGAATTGCAAATCACCGTCTAGAGATGTCGAGCGCTGCGTTCAACGTCTGCATAAGTGCTGTCTGCTTGGTCTTGGCCACGCTCCAAGCGACTCAAGCTTCGCCAGTCATTGGGGATCGATCGTCGCCATCATGTCGTGTTTTGCCTGGAGATGCGGCTTGGCCAAAACAGAAGGCTTGGGACGAGTTGAACCAAACTGTCGGTGGCAGACTGATCCGCGGTACCCTTCTCGCCCAGCCATGCTATACACCAAATCTGGACACCAGTACAAGCACCACTATTCAAGACGACTGGACGGCCTTGGACCCTTTGTCAGTGTTTCCTGAAGTGAAGATGGAGATGCAGAGCTGACAGCGTTACAGTTTGAGTGATCCAGTGAATGTCGTGTCGCCTTATCGGATGAACAACTCTTGCAGTCCCTTCCTTGGTCCAAGCGGTTCTTGTTCTCTCCGTAATCTTGCCTCGTACGCCATCAGGGTGACCTGCGCCGACGATGTGATTGCAGGCGTAGGATTTGCCCAAACCAACAACGTCCGCCTCATGATCAAGAATACCGGCCATGACTTCCTTGGTCGATCTGTTGGCGAAGAATCCTTGGCTCTGTGGACGCACAACCTCAAGCAGACGACATTTGTCAGCTACAAGTCCTCGCAGTACACTGGACCAGCATTCCGTGTAGGTGCAGGCATCACAAATGCGGAGCTGTACGCTACTGCTGGTGCCAAAGGCTACCGAGCGGTCGGTGGACCGTGTCCCACTGTCGGTGCAACCGGAGGATATGCCCAAGGAGGCGGTCACGATCCGCCCGGTGCAAAGTTTGGGCTGGGCTCTGATCAGGTCCTCGAATAGGAGCTCGTTACCGCTGCTGGAAAACGTGTCGTTGCATCGTCGACCCAGAACTCGAATCTGTACTGGGCATCGAGTGGCGGAGGTCCCAGTAATCTGGCTGTCGTATTGTCCGTGACGGTGAAGGTATACAAGGATGGGTTTAGGGTTCCACTGGCGACCGAGCTGAGCCGAGGCGACAACATCTTTCGCATCCAGGTTCATCGCATCGATGACGATGAGTCCTACAAGACAGCACTCATCGCATGGACCAACTGGTGCGAAGACAACAAGGGCTCATACGTCTTGTCCTCACTCGACTATCAACCAATCCCAAAGAGCTTGACAGATGCGTCAAACTCGCAGAATGGCGGCAATGCCATGCAGATGCCGGATGGACCATGGTTCTGGCTGAATTTCTTGATCTCCACTCCTCCTGGCATGTCGCAGTCTGCGTACAACCAGGTACAAGCCAGCTTCAGAGACATGGTCAATTCTGTGCCAAACGCAGAAGGGCTTCTGTTGTTCATCAATGATGCAAAATCCTCTGAAGACGTTTAGTACCTATGCTCGATTGCAAGAGATCAAGAAGAAGTATGATCCAGACGGCTTTCTCGAGCAATATACTAGTGGGTGGTCTTTCTCATGAGGTCGAATGTCCTCAAGGACCTAGTAAACGGTATCAAACACATCCCGATAGAGTTGTTGCGAAGTCAAGTGTGTATTTCTGCTTCGCGATGAAGTGCATATACTACTTTATAGCCTTTTGCGAACTGACCAGGTCATCCTTTCACTGCATAGTTTTGAGATTGGACAAATCAGTCGCTTTTTGGCTTGAAACTCTTCCACTGTATTCCAAAGCTTGAGAAACAAGCAGCTGCAGCCAAGCCAGCTCCAAGATAGAATGTGCTCGTCACGCCTTGATTGTAGGCGCTCAATACTTGCGCAAGATTTTGTTTCGGGACAAGCGCTCGGAAATCTGCAGGAGCTGCATGGATGATAGCGGACAGATCCAAGCCGACAATATCTTTGGACTGGAGGGCAGCATAGAAGACACTCGAGAATACCGCTTGCGCCAGAGCTAAGAATAATGCTGCTCCAAACGACTGGAAGAATTGCAACAATGCAGTGGCGATAGGGATATCTTCGGGTTTCAGAACGGTCTGAATGGCTACATATGGCATCCAGAGCGAGATACCAGCACCCATGCCAGGTAGTATTTGGTAAGATATCCAGTATTGGCTGCCCGAAGATGTGCTGAGTGTAGACAGCAAGCCAGACCCGACAGCCAGCAAGATCGTGCCAGCCAGAATGAAAGGGTTCGTGAGGCCAACGTAAGGAAGAAGTATACCCACCATCAACGCAGATGCGACATCGGAGAGCGACAGTGGTAGATACATGACCCCGGACCTGATTGGAGATACACCTTTGACAATCTGGAACCACTGAGGAAGGTAGTATGTAGCCACATAGACGGTCCCCATAGCGAATAGCTCGGTCAAACAAGCCGAGAAGACGACACGCTGAGTGAGCAGCTTTGGTGGAATCATCGCATCATCACCCTTGCGAATTTGCCAAAGAGCGAAGATGACGGTGAGGATTGCGGTACCGACAAAGAGTCCGATGATAGTGGCACTTCCCCAAGCATACACCAAACCACCCCACTGGAGGGCGAGGAGCATCATAATCGTGGCTGGTGCAAATAGCAGGAGACCGACAAGATCAAGACTTGCCATTGTCTGAGTAGCAGTGTTCGTTCGATCTGCCTTTGGTGGATGGAAGAACAAGACCAGAAACATAACGGTAATGGCGCCGATGGGGAGATTGATATAGAAGCACCATCTCCAGGTAACGCGTTGAGTCAGGACTCCTCCAAGAAGTGGTCCAAGCATAATGCCGATACCGAAGGTCGACTGCAGCGCGCTGAGATATGTGGTACGTCTAGGAAGGCGGACTGAAATGGCGACAATTGTGAAGGCGCCAGTGGTGCAGCCAGCAGCTCCAGCTCCAGCGATCGCTCTTCCTACAATCAATCCAACAGCATTTGGAGCTGTGGCGCATACCAATGATCCGATTTCGAACAGTGCCATGAAGACAAGAAACATTGTCTGCAGCGGTCAGATGCCGATTGGAGAAGACTGATCGCGAAATGTACCTTGACGGGNAAATTTGGCGTACAATTTGCCAGCAATTGGTTGGAGAGCGCAAGTCGCAAGAGTATATGCACTTCCATACCAAGATGTATCGCCAGCAGACTTGAACTCTGCAGTCACATACGGCACGGCGGTCGCGACGATTGCAGAGTCCAGAGATACCAGAAATATGGCAAGCACCAGTCCCGATATGACTGTGACCAAGCCGAGGCCTGTCAGTTCGTAGTCTTGGGGATCGTCTTCGACAGTGAGCGGCTCAATTGGTCGTGTCGATTGGTCGTCATCATGGCTTGTGACATGAGAGTTGTCGAGACTTGTGATATCGGCCATGGTGGCAAACATGGGTGTTGAGTTGCGACAGACAGAGAGGAATTGTTTATACGACTTGCGTTGATCCCGATATCATGAAGGTACGCCCTACCGAAAAGGGAGATGTCGGTGTCGTAGGTGGGGTTCAACCTGGGGCGGACAAGTCAGGTATATTAGCCGGCCAACAGAGTCCGAGCGTAGATTGTGGAGCGGATTTCAATCCTTCCGAAATGTTCTCAACCTTTCTCTACTCGTGCTTTACTGCATGCAAGAGCATAGATCGTAAACACATGTGATCGAGTCCTGTTCGCGACTTGTTCTCTTGACTGCTGCGTCCAAGCCAGGCTCTCCAAAGTTTGCCTGCGAATTTTGCATTGCAGTACCAAGTGCTTCCGAAGAAGTTGTGCTCGAATGATCCGGACACAGACGAAGCATTACCTCCAACGGAACCGTACTTGCCAGCGTTGAAGATCCTATCAGCAGTTTCGACTGGCCATTCGCGATCGTAGTAGACAGGATGCGGAGCATAAATTGCCTTCAGCCCGTAGTGCAGAGCAATACTTGGGGCCCACATCTCGGTCCACATGCTGTGTTTGAGTTCGTAGGTCTCCTTGTGCATCAGGTGAAGAAGCTGACGAGACATCCGCGATGCTGCGACAATGGCGATGCGACGTGGGGGAAGAGGCAACTGAGTATCGTATCCAGTGACATCCTGCTCAAAATACCACCCTGACTCGTTAGGGTCGAACATCGGGCTCAATGTGATCAGGTCCGCATCCTCGTCATCTCTTACATTGGCCAAGGATTCTTTTCTGTCTCCGAGCGCGGGGTATCCGGCGAAGTGCAACGGACCAGAGATGGTGACAGGATTCTCTCTCTCCACGATGTCGGAAAAGTTGGCCCATGTGCCATGCAACTTTTCAAGATAGTACTTGGCGCTGCGTTCCCAGATACCGCGCCTTGGCTGTGACTTTGCCCATTTTCCCAGGCGGTCGAACAGTTCATAGTAATGACCAATGTAGCGTATATCCATTTCCCAGTTCCAAAAGTGATCGTACTGAGTGTTGGTCTGCGCAAAGTATTGCAGCGGCATATGAGAGCTCCTGTAGACTCCGTGAATAGGCTCACCAGCTCTGTTGAAAGTTTCGTTGCAGAATGGTCCAGGATAGACTGACTCCATCTGCTTCTCGGACCAGAGCGTAACCAGACCACGGAACTCTGCTGGCACATTTTCTCGGCTTATTTGATCATATAGCTCCTCGGATTCCCAGAAGCGTGCCGAATTGTTCTTGACGTGCACCAGCAAATGGACATCGTACTCGCCGCCTGAGCCCAGAGACACCTCACTGATAAGTGCCCTAAGATTCATGATAGCTTTACGAGTATAGTGATAGCCTGTCCACGTTCGTAAGACAACTGCCTGCCTGGAAAGTATTGACATGGCATCGACTGGTGTGGCTTGTGCTCCACTATCAGCACTATACTGCAAGGTGTTATCTCCATAGCATCTCTTCTGAGCAGCTGCCCAGTCGACACTGGCCCAATCTATCGGACTCTTCTGCGTCTCACGGTCTGGAGGCCAAGCATCTTCGGATCTATCAGAGCTTGCAGGTGATGCATAAGCTTCCAGACGACCAGTCCGGTCGAAACAGACGTCGTCCCTAAGTCCCAGTACTTCGTAGGAACCGTAGAGAGGGTCGGGATGATTCTGTGGCGTACCAAGATAAGAGTACACGCTTGGGATGCTTACGGTCCGCGCGTCGTCGAGGAAGCATTCTTGCATGAAGCTGGGTCGGCCAATAGCGGTTCGGAATCCGTGGTAAGGGTTGTATTCAACTAGGCGGTTGTGTATCTCCTGCTCTTTCAGCCATGTGGAAGTGCTATCCTTCTCCTCCTGCTCACGAGACCCGGTGGCCTTTATATGATTTAATATAGGATCTAAGCTGCGAATGTCGGAATAGTAGCCGTCAAGCCTGAAGAGCATACGTTAGCAAGGGAAGGCTAGACAGGAGAGGTGCACTTACAAAGGGAACTTTTCCCAGTGTGCGCCAAAGAAGAGCAGTCCGGCACCTCTCCATGTTCGGTCAGGGATATTGTATATCACTAGGCATAGTATCAAGGCAGCAGCAACGACGTTGCGCAACAGCCTGAGGGGCCATGTGCGAAAGGGTGACTGGAGACCACGCATTTATGACAGACTGGTCAATGTGGAACCGATCCTTATCTCTCGAAACGACCGAGTCGCATGCGAAAATCAGCATAGCGAAGACTTACAGGGTATGCTACATGTCCATGTTGCGCTGAGCTCTGCAGGCGCTTGGGCGCAGCCCGTATGCGCAAATTGAACGCGTGGCCAAGGGACCATGTCTGCCAGACACGAGATAGGGGCTCAGACACCGCTGTGTCTAACATAAACTCAGCAGAGAGCCCAAGGTAGTCAGGTACTTGACCCCGTGCTCGCCCGTGAACTCAAAGAACGATCGTGGCTGAGAGCTTTCGCGCTGCTTGTTGGCTCTTTTTTCGAAGCAATTCCAACAGCAAGGGTCTGAACCTTGAATCTAATCAAGGGTCACCGAGACCGCCAGTTGCCGAAGCTCGTTGGGATCTTCGGCGATGGACGTCCAAGCTTCGGTATGGCCACCTTATGCGAGCAAGCACTTGCCAAGTACCTGAGGCGCATGCTTAGCATCTTCATCTATCGAACATGGGGCATGTTGATCCTGGTAGTAGGTTGGTATTCTGCGCAACGCGACAATTGTTGGGAAGCATAGAGACGTGGATGCGAGACGCCAGAGGCGTTCAATGTCTCGAAGGATGAATTGAACTGCCAATGGCATCGCGACCCTGATCCATGTTGTCGGTGGTCTTTGGCAAGCGACACACGTGCTCTGGTTGCTTTTGTCGGCTCATGTTGGTTTTTGGTGAAGTTCGAAGAAACACGTGCGATAGAGACAAGCTCTCTCTGGAGCTTGCCCAAAAGTCTTGGCTTTGAGTTGTCCCGCATGACGACACCGGTATGCACGATTACACTTTTTCCGGCATCCTCGAAGGAACCATGTTCATGGATGGTGCGAGCTGCCTGATATGGCCTGGGGGATTTACCGCAAGGATCCGAGACCTTGATGGTCGAGCAGTACAAAGGCCTGGTCATCGGCACCTCAACTCCAAGGCTGTAGACGATTGAGACTTTTTCCTAGCTTGACCAAGATGCTCTCTTCATTGTTCAATGTCGCCGCACTGGCTCTTGTGGCCGACGTAGCTTCTGCCGCTGCTGTCAGCTCCGCCAGCAGAGCCTCGGATTCCAAGATTGCTGGCTCGACCACCAGCGATGTCTTCCCTCCCACCGGCAGTAAGTGACTCCCCCATTGGCGTAAACGCAGATGAATTGACAACCCNTCAGCCAAGGTCAACACCTCTGTGTTCCCCAACGAGTCCGAGGTTGGCTTCCCAGGACCCACCCCCACCGGTCTCGAGGGTGCTGCTGCTCAGACCGCTCCCCTCTACCCATACAATTCGGCTGCCGCTGCCGCTTTCCCTCTAGCTGTACCTCAACCTCATGGTTCGTCTGCTTTCGGCGACAAGTTTGACATCACAAAGTACTGGGGTAACCTCAGTCCTTGGTACTCGGTCTCATCTGCCGACTATGACCTGTCTGAGGCTAGTCCCCTGATTCCCGACGGTTGCACCATCAACCAGATGCTCTTGCTGTACCGCCACGGTGCTCGTTACCCCACCAGCGGTGCTGGCCCTTCCACCTTCTCGCAGAAAGTCCGCAATGCGACTGCTTCTGGCTTCAACGTCACTGGCGAGCTGACTTTCTTGGCTGACTGGACTTACAAGCTCGGTGCTGAACTTCTCACTCCTTTTGGCCGCAGCCAAAACTTTCAACTCGGTATCGAGTACCGTCAGCTGTACGGTGAACTCCTCAACAACTTCACCGAGCAGGGCGCTCTTCCTGTCTTCCGTACCGAGTCGCAAGACCGCATGGTCAAGACTGCTGAGAACTTTGCTGCTGGATTCTTCGGTGTCCCCGAGTATTTGAACCAGGTCAACATTGAGATTCTAGTGGAGAACTCGACCGTCAACAACTCAGGAGCTGCTTACGAGGTCTGCCCCAACTCCAACATTGCCAGTCGTGGCAGCATCGGTAGCTCTGTTGCCAACAAGTTCGCCGCCAATGCTTTCAATGCAACCCTTGCCAGACTGAATTCTCAGGTCTCTGGTGCCCTCAACTTTACTGCTACCGACGCCATTGAAATGCTCCAACTCTGCTCTTACGAGACCAACGCTCTTGGCTACTCCAAGTTCTGTGGTCTCTTCACCGAGGAGGACTATATCAACTACGAGTACTACTACGACTTGTCCTTCTACTACAACAACGGACCTGGCTCGCCCGTCGCCGCCGCTCAGGGTAAGGGTTTCCTCCAGGAGTGGCTTGCACGTTTCACCCACACCTACCCTGATGCCACTTCGGCCCTTAACAAGACCTTCGACAACTCCTCCACCTACTTCCCCTTGAACCAGTCCATCTACGCCGATGCTACCCACGAAGTCATCGTTCTCGACACTTTGACTGCTTTCAACTTCACCGCCTTGTTCAGTGGTCCCGCTCTCAGCGCTACTGGTAACCAAGGCAGCAACTCTTTCGTTGCCAGCAAGCTTGTTCCTTTCGCCACCCACTTCACCACGCAGATCATGACTTGCCCTTCCAGAAACGTCACCAAGCAGATTCGTTTCCTCATCAACGACGCCGTGATCCCCGTCTCTGACTCTCACCCCGGCTGCCCTGTTGACAAGGACGGTCTCTGTCCTTTCGACACCATGGTCAATGTTCTGAAGAAGAGAGTCAACGAGATCAACTTCAACTACGACTGCTATGCCAACTACACCGCTACTGCTGGTGTCAACTACAATGGCCGTGCCCCCACTTCTTAGATTTCCGATAATGTTTAGACAAATTTTGGAAAAGTAGATACACAAAATCAGTATAGTTGTTTAATGGCAGATGAATGATTGAAGCTGGGTTTTTTCTTTTGTATGCATGGAATCATGTGGCACATAGCTTGGCAGTGTGACTTTGAGCGAGTTCATACGGTTTGCCCACAACGCAGTGAAACTTGGGAGGCGCGAAGGAGCTGACGCCACCCCGACCTCGAAATCGCATCGTCAGCTGTCAGTTCTGCAACACGCCGCCATCCCTACGACGAGGACATCATATTATAGCTTGATTCCCTGGTTGCGAGTGCCACAGCCTACTTGAAAGGGTTGTCGTTCTCAGTCAGCGCGCAGTCTGTCCATCGATTCGAGCTGATAAGCTGAGTTGCCAATGTGACTGGACCTTGACACCACAGTACAGACTCAACACAGACCATCAGAAAACAAGAGCTGAGCTCTGTTCGACGATGGTGGAGTTAACAGCAGATTTACTGTATCATCTCAGCACCTTTCTCNNCAATCCCGACCTCCGCAACTTCTCTCTTGTCAACCGACAGTGCCACGACCTCGCGAGAAAACACCTTTACCAAACTATCGTCATCAAGTTCTCGTCGCCAGACACACTCAATCTTGAGGTCGAGCGTTGGACTCGGGTCTTGAAAGGCGCAAGAACCTTTTGGAGTGTGCTCGATACCAGTCGCGAGACTTTTCAGCACGTTCGACATGTCAAGATAGTTGCAAGTGAGCTCAACAATATACACCACGGGTATCAGCTCGAAAAAGATACCAAAGACTGTGGAGATGACCCTACGGCGCCGTGGGAGTACTGCCTCGTGAGCGAGGCTCAGACAACGCTTTTGACACAGGCCTCGGAATGGGAAGCTCTAGCTCACCTCTTGCAAAGATTCTCAAAGCTCCGAGAAGTCACTTGGGGATGCGAAGAGCAGATCCCTGCATGTATCTTCGGATAAATCACTCGCTCATACCCTAGCCTCCGATTGCATATGCTAAACTTCAAGCTGCGTTGCCTAGAAGTGCCCTTTGGAGATCCAATCGTCCTCTATCATTATGAAATCGAGCTGGCCACCTCACCTTGTCTGTACAGTCTGGCCATGGTTGTCTGGGATGATGAGACAAATTCCGACCATGTCCGATCTGCGATAATGGATATGCTTGCAGGCGCAGCACCTAATCTACGAGAACTCAATATTTACTGGCTCTTGGATGAATGGGAGCAGTCCACACTGACAAATGCATACCAGCCTGGTGCTCTGTTTTCTAGTTGTTCGCCAAGTCCAGGTACTCTGCAACACCTGAGAATCGGCTCATACTCATCTCAGGCACTGCAAGGGTGGACCTCGTTGACCAATGTCTCGAGGTTGAAAAGCCTCGACATACTTCCTTGTATAACGGATGAAGGGCTGCTCTGGTTGACATCCTGCCAACTATCGTCTTTAGAGCATTTATCTCTCAACGTCCAATGCGGCTCGACCGAAGTCCTGTCCGAAGCTATTGCGACTTTAGTCCCGTCCTTGCCTTGCCTGAAAAGCATAAAACTGGGCGGAGTGTATGACGACCGTGCAATCAGTGCCCTGCTCGACCACTGCGGACACAACTTACAACGTCTACTATTGTCAAATNNTGGACTTTTGCCGGAGGGGGAAGAGTTTTCTCTCGCAAATCCGACATTCATTCGAGAGATACAACAGAAATGCCCACACTTGGAGGAAGTGGCTCTGAATATTTCGAGATCTAAAGGTGATGCCCACGAGGTCGCCATATACCGTGCTCTCGGATCCTTGTTCTCTATCCGCAAGGTCCATTTGACTGTGTACTGTCCGCAACTGTTCCCTCATGATGAGGATGCATATAAACTGTTCAGCGGAAAGTTTCTCACTAGACAAGTCGAGGACCAGGAGATGGATACCGAATTGGATGACGCTCTGATGAACCTCGCCTTCGACGCACAACTTGCCAAATCGGTCTTCCGCACCATCTCGCTATCGAAACCTGCTTTTTCTCCACCGCTTGAAAGTGTGTCCTTGCGCATCGGTGCTCTTGATTATATGAAGTTTAGTTCTGGACGAACAAAAGCTCACGCGAGTGACATACTCAAATATATCGGTCGCTCTTGGATCTGCACACGCAACCCACGAGACGATAGACCACACGACTTCACTGCAGCCGAGTACAATCCCAAGGCCAAAGTGGAAAGAGCAGAGGCTCTAGAGAGACAGTATGCTCCCAAAGTCTTTGATTCAGTGGTTGCACAGTCCGTCTGTCGTGTATGGCCCGCTGCCAAATCTGGAGACTGGAAGAAAGAGTGGCATAGCTTCTCGCTCGCTATTTCTTAGCGGGTCAAAGTCGCAAGCCTGGTCATGGTGGTCAGGTGCAGAGATCACTTGGCGAGGGGAATCCAAATCCTCCTTGAATGTTGGTGCAGATCATGGAGAACATCTCATCTTGTCATGTTCGAGCCACTGAAGCAGCACACCAGCGTTCGTGATAATAGATACCAAAATGATACACATGCACAAAATAAACTTTACGGGAGCGACCCAGATTCCCAACGTGGGGAACGATGATGACACTTTCTGCCATGAACCTCATACCACGTATTCTATAAACAATCTATCAACAGCAACAATCACAGCATAGACACGTACTCGCAGAGCGATAGCTTCGATGTCCGACCAAGACAGATCTAGCGCGCTGGCTGAAGCCTTTGGCTCGGGGATTCTGGATTCTATCCAAGAATTCTGGTTCCAGCATTTGGCAGACGAGACACACATTGTCGTTCCAAGCACCGAAGACATGAAAGTGTGGTTTATGGATAAGAGCGACGAGTTTGACTCTTTTTGTCGGTTAGTCTTTCCATCACTAACGAAGCCCAGAATCTGTTAACATTTTCATCTTTTCAGCGACAAATACGGCAATATACTCACCATCATCAAAACTTCCTCTTCAACCCCCGAAGAAATCCTCGCCGCTGCAAACCCAACTACATCACTGAATTGGATGTCGCTAATCATCCTTTTGGACCAATTACCGCGAAACATCTACCGCGGCACCTCGGCCTCAATCATCTCACACACTTTCGACCCACTGGCCCTGGCTATAGCACTAAAAGCCAGAGCACAATACATTCATCTTGACCCTTCGATCCGGTATAGACTGAGCTACCGCCTGTGGGTCTTTATGCCCTTTGAACACGCCGAAGATTTGGAGATGCAGGAGATAATGGTCAGAGAGCAGAGGGCCAGATGGTATGATATGCAAGACCACTTGCTCAACAACAAAGTGACGACCCAAGACTCTGAAATCACAAAATACTGTCGAAGCGTTGTGATTTCGAAACAAGAAGAATTGGAAACTTGTACGGGACTGTTGAAGAAGGCGGTGGACGAGCATTATGAGGCTATCAAACGGTTTGGAAGGTTTCCGTATCGCAACAAGACGTTGGGGAGAGAGACGACGAGGGAAGAGCAGGAGTTTCTTGACGCGATGTAGATCCATTCAAGTATTTATGGTGATTGTGATGAGCCTTTCCACTATGATATAGGAACAGCATTACAGGAGATGCGAACGTAACATTGTACGAACGGTGAAGCTCGTGAGATTACTTGTATAGCTGGATTGCTTGACTGAGACGAGGTTCTCAAGGTTGTGACGTTCAAGAGCTTTGCGGAACATGTGCATCATGCCGAGCTCGATTTCGACGCGGTTTCGTGCAGACAATCCTGCTGCTGCTGCATTTGAGAGTCGTACGATAAAGCAAGACGTGTCCGCGGGCAAGAACGCGGTTCCATGCTGATGGCTCTGATATTAATGTTCATGGCAATCGACTTGTGTACGGTAGATGAAGTTGTTGTAGGGAGAAGGGCAGTCTTTTTCGTGCGCGATGGGCTCGGTATCAACGATCTTGCAGAGTCAACAGTTGTCTGATTGGTCTGTGTCGGTCACTTTACCTTGACGGCAAGTGGGTCCTCTAGCAAAGCACGTATGAAGTCGAGACGTTGCTGATAATTGGAGTGATTCATGTCGAGTCACTCCTGAAGTGGTCTGATGTCCGCCATAACTCGTGTCTCGTGGGATTCTTAATCACTCGAACAAGGCGTCATCTAACGCCTGCTTCGCTTGGAATGAGGGATGGTTTGCGCGTGCCGTACTTGTATTCTTGTGTGTGAAAGGACAGCATCGTAATATGAGTGAATATGTTCTTTGCGATTGTCAGGCGTTCAAGCCTTCTTTGTCCTTCTACTGCCCGGCTTCTTCTCTTCGGGCTTTTTNNTGGATTCTGCAGGCTTGACCTTGTCTTCTGCCTTTGCTTCTGCCCGTTTCTTTGCTCCCCTCTTCTCGGCCTCTTGAATCATGTTTTCTGAATATTCCCAGAGCTGTTTCTGTAGCTCTTCATCCTGCATGTCTTTTCTAATGGGAGCGATCTCGCGACACTCCTTGATCAGCCACCCGCCATTTCCTCTACCCCATTGGGCTTCCATGGCGGCGTAGAGAAAGGATTGGGCACCCTGCGAGGGAGACTTGAGGATGGTGTACCAGAGAGGGTATGTGAGCAGGTAGAGGACGAGACCGGTGATGGAGCCCCAGGTCAGGTAGCGGCGCATGCCAGGAGTGCGCGTCTGACCGGGGTCGACGAGGATGACTCTGGCATTCATGGGGTTCTTGTCGGGACGAGCGTAGGCAGAGAGATGTTTCTGGAAGGACTGGGCGAAGGTCATGAGGGCGAGCTTGGACGATGCATAAGCCGAGTAGGGGTCGAATCTCTCTACTCTTTCTTTCTGTCTGATCTTGGCCTCCTTGACGCCAGTGACTGGAAGGGTGCCGCCGATGTAGGCGCTGCAGGTGGCCATGATGATGCGGACGTCGCGGTCTGGCGGCTGGGCGCGGATGGCCGGAGACAAGATGCTGAGGAGGTGGAAGTTTGCGAGGTAGTTCAGGCCCCAGTTGATCTCGACGTCGTCGCCCGTCTTTTGAATCTTTCCGCCCTTGGGGGTCAGGGTGTTTGCGCAGAGGACGATCATGTCGAGGCGTCTCGGAGGGGCATTGTCGACCCATTTGGTGGCAAACTGACGGATCGAGTGGAGCGAGGTGAGATCTACTTGAGCGGCCGTGACGAGTTCGTTGTTTGAGCGGTCGCGCAGTTCTTCAATGTACTCGACGAGGAAAAAGTCGTCCAGGGCGTGTTGGGTGAGCAGGACCAGCTGGGCTCCTCGTGTGGCCAGGTCGCGCGCAACTTCAGCGCCTATACCAGACGTTCCGCCGGTGATCATGACGACCTTGCCGTGCATGGTCCTCTCGGACGTGTTGGTGGCTCCTTGGAACCATCTCCTGATCAGGTACAGCACCAGCACGACAGGCAGGAGTTTGAGTAGCACAGCCGAGTTGGGCACCGTTTCCAGGCCGTCCAGGATTGCCTTTTGGATCAGCGGCACCGGCATCTTGACTTGGATTGTGTCTGAACAAGAAAGGAAGGAGCTCTCGGAGGTTCCTGCTAAGGGGAAGAATGTCGCCGCAATCTAAAGCCCGCAATCTCCGCTTCGCGACTGCCGTCTCTGCGCCGCGTCATTGTCATTGTCGTCGTCGTCGCTCCTTCCTTCTGTCGCACACTCAGCAATGTCCGAGAGCGACGGCGAGTACTACCATGTGCCACTGAAGGAACAGCGGTACTTTGGCGCCGGCATCAAGCGCCAGCGCGTCCATTTCGTCCCTTCCTCTACCTCGGAATCTGCCACTCCCACCGGCACATCCACTCTTTCAACCCTCTCGGCCAGCGAACGCTATCTCCACATCGTCCTGGACAAAGGCACTTCTGAGCCACCGCCGTCTTCCAAATCTTCAGCGCCCAGCACTTGCGACGTCTGCAAAACACAATACCAAGGCGACAAAGCAGCACACTGCAGTTCGCTGGTCCATCAGATCGCCCTCCCGCACTCGCATCCTCCTTCTGCTCTCGACAGAAATCGCAAAGGTCTCAGCATTCTCCAGTCATACGGCTGGAACCCCGACGAGCGTCTCGGTCTTGGTGCCCAAAGAGAAGGCATACTGCACCCCGTCAAGGCAAAAGAGAAGCGCGACACTGTCGGTCTGGGTGTCAATCTGGCCAATGATGAACCCACTTTGAAGAAGAAGAGGAAGACTGTCGATACACCGAAACCCCTTGAGCGACTCGATGCTGGAAAGATCAGGAAACTAGAGCAAAACAACAAGAAGAAGCACGAGCGACTGCAGAGTCTGTTCTACTCCAACGATGAAGTCGACAAGTACCTTGGTGCTGGATGAACTCCAGACGGGAAAGCCGGCCAATAATTCCAATCTCCACTGAACCAACAGGCTTGAAAACCGCACGCACTTGGCACCTTGCTGAATGAACTCGCTTCATTTGCGCCGCTCGTCCACTTGGTATAGGGCACTTGCGGAGCAGACCACTGTTCGGACCTCGCCGACTGTCAGGAAGTTCTCATCATAGGACGTGTCTCGAGCCCGCCACGAGCAGCGATGCCTTCTACCTCTGCATTCATTCATCGTAGTATCTCATGGGAAGCCGCGACTCATCGATCCGTTCTAAACCGACCAGCGAATCACCAACAGTACTCCTCTTTCATATGATCATCGGACGGGCTATCTACTATCGACCCGCATGAACCTCAAATCCCATGACTGCCGACCTCTGACGAATCGGCATTCCTCGACAGCCGAATATTGTCCACCCCACGTCTACTGTAGTTCATGCACGTGAGATAGTACATAGCCCGTCTCCTACTTTGCCGAACACACCGCCCTATTATAGACACCTGACTTCCCATTTCGCACGAGACAAACTAGTACCCAGCAGTCCACACCTATCATGACAGGCTCTACTGCGTACGCAAGCAGGTGATCTGTAGTTCATGCACACTTGGGCTCGGCCCGTCCCCTCTCTTCCACCATCCCAAGCCATGACAGTATACCACTTTGCACCCGCATCGGTCTTCGGTCTCATGACTCTTATAGTGTTGCCATCTTTCACACCACATCCTGGGAGAGCGGGCTCTAGGATGTGCCTCTCTCCATCTTCACCATGAAGAGATATCGAACAGACAGTCTTCGATTTTGAGGGTGTTTCAAAAGTGGCTTCTCGGACTAACGATTGTGCGTGGGCGAGTCACTAAAAGCAGACCCAGACAGGCTATTGCTGAAGTTCCCAGGATACCGTAATTGTTTCTTTTTTTCTTTTCTTCTAGAAGTGTCTTGTTTTTAGCTGGCCACCAATCACTTTTACCCCATGCTCCTTTTTCCTGCTACTTACGGATCGCCACCAACAACATTGTTTTATATCCCGTGCCCCGTGCCTCAACAAACGTGGCAGAGGCTTATGCGTTGAAACCAATACGGCTGCCCGAAAACAAAAATACGCCATCTACTTGTACAGAACGGCCAGCATCTGACCATGCAAAAGAGGAAACAGTGACATACAGATAAGCTAGCCGCCTGTATGCATGTGACAAATAAGTGACGACACCTGCCATTGGTTTCGCTTGACTCTGGTTTCTCTTGTGCCATGGACAGCCCCAATCGTGATCCCTCTGACCCAAAAAGCCTACCTTTTTGAAAAGAGTTCCAGAAAAGCATGATACCAAAGAAACCCTTGGTTTTGTATATCAACAAGTCATCGATGAAAGAATGTTGGATAGAAAGATATCGATAAAAAAACCTAAATATTTGCTGTTTGATAGAGAAACTAAGAATGGGGTAAATCGTAGCCGTGAGGCATCAACAGAGATATTAAACATGCAGAGAATATCTAAGATGAGAAGAAAAAAATCCAACAAAACCAAGAAAAGCCAGAAACACGAGACCCAGCAAAAACACTTTTTCCCTCCAAGTAAAACAAAAACCAATATCCTCCTCCAGGAGACCAAGATAACAAGACAGCGCCTTGCTGGAAAAAGAAGTGACCCCAAAAGAAGAGCCGAAGAAATGTTGAATATCGCTTTGACGCCCAGGGAAGAGAGAGAAGAAATTGTTGAAAGATGTTGAAGAATGAGCGATCGAGAAAAGTCTGCCCGGTGTTGGAACCCTTTACGCCATGCGTGTGAATCAAGCAAGGGTATCTCTGCGCATAGATGAAAGCATGTTAGGAAAAGAAACGATTCCTGTGCGCCTGGTGCATTGTTGAAAGTGTGCTGGTAGTGTGTGTCCTCGCTGGTTTCGGTAGTGGGATGTTATTGTAGAGTATTATGCCGACGTAGTGTAAACTCAATGTGATGTTGTCGAGTGTGATGGCTGATAAATGTTACCAAGAGACCCTCGAGTGCATACAATCAAAGGTTGTAGTGTGGCGATGAGTGTCGAGTCCATCCAGAGATAGATATTCAAGGAAACCATCTCCTCAACGACTCGCCCTCAAAACATCCTCACAATTAGCATCGAACCTCATACTCCAAAGCCTAATCCCTGTCGTCAACTTTTCCGTCCTCTCCAACTCCCTATCCCTGCCAAAAATGGTCTCGACAAATTCCCTTCCAGAGTTGTTGCCCATGTAAAGTTTCTCGCTTCCACGATCGCGCTTGGCAGTCTTGAGCATGTGCTTCTCACAAACTTTCAACAGCTTGTTGAAGCGTTCCCAAAGCCGTTCTCCGCTGTCTAGAAAATCGTCGATGAGTTCGCGGTCATCGCGGCGGCGGACACGTGGTAGAGATTCTTCGGCGCGTTTGATTTTGCCGGCCAATTGGATCAAGGAGAGCCAGAGGTCGCCGGCCATTTCGGTGATTGGGGTGGAGGGGCCGTGGAAGGCGACTGTCCAGTCGTAGATCCATTTGCCGAGACTGTTTGCATCAAAGACGCTACCGAGAAGCAGGATAGGCTCCTCATTGGGATCCCAATTCTTGAAGTTGTAGCCGGCGGGGATACCTGCTGCTTGCGCATCGCGGTCGGTGGCAGTGGCGCGTCTGGGCGGTGGTTGTGCATGTTGTTGTTGACGAGGCTTCGGCGGCGCATCCCTCGGTACTGATTGTCTTGGAGTCGAGTAGGAAGCAGCTCTCTGTTTTCGAGGTTGGGGTTCTGGCCGAGGCTGAGAAGTGGATTGGTAGTGCTGGTAGTAGGGGTGTTCATCAGCCTCGGAGTACTGCGGCGGTGGCGTGTGCTTGCGTGGGTCGCGCGAGTATGCCGGCGGGATTTCATCTTCCGTCACGTAGGCGTAGTAGCGGCCGTCTACGTAGACATAGGTCGTCGATGCGCTCCTTGCGCCGGACTCTGTCTTTCCTTGGCGAGGGTATCGTTCACTCGAACTTACATGTTCAGGCTTGCGCGGGTACCCAGAGTAGCCATGTGCGTCGGGATAGTAGTAAGATGTCGTCTTGGCCGAAGGATAAGAGTAGTCCTGCGTCGCTCGTCGAGTATGCTTGGGCGTGGAGGTCTTTGGTGATGATGTCGTGTAATATCGTGGTGAATAATATCCATAGCCAGGCGGCGGTGGTGTCGTAGAAGACGTGTGGTACTCGTAGCCCATGTTGCAATGAGGCGATCCAGCATAGTGTGATGAATAAGGTGGATACATGTCGAAGTGGAAAAAGGAGAAGAAAAAAGGAAGAAATAAAAGAGATATCAAACTGTCGACCACGGATGATCAATCAATGTCGAATCTTATAGTCGACTGTCGAAGCCAGATGCCTCTTCTGCCGCTGCTTCTGAACTCGAACGTTGCCTTTGTTCTTGTGCACCCAACATTTGGCTTCTTGCAAGATTTGGGAGAGCAGAAAATGGGACGGTTGTTTCCAAGATAGAAGGTCCCTCGGCAGACGCGGATCGTTATTGTCGCGTCGCAAAGGATTGAGATGAGCGGGCAGGGATTGGCTGACGTTGCAAGCACAAAAGCAGGAAATAAGCAACCGGGTTCGATTAAAAAGAAGGACGAGTCTCGTCGATGAGAGAGAAAGATGGCTGGGATGCAGGCCTCACCCAGCACAAAGCACACGAAGATGTTGCGTGCACCGTTCCTCAATCTCGCGAGGAGCGCGAATTTGTTGTGGCTGGAGAAAAATCGTCTGTGCGGGTGCCTCTTCCGTTCGCGACTTCATCAAACTCGATAACCAAAGATATGCCTCTTTGCTTTGCTTTCTCCTGTATTGGACAGTGTGTCTTTTCCTGGATAGATGCAGTCGACGAGTAAGAAAAAGGAGGCTGTGATCGACTTTTGTCTCTTAGCTGCTTGCCGAGCGGGAAATCTCACGCATAAAGATGAGGACAGGGCCCGGCAACGTGCAGCGCAGCCTTTTCAGCCCAAAGAGAGCATCCAGCCAGCGAGAATCTGCCCAACCCTTGCACGCTGCTCCTTTATTACTCCTCCCACCCTAATCATGCATCATGCATCAGCTTAGTCCCATTTCTGCGGCACCCCCGTCATCTTTTTTGATCCTGCCGAATTGATACGTGTGCTGAGCAAAATAGCACCAACCCAATAACAGCTTTCGAGGGCTTCCGGTAGGTCGGGTTTGTGATGAGTGAGGTACCACCCAACTCAAATCACACAAGCGAGTCATCCTTGCCTTCCAATAGATGAGCAGAATCTACTATGCTGCCTGGAACCATTTTCTTCGAACCATTTCGTAGTAGAGACAGAGGACAGGAAAAGCATCAAATGACCCCCACGCGCGGGTAGCCGCAACAAGTTTCGCTGTCTTTGCTGCCCAGAAACAAGCGAAACTGAAGCAGCTCGGAGGTAAAACTCGCGCGTGGCGTGCAGTTGATGAAAGGATATCATGCAGCGGCGCCACAAAGGCAGTTGGCGACAGCCCAATATGGCCGCCAACGCATTTCCTCTCCCGTGCCATGGCCAAAGAAAAATTGCTGCCCTTGGCCTTTGCCAATTAGCATGCCTACTTGTTCCTTGGAAGTCGTTCATGCGCACTCCCCTAACCGAGAAAGATCTGGCCTCCAGCCAAAATTAAATCCTGGTATAATCTTACTGACCTCTCTCCTATTTCCCATTTCTTCTCCGCTTGTCAAAGCACACCCAATCTATGACATGAGGTTGTTTCCCGGGGCGGAAGGGTCAACGGTGCTGTCAAAACGTGCACCAGCCCTCTTGTTTCCGCCTCCAGAGTTTCACCTTTGTTTAGACCTCTCTCGCTGTTGTAATGCGACGAAGTCCAACCACATTTCTCACCTAAATTGCGACCGGAAACTATTTGTTGTTGTTGACCGCTCATCTCTCTTTGCTACGCCGCCAACAACAACTACATCAATCCAACAGGCAAAGAATGCATGCGACTGGTCGTGTCTCAAAGTCGGGCAGCAAGAAGAAGAGCTTTCCTCTCTACTAGAACCGTTGGTTGTGCATACGGTACACAGCGCATGCCTAGCACATCACACCTCACCGGCGCGTGGGGACTGGAGGAAACAAGCGCTCAGAATGCCCGTTCATTGGATGGCCGGTAGGATCGGTTCCGACTTCCCCTGTCCATGCCATTGGGATCCCGCTACTATCGCGTGCCGTGATTGGCGTTATTTGTCCAGGGCTGTATGAGACAAGGGTATGCTCGGCTATCGTATCTCGCTTCCCATCACGAGATATGCGTCCTTGCCCAAAGGAAATTCGAAGGACAGTCTAGATATCAAGTGTTTGTTCGCCAACACTTTCTTTCTACTCACCGCCGCCAACGATGCTTCTCACAAGAGTCGGTGAAGAACAGGTAGGTCAAGCCTCAGCACGAGGTCGTGGGAAAAGGCAAACAAGATCCAAAAATGGCATCGTTGGGTGAAACCCCAGAGATGCAGAAATTGTGAAATATCGTCAATTCCGTCGTACGGTCGTATGCATGTGTCATGGTCTGAGGTTAATGCCGCCTCTTCCAGACCTTTCATAAAAGGGAGAGGGGTCCCGGGCGTTTATTTTGGACAGGCAAGGACGACGCATCGAGTCGCACGGGAGTGAGAACGTCTCTTCTCTTGCTAAGCTTCTTACTGCCCGCGTGCGTGTATGCATGTTGGTCGGAGTCGCGGGACGACAATTGACTGGCGAGTTGGACGTGAACCAGGAAAAAGAGGGGTTGAGCTGCAGCAACGGATCTCCAATGCTTTCTGACCTGGTCTCGTCCAGACGGTCCCGATAGACTGGACACCCAACATTTTCAAGATTGCGCAAACAAACGGCTAAGAAAGCGTGGTATGTTGCAAATTCGAGCAACGCCACTCTCGATAGTACTCTGCTGGCCAGCCTCGTGACGGCCATTGGGGAAGTCACAGGAATTACATGCATGTGGAAAGGATTGACTGAGGCGCGTGGTCAAGTCGCACAAAACCTATCGCTAGTGCAGGGACGGAGCGGACGTGTTGATCTTCCTTGGAGCACGAAAGTTCTGCTCCATGTTGAAACGAGGGACTTTGTGGGGTTTCCTGTCTGCAAGAAACATGACCAGTCGGCGAAATCGAGCAACTGCAGAAAACGGGTAGCAAACGTATCAGATGCAGAATGACATGCATCAGTACTCAGCCTCTTGACTGATGCCTCGATCCTACACGACGGCCATTGGCTTCCGAAGCAAGTGGTTCTGAAACAGGACGCAAGACAGGACGTCCCATCTCGCCCTTGCATACGAATGGGAGACGCCGCTTTTGACATAGCGCTTGTCATGTGGGTAGACTCGTTTGAGCGATTGAAAAGGTAGTAAAATTCCGAACGGGTATACGCATAAGTAGGTCATTTCATCATGAGTCGTCAAAATCTCGTCACAGCTTTGTCCTCCCCTCATCGGTTGTGCGCCGCACTGGCATACGCGGGTTGATCCTTGGAGAATCGCTGGGACCTTGATCGGCCTGGTTCGTGGCAGAGACAAGATTTGGCTGAACAGACTGCAGGCGAGCGTTTGTCAACCAGCCGACCTGTCGCATGAGAGCGCTAAGCTGGGCGCCCTGGTAGGCCAATTCATCCTTGAGGCGCATGTTCTCGTTCAGCAGCATCATGCTGAGCCTGGTGTCAACCTCGTGAATGGTGTTGGCTTGTCGCGAGACTTCTTCGCGCAGGTTCTCGTGCAGAGAGAGCAGATGCTGGGTTGGCGAGGCGTGAGGTTGAAAGTCGGCAATGTCAGGCAGCTCAAAGTCTGCAATGTTGTTTGGGAAATACGACGGCTCTGCACGCGGAGCGGAGGCTTTCTTTCCTTGCTGTGATAAGGTTTTGTAATCCTGCATGTCTTGTTGCAGGCTTTGCAGCTTCTTCTCAAGCAGTTGGCGAGCGTGATCCTGTTCGTCTTGACGCTGTTGCTGCGCGCTAAGATAGGGAGCTAGTTTGGCGAGCGAACACATGATGGCATGACTTGGCAGGTTCTTGCGCTTGGTATTGAAGGGGCACCCAAATTGGCGGGCAGGGCAGGCAGCATTCGTCTCTGGGCAGTGGTGGGCGAGGTGAGTTCGCTGGTAGCGGTAGGGTATCGAAGCGGCGCAGGACGGGCATGGTATATCGTGGTCGGCGCATTCACTCTGCCAGTGCGNACTATGAGGCTACAGTCAGTGTATGCCAATGCAGATGGGCCAAAGTCAACTCACGTCGAGGTCTTGAACCGTCATAGACTGGCGACAGGCGAGGCAAGACACGGGCTGGTGCACACAATGCGCAGCATCCTTTCGCTGTACTTTCTGGTCGCAAGCATGATCCGGACAGTCGATCTTGGTCTGGTAGCAGTAGATGTTGACGTGGTCGAGCAGGTGGCCTCGCTTGATCTGCTTGTCGCATCCCTCTGGCTGGTTGGGACACTTGACGACAAGATCATCCAGGATGTTGAGCAGAAGCTTCGAAGCGGACCCTGAGCCAGTCAATCTTCCAGGACGGCGACAAGCAGGGCAGGTGCCCGAGTACTGGTTCCAGCTGGTCGTGTAGTCGAGGCAGTCACGGCAGAAATGGTGATCGCATTCGGCTACGACCACAGGGTCGACAAAGGCGCTCCGGCAGATCGGACACATGAGGTTGCTGTCGTACGCCGACACATAGTCGAGCGCGCGGAAATCCATTTCTCGTTCCTCCATCTCGAGACCTCACATAGATGTAAATCTGGACTTGATCGAAACAAGAAGGAATCAAAACACTCGGAACAAGGGAAGGTGCCTGCATCGGACTGGACCCCAGCTTTTGGCGCCTCCCGCCCCGCTTTTGACGCTTCCCCGCCGCTGCCGATCCATTCTTTGCCCGTCATCGTCAACCATCAGGGTGTTCCTCTCAACCTTTCAAAGATACATTCTAGATTCACAACCAGATGCCGTGTTGCTTCAGAACTCTGGCAAAGTATCCTCTGAGATACAGCAATAAATTCTGGAGCAATTTGACGCTAAATTGTTGGAACAGACCATGGTCAGGGGTCTTGCGACGGATTTCTTCGAGTCTCTAGAGGAAAATCGGACAAGCCATGCTCAGAGGTGCCACCAGATGCTTTAGCAACCAATCCACATCCAGCAGCTTGTGATTGCGGTCCTTGTTAGCGAACACAGTCACTGAACCGAACACAGTCACTGAACCGAACACAGTCACTGAACAAGTCGTGCACATTGGCCGAACTTCTGTAGAATAAACACATGATTCATTGTCAAATTTAACAGAGGAAGAAGCATTCAAGCTCGTCCCTCAATCTCAGCACACCTCGCCCTAACACTCCTCTCCCAACTTCTGTATTGCTTTCTCCTCTCTCCACTCAACCAGTCTATCAAATCCTGGAACATAGTCCCCAAGCCTGATCTCAATCCCGCACCAGGCCGATCGTTGTCTTCTTCCTCGGCTTCTGCATCCACGTCTTCCATGACTGTATCCATATCCGCATCTTTGTGCACTGGTCGAGGAGCGTGTTTTTCCTTTCTGTGTAGTGGTGTTTTGGCAGGAGGCTTGTTCTTCCTTGGCGTTTGTGCTTGAGGAACGGAAGAGATGGTAGTGGCTTTCACGGTCATGAACCAGGGGAGTTCGAGCCAGCCTTCTGTTTTGCTTGCGTGGAGAAAAGCATCGACGTCGTTTGGTGAGGGCGCATCTGGTCCGAGTGCGGCCATGGCAGAAGAGCGGGCAGTAGCATAGGTTGTGCCGTCTATTACTGTGTTGCGCAGCGTGAAGGTTGTGACTAGAGAGATTGCTGCGATCAGGGCTGGAAGGGATGATGGCGTGATAGATGAGGTGTCTTCGGATATGCCAATCTCGTCTGCATCTGTAGATGCTCGTTTTCGCTTTTTGGCCGACGAGTGAGGGGTTGACTTGTTCGTATCGGGCGTGTTGTCGTTCCAACCTCGTAATTGCAAGATAGCAGACAAAGCTGCGCAGACGTGCGGTGTGGCTTGTGGTACGTCGAGAGCATCGCATACTAATCCAGCTAGAGGTCGTACTTGGTCGGGCAGATTATCGTCCTTCTCTTGCTCTCGTGCTGACTCCTCCTGTCTTTCTTCTTCTGAGTCCTGTATCACAACCTCCTCTTGTGGAGCTTTGACAGCTGATCTCGTCCTCCTCCCAGAAGCTGTGACGCTTCCCACGCTCTTCGCGACGGATGCAGGTGTCTTTGATGGTGTGACGCCTGCACTCTTCACAATCTTCGCAGGAGTCTTGGATGGCGTACCCACCGGCGTACCCAGTGCACTCCTACTCCCTCTCCCACTTCCAGGCGTACCAACCGCCCCTACATCCTTGAGTCTATTTGTCCTCGGTGTGGCAGGCTCTTTCAACGCCGCATCCAGGTATCCATAGAGTTTCTTGTAGATCCTTGGAGCGACGGGTGGCCGGGCAACAATCTTGTCGATATCCAGACGATTCCTCAGTCGCTCGACAGCAATGTGTGCGCAGGCATATGTTCTTCCAATCTCTTCTTCTGCTTTGAGTGACGAGGCTTTGTTCCGTGATTGAGCGAGGAGTGAAGTTGAGAGATCGACCAGCTCTTGTGGTAGGGAATTGAGAATCGGCACGAGTGTGATGAGCGCTTGCTCTATTGGTGTCGGCATGTTGAATGTCTCAAAACCGTTTGGAGACGACGACGTGTGTTTATGTGAACAAGCTCTGGACAATGTCCAAGCCCTCGAGCTCGGAAGACGCGCAGAAAGGGCCAAGGCACGTCACGGTCACGTGTCGTCGTGGTTCTAATAATCTTTCCACATCCGGTCACTTCTACCATGTTCCCAGCCTCTTGAAGACCGTCACAGTGTAGCCATCGAAATGCACAGAACTATTCATGACAGAGCAGGGTCCGCGGAAATATCATCATTCTCAGGCACCTCCATGATCACGTCTGTGGGGTAGAGAGATTGACCGCGAGGGATCGTGACTGTCTTTTGCACACGGTGGGGAAGACAGAGGGACGAAAGTGAGGTTTTGTTATATCTGTCAATCAGACAACGAGAATCATGAATTGAAGCCTCCAACTTTCTGGAATAATCTATACAGCCAATAAAACACAACCGCTTTTTAACGCTTGCCAGCAGCGAGCATCTCCTTTCTTCTCAACTTGTCTGCCGTTCTTTGCAGTGATGTTCTCATGTCTCCCTTCTTGAAGTCCTCGATGTTGTAGTACTTAGGTGCAATGTCCAACAACCACTCGGGACGGACCGAAGTCACTGTGCGAATGTAGTTCTTTGTTGTAAGAACAAACTCGTTGTACAGAACCCATTCGCTGTCAGTGCCCAACACCGTCGAAGGGTGCAACAAGACGGTCTGCTCGTCCTTGACTGTGATGTACTGCTTCTTGCCAGAATCCTGCTTGGCACACTGCATGAAGTAACCACAGACCAGAGCCTTGCGGATGTTCTCGTAGTACTTCTTGTCCTCGAAAGGTGTCGACATGAGCTCGATCTCGTTGCGCTCCATAATTCTCTTGAGTTGCATGCGGACGTTGTCAGCCTGCTGCAGAGCACGGTATGACAGGAAGTGATCGTGGCACCACTGCTTGGGGTTCTCTTGTGCTGCTGGTGACTTGAAGGCGTGGTAGACGTTGAGAATGGTAAGATGGTCACCGTCAGGGTGTGCGAACAAATCCTTCATCTCATCGGCACGCTTACGGGCGCTGTTCGGTCGTACAAACACGTTCGGTACCGAGAGAAGGGCTGTGAGGGAGAGGATTTCGTTGGAGCAGTAGAACTCGGGGGATGAGATGAGCATGACTGCAAGAGCAGGGTCGAGAGGGAACTCGGAAGCCATACGACCAAGCTCTGTCAGCTCACCCTCGTCGTCAAGACAGGCCAGGTAGTTGAGCTCTTCCAAGGCACGCATGAGAGTCTCAGGAGCAGGAGGATCCATAAGATCGAAGTGTACCAAGTCGTCGACACCAAGCTTCTTCAACTCCAAAACTGTTGATGACAAGTTCGAGCGCAACACTTCGGGGTATGATTGGTCAATAAGCTCCTTCTTGAAAGCGGCCTCGGTGTACAGGCGGAAAGCCTTTCCAGGCTTGGTACGTCCAGCACGACCAGCACGCTGCTGGGCTGAAGCCTTGGAGATGGGCGAAACCAATAGAGACTCGACTCTGATTCTAGGGTTGTAGACCTTTTGCTTACTGAATCCAGGATCGATAACGTAGACGATGCCATCGATGGTAAGCGAAGTTTCGGCAATGTTGGTAGAGATGATGATTTTGCGACCAGGGCGACCACCCGCGCGGAAAGGACCAGGGGCAGGGTCGAAGATGCGCTGTTGTTGAGCTGGAGGCAGAGAACCGTACAGAGGGTAGACCTTCAGTGGACCAGCATCTGCTTCTCTGATCATCTCATCCGACTCCAGACTGATCTTTCTGCATGCATCCTCAATCTCCTCCTCACCAGTCAAGAAGAGGAGGATATCACCTTCGGGCTCGGTGGCGTGGATCTGGAGAACGGTGCGGATGGCGGCCTCGACGTAGTCTCTCTCGGGTTCGGCGGTGTAGAAGATCTCGACGGGGTGGGTACGGCCAGGAACGGCAAGAAGAGGGGCATCGTTGAAGTACTTCTGGAACTTCTCGGCATCGAGAGTGGCGGACATGATGATGATCTTCAGGTCGGGTCTGCGCTGGGCGACCTCCTTGAGAAGACCCATGAGGATATCAGTGGCAAGAGTACGCTCGTGGGCCTCGTCGAGAATGATGGTGCTGTAGCGGCTGAGGTTGTGGTCGTTCATGGCTTCGCGCAAAAGCATACCATCTGTCATGTACTTGAGGATGGTGTTTTGCGAAGTCATGTCCTCGAAACGGATGCTATAACCGACTTCCTGGCCGAGTGTGACATCCATCTCTTGAGCGACACGCTGGGCAACCGACATGGCGGCCACACGACGAGGCTGTGTACAGGCGACCATCTTGCCCTGCTGGTGTGGCAGATCATCGTAGAGGACAAATTGGGGGATTTGCGTCGTCTTTCCTGAACCGGTTTCTCCGACGAAGACGAGGATCTGGGTTTGCTGGAACATCTGAAGGAACTCATTTCTACGCGCCTGGTCAGCAAGTGGGACTTATGAGTAGACAAGGCTAGAAACACACCTTTGGGCGTGGACAGGCAGGTTTCTGCGAGTCTTCAGAATACCAAAGTAGCGTTCGGAGAGGTTGTTGCCGTTGAAAGGATTGGAGGGACCATCCTCGGCCTTTGCTGCTTGCTGGGCGGTGGTCGTGTGGCGCTTGAAGTGGGTAAGGCCATCGGTTGCGCTTCCATTTGATCTTCCGTTCGAGTAGCGGTTGTCGTCTCCGTGGTCCATGTGGGCCAGGTAAGGGTTGGAGGCGGGATCGGATTCCATCTTTTGGCGCTTTGCGCGCGACTCGTCGCCGGATCTTCTGTCAGACATCTTGACCTTTGGCGTGTGATATGTGTCCGGTCTTGAGATGCCGCTGAGGATTATTAAGAAGTGGCTGGGGAATGGGCGCGACACGAGCAAGGAAGTGATTGTCGTCGAAAAGTCCAGAAAGACTCTTGAGTTGATCCAGAGAGTCGCCGCTTTGGTCCAAAAAAAGTCCCTGCAACTTCATCATCATCTCGGTCTTGGCGTTTCCGCCCTCCGCTCCGCTCCATTTCCTTTTCTCTGTCCTTTCCGATCACAGAGTCCAGTCAGGCTTTTTGATAGGCCATGAACTCGATTCGCATTCTTCACTCGCATGTCTCTTTGCCGCAGCATTACCAAAATAGAAGTACAAAAGAGTTCGTGGCGCCTCACTCGCAATCGTTGGCAACAGCGCACAGCCACCTGTGCCCCTCCATCCTTCGCGCCTCAGCCTCATATAACTCCATCCCACCTCCATCGTCATCAACCTGTGTTTGACCTCTTTCTAAACACAACATCAACATGGCGAACACAAAATTGCTACTGTTTCTCTGCTTAGTTGCAGTCTTGCTCTTCGCAACCCCTACACATGCATTCGGCGCCGGCAATATTGCATCCATCTCCAAGGTTGAAGGCAAGAATTGGCGCCATGGTGATATCGAAGATATGCTCAAGACGGTCGACTGCCTCAAGAAGCACAAGTGGACCTCGATGATGATCAAGGTAGGCTTTATCTTTGTAGCATTAAAGCTCTTCGTTGGTTGATGGAAATCTGCANNGCGTGTCTACTTTGGAAACTGGCTTCGTGATTACAGTCAAGCTGTCGACGTTGGCACTCTCAAGGGCGTCCCTGCCAGTACCATTCGTATTCTCGTCTGGGTTCTTGCCTTTATGAGCTTTGGCTATGCCACTGCCGAATTCGAAGTCACGGATGAACGTCTTGGCGTCTACCGTCCCGAAGAACACATCGACAACCCAAAGGTTTGCTGGACCAAAATTGATCAGTATATTGCTCGTGATGCTAACATACGTGTTTGTGATTTANNGGATTATGCCGACAACGTTGATGCAAGGCAGTATGACCAACGTCTTCGTGGTCCCGTCCAACAAGAGGAACTCGCAATTGATCTCGATACTGGAATGAAGAACTACATTGCTGATGAGCGTGGAGGCTGGGCTACCTCTTCAGGCTACGTCAGGTACAGTTTGAAGAGAGCCATCCATTTTGGACGCCTGTACACTCACGGCGGCCCCAACAAGGGTAACGAGAAAGACTTGTGCGAGGCACTTCGCTGTCTCGGTCAAGCCCTTCACTGCATGGAGGATTTTGGTGCCCATACGAACTATGTTGAGCTTGCTCTTCGTGAGCTTGGACACAATAATGTCTTCCCTCATGTCGGTGCTAACACTGAGATTAATCTCCGCGGCAAGCGAGTCTTCCCTCTGGTTACTGGAACCTTTGGTGGAGTTGATTTCATGCACTCGGTTCTTGGAGAGGCCACCGATCATGTCACCCAGAGTGAGGTCGATGAGATGCAAAGCGCCCTGAACAACGCATCGGCTGAAGGAAAGCGCTCAGGATCCGGTCCCTCAGGCGAAGTCTCTGGTCTGGTCAGCTTGTTGTCTAAGGTCCCTGGCACAAGTTCTTTATGCCAGGAAGCTGTTCGTTTGCAGTCCGAGTCTGATCAGTACGCTGCCCAGAACGCTGGTGCTGGCGCCCGTGGCTTTGATGATGGTGGCTACAGTCAGGACCGTGCCTGGAACCCGGTTGCCTCTGCCAACAGCACTGCCGACCCCCAGGCAATCGTCGCCAAGATCTACCCCATCCTTGTCTTCCGTGACAATGTTGTTCGTAGCATCAGCAACATCGTCTCCAAGATTCCTGGTCTGGAGAGTCTGATTGAAAAGATTACTGAAAAGGTCACATTGACCGTCATGGGACTGCTTGCACCCTACATCACTCCTCTGATTGCCGCCGCTTCGAACAGTCTCAAGCAGGGTAGCAGTAGTGTTGTCGATGCCAGTGGCAAACATCAGTACGAAGTTTGGACCGACCCTTTCAGTTCTGATCCTACCCACTCTCTGCTCTCCAAGGACCACTTCAGCAACATTCTCAACGAACCGGCTGGCAAGGTCGCTGCCTGCATTCTTCAATATGTTGCACCTCGTGTTATCTACGCTTTTGACCATCCTGATGTGCCTGAGGATGAGGTTCTCAACGATGTCCTTCGCGCCTTCCACCACCCTGCGATCCGCGATCCCCACTGTGAGATCCAAAAGAGCATGTTTGCAGTTGTCGAGAACTGGGCCCGTTCCCGTCCAGGCGGCGGCCACGATCTCGACAGACTCCTCAGCTCCGAAAGTGTAAAAGCTGGACACAACCACACTGGTGGTGCAAATCCTCATCTACACTCGCACGGCGGGCCTGGAGATATGCAAAATGTCTTTGGCATGGGTCACCCTCAACGTGGCATGGACGCCACTGGTACACCTGACCATTCGGCTTACAACCAACCATCACAACCCGGCTGGGGAGCTCCCCCACCTGCTGACTACAACCAGCAGTATCAACAGTCTTATCAGCCTCCTGCTCCTGCAGGCTTCGCCAATAACGACCCATACGCTTATCCTAGCGCTTATCAACAAGGCTATGAGGTTCCCTACAATGGCGGTGCACCTCCTCCTGGACCGCCTCAGCAGTTCGGTGGTCAGTACGAAGCTGGTGCTCCGCCACCTGGACAGTATGGTGGCTATGACCAACAGCAGGGATATGGTCAAGGTGCTCCACCTGGTCAAGGACACCCATCTGGCTACTATCAAGGAGGAGGCTATTGAGGGTTACATTGAAAGCTAGAGACTGGATTGAACGTTGTATTGAACCTTAGTAATGAATATGCATCTATTCTTCCGTTTACTTTTCAGCTTCCGTGGGCAAGACAGTCTACAAAAGCGATAGCGCCGTGATAGACAGAACATCCTATCTGGCTGTCTGAAGTCTTTCTATGAGTCTGGTGAGTTGTGGTTGTTCCTTCTCTCGCATCAACGCACGTGACAGGTGGGGTTAAAGCATCGTACCTGCCCGTTTCGTCTCCTGTCGAACAACACTCTCCAGTTTGAACACGACGACTTTCTGAAGTCGACTCTCCATCGACAAGAATTGGATGGTCCGAACAGGAAGCTTTCTGCACGTTGACTGTGCCGGTCCTGGCATGGACGTTTTGAAGGTTCAAGCGTGCGCATTTCTTTTGTGCGACGCAACCCTCACACCGTCAAGGTCACAATATTGCTCTGCAGCTTCAGTCCTCCATCCGGTGTTCATATGTCTTAGGCCTCCATGCACCAAACGACGACGAGAACTTATTCCCATGACATATGAGCCTGAGACTCCGCATTGACATGTTTTGGCCCCGCGCTAGGTGGGCATCTACTCAAAGAAGTTCGCGATATCGGACATGATCTATACACCTCAGGCTACCTTTCATGTTTCATATCTGAGGCTCCGCGGGATGGTTCCTTCTCCCCGCGCGCCTCAATACCACGTACTGTTTTTCGTCATCTCTGCTTGACACTCGTAACTTCCTCGGAGACTTGCCACGTTCTGACTCTGTAGGTTCTCACGTCAAACTCGTGAATGATCACTGGGCTACAACCGCGATTGTTATGCCTGAAGCTTGAGTCGGAAGCAGCAAGGCACTACAACATAGGCCGTCACGCAGAAGAGTTCTATGCTATCGAACCTCTTGTCGTATACTTGACCACTTGAAGGTATTCTTGATGTCGCCCTATGACTTCGTATCGAGTATAGTCTGCAACTGGTAACGAACAGCTTCCGGTGCTGTTGATTCTCAATGAGAACTTTGTCAAGGTCAGTGTCCTCATTGCAGTTGCTTCGCCGCATTCTCAAACAACACCACGACTCGGTGTTGTCCGACGTCTGTCATTGAACGTCAATGCCTCATGCTATGCCACGCATGTAACCAGGCAACCAGCAACACTCGAAGTCATGGGCGATGCTATTGCTTGCTACTGTCCTTCAAACAGCTTTCGTGCTCGGATTAACCTCGCTCACAATATCCTAGTCTTTGCCATCCATCACATAAATACCACGTCGTCGTTCTCTAAAGTCGTCTCCTCATCCACGATCAACCATTCACCCATCGACAACAACAACAAATCGACCAATATCACAACCCAATATCCTCAACTACTTCCATCGTTTACAACTTCTCTTTCAAACCAAACTCAACTCAACTCGTACGATATCACAGATCACAATCATCATCATCAACTCTTCGCTTACTTGTCCTCCAGATCAACATGAAGTTCGCTCTCGCCCTCTGCGCTGCTGCCGCTCTCACCGTCTCAGCCGTCCCTATCGCCGAAGCAGGTCTTGGCAGTGGACTCGGTGGTGCTCTCAGCGGTATTGGAAATGGCGCCGGAAATGGCGTCTCTGGTATCGGCAACGGAGCAGGCGACGGTGTTTCTGGCATCGGACAGGGTGCAGGCTCTGGAGTTTCGGGTGTTGGCCAAGGAGCTGGATCTGGAGTCTCTGGAGTCGGTCAGGGAGCCGGCTCAGGTGTCTCGAAGCGTGGTATCGGCAGCGGCACCGGCTCAGGCGTGTCCGGTATTGGCCAAGGAGCAGGTTCAGGTGTTTCTGGCGTAGGCCAAGGAACAGGTTCGGGTGTCTCTGGCATTGGCCAGGGAGCAGGCTCAGGTGTTTTTGGCATTGGACAAGGCACCGGCTCGGGCGTCTCTGGCATTGGCCAGGGCACTGGAAACGGTGTTGCAGGCATCGGCGGCGGTCTAGGCGGTGCTCTCAGCAGACGCACCAAGCGCGGTTTGGGCAGCGGTCTTGGAAGCAGCGTCAACGGCATCGGGCAAGGCTCTGGAAACGGCATCGGTGGGATTGGACTGGGAGCCGGCAATGGAGTTTCTGGAACTGGTCAAGGTGCTGGTAATGCCGCTGGCAATATCGGTGGCGGTCTCGGTGCTGGCATCGCGTAGAGTGTTCCTGGCGAACGCTCACTTTTCGTATCTCTTTCGTTTTGTTGTTGTTTCCGCATCTTGTTGCATTGAGTTTTTTCTAGAATACAGTATTCATTGTTGGCCAACACTTGATTCTTCCGATGCGCCGGCTTTTGCAAGACCGCGAACGACTTCGAGTCCAATGCCACGAGCTCCTCCTGTTACTCCAGCGACCAATGGTTGAATGTTGACTGAGCCATGGTCAATCTCATGGTCTGGAGTTGACTTGGTTGGAGTTGTTGAGAGACAGGGAAGAGATCGAGACTGGAGAAGGTGTGCTGAGATACCGGTTGCGATGAACACGCGGGTGAGCCTGGTCTTCTTCCTCACAGCGAGGCGGCCTTGAGAGGGGCGAGGATGACGAAGCAAGTTCAAGCACACTTGTTGTTGTAGTTGGCTAGGGTGTTGCGGTACAAGCGCTGCAGCATACGCACCCTATATATAACTCCGGGGGCTTGTACGGTCAGCATACAAGCACAAGAATTGAGGAAAAAGACCGTCGCGGAGGAAAAACCAAACGTGATATTCATAACCAGAGGAAACTCGCTAAGACGCTCCAAGAAATAATTCAAAAGGGTTGCAAGGATGCAAGAGAATGCAGAAAAGACATGGCTCATTCCAAGCACGTCTTGCCAAACTGCGCAGAACAGCGCGCGCTGTTCAGTGTATTGTCCGTATGACCCATGGCCTTGCCGACTTCATGATCAAAGTCAACACCTGCATCTCCAGCCCTGACTTCACTGGCACCGCCTTCAGCAGGAAAGTAAGGATCAAAGACTTCGGGGTTGACAGAGACGCATTTGAGCACTTTGTCTTGACAGGCATGCATGAGCATCAAGTCGAAAGCTCCGCCTTTGCCGAGGGAAGCGTGAGCGAGAAGGTTGCGAGCGCCTTGGTAGGAGACTGCGTAGGCGAATGTGCAGACGGGGTTGATGGAGTAGTGGACGATGCGTTGGCCATCCTTTATCACATCTTTCAGTCTTGGATTCAAGCCACGATACTTATCCACTGGTGCAGTTGTGTTGTCGGCGAAGGTGATGATTTTGCCTTCATCCTTGAATGGCGGCGGATCACTGCAATGGCCCATCCACATGACATCCCAGTTCTTCCCATACGGCTCCGTGTCCCCCTTTTTCGCCTTTGTCAATTCCCTGACTGCTTTTGCGATTGGCGGTGTTTGTTTGCGAATTTCTACATCCCAGTCCATGTCGTCTTCGAGGATCAAGGCGGAACCCCAGTTGTTCTGGATGACGAACTTGAGGAGGTCGAGGTGGCCGAGCCAGGCCATTGCTGCGCCGTGGGCTTCGACGGGCCCGAATTCTTGAAAGGCTTTGATGAAGGGTTCGCTCCACTTGGGTTGTTGGGGAACGGTTACGCTGATGCCGGCGGCTTTGGCTGCAGCGTGTAGGCCTTCGACTCGCCATTTGGTGCCTTGGGATAGTGCGAGGATTGCTTGGAACTGGGATGCTTGTCAGTGGGACATGTTTCTGGAGTCGCGAGTCGTGGTGGAAGGTCTTACACCTAGTGTCGAGTTTGCGGCCGAATAGTCTGGCACGACAGGGGCGGTGATAGGGGCGGCACCATCCTTGAACTCAGCGACCTCCTCCAGCTTGGTGTTCTGGTAGTTGGTGTCAGGTGAAGAGGACTGAGGACCACGCCATGCATTGATCTCCTCGCGCTTCCATTGTGCGACAAAGAGCAGAACAAGCACCAAAGCGATGATGGATGTGATGACAATACCGCGCGCATTAATTCGTATCATCGTTGTATTCGTCCACGCGACTGGGCGATCTAGCTGTTGCAGAGAGAGAAAGAAGGCGCGACGAGAACAAACACCCACATGTCTGATTTGTTTGCTAACCCGCCATGCGCCATAGCCTTACCGCGGACATCCTTAGCGCTCTGATTATAGGGGGCTCCACTTTCTCAACGCAAGAACAGTTCAGCAAGCGACACAGCAGGATTTCTGCAGAAGCGAAGGAATGGGACAAAGGCTGGGCGTGGAAATAAGACCGAAGGATGCGCCTCAAATTTTGACAGGAACCAATGACGTTGCTTCCCCCATGCCCTGCGCGGACATGATCTGGAAGCACATCAACCTCGCGCTTTAGGAGATCTAGAACACCACGCTGTGTTGTTTATAACAAGGTAGACCAGCACCTTCTTTTCTCTGTCGCGGCAGCACAATCGTTGAACTCAGGTCTGATGTTGGATGAACACACAGAGTTCAGCCACGCGAGCCGCAATGGAAATGAGTTTCTACATCTCTCTTGGCAATGGAAGCAACTCCGATACGTCCTCTTTCCTTGCTCTTAGATGTCAATTTCAGTGATGCTGTATGTGTACACAGATACAGCAAAGACAATCCATAGAAAACCAGATGGCTTCAAAAGTCTCCATACCACCAAAATTACACCTCGGCAACACGACCGAGACCCAGCCCCTCGGGGACGCCTCCCCGAAGGAAGGATTGCAGCCACTATCACCAAGCAGTAGGATTTTTCAACGCTCGACTACATATATAACCTGCCAGTCTTGCTCTATCCATTCATTTGTTGCCTATTCATAAACCCGTCGTTTTCGAAGCACCCAAAGTTCCTCATAACATTCATTGATCACACAAGTATTCCTTGACACACATCACCCAACTGTCCAAACCACCTACGATCAAACATGCCACCCCAGAAGATCCTCATCTCAGGCGCCGGAATAGCAGGCTCGGTGACCGCCTACTTTCTCGGCCGCGCTGGCTTCTCCGTCACCGTGCTCGAACGCAATCCCGCCCTGCGCACCGCAGGCCAAGGAATAGACATGGAAGGACCCGCCATACCGATAATACAGAAGATGGGCGTGGAAGAACTGATCAACGAAAAGACTACAAAAGAAAAAGGCGTTGCGTTTGTGGATGAAAGCAATATATCTTTTGCGACTTTCGATGTTGGTGACAAGGGGACTGATATAGGTAAGAATGGTTCTGGGCGAGTGTGGTTATCATTGGCTGACAAAAAGCATACAGGATTTACTTCTGCCATCGAAATCATGCGAGGCGATCTCTGCAACATCTTCTACACAGCCGCAAATGCATTTCCCAATGTCAAGTTCATATTCAACACCAGCATAACCTCTGTGCAACGAACCTCCTCCTCAATCACCATAACCACTTCTGCAGGCAAACAAGAAACCTACGACATACTCATCGCAGCCGACGGTTTCCGCTCAAAAACCCGCCAACTCATCCTCGAAACCAACGACTCAGAAGCCTTTATCCAATCGCAAAACTGTTGGGTAGCTTACTTTTCCATCCCAAGGAAACCTCAAGATTTTCCAAGGTCGCGTGGGTATAATGCCGTTGGGGGACGGTTCATCATGATAAGGCCAAAAGACGATCAAGTGAGTTCTGGATACTTGGTCGTGAGTAAAGACGAGCCAAGCTTGCGTAAAGTGCAGAGAAAGAGTATGGCAGAGCAAAAAGCAGCTCTGGCGGAACTCTTTGCAGATGCTGGGTGGGAAGCCACAAGGGTGATTGCCGGAATGAAAGACACTGAAGATTTCTATTTGCAGGATGTTGCCAAGATCCAATTGGGTGGAAGAGGGTGGTCGAAGGGACGATGTGCGATGGTGGGCGATGCTGCGTATTGCTCTTTTACAGGAACTGGAACCACGCTTGCGATCCTGGGTGGTTATATGCTTGCTGGAGAAATTTTGCAATCGCCCGATCAGCCAGAGGTTGCGTTCAAGGCTTATGAGGATAAGTTGGCTGGTTATGTCAAGAAGGCGCAGAGTGCTCCGACAGGAGGTCCTCAGTTGTTTGTTCCACAAACGAGGCTTGGGGTTTGGATGATCCGAACTCTGTTCTGGCTTGTTTACTGGAGTGGCATTACTCGTTGGGTTGGCGGGTTCAAGATGCCCAAGTTCGATTTGCCAGAGTATCCTTTTGATCGCAGGTCTGAGTAGATAGCAACCACCCAAAGACTTCCTGTTGTTGATCTCAGGACATAGATGTTTGATTCGTCATATTCCTTGTGTATTTGATGGCGTTCCTGGTTGCGTCGGATGTAGCAGATCTGACCTGACCCCTTTCAAGGTCGAGCAAAGCGTTGATTGTGATGCCTCTTGGCACAGACATTGACTCCTTCAACGACTCGGGAGTCATGCCGCTCTCCAACAGGCCAGCCGCACTTTTGAGACTTTGTGCCGCCAACGCCATTGCCTGTGAGCGAGGTATACCTTCCGCCACGGCAGCATCCGTGATAGCATCAACAGCAATCATTGCAAGAGCATTGCAAGTCGCATGAGTAGCAGTGGCCTCATTCATGAGTTCCTCGGGTAGGTAATGCACACTGCCGATCTGTCTGAAGATCCAGTCGCACATGGTCTTCTGCTCATCTCCAGCATGAGGTGTATCGGCAATCATGCTGACCGAGTCCAAGTTCTGTGCTCCAATGCTTGGAATCACACGGATGATATGGAATTGGCTTGCTCTGTTGCCCTTGTCGTTGAGCACAAAAGCATCCGTGACTTGCTCGCAAGACGTGCCTGCCAGCAGACTGATGACAAGTTTACCCCGCAACGACTTGCACAGCGGCATGTTCTCCGAGATGGCCTTGAGCTCTGCAGGTGGAATACCCAACATGACGACATCAGCTCTGTCGACAGCCTGTGACCAAGCATGGAGATTTGTCGCACTCTGAACGCGGTAGGCTTCGTCGCCGAGAGCCTTTTGAACGCGATCAAAAGATTCTTGGAACCTAACGCAGGCGTATATTTCCATTCTGAAGTCGTCCGAGTTTGCGTGTCCGGGGCGTATACTGGTGAGAAGACCTTTGATGATGGCGGTGCCCATGAAGCCNNTGGTTCAACATCAGGTTCGATCATTCAGCTAGAGGACAACGCGACATGACAAACCGCAACCGAGCACGGCAATGCTGAGTCTTTCTTGAGGATAATTCATCTTATCTTCGAGTCTGCTGAGAGAGTTGTTACGCGACATGGCGGTTGAACAAGACAAAATCACGCGGCGATGTTGAAGATGGAAAGAAACACAGGAGGTTGGCCGCTCAACAGCCCCACTTCGGAGTTGTATCCTACTACATCGTCATTCTTAGATACACCCGTCTCATAAAAATGGTAAGCGCAAGCGCCTGCTATATCGTTATTATAACATGAATCTACATTCGACATCGCCAACTCAATGATCACTCTTCGTGGTGTCAATGTGCTTTCTCTGTTCAATGAAGATTTGTTCTTGTCTTTTCTGGTCGCGTTTGAGGGATCGCGACTTGATGACCCAGTAGCCGACACCGCCAGCAGCGAGAAGAGAGAGTAGGACTGCATTTTGGCGTCTAACATTCTGGTAAGTATGATACGGTAGGAATGACGAGATATCAGCTCACAATGGGCCATTTGAGCCGTGTGGTGAGAATGGGTTTGGCATGTTGATTTGTTTGAGTGTTGAAGGATGATACTACAGTGGTGGACGCAAAGAGGAATGTTGCTTCGCGCTCAGGAAACCGCACAGATATTGTATACAAACATCGATCTGACTGCACATGATCAAGTAAAGACGTCACGACTCGAACTCTCTTGGAGCTCCTCTGTGCCACCCAACTTTAATTCATCATATCGCAATCGTACTTCCTCGACCAGATGCGATCAAAAGTAGCTCGAAGCATCACCATCTTCTGCTCTATACCTATCGTCGCAAAAAGGGGCCATAAATTCCTACCTCCACTTCAAACCCCCACAACACCACAACGTCTTGCTCTAAAAAAGATGAAAAACAGCTCAAAAGATGCGCCATCTCTCGTTATACATTTCTGTCTCTTTAGAAAATTGCAAAAGGTCGCCGCGAACGCTCAGATGTGCAAAAAGATCGACGCCTGTGTGATTCGAACACACGCTCCCGAAGGAAATGCCTTAGCAGGGCATCGCGTTAACCACTCCGCCAAAGCGCCTTTGTTAAGGAGTAAGAATTTTGAGGTCTCGGTCCCATGTCTCGAGGTTGGTTGGACCTCATTTCTGGATGGGAAGGTGCAAAAACGCGGGGTATATGAAGCTCAGCTCAAGAGGAAGGAACGTATGACCAGACAAATTTTATACAAAGGGAAGGAACGATCCACGGTGTCAAGTAGGAAGGTGCGACCCACAAATCTGAAGAGGAAGGAGCGACCAAGGCTGTGACGAACCCATTCAACGAAGTGCGACTGGCGATTTGTTGCCAAATCCTCGCCCCCAATCTTAGGATTAGTCAGATCCTGTTAGATGGAAGGAGCAAAAACGCGGGATATATGTACTCGAGGCCAAAATGACCGACGAAGGCGAGGAGGAAAGAGCAACCGAAGGCTCCACAATACCCAAGAGGAACACGCAAGACTCGATCTTACATAAGAAGGAACGACCAAGGATAGCAGATGTCGCAACGATAGTCCGCGGTAGCGAATCAATTGCTGTTTTGCGAGGAGCACTGAGGTGAGAAATGCAGAGTGGAGGAGAAGTTTTGCTTCTAGTTGAATTTTCTGCATACCCTACCCAACGGCGAAGATTAGCCTTCCGACCACTACATCTCTTTTTAATGCTCTGTCTATAATGCTAAATTCTGAACATGAGCCATGGCATGATTTGTGTCAGATACTGTACCCATCAAGGTCTAGGTTGAATATGCTCGTGGACTTAGACAATTGCCCGCAACACACCACACTCAGTCTGTATCTTGTGGTCTCGAGCATATGCTAAATCGTTCAGTCATGACTCTGAAGTATATTATCTCGGTTTCTCAAAGACATCAGCTTGGTCAAGATACGTGTTCCGGAGCATGTCAAGGTAGGTCTATCGAAGGCCAGCTCTTGAGAAGAGCACCTGCATCTTGAAAGGGCTGATACGGTCCCACAATAAGCCCTTGAGTTCCTTCTGACAAATGTAAGTCTTTCTATGGCATGCGCTATCCATCATAAGACAAGATGAATTGTTTGTGGAACACCAGCTGCGATATGCTAACGTCCGCAATAGCCGATCCCGAGCGAAAGCGGGGTGACTTACTACAAGTCATTATGCAGCAACACACCATATCTCATATCAACAATCTATCTCTGGCCCTCCCTTCTGAATAACAACAGCATCATAATGGTCAAATTCTATCCTTCCCTCTCCCCAGACCTCAGCGAATGGTGCATGTCCCAACCCCTCTTCTACATTGCCTCCGCACCCCGCTACGGAGACCACATCAACATATCCCCAAAAGGGCTACCGTCCACCACCTTTTCTATCCTAGACCCAAACAAAGCGGCCTACATTGATGCCACTGGTTCTGGTGCCGAAACAATTGCTCACCTCTACGAAAATGGGCGTTGTACAATCATGTTTTGTTCCTTCGAAAAGGTGCCTAGAATTNNTTTGAGATTGTTCTGCAAGGGAAGAGTAGTAGAGTTTTGGGATGAAGAGTTCGGAGTTCTGACTAGGCAGATGGGGATGGAAGTGCCGGTGGGTGCGAGGGCGGTGATTGTGTTGGAGATCTTCAAGGTACGAGGTCTCTTTCCTTTGTATGACAGAGCTATCCACTAACTCTCTTCGTCGATGACTAGNGTCCAAACTTCTTGCGGGTATGGAGTACCGCTCCTTTCCGAAACTGAACAAAAAGGCCCCTTGGATCGCGAGACACTCGGACACTGGGCCGGCAAAACAGTCTCCGACAACAAAATGGTCGATTATCGTGCCAAGAACAATGCGTATAGCTTGGATGATCTTCCTGGACTCAAAGCTGGAAGACGAACAAGAGGAGAATGGCTCTGGGTGGGTGATGCAAAAGCTTACCTCACACGGTTATGGAATCAGATGGACGCCATGGTGATTGGGTTCGTTTTGGCTTTTGTGTTTATCGATTTCTTGCACTTGGCTGGCATAAGGATCAACGGAGTGCTGGCGGACTGGAGATGACGAGGTTCACCAACGTCACAAAACCATGCGGCTCCAAAAAGCGCTCTTTGGTGCAGTCTCGTAGACTTTCACATAAGAGCAAGCTTGTTCAGAATTTGTTATGTTTTACCACAGCTTTCTTTGATCGATTCATTGTGCTTCATTTTCCATTATTCAACACTTTCTTTTCACGTATTCTTTGCATCTCACCACACCTCACTGAAAGGTTCACGCAACACCAAACATACTGCTCTCGTTGCCTTTCACTTGCGTGGTCCATCAGTATGTTGGTCTTTTCAAAGGGATATGTCCCGTTCTCATTCTTCTCTTTCCGCTTTACACTCAAACTCTAACAACTATAACCAATGTTGACTCGATACTAGACTAATTACGATTACTATGAACAACATGGACGATTCTGAAGATAACCGTGCGCACTCATCTAGCACTATGGACACTGAGCACGACCAGGCTCAAGTCACCTCTGACCACATTCAGGATGCTGGTAAGGACAAAACTATCGACATAAACCTCACTCCAAACCTGTCCGACAACCCTAGCAGAACCTCCAACGGTCCTGCCAGGCCGAACACGAAAGACACCGAAAGTCTCCACAAGACTCGCACCGCCATCAAGAAGCACAAGAAGCTTTCCCGTGGTATGGCTTCTCTCCTCACTGATATGATGTCTATACACCTCCCCTTCGGCCATTTTCGCTCAATCCTCGCTCACATCATGATGCTAACTCTCAAACAGCAAACAAAATCGCTGCATCACCTTTCCTTCGTCTTCCGTCCAATGTCCGCACAAAGATCTTACTTCAAGCCATGGAGTCTCCCACTACACCCACTGCCTCTAAGCAATCAACCGTCACTGCTTCGCCCGTCAACGACCGTAGCACTGCCGTCAATACGACTACTTCTTTGCTCACCCTCAACAACCAGATTCACACCGAAATTCAAGCATTGATGACGGCAAAGAACAAGGCTAAAGTGCAGAATGCCGCAAAGAAAGAGATGGATGAAGTCAGCAGTATGCTTGAAAGATCTTTGCAGCTGCATGCAGAGATGGGCGGGAACAACACCGAGTTTGAGAGCTTGGTTGCTGAAACTATGGAAAGTTCGAAAGTGTAAACAGGAAATGCCTTTTTGAGGGTCTATGAGAGGAAAATCTCGGATGTCTGGGGATGGTGATGGAGACACGACTCCAACATGAATTCAAAACACGGTCGCTTCTACCATCCGACGTCAAGAATTCCTTATGGAATCCCTTTCTGAAGCCAGCAAGCAGAGGGATGGTACTGAGCCCAACGAATATTTGATATATAGCCATATGATCACTGCTGAATATCTTGCAGGAACATGAGTCCAGTTCCTTGTAAACATCCAACGTACTCGGCTTCAAACTCCTTCGACTTCAAGATTAGTAATTCCACATACAGCTCAGCCTTTCCGATACCATCCAAAGGGCCACCTGGACCATACATCTCCATGACAGTCTTTCGTAAATGTACATGGCCTTTGAAAGCACGTCCAGCAGCCTCGAAGTGAGCAAGGTCGAGGAAATATGCCAGCTGATCAGTCTCAGCGGCATCGTCGTCGTTCAGCTTGGATTGCTCGCAGACATGTGTTGAGAAGGAGAGTACTCCGTTCTTTTCCCGGTGCATATCAAGATGTTCAATCCAGGACTTTGCATGAGGTGCGACCTTCTCGAGCCAGAGACCCAGTTCCTCTTTTGCGACGTTTGGCTGACGCTGTCCTTCCCGGACGAAGCAGATATTGTCGGGGATATTATTTACGTGCACGCGGCCAAGTCGGATACCGTCTGCAATCCGTGGACCTTGCGTGGGTATAGTAAGGATTTTATGATCTGCAACCTTCTTTGCTTTCGAGGCTGTCACATACGGCGATGTAAAAGTGTCGTCCTTGGAGCCGATTCTGTGACGGTAGACACCCCAGTAGCCTTCGTCGTTGCTCGCTCGTAACTTATCGATGAGACTTGTAAGACCCCAACGCATGTCTTGATTGGCCGCAAACATGTATCGCGAAGTAGGAACTTTCATGACTTCACGCCAGACTCCGGCATCCTCAGGAAGAGTGTCCCAGAAGTGCTGCACAGGGCTCGAACCAGCCCATGACTGATATGTCGCAGCATCGAGCCAGTAGGCGACGAAGGTCGTGGTACGTGGCTTCTCTCCTGCCTCGATACCATGGCTTTCGTCAATGAGAAGATCGACTTGCCCTGCTGATGAAGTCAAGAGATTGTGTAGCTCGTCGATCGTTGGTTTGTTGTTGTTGGTCAACGAAGATGCATGTTGAACACCGAAAACACCGTAGACAAAGACATGTTGCTGGTCTTCCCAGTCGGCGAGGAATACCATGGCGTGGATGAAGGATTTCAGTCAGAACAAATCATGGGAGTGGCCATGATACTTGTATGGAAGCAGACCGAAAACCTTGATAAGCTGGCAGTTCGTTTGCATTACGTTATACGCACACGGTCATACCTGACTGAACGGCCAATCCATTGCCCTCGCGAAAATGGAGGGAAGAGTGATGGTTGGAGGCGGCTATGCTGATATTCTCGGTTTCAAAATTCATTAGAATTCGCCACCCGGTCTTTGAAGTCGATTAAAAGTTGTAAAACTTTGTAAAATTTGACGTTCTTTGTGGTTTTGCGTAACAACCAATGGCTTATATTACTATAAAAACAGATATACTTATAAGTAATTATATAAGCTATTAGACTATATAGATCTAGTCAATTATAAGCCTATATGTATTATGCAATTATAGTATTTGTAAACTAGAAATAATATGCATTTTGTCAAAAGATTTGCTATTTATTTATTTTATAAGAAAAAAAAACAATATAAAACTAAAGCTTAAATTTTATTAAGCATAAAATAGCAAATAACTTTGGCTATAATGATCTATTTAAAATACTACTTATATAAAACAGTAGACCTAGCTATATTATATAAGTAGCTAAACTTATAGGCTTATATAATATATAGTTATAAAGTAATAGCTAGTATAATAAAAAAAAATTAATGCTAAAATTTTAGTTAGTAGATCTATGTTTATAAGCTAAATATTATATCTATACTATATATAACTAGATAAGTCTATATATATAAATGGCTTACATCTATGCGCAAACTTGTAGCTAACTAAAATAAGCAGTTATAGTATTATTTAAATGGATCTCTCAAAACGCAATGAATTCTATGTTTATCGACTTTGAAAACCGGGTGGCGAATTCTAATGAATTTTGAAACCGAGAATACCGGGGTAGGTGCTCAATCAAGGGAGATCAGGGCTGCGCAGACAAACTTCATCCAACCCAGCTATCATGTTACCGCATGCGGAAATCTTCCGCACAGCCGGCGCGGCTCAAATCCGCGAGGTCGAAGTATGATAGGGGATCGATATAGACTTGTAATGTAATGATAACCAACCTCTCGACCTCAATATAAAACACGACATCCGCGTCGGCATTGCTATCTCCATCATCAGTCTATCGAATTCAAATCTGTTGATCATGTCCAAATCAACCACTCGTGTCGCTGTCGCCCAGCATGAGCCCGAATGGCTTGATCTGCAGAAATCGGTCCAAAAGACTTGCGATATCATAGAAGAAGCAGCCTCTGGTGGAGCAGAGCTCGTCACCTTCGCCGAGGCATTCATCCCTGGTTATCCGGCTTGGATCTGGTAGTACCCCTGTCTCTTACATATGAACTCGAACTTACACCTTGTGACTAGGACACGTCCCGTGGACCCCATTCTCTCTACACAGTATATACAGAACTCCCTGGCAATTGACTCGGACGAAATGAGAGAGATACAGGAGTGTGCAGCTCGCAACAAGATTGTTGTATCTCTTGGGTTCTCCGAGAATGATAACAACTCTGTCTACATAGCACAAGCACTCATAGACTCCGATGGGAAGATGTTGATGCATCGTCGCAAGCTCAAGGCTACCCACATGGAACGAACGATATTCGGCGATGCATCGGGAGACAGTCTGTCTAATGTCGCAACGACGAGCTTGGGAAAAAGAGTCGGTACCCTTGCCTGTTGGGAACATGCTCAACCACTCTTGAAATACAACACCATTTCTCAACAGGAAGAGATACATTGTTCGGCTTGGCCTCCGATTGTGCCCCATGATGCAGGTCCTGGTCTATGGTCCATGTCCAAAGAAGGTGGGAGATCCACCATGCTGTCCTCCATCATAATCGTGACTGACACAATATATNNAGGTTGTCAGAGTTTGTCCCAGGTTTATGCCATCGAATCGCAGGCATTTGTTCTCCACTCCACGACCGTTATCTCGGAAAAGGGCATCAAACTTATGTCGACTGAAGGCGGGGCTCTTATGAGTAGCCCGGGAGGAGGAGCATCTGCCGTCTTCGGACCTGATGGTAGACTTCTGACTGAACCCTTGGACTCGACGAAAGAAGGACTCATATATGCTGACCTCGATCATACTACGGCCATCTTCGCTAAGAGCTTTCTAGATATCTGTGGTCATTACAGTAGGCCGGACTTGTTGTGGCTTGGTTGTGATACCAGAAAGAAGTTACCCAGGGTTGTTGATTCTAGCAGTTGATATAAATTCATGAAATCTGCTTCTTCTGTGGCCCACAGCATCTCCGGGTCCTCAGAACCGTTGCAATCTGACTATGGAAACGAGGACTCATTTCAAGCAAAGTATCTTGCTCTTTTCGACGTGTCGCAGACCACATGCTTTCACTGAGGCGCCATTCGCACTCACTCGCCACCGTATAAAAGCTACCCTTCTGCAAGACACATCCTCTCCCCTCTTCTACTACGTCAGCAGCACAGATTGAATGGTTCTAGCCACTTCAGATCCTTCCATACCACCAGGAACTGCTCCCCCGTTTCCCTATCTTCAACACAACCGCTAGCTGCCGACTTCGGCAGCATCACCAGCAAACAGAAACCCAGGGAAAAGAAAAGAGCGAGAACTCGCGCCTATCACCACTACAAGCATCTACTTCATACCAGAAGCCAACTCAATACCAAGTTACGCTCCCTGTGTTCAACTACGACCAGAATTCTCTTGACAAAGAACATATCTTCTCAGACCCCATCCTCGCCGACCAAACCCGGTAGAAGATCAGAACGATGCTCAACCGAACAAGAAGGTCAAGCTGTCGCCCGAAGACATTCGAAAACACCCGACCTTCACGAAATACGAGAACTATCTCATAACCGATGCCGATGCAAAGGACGACGGCCTCAACAACCTTGTTCGTCTTTACCGGTGGTTCGGCTGAATACCCGATCTGGAAACGGTGAACTGACTCATCAACGAAGCCAGGCTTATTGACGACAAGCACCGTCTACAATACTCTTTGCAAGTCATATCCCCCGCAGAAGAGCCCTTCCGGGATGACCTTTCCACGAACAGTACTTCTACTCCAAAAGGTATCGTGCATCTTGATAGTACATCTGATTGCTACATGGTACCGTGAGATACTAAGTTGGCACACTTATCCTGTGCAGCCTGCCATAGACCACTGGCGAGGGTTTATTGGAGACTAGCTTGGATCATTCTATCCCCGAGTATCAGTGATTGTCGGGGTATAGCTAAGGCAATGCAGAATCGGTTCCGGGCAAGGAACTGTCCATGGAAGACCCCTTTTGATGCAGTCTTTCCGTGGAGGCTACTCTTCTCTGCGAATCATTATGCATTATGACAGGTGATCTGATTGCTACATGTTATTGTGAGATACACACATGAACCGGCCCCCCAAAAACAAACGCGCTCAGATGTGGGTTATAAAAATGCACAATGCCTACTGGATTTGGAACATGATCACACGGAAATGCAACTGATGGTATACTCTCTGTGGTCTTTACTATTCTCAAGAAGGTACTGTGCATTTCTTACACATGAGAGATTGACACTCATCACTCGTCGATCGTCACAAGTCTAGTCGAAGTCAAGGTCTCAGAAGGTTTCAATCTAACATGATCCCTGGAGATGTCCGACTTGGCCTCCTATGGTCTGGCTGGTAGGCGTAGGGTGCAGAGCACGTCTCGTACCCTCTGTGTGATTGATGATGAAAATGCACAGTCGCGACATGCACAGAAGCCACCTCGATGAGTGCTCACGACTCGGCCATCACACGTACAAAGGATGAGGAGATTGCAGCATGTAAAGCCACAAACAGCACCTGATTGTTTCCAAGCTGATGCTTTGGTACAAACACCTCTCAATGGCATACAAACCATGCTGAATACGATACTTTCTCAGAGACAGCTGAAAATAGAGAGGCTCTCAGGCATGTCGCTCTGATCGTATACTATTGTGACTCTCTGCAGACTGCAATACGAATGGAAGATACGGACTCGCAGATACATGAAAGAAAGTCCCTCGAGGAAATCAGCTGTCCTCCTACTGTGCGTCTCTTCAACTGCATGAGACCAATCTGTGCGACCTAGGAGATAGATTGTCCTCTCGCCGAGAACGTCCATTCACTTCTCTACGACGCTTTCAACCTTTACATCCTACCCCTTTCCTGCATCAACACCGCTTCTGTTCTCTTCCGTCTTATTTCTTCCGCTCGCGTTTCTCTTCGACAACGGTATCCGGATCAATCTGGCTTGTTCTTTCTTGTTTTTTTCCGCACACCAACCCCTCTTGCTTCTCCCTACTTTCTTCCACATGGACGCAAAACGCCACACTCGGTCTTCCATAAAGTCCGTTCTCTGCAACAACTCAATCTTGAGGACGACTACAAAGAATGTTCACTTGCACGGCAGTGAAGTTCCATACTTACCGAGCGCGAGTAACATTTGCCCGGCTTCCGTTGCGAAGGTCCAGACACGCTGAATTTTTGCTCCTCACAAATATGGCTCACTTGGAGACTTCGCTCAGCGTCTCCCCCAGTCACTCTCAATCATACTTCTTTAACACTCCCACTCTCCGACCCTCCAACTCTTGTCCCTTCTGCGACTCATAGCCTCCTCAGGACTAGAACACCTTTGCATCGCCATATGAACTTAATCAACGTTGTCAGGACCCATCATCCGTCGTCCTGACCCTGAAGACATGGGTGAGATGAAGTGGATCCGTTAACACCCCTGCACCGCGCAGCTTCGCATTTTCTCGTACGTGCCGAACGGATATAGGTGCTCGGTGGCATGAAGTTTATTGTTGATCTCAGGCCCATCATCAACTACCGCAAAGAGAGGTGCATCAGAATCCTCAACTCCCTCGGTGAGCAAGGTATTTGCCTATGCAGGTGGGGAAGTTGGCCACCTGATCTAGAAGAACGCTTGCCGGAGCTCGAGGATCTCGTGGATGACATCGAGGCCAGGCATTTTGATCGCTACATGTACTGGCATCCTCGGAATCTCATGGCTGCCCTCAATCAGCGCATCATTTTGCCTACCGACGAGACAAAGTCCGAGATGTGGAAGCTCATGAGGGAGTCCGACCATCAACATCCTTTCAGGATGTTTGATCTGCCTCTCAGCGTCCGCCAACACATCTACAGCTTCGTGCTCTGGGGTGGAAACAACGAGAATCAGGAGATCGCAAAAGGAAGTCCACGTCCGCCTGTTCTACTTCATGCCAATAGCCAACTCCGTACAGAAGCCATCCCTATATTTTATGGCGAGCCATATTTCCGCATCAGGCTGCACACTATCTCCGAGAAGAAGTGGAGTGCTATGGACGCTCGGGCTGTGGACTGTTTCAATGTATGAGAAGCCATTGTTCGTTTATCAATGAGACTGAACACTCACTCGAAGAAGTTCAGAAGTCCGTTGCAGTGTTCGTTGCCGAAGATGAGGCAGAGATAGCAGAAGATCTTGGAGTGGTCAATCCAATCGGCGAGTATCGAAGCGCTAGAACCACTGAGTCTAGAAAACATTCGTAGTAGAACTCTGACGACCTGGTGTTCGCCTTGAAGCAGGGTTTAGTGCTGACTCTATCTTCTAGCAGATGGCTTGGAGGGCGGTCCAGATGTGACCGACAAGATTGGACGAGGGGTTTTCGGCGCCTGGCAAAGTTGAAGCTGCATCTGTTAGTGCTGCGTGATCAGCTGAGAACGACCGAGGGTCCGCCATGGCGATGGTAAGATGTTTGTTTGACAAGAGTGATGGAGTCAGAGGTTGGGAAAATGGACGACTAAGTTGAGGTTCGAAGTTCAGTTGGAACTGGAAGTAGCAAGTTGAGTGCGTGGTCACGCGCACGCCCAACTTCGGAGGAAAGGTCAAGATCCAGGCAGGCACGATCCTGATGGGCAATGGCACAGCCCGGGGCAGCGAACAGACAAAAAACAGAAAAAGAGATTTAGACAGCGATTAGTCCTTTTATAGGTACGGTTACAGGCTGTCCGGTGGAAAGTGTATACTAATTGTGATCACTAATAATAGGGAGGTGGTATCTTGTATTGCGCTGAGCCCGTCGATGGCTTATGAGAGGTCGGGGATGAGCTCCTTCCTCGTTCTTCCATATTCAGCCATGTGTTCCCTCGTGCTTTCACTCGTTGGACTACTACGGTCGTGGTGCAGATGACAAGGGGCTGCGACCGCAAATCGCTCTCCGGCAGGCAAGGACGACAATAAGACCTTGTCTGCATTCACAGTAACCTCTCAAGCCATGGGGCGTGGATTCACTCAGCTGCAACAATACCATCACTTTCACTCACTTCGCTTCACGCTGCACGGACCTCCCCTGCGCCTACACAACAGACCTCTCTTTCCGCGCAACCTTTCTTTGTCTTCCTCCACCTTCAACAATCACCAAAGATCTTGGTCAACAGCAGGCTCCGTCTTCCAAACATCGCAGGCCAACCACCAAGCGGTAAGATCTGACCAGCGATATGATGTTTTGCAACCCTTCAGAACTCGACTGACATGATGAGAGTGTCAGAGACAAAATGGAAAACGAACACGCAGCCAAAAAGATCAAGATAGAGGGAGGGCAGAGATCTGGAAACCAGACCAAAACCATCAAGCAGTTTGACGCAGATGCAGCCAAGGTGAAGACTGAGCGTGAACCCGATGAGTCGACCAAGCCTGCCTTCACCACTGATGCTCCGAACACTCGTCCCAACATGCTGTCTCTGATCAAGTACCAACGCAGCTTGAAGACCAGTCTGGTATGCACATCAAGTACTCGGAGCATCATCCCAATTAACATACTTGGCAGGCTCTACTCGAGGAATGTCCCGAGCTTGGCACATCCGGCAATGGCAGACTCCATGACCACGGTATATCTAAGGACGCTCTTGAAGCTACCATCAAAGGACTTGACGCCGCCGTCGCCGCCGCCGCCGCCGCCGATGAAGATCTGATCTCGTACTTGACCGAGCGCATCCCCAAAGACAGCCAGGAGGTTCCCGACACCCAGAATCCACCAAGCGAAGCGCCAACATCGACTAGAACACAGGACTTGACTCAACAAGAAACCACCAAGGGTCAAGAACTGGGCCAATCTGATGATTGGTACGCAGGCTTGGTGTACAGGACTGAGGAACAGATTGAAGCCGACTACATAGCGAGAAGGATTGAACTTGAGATGAAATGCGGGTTCAGATTCCATGGCGAACACAAACATGGTTCGCGACGATAGGAGATGCCAGACGGAAAGCCATAACATAATTGACGTTGTTTACACTTTAGAAGAGATAGCACAGTGCTAAAAGAAAGATGAATCCGCTTGTCATTACCGCAAGTCATACCAGTATACCCATGATATGTCGATACTCGACACGTCAAACATGAGCTGTTCATACGTCACATAGCTTTGCAGACTGTGGATACCGGCTACACAGTTGCACCTTCCCCAACTTTGATACTCCTTTCCATTCTGCATGCAGAGTTACTTCTGCCGCGTCCGTTCCCCTTTCATACCAGAACATCAACACTCACGAGTGCATCAGAATCCATAGTAACCGACATTTTTCCCAGGACCTCGACTTTTCTGTCTCGACCGCGTCCCTCCAGCACCAAGCCAGTGCCTCAATTGCGCGAATATGTCGTGTTCGCCACCCACGAAGCCCCTGTATTTCGAAGACGAATACTCCATCAGTGACTCGGATGGTTTCCAATCAAGCTCGTCCGATATTGAGATGACCACCGAGGGGTTGGCAGCACTCAAAGCATCGTGAGTATCCGAGTCGGCCGACAAAAACTTGACCGGACTGACAAACGGAGCAGTCAGCAATCTATGCTTCCAAGTCGGCAGGAGATATTGGCCACCGCGAAGGAATGGGGCATGACTACGGAAGAGGTTGACATGGTTCTTGCCAACACTCAAAAGGTATCCAACATGCCGGTCACTTCGCCAGATCAGACCCGAAAGCCACCAAGTACCCGCACCCTCCAACAACCTTTCGATGCTAAGCGCCTGTCTCCAAGAGCGGATGGTCTCAATGCATATATCAACGCCCTCCAACTCCCAGGCTGCAACCATGTATTGGACTTGTTGGTGCGAAAGTACAAGGAGAGTTCTCGACAGCAGATCGAGAGCACTTCATTGGCTGATTGCTCCAGCCATGTTCTCTGGACGACCCACAGTTTGGTCCTCGAGGCCATAGCGGAAGGGAACATCGCACAGAGATACTTTGCGGATGAGGACACGCGTTCGGTCTTGGACTTTCTTGCAAGTGAATCTGCTGCAAGTCGAGTTCGTCCAGGTATTTACTGCAACGCCATCGGGGACAGTACCAACGAAGATTTCCTTTCTGCAAACGAATTGTGTCAGGTTCTGGACATCATGAGCATCTACATTGAAGACCAAGACGACGTGCTAACCAGCAGACTTGACAGTNNCTCATATAACCCTAGCCCTTTGGCCAGCCGGTTGAGATACATTCCTAGCGGAAGGGCCCAAGTCAAGATCTCCAGCTTCGTCAAAGCTGCACGCCAGCGCTGTCTGAGAATGGCTGAAGTTTTGGGCCACGAGACACCCCTTCCTTGCTCGATACTTGAGTTTGGCATGGGCCTCGATATTGAGTGTCGATTGATGGCTCATCGCGATCACGAGGGCTCCAACTACATCATGAATCTTTTCCAATCATGCTGCGAGCACCTTTTCCCAGCAAAGTTCGCCCTGCACCAGTTCGTCGTGCTTCTTTTCCAATCTTCAGATCAGGCCTGTTTCGCCGAGGTGTTTTTCCACCTGCTCGGCCAAGGCTATACTGAAAATGGGGCTGGTTTTTCCCATTGGCCCGCAGGTCTGAGCAGTGTACCCACCTATCGTCAGTCAAGTCTGACTTGGTCCAAGTTCGCGAGTTGGATGCGGAGAAACACACCGTGGCAGCAGAACATACAAGTCTTCAAAGATCGCATGACGATGCTAAGGTTGGACATGCGCGACGAGATTCAGCGTTGGAAGGATTTGGTTGTCGATATCAAGGCAAAATCCGGAGAGATCCAAACCGAGATGGTCCAGAACGACTTTGCAGCGGTGCATGAGTTTCACGAAGGTATGCCAAATCTCGTCGAACAACTGGAGGCTGGCATCAAAGCGATGATGGAAGAGCATGAAGCACGAGGCGCGACATGATTGATTCGACGCAACCAGGAAGTTGGTCGTTTTGACAAACTTGGCACGAAGCAGTATAGTTTTCGTTAACCCTGTTCAGCAACAAAGCATATTTTTCCCGAGAGACAACATTCACGAAGTGACAGAGGCATTGTGGTATGGTAAAACATTGAATTTCTCTCCTGATAGGTGCTATTTTACAGATGTGAAGTGTGAAGCGCCAATCTCCTGAGCGCTCCCTCTAGAACTCGACCGAGGAGCAGGAACGAAGCAGTGGGTCGTTTGCAGAAATTTCGCGCGATTTCTTGAACACGTAGGAGAGGATGGCTTGGATCACCCAGTCTTCAAGAGGCAGACGACGGAGCAAGGCCAAGTATCCAAAGGTAGGATGAGCAATGGCGAGCTCCAAGTCAACGGCCACTGTACGAAGGCGGCTTTTGACCTGGTCGTCCTGGAGAATGGCAAAGTTCTTGCAGATCTGAGGAAATTCACGCATGAGTGACTGAGGATCATTAGCATAACTCGGATGCGGATACGAAATAACATACACGTCTTCTCTTGCAGAAGATTCTGTATTTCATCAGGTTTCAAAAGCTTTCGGCCTTTGGGGTGTCCATGATTTCCGCGATTCCTTGTTCCAGATCGGGGAGTTTCTCGGCCTGCTGCCAGATGTCGATCTGTTGTTGACTAGCTCTGGCCATGTCGTCGAAGGTCTTGGTGTCTTGTTTGAGTTGTTCGTACTTCTCGTGATGAGCTTGTATCTGTGCCATAGTCTGATCAGTTCACGGCTTGAGACCGGGGTATTCGCTGATCTTCACCTTTCTGCGAAGTTCGGCGATGCGAGCGAGGATGGCGGCTCTAGTCGTGGTGACAGAGGACTTGCTGGGCTTGGCCTCGAGGGTCTCGGTCTCGGGGGCTTGGTCTCAGGGGGCTTGGTCTCGGTGGACTTGGGCTCGGTGGACTTGCAAACCGGCTGCTGAGTCCCCTTCTTCTTTGGAGATTGAACAGTCGTGTCGCTGGCTGGACGCTTCTTGCTCATGAGTCTCTGCTTCTTCTGTTCGCTCTCCACCATGAGGGCGGCGCGAGTGGCTTCGTCCATTTTGCCTGTCAAGGCTCATGTCAGTACGAATGAGATGAACCGAGCTTGACCAAGATCTTACCAAAGAACTGCCACCAAGTTGGTGGTTGTTGCTGTGGTTGATGGAAGAAAGGATGCGAGAGACAGAGTGTGTGAGAGAGAGAGAGAGAGACGCGGAGGGAGGAAGGACACTATAGGAGTGCGGGTGGTCTGTGCTCTTCGAGTGAGAGTTTGTCATTTCACTTGTATGAAAGACAAGTCTGGATGTCAATGAAAGCAGCACAATAGGAGCCTTCATGCGGTGGAGCGAGGTTCTCGAAAGCTGTCATTTGCTGCTTTCATTACATCGAAGGCGACCGGCTACGGAACCAAAGCAAGCAATAACATCGAGAATGCTCGGCCTTCTGGCAGATGTCAACCAGCAATTGAGCCATTCTGATCTTGTCTTCGGTGATGTTGATGCTTTGTCTGACCTGTTTGTGCTGCTCATCATGAATCTATGCCAGATTCGCTGTTCAAATGATATTTCTGCCTTTCTTGCCTCCTGCTTTGAAGTTTTTCTCCCCCAGATACTCGATGACTTCATGCACCTAGTTGCTACTGTTTTCCTTCTTGTACTTGCTCTTGTTGTACTCGATTCTCCCCTCGTCCTCGGCAGCAAGTCTGTCAATCTCCTCCATGGATTCGGTAAAAGCGTCAAGATGTGCTGGGTAGTTTGGGTGCACGCTGGAGTGCATGCTCACTCCGCCAACGAGCACACGACGGCCTTCCCAGAATGGGCTGTAGATAGAGGGCTCCTCGCGGGCATCGAACGGGCGGTCGGCGAATCTGGAACGCAACACTTCGACAGCTGGGCTGTCTTCAGAACCGGGAAGCGACATCATCGAACCGGGGAAGCGAGCGACGACTTCGTCCTGGATGGGAGCATCTGCAGGATTTGCAGGCTCTGCTTTGTACTCGCTCAGCATGAAGATTATTTCGAGCCCCTATTCCCACTTGATGAACACGCAAAGCTCTGGAAGAGCTCGTACTCGCCAGAATCTTTATCTGGTCCATAGGGACAGTGGTAGAGCTTCCTCTCGGCCCTAGTTGAGGTAGCGGACCATCCAGCCCAGAGTTCGACTTCACCACGATAGCTGACAAGCTGGCCGATGCGCATACGTGGTTGGTGGTTGCTGCCGCTAACGCACAGAGCAAACTTGTACTCCTGCAAGAAAGGGTAGACGGGAAACTCCAGACGGTGCCCGTCGTCGATGAGGCTGGTTTCCTTGATAATCCAATTGATCAAATCCAGAGTTAGGGTCCAACTGAGTTCGTGTCACAGACGAACGAAGTTGTCGCGATACTTATCATTTGCATCAGAAACTTCCTGCAGTCGGCAAAGGATATCTGCTCGGGCTATACCATCAGCTTTGGAAATGGCGTAATTTGGACCCTCAAGCCCTTCCAGAAGCTCGTTGGCCTCTTTTGTGACCTCGAAAAGAGCCTGCAAGTTTGCAGCATCGAAATGCTTTGGCGGCTCGACCATACTTGAATTTCGGTGCACTAGGTGCGAATGGAACAGCCTCTTTTCCAGTGCATTGGACCCATCACCCTCGGTGTCCATTTTATACTGCTCGCCGATAGACTCAAGATATGCTTGGAACAGGTGTCCGCGGAGAGGGTCGATCTGTGCTTCGGTGAGATTTGACGTTGTCCTTGAGATGTGCCGATCTCATGGGTTGGTCTGATCGATCGAGTGCATCCGCGAAGAATGTGGCCGATGGGTCCGGTTTTACAGCATTGGATGTGGGTCTGTCGTCGATCATTGCTGTCGACATGTCGAGCCACTGGGAGTCGATCCAGTTGCCCTCGTCCTGAGACTCTTCTTCGTCTGACTTGATGGAACAGTCGCTGTCAGCCCATGTCAGCCGCCACCTTAGCAAGAAGTCTTTCCACGGTATATAGGTTGTGAGAAGCCACAGGCGTAACAGCTTATAGGGAGCCATTGCTTATGGCAAGTGGCAGGTCGGAGGATGCCCTACATACTTTCCACACAAATCAGTCTCAGAAATATCGAGGAACAACAACAGAATAACTTACATCGATCAAGGCCTCATGATTCTCTCTTCGGCAGCGGCCACAAGGGTAGGATGAGCTTCAAACTCCCTGAATTCCTTCCTCTGCTTTTGTTTCTTGAGCAGAGCCTCAGTGTGATCCACGCCACACGTGCGTAGGCCCTCGTCAGCATCTACAGCTTTTGATGCGAGTGATGCAGGTTTTTCTGCCTGAGATTTTGATGAATACCTGGGTGGCTGCTAGTGGATGACCTGAATGAAGTGGGACTGTTGCTGGAATGACGGTTCCTTAGCTCCTAAAGGCTGTTGCAGGACCTCTGGAGAAGCGCGGTCATTGCAGTTAGGCTTGCGAATCTAGTTTCACAACCTCTAACTTTCGATCTTCTGGTGGCGTAGGCAGCGGCAGCTTTGTGGGTTGTCTGTCAGACTCGTTATCAGTAAAGCATAGGTCTCTTCGAAGACCGCGGAAGCATACCAAGATTTATCATCAGATCTGATCGTGTTGCTGTCGTCTTGAGTGCTGAGACGATGCTGGGGCTATAGGAAAAACCAGGAAGCTCAGCGAGCTTGACACTGTCATTAGACAAGTCTTGTGATATATGGATATGTGGATAAAGCTGATGTTGGAATGAGTGAAGGAACTTGTGGATGCCGAGAGACAGGCCTATATATCGCAATCTGATTGCTATTAGTCAAAGAAGACAGGTTGGACGGCTCTGGAAACTGCCGTAGCTTGTAAAGCTCTGGCAGTTTGCTCTGCGGAAAGAAGCACTTTTCTCCACGTTGATCCTTTCTTCCATGCTTGTGTATTCCAAAGAAAAGAATAAGGCATGCACACAAAGACGTCAGATGGAATTGGGCGGTTTGGCGTGTTGGAGACCGGTCCCTCTGCTGCGAAACCCGAGCTTGACCAAAAACACGATCTCTTGCATTCGCAGACTATAGTATCAGGCATACGACAAAGCCATGACAGAACTTGCAACAAGCGAACACAAGACATAGGGCGAGAACAAGGAACAAAAAGAGTCACCGTGGGCAGGGATCGAACCTGCGACCTTCCGACCGTCGAGAAAGAGTATTAGGGACTTAGGTAAGCGAATTAGGGGCTTAGGTTACCGGGTCGGATGTGATGACCACTGCACCACCGCGGCTTGTTTTGGTGACAGAGACAGAATAGTTCCAGAATATAAAGGATAGGTGGTCACAGAGGGTGGTGTGAGCAAGTTGATTTGTTGTTCGATCCGATCTTTTCCGCAACACGATTGCTTTCTGCGGAGATGGGATCTGGATGCGATGAGCCTCTCTACACGAGAAATGTCGACAACGAATGCACTTGAGACAGAGTTGTGGATCGGACTAGGGCACTTCAGAGCTTTGCGATGATTGATCGTGTATCAGACTGCCATTTGTGATACCTTCCAAACCGAGCGCAAGGGAGGCAAAGCGCGTTTGTGAAGGCGATGTATCGGAAACTTTCCCGTATCAGTCGAGCATGGCGATGCCCAATAGGAAGTGACTTCCTCGAGGTCAGAGTGATGAAAAAGGCCGTTCACAATCTGTTCAGAGCGGAGCAAATAACATGGATACTGATGAAGACAGTATTCGGGGCCATGGCCTTGACTGAGCCCCCGGCATCAAGGTGGTCGGTCACGATACTTATGACTCTGATTGGTCTTGTTGTGATATGGGCGAACGACATGATGTTCAAAAGGTACCGATGCCTGGCTCGTGCTCCCTGCTGAGTAGACCCGACGCCAGAGTGCTTGCAAACTGGTAGCACTACCCGGCACCAGAGTGTGGAAAAATACAGGGATGTGAGGTCGAGTGTATGGCAGGCTCATGTAGCGGCCGAGACGAAGACCTGGATGGTACTGGCATAGCGAATCCTGGATTCGGGAATGTCTTCCTCTTGATCTTCCATGTTGTGGTGCTCGCCTTCTGGGGTGTCTTCAGGAGGGACAATGTCGTCAATGGCGCCAACAGTACCAGTCTCGATGCGAACACTGTACTCGATTCTCTGTTGAAACCACAGAGCCAGACTCAAGGCCTTTGCGATGGCCTTTCCTGTTGCCTTGAGGACTATCTCGTCTTGATCGTGTTTCCGGGCAGCCATGGTGGCAGCTACGCGCTCGATGTCGGTGATGTCGTCGTTGGTGTGCGAGTATTTGGGTCGGTTGGAGACTTGATCGGCGGCTGATTGGGCGAGGCGCTTCTCGGCTTGGGCCAATAGTTTCTGCACACGCTTGACGGCCGACATGAAGGGTGTTTTGGTAGAGACATAGACAATCTTGGCCACGTCGGCGCTGGCGTACTGTGACGTGATTGGAGGGCGTAGCAGTGGTCGCTTTTCGACTTTGTATTCTGCGCAGTGTGAGCTGAGCCAAGGGTGGTCGAGTGAATATAGCTGCAGACTGACCTTNNTAGGCAGTCGCGCCATCTTGCGAGGCCTCTTGGAGGAACTCTGTTCCTGGGTCATGATGTGCCAGAGTCGTGGAGAACATCAAGGTTGTTGTCGAAGACTCAAAAGAAGCTCTCCGCGTTCGAGCCACAGCCACACGCTTGAGCCACAACGTGACGCCACTGACCACCGAGCCTTCTTCTTTCGCCAAAACACCTTCTATGCCCAACGTCGACCATCCAATTGAACATGTTAATACGCCATCTCAGATTGAAGGGCATCGTGCCATACGCCAAAGCCGATTTCCTGCAGCAGGATCTGGTCAAGAAGTTTTTGGCCCACAAGGCGTCTCCTACAACGACACCTGCCCCAGTTCCGACCATCATCACCGCTCAGTTTTCTCCTGTCTATACATGCGGTCGGCGCGAAGTTGGCACTGTCTCAGAAGAACAGCAGACCTTTTTGAAGGACAATGGCAATGCAGACTTTCACGAGGCCCTCCGCGGTGGCCAAACCACTTTCCATGGTCCTGGCCAGCTTGTTGCATATCCTATCATCGATCTCAAAAGACACAATCTGTCGCCAAGAGATTATGTGTGTCTATTGGAAAAGACTCTCATCAAGACTTGCGCCCGCTACGGTATCAAAGCCATGACTACCGAGAATCCTGGAGTTTGGACCACCCCAGACGACAAGATATCCGCCCTGGGTGTCCACTTGCGCAGAAACATCACTAGCCACGGCATAGGTCTCAACATCAATACTGACCTCAAATGGTTCAGTCGTATCGTTGCTTGCGGTCTTGAAGGCAAGCGGACCACGAGCTTTGACAATGAAGGTGTTAACGATCAATCTGTTGACGAGGTTGCCGACACTTTTGTACATCAGCTTGCCGAGTCACTTCAAGATATCGATGGTGTTCAAGAAGAGATCATCATGTAGACGACAAGAGTAGCTGTCTATCCATCCCCACAGTGGAGTGTGTCGCAGAGCTGCAATTATGCTTTGGTACCGTCAAAGCATACTACCTATAACAAACTCATGTGAACTCAATCAGAGCTTCTCTACTTTATAAAGCTCAACACAAACTTCATCATCTTTTTCCCGACCGCAAACCACAACTCTCCGACTCCGACTTCCCGTTCGGTTCTCAGACCAGGTCTGTCTTGTCAGCAATCGCCGTCACATACACGTGTGTCTTCACATTTACAAGCTCCGTGCCGGTACTATGGCCCTTGCCTCTCTCAAGCGACAGTTGTCGCGAGTTCTTGCCCGCGATACACCAACAGATGGAACCGACAGCTGTGATGCGCCAGAACTGCCAAGCGATGCACAAGTAGACGAACAGTGTCAACGACCTAGCCCTAAGACATCGATATACAAGCATTCTCCAGCTCCCTCCGGAACTATACTGCACAACTTGAACCACGCGCCAACAGAGGTGTCGTCCGAGTATCCTTCAGACGCCATGGTACATGTCATGACAGTAGGTGACAGTATCATCACTATCGAGACACAACAGCGAGATGCCGAACAAGGCGAGCAACCAGCAGTAAAGCGAAGGAAGAAGAGACTCGGCCTTCGTAGGGTCAAGACGGAACCCGCCTCGCAGAGTACTTCGCTTCATGGCTCTATCACCACCATAGAGTCCGTCCCAAATGGCAGTCGTTCTCGAGCTTGGTCATACCCACTGGTCGACTGGAAGAATCTCAGCTTAGTCCGTCGAATGCGCCGAAGTGTTGACCTCATGGAAGCTCGCAAAGAGGCTCGTAAGGGCAAAGCTTCTTGTGAGTTGCTTCCTGATGCTCAGCCTCCGACTGGCGATGATGAACGCACACCTACACATCTACCTCCACTTATGTCGGGTGCTATTCAAGGATCACCATCGCACATCAACCGTCTATCAAACGGGCTTGACGTCTCGTCACGGATATCGGCCGACCTGGGCATTGGAACCACCACTTCAGTACAAGACAAGGGGCCTCCAAAGAACTGTTTCGCCAACTCCAACAGGTCCGGCGAAGATAGAGTGAAGCGCAAAGACTCACATTTCCACGAGGTCATGCAGGGAACCGAAAAAGCTGCAGCGGACATGGAGGCGAACACCAGAGAATTTGAAACTGACGAGCGACCACAAAAGAACTTGGTCTTCCTGCTACATCCCATAGATTGGATCCGACAATACCACGCCTCTGTCTTCTCACTTTCTTCATCAGACTCTTCGTCCGACTCTGACTCAGACCCACCGTCTCCGACAACTCGTTCAGCTCGTCCAGCTCGTCGAGCACAGGAACCATACCCAGTTCAAATACAAGCTACTCGCCGCAGAGGGTCTGAAGCTCTCACCCGTGACGAGCTATACATGAGACCTCGGATTCATCTACCTCCTGGTATGGATATACCTGCTGTAGGCCAAGCAGGTCCTGTCGACTGGCTACACCGCGGATGGGAAGAACACTATCGTCAGTCAGCTGAGTCTTCGCGTCGAACCTGCCACCCTCTGGCCGCTGCACGCTTTCTCCCTACCAGAGGTGAGGAAATGCAACGGTACGTTCCCGTGTCTCAATGTCATAGCGGGCGAGACTGCACAGCAACTCAAACAATGCACTCGAGACCAAATACGACAGGAGTACATACCCAGATTTTCGACTTTGCGGTCAACGGCAAGGGAAAGGGGATAATGTATGTGCAAGATGTTGTGGCCCCGGATGGAAGAGCGAGACGCGAGAGTATGAACGTTAATCTTGCAGAGTACAAGAGACAAAAGCGTATAGAGGATGGGGCATGCGTGACCACTCTCACACTCGGCGAGTGCAACTTTGCGAAAGAGTTGGGACAGATCGCTTCGCAGGACAGTATATCGAATTGAGTAGGAGTGATCGGAGAGTAGATATGATTGAATCTACTTTCAGTGGTGGGCACTGTGCGACAGACCTGTCTCTCTGTCTCCTATAGCGGTATGTGAGCTACAGTATGCTATGAAATTCCACGGTGGACTATCGATTTGAAGTACGACCATGGGATGACATATGAATGCCTTCTCTCTCTGGACGCTGATGTTTTACGAATGAACATCGTGCAGTTTTATAGCTATACCAGGAGTGTCAGGGTGGTACAGACAGCATGATCGGCGCAAAAGGATGCCAAGACGTTGGACCTCGGCCTGTGGAGCCTCCCCAGACTCGACCCTCTCGCGTCACCAACAGCATGTGAAGGCAGACATGAAGTTGCACAACCAGACAACGGCCTTTGAGAGGTCATATTGGAGAGCGGGTGACCTCAAGGTAGGATGAAGGAAAGAACACAGCCAACATGGAGTTCATGACCAATCTGCAAAACGGGCTCGACGAGCAGAAACCCTCCCTCTTCGGTAAGTCACTCTGCCTGTCGCAATTACCACCAACTGTCGCAAAGCTGACCTTCCAATACNNAGAACTACTCTCCGAACAACAACTGGGTGCTTTGATCCCGCCTTCCCTTCGATACCTCCTCGCCATTGCCACCCACCGCTACCCTCGCTACCTCCTCCGCATCCTCAACTCCTTCGACGAACTCTACGCTTTCCTCTCCCTACTGGTCGAACGTCACTACCTACGCACTTATGGAGGTGGCTTCACAGAGAACTTCTACGGACTCAANAGAGAAAGAGTGCTGCGCACGAAAGGCCATGAGATCCCTCGCGCCGCTCTTGGAGCCCCCGAACAGGTCCGCGAAACTCTGAGACTGCGAAACGCAGACGTGTGGAAGAACCTTGCTGTCATGGTGGCATTGCCATATACCAAGAGGAAGCTGGATGAGCACTACGATATCCATGCTGCCTCTGCGAATATCCTGGGTCCTGCCTTCAGAGGAGACGCCCTGCCAGATAATGCAACCTACAAGCAACGCATCTTCCACTACTACAAGTGCTTCTTGAGGAAACTGTACCCAAGCGTCAATGCTGCCTACTATTTCGCTTTGCTGGCATTCAACCTTGCTTACCTCTTCGACACTTCGAAATATCACAACCCCTTCTTCTGGCTCATTGGCACGAGGATACGACGCATGAACCAAGCAGACTATAAAGCCATTGCTGAGGCTGCTGCTCCTGTGGCTCCTTCTCCTGGTGCAACACCATCCGTCTCGCAATCACTGTTCAGTCCCAGGACATTGACGCACACGGTTTACCCGCGGCTATTATCGAGTCTGAAGATCCTCCTCCCGACCTCAATCTTTGCACTCAAATTCCTGGAGTGGTGGCATGCGTCAGACTTCGCAAGGCAATTATCCCGCAAAGCTGCTGAAGGACTCGAATTACCTGCTCCCACCATCTCTGGAATACCAAAGACACCCACTCCGCCCAACAAATCCGGAGTCACATTCGCAACAACACCCTATGAGAAGGTCCAAGCCAAAGAAGAACAAGACGAGAAAGAAAAATCAAAACCGCCAATTTCCGCCTCGACAAATCTTCCCATCTTCACTGTCGCCCCTTCAACAAATTCGGCTTGTCCCATCTGTCTCTCTGCCATTCAAACGCCCACAGCAGCACAAACAGGCTACGTCTTCTGCTACACATGCATCTTTCGCTGGCTAGAGGGCGAGCACCCACGCCAAATAGCATTCATGCAAGGAGGGGACTCGGCAGAGGGTTGGAAAGAAGAGACAGGAGGCAATAGAGAAGGAAGCTGGGAAGATGGGAGGGGTAGGTGTGCGGTCAGTGGACGCAGACTTTTAGGAGGCAGTGGTGGGTTGAGAAGGGTGATGGTATGAAAAAAGAAATATCATGTTCTCATATCTCCATACCTTGTTGTTTCCTTTAGAGATACATGTGGTCAGTCCCCGTCTTTGGTCGTAAGAGTTCAAGGAAGTCATCAATCTTTGTCCATGTGTGCTGAGCATGTCGTAATGAATATATAGAAACGTATGATAACTTCAAGGTCCGGGTAATGTCCAGAGAAAAAGGCATCGTGAGTCCATCTCTATGGGTTTCGCGTAAAGGGTCAATAGGCAAACCGTGTATTCTACCCAGCACCTCACAACACCATGTTTTTCAATGCAGAACCAGCATCGACGACAATTCTGTAGTTAATTCATGGGTACAGGTGACAAAGTTTCCTTGAGGTCGAGATTATCTATATATAAACAGTCTGAATGATCTTCGAGTCCTTCTGATTCCAAGGCAGAAAGACAAGTCTACTTGCCCTTTATTGATTATAAAACTCGTCCGGGTCAATCAGGGAGTTTCTCTCTCGATCTCATCTTGTTCGCTTTCCGTCCTCGTTTTTTTGTTCTAAGTAACTTTGTCTCTGTGATTGACCTCGTGCTCGTCTGCTCCGCTCTTGTCTTTGTTCTGACCCCCTATGTCTTCGGGGAATCGGGTTTATCTCTGCCTTGATCGCAGTCATGGTAGCTTTCTTGACCTTATCATACAACTTCTTCTCTTCGTCATGGTTATCAGAGCGAGGTATCAAGCGCTGGACTCTTGATGGACTTGGACTGTAAATTCGCAAGACAATCTTCTGTTGCGGATAGGAGTCAAGCTGATCTGTCTGGATTGTTGAGCATTAGTACTCGTCCGAGTCTTCTTCGTATCCGTGGTCTTGGTGATTCTCGTAGTCTTCGTAGTCTTGGTCGTCATCGTAGCCTTGGTCGTCATCGTAGTCTTGGTCGTCATCGTAGTATTGGTCGTCATCGTCTTCATCACTGATCTCAATGACTTCCTTGGACTTGGAGGCGCTGCTGCCTTTCTTCGAAGCTGCACCGTTCAGCTTGGACTTTGCGCACAGAGTCTGGAGGAGCTTTGCGTAAGGGTTGCGCGCAGAGGCCTCATCCTTGCACTTGAAAGGCCATGCGCTCCAGCCTGGGTGAACTTGGTGTTGCTGATTGCCGTGATCGTGGTCAAAGTCCACCACGAGTCCAGGGAATCTTGCGAAAACTTTCATCACAGCCCTGATGTACGTGGACTGCTGAATCTGGCTCTTCTTCGCGTTGGACAGGTCGTCGTCGGTCTCTGGGTCCATGGCGATCATGTCGGCGTTGGGTGTTCTGGCAAAGTTCAAGAAGATATCGATGTTCATGCCGGTGTCGGTTGAGGGACGTGAAAGTATGCCACCCATGTTGAGGCCTGGTACTTGGTTACAGACTAGAGATTGTTGACGAGAAAGATCTCTGGCAATAGAGGTATTCGAGGTGGCTTAACCGTTGAACGAAGGCTGGTCAGTCATTGGAGATTGGTCCTTGGAAGTACTGTTGACTTACCTTCGAAGTCGAGTCGAACGGAGTTCGAGGCGAGGGTCGACTATGCCAGGAGATCGAACAATTGACCAAGATCTTCAGCTTCTAAATCTTGGAGAGGTCTGATCAAGATCTTAAAGTTTTCGACCTTCAAGAGATCTGGCCCAGAAGGTGTGACTGTAGGCAGGTGGATGGTCAAAGATGCGTTGTGGAAGAAAAGCTGTGGAAGAGAGGTGGTGAGAAAGAGGGGTGGCTTGGAAGAAAGCGTATAAACACTGCAAGCCGCAGAGAGCTTCATTGGAAGGAGTCCATGAATGGCTAACCGAAAGGGGCAAAGGCGGGCTCGCCTACCAGAGTCTTGGAACCACCAGCATAAGGCATGGTGCCTTTTGGAAAACATGCGGTCAAATCTGAGGCTGCACAACCATCACGGTAGGGGCACTCTCGTGATCTCACAATCAATGTCTCTCCCGCCAGAGTCGGTGTTCTATAAGAATGTGCGGTTGTCAGTCTGATCGAAAGGGTGGCTATAGAGACAGCCTTGAGGCAACATCTTCTTTCCTTGGACATCGTCTCGTATTGAAAAGTATTCTGCATCCCCATAGCTACGTTGTAGAGAGTCTTGAGGCCACGGGAAGGAAATGACCTAGAGTAGCATAAGATGATGACCTTCTTGTATTCTTTCCTATCAACATACAGTCACTATATACTACAGGAATCTCGAGCTATATGCTAAACCGCACGGATGACTGTAGATTTGTCCCTTTCGACGTTACCCTTCTCTAGCAAGTATCGTGCAATGTTATAGTCATACCATAACCATATATGGTACACAGAGAGGTTCTCGAGAAGCATTCCTACATCTCATCAGCCCTTCCGTATTGTTGTGTACTCTACAGTATACTAGAGAAATACACAACTCTTTGCTAGCTTAGACCATAATGATCGAGATAGCCTGGTGATGATACCTTTCTCTGGGCGTCACTGCATTTGAGAGATTATCGAGCATTCCTACAGCTATGCTATGACTGTCCTTGGTATACGAGAGAAGCTATAAAATGTGTCTGTACCGATCATCATGAAACCCCTCTTCCTTCTCATCTCCAATGGCGATACCAAGAGATATAGTATATTATACAAATCCAGAATAATTCGCTGAATCAGACGGTGACTATGGAGATGAACTCAAAAAAGATGTCTATTTGGACATCATTGAGGTGCGAAAAGCATCGCGCGTTTCTATAGCTATACTACAACTGTATCTAGCAAACGGAGAGATTTTATCAAGGTACTTGTACCGTCTGCCAAAGACTTTTGCGATGGTTCCCCTTTCTCGTATCTCCTAGGGCGATATCTAGAATCATAGTATATCATAGAATCGCTTAGTGATTTACAACATCAGACTGTCAACCATAGAAATAGCCCCCTAATAACACTTTTCTTGGGACATCACTTTATACCCAAGAAACACTGTGCATTTCTACAACTATATCGCAACAACATTTAGTACATAGAGAGATTTGTAGTGGTGCATCTTCTGAACGACCTAATGATCCCCTTAGATGGACCTTGCGTCTATCCCCCGGGATAATGTCTAGGGCCATAATAGGCAACAGCAATGCAAGATGATTTGCGAAATCGGATTGTGAACATGGAGATAGCACAGAAACAATAGTTTCTCTGTGGACATCACTTGGATGAGGAAGATTACTGTGCATTTTTATAGCTCCACTACCACCATGAAGGGGAATAGAGAGAGCAGCGGCAAGGCCAAAGCTCCAAACGCAAGACAGGGGTTGACAACATCTTCATCACAGCAAACCACAACTTTTCCAAGGGGTTTTTTTTTCCTTAAAGTGGTGGTTGCTGTACACATCGCTATCATGACATGCAGAAGGAAAAGAAGCATTGGTTTCACAAAGGAGAAAAGACAAAGGTATCTTGAAAAAAAGGGAAGAAACACTCGGTCGCTAAGGGAAACTGATCGAGGACGCCATGCACAAAAAAACAACCCATCCAATCATCAACATAAGCAGCATTTAGATAGCCTCGAGTAGCTTAGTCCTCGTCGAAGATCTGGAACGTGTTGGTCAAGATCGTGTCCAAAACCCTTGCCTGCAGACTTGCGTCGGCAATCTGAGGACCAGTATGCGAGCCCATCAATGACGGCGCGAAACAGATGGCTAGGTTTGAAGTGGACATGCGGTTCTTGGCGTAATGCTCCTGGACACGGTTGAGGTGGAGGACCAAAGCGCGGAGAGTAGCATAATTGGGATCGGGAAGCTCATTGATGACGGAATGAACGGCGTCACGACGTGTGGTGGCATCCTCGATGCGGGCGGCATCTATGAAGTTGTTGTACGAGCGGCGTGTCAAGAGTGGATCGGGAAGCTCGCGGAAGAATTGTTTGAGGAGGCCGGCCACACTGTTGACATCATGGTAGAAGGAAGCTGGGTTGCGGAAGTCGACGGTTTGCGAGTCTGCAATCTCGTTAGAAGTCGAACCAACGCCGAGATCAGGGGCTAACATACCGTGGTCAAAGAGAGCCTTGATCTGTTGGACATGGCTGGCTGTACCACTGAGACGGTAAATGCCCTCAACGTCGAGACCAAAGAGATCGACAGCCTGCATGCATTGGTAGACAATCATGGGAACGGCAGTCTGATCTCTGTTGTAAAGGTCGTCCAGGGTAACACCAAAGACAGGCTTCAGAGGGGGTGGGAGAGCAGTCGCAACAGGACCAGGTGATATGGCCCGAGGCTGAGAAGAGAAGCTCTGCTGAGCTCCCATGGCGCCTGGTGTCGCAGGAGAGTAGGGAATGCTGGCGCCCTGGGTCGAGGTGGAGAGACCGCGGGAGGGTCCTGGGCTGGTGGGATAGGGGGCAGTGTTGTATTGCTGAGGCGGGTCAGTGGGGTAAGGAGGACTTGCAGGGTTGCCGTAAGAAGGCTGGGTCGGATATTCTGATGTGGGGGGAAGGACTGGGCCTGGTGATGTGGAATAGGTGGACTGCTGCGTTGGGACGTTTGTAAGCGGTGTTTCAGGTAGCGCTGGGCCTGGCAGCGTCGACGAAGGCTGTCGGCTGGCTGTGGTGGGAGTCTGCTGCTTTGGTCGTAGAGTGTAGTGTTGTTCGTACTTGATGTCGGAGATTCTGTTGGGAACCTTGGAGACGTGACCAGAGAGGTAGTTGTCGAAATCGGCCTTGTTGTCGATTTGGAGAACAATGTCGCGCAGACTGTGTTGAACGGGCGCCGAGGGGTCGGTGGGAGGCAGCGGGCTCACAGCAATGCCATTGCCTAGGAGAAGCTTCTCGTTGAACGAGGCAAACTTCTGGAGCTGCAGAGCGAGTCCTGAATCGCACTCGTTGATCAATTCCTGCAGCGCCTTGACAGCCTGGGGCCGCGAAGTCTTGATGAGTTCCTCCCTCTGCGATTTTGCTGCCTGAACCTTGGCCTGGTAATCCGAGTCTGCGACCTGAAGCTTGCGAAGGAGGTCTTCCTCGTGCTGGGGAGCACTCTTCATGCCCTTGAGACCGATTCGTCGCGAACTCTTTGCGTCGCCAGTACGGGCGCGATCGTAGTCTTCTGCCAGGCCGTCGTATTTTGACTTTGCCTTTTCCATGGCAGCCTCGGCGTCAGTGGCGCGCTTCTCAGCATTCAAGCCTTCGTGCTTCCAGTGTTTCCTCCCTTTTTCCATGTTGAGTGATAGTTCGTTCAGGTCCTCGTGCATCTGGTGCAGAGCCAGAGAGAACTGCATTCCATTGTCGGCGATTCGATCGTGAAGGCGCATAGCCTCTTCAATGTGGGTGACATATGAACCCTGGCGAGACTCCTTGGAGTGGACGTTGTCGGTGGTTTGCTTGACCAGGCGTCGCAGTCCTTTGGCATGGTCCTCCTCTACAGCTCCACGTTTTTTAAGGAAGTCCGAAAAGTNCCTAGATTGGCTGTTCAGCAGGGCGCTCACTTGAGAAAGTGGTAGCTTTCAGCGTACGCGCGAGGATGCAATGCTTTGCTTGAGACGATTCAAAAGGGTGTTTACTCCAATCTATACAAGTTAGCAGGGGGCCATTTGTTTCGCGATGCGCGATGCGACTACGAACATCCGAGTACATGACCGTCTCCACATGTTTCGAGACGGGGGCTGTCGACGTGGCCGACGTAGTGGCTGGCGCGACGGACGATACATCGTGTGAGGTACCGTTCGAGTCGCCGTTGGTGGTGAGGTCGCTGGTTCGCGGAAGGTCGGACGACATGGTGAGATGGTGTGTACCCAAGCGGTGAGGCCTGAGACAATGAGGAGTGTTATAGACGATAGATGGACACCTCACGCAGCGCTTGGCACGCGCGTTGGATGCGAATGCTGGGGCTTGGACCGCGCGCCGCAGCTCGGCGTCGTCATTCGATCTGGAAAGAGCGTCTCGATCTTCAGGTCCGTTGCTCTTTCATAACAAAACACTGCTGTATCCTCTATACCACAAACACACATCTTGCCATAAAAATCATGTCTGACGCGCACGCTCCTCTGACCTGGGAGACCTCGACCCATACTCAGCCCCAGCTGGCCACGTCTCTGCCGTCCGAAGTCGTCAACTGCCTGGAGAATGCTCGCTATGTCCGTTCACCCCCACCTTGACGCTTCCTCTGCAGCATTTGCTAACCCTTCATGACANNGCTTCATCTGGCAACCTGCACAGAGCTGCAACCTCATGTCGCCCTCATGAACTACACCTACCTCGCCTCACATCCCTTCGCCGACTCTTCATCGCAAATGCCTTCTGGTCCCGTAATCATCATGACCTCGAACCCTGCCTCGCGCAAGACTGTCAACCTCACCGCAAACCCCAATGTCTCGCTACTCGTTCACGACTGGGTCTCACATAGACCTGCCACCAACAACAGAAACTCGTCGCCCGAAGGTCGCAGAGCTCCTGGTCGTAGCTCCCTGGCTTCGTTGCTCATGGGCATGAACACAACTCAGATGGGTTCAATCAGTGCCACCATCAATGGTGACGCTATCGTGTTGCCAGTCGGATCAGAGGAAGAGAAGTGGTGCAAGTTACAGCACCTGGAAAACAACACTTTTGAGAGGGAGGAGACATCACAGAACGTCCTGACTCGTTCAACGAGTAATCCCGAGGATGAGGAGGCCAGCAAACAGTCCTTCTTGCAAGACGAGGACATAAGAGTCGTCGTTGTCAGGATAAAGGAGGGCAGAATCGCTGACTGGAAGGGCGGTGTCAAGGACTGNGTGCTTGCTCCTGCCGAGGGCACAGGCAACCTCACCAATGGTCTATGAGGAGATGAGCCTGGAGAACTCCCATAATCAAGAAACCCCTAATACCCCTCGACCATGTCGGCATGCCCTGTATGTCATCTCCTACCACCACACGTGCTGAAGTATACCTATGAAAATGCACAATCGTCTTCCAAAACAAGGTGTTGCCCATCGAAAGCACACATATCGTCGGCTCTCTCTGGTGACACCCTTTCTCTAAAAGCTATCATGCCTTTTTATAGTCGGTAACTTGCTCTACGCCATTGTGAGAGAAGGACGCAAGTATGAACCTGGTTAGATATTCTGTCGTCCCCTGCATACAATCTCCTACTTCTACGTGTGGTGAAGGATACCTATAGAAATGCACAAAGTTATTCGGAGGCAAGGTAGAGTCCACTGAGAGGCAGAATATCGTAGGCTCTCTCTGGTCACACCCCTAATCTGGTGACCTTTGTGCCTTTTTATACTCGGAGAGTGGCTCTATGCTGTTGTGGGAGAAAGATGCGAGGTTAGTGTTGGTCAAGTATCTCGTCGTGCCCTACAAACGATCGCCTGCCTCCATGCATGCTGGAAGATAGCTATAGAAATGCACAGCGGTGTTGACAAACAAGGCGGTGTCCATGGAGATGCAAAAATTCATGGGCTCTCTCTGGTACTATCTCTCTGCTCGAAACCTTTGTGCCTTTTTATAGTTTAAAAATCGCTGCATGCCGTCGTGAGAGATGAATGTGAGGATAATACAGACCTTGATGAAGTCAGATGGCCTTGTTGACCTCTCTCGGAGATCAAATATGAAGCCGTAGAGTATCGAGCAGCAGCAGAAGAACTCGACAACCTTGGTGCAACCATGTCGAGGGACGGTGAACAAAGAAGAAGATCAAGTCAAGGTCAAGTCACGTGCAATTAGCGCATCTTGGCGTTCTTGCTGCCCCTCGCTCTCAACCCTCTTCCGAACTTCACAACATTGCAACTTCTTACGCAACACTCTCCACTCAATCAACAGACGACTGTCACCGCGCAACTTGCACCAGACACCCAACCAACACACTTTCTTCACTACAACCCTTCCCCGGAAAGAGAACAGCAACTGCGTTTTATGTCCGCCTCGATCGAAAACCTCAAGTCCTTCGGTATGTCGCCGCAGACCCCCCCCCACTACGTCAGGCCCAGACCGACTTCCTCTCCGCCTTGACTCGCTTGCTTGGACACTTTCGCTCTCACTCCTGGCATGTGTAATGGTTGTTCACCTGAACTTCCATATCATTTGTCTTGTGCGAGACTGAGTCGAAGCGCCGAGCGACGCTGCCGCCACGCTTGGGCATCACCCGCTGACTCGTGTGACTCGAACAGACCCCTTCGCCGAAGCCGATGAAGACACCGGAGAGATAAAGCAGTCGAACCAGAGCAGCTACATCCACATCCGTATCCAGCGTACGTTCTGCCTCGTTTTTCCCATCATCTGACCGCCTTGGCACCACGCGCCGGGCTGGTTACACAGAAAAAAAGGCGGGGTATGCTGACACAATACCCACATCACAGAGCGCAATGGACGCAAGACCTTGACCACTGTTCAAGGACTCCCCAAGAAGTTCGACCAGAAGAAGATCCTCAAGGTCATCAAGAAGGCCTTTGCTTGCAATGGCACCATCGTGAGCGACACCGAGATGGGTGAAGTCATCCAGCTTCAGGGCGATCAGAGAAAGGATGTCCAGGAATTCTTGTGTGACAAGAAGGAGGGCCTCGGTCTTGATGCCAAGACCATCAAGGTCAGTTTTCTGTGTCTTTCCTCATCACCGCTTCACCATACTAACTGCTCTGCGCAGGTCCACGGTTTCTAAACGTCCAACAACCGCGCCATGCACCCTCGTCGGGTACGAGAGACCAGCCGGTGGATTATCACGACATTTGTTCCTCTTCGAATCGTCAATAAGGCGCCCATTGCCACGATCCGCACGGCTTTTTCTTTTCTCTATACGACCCTCACGAACTTTTGAGACATGATCAACATCATCACCTTTTGAGATCATGGCGCGAAGATACTGGCGTTGCTCAAGATACCCAAACCTGTCTTTACTGCTGCAGCAATTCTTTTACGATTGCTCTATGCTTTTTCCTATACTTTTCAGTCGAGTTTTTTCCTTCTACTGCCTTTGCTATGCTTGCCAGGCCAGAGGATATTGCTGCTTGAAATATGGAAATGCTCAGTATTGCTTCTTATAATCATTCTTTCCTCCTGTGACCGGCTCTCTCATGATCAAATCAACCTGCGCATCTCTGCTCGGCTCTCTCCTGCATGTCAATGTGAATAGTATTGTGGCACTCAAATTTTGCTATCTTACAATGTGTATATGTTGGAAGAGTATTGTACAAATGTCGACCCAGTCTTTCATCCGGCAAGAGCCTCCTTGGGATCAGACTCGGTAGTGGTGCCCCAAACCATCCAAGGACCCATCTTTCCCCTCTTACACAACCTCTGCACAACAAGATACTCTACAACCTCCTTTGGAGCAGCCGAGCTTCCTTCCTCGATAACCTCGACCGTCTTATTCCCCTGCTTGACCCTCCTCACCTTTTTCAAACTCTGCAAACTCTGCATCCGCACACACACTTGCTGGATGGTCGTCTGTTTCGTTTTGTCCTTGTTGTCTTCCAAACTCATGGGCATGTACTTGTGGCTGACGATTTTGGGGGTTGCGGTCCAGTTGTGCAGTGTCCATGCGATGCCCACATTGGCACTTCTCTGTTGTATCCTCTGCTCCAGTGACATGTGCACGTTTTCGCAGAGTTTTGGCGCCACGGGGGCGAGGTTTCCAGAGGCAAAGGCCGTGTACATGTCTTGGTAGAGGGATTTTGCGATTGAAGGGATTGCAGAGGTTTGGAAGTCTGCGCGGGGTTTTACGTGGAAGTAGCCCATGTAGTGGCGACTGTGTGAGTATGTGTTAGTCTCTTCTGGTCCAAAAAAAAAGGCAGAATGCAAAAGGCGCAGATCAAGGTCAGAAACGGGAATTGGGGGGGGGGGGGGGGGGAGAGGTAAACCATACCCGAAAATCTCCTTTATACGCAGCCAAGCACGGTGCTTTTCCAACGCAAATCTCGTGCTGAAATCGGCGGTGAGAGAAGGCAATCGGTTTCCAGTCGGCATGATAAAAGTGGCAGGGATCAAGCCCACATCATTGGGCATCTGATCGATATTCTTCATTTGCTCCTTCTTCATGACTTCAAAGGACTTTTGGCTGGGCTGTTTCATGCCCGTCTCGCGTGGTGCGTAGGACCTGGACTTGCGTACGCCGGCGGAGGTGCGAGGACTGGTGCTGAAGAAGCGGGTGCTGGGTTGTCGCGAGCATGGTTGGAGGAGGCAAGTGGTGAAGGATGAGGTGCCTGATTGTTGTAGCAGCAGTAAGCGCTGCATTGGCGTGCGTGTTGACGACATGATTTGTGCGAGTGGCGTAGGAGGGCAGCGGTATAGATGTTTCGCGGTGGAGCAAATGGGAAATGTTGGAGGAGCGGAGAGCACGGGCCTTTTCGGGGATGCTGGCCGCGAGAGAGTATAAAAGTATAACTGCACCACCGTCTCGCTTTCCAAACGTCTGGAGTATCTGACAACATACGGTTTTCGAAGAATATGGAAAGCAGTTTGTGTTTGGCAACTTTGTTTCATTTCATCATCATCACCATCATCATCGTCAGTGATCTGGCAAACCGTTGTAGGTTCATGCACATCGTTGTAATCGTTATTCATTCTGTCTTGATATTGCAACTACCGCTACCAAGCCAAATGCATGTCTTTCTTGACTGTTCATATACGCCCCGAATCCATTATCGCCATCCCCAAGAGAACAAAACTTGCTCGTGCTATGACCAAGATTGAGAGAAAGCGAGTGTGTGGACAATGCAGAAACTCCTCCACCTGCCAGACCGTCCCTGGATATCATGCGCTCAAAATTCAAATCTCAAACGCCTGGAAAAAGAGCAGTGACAAAAGAAACAACATTCAGCGTGCGAAGCTCTACAAAGCAATGCCCCTGGGACTACCCAAGACACGCTCAGCTTTGCTAGTGCTCATTGTGCGAGGTCTCTCGGGCGTTTCATCGTACATTCTCGATGCTTGCTTGGAAGCGCTGACAGCACGAGATCTGTTCGTAAGAGTAGGCGAGACAGTGCGACCTTCCTTGGGGACTGCAGTGATAGGAGTGACGCCGCCAGACACTCGAACACGAGATGTAGGATTGCGCTTGAGACGGCTGGTGCGCCAGTTCTCGTACCACTTCTCCCTGGAAGTGACACGCAGATCAGAGCGCCAATCGCCAAAGACGCATTCGCGGAGTCGGATATAGTCGCAATGAGCAGGGTTACAAGGGTCTGCCTCGCCCCATGGGAAGACGCGGGTCAAGGCGCCTGGTGAGGTGTGCGAGTCCGGGCTCAAGATGGAGAAAGGAAGGAACAGCTCCTCTGGTGCGGGAGTACACGAATCTGCACGTTTGGAAGAGACTGGGCCTAGTATTGCTCTCGACGACTTTCTAACCGGGAAAGAGTGGGCCACAGTGTCGCTGTCCTCGGCATTGGTATCTTCGGTGACCTTGCGTGGCGGTGAACGTGCTACAGGTGGATTTTCGTAGTCTGACAGCGAGAGTTCACTGTCATTGGAATCAGGAGACTCGTCCTCATCTTCGTCGTCCAGATCCAGAGCCTGTAGCGGATCGAGCTTTGCATACTTAATGTTGGACCAGATCATACGCTTGAGGTGAGCCATGTGAGCAGCGGTGAGGGTGTCGGCTTTGGCAACGACGGGAATGACAGTGGTCTTGCCTTCGAGAGCTCTGATTACATCGAGATCCAGAGCCTCGTCTTCTGCACCCGAAACTTTCTTAGTTGAGGAGTGGTCTGTGGAGCGCATGGTGGAATCCAGGCGAGCGGGGTCGAGTAGCAGGAGGACGCAGTGGATGTGGGTGTCCTTGACTCCAGGTGTGCGAACGACTCTAGACTCCTGGTTAAAGGTTTCTTCGAACTTTGACTCGACGAAGGAGGCTAGATCGCGAAGTTGAAGGTCGATGATGCTCTTTTCCAGGCCCTGAGAATCCCACAGTGTGACGCCGATGCGTTCTCCTTCAATGTCAGTCTCGATGTATGAAGATTCGAAAGGAGAGTCGTTTTGTGAGTGAGGCGGAGGAGTGTGGCCGCGACTTTGTTTGTGTGATGGCAGGGCCATGGCTGTCTTGAGGAACTCGACGAAAGACGTCTTTCCCGAACCTTTGGCTCCAGCGATGAGGATGCTAGTAGACGTGTAAGTTGTGATGAATAGAACAGGGCCGGTGATGAGACATACTTGAANAGCCTCTGGCTCCTTTCGGCGGCGCATTCTGCGAGGCGAGTGCATGTTGGCAGAGATGCTGGGAGCGTAACTCTCTCTGCCGCGGCTGACGATGCTCTCCGTGCGAGGCAAGGAGTTGGGCATGGGAGGCAATGGAACGCCGTAGGGGTTGTTGAGACTGCCGGTCGACGACATTGATGGCATTGACGAGTTGGATGTGCTTGTCTGCTTGGCTCCAGGACGAGAGAAGTTGGCTGCGGCGGATGATCTTCTTGGAGGGAATTGATCACCTCTCTCAGACGAGGTCGAGATGGACTCGGGGCGTCCGCTTTCCATGGGCTCCATGTTTGGCAGGACGGGCAGCTTAGGAGGAGAGTGAGAGACGACAGGCATCTGTTGCTCTTGACGACGACGCTCCTCCTGATCGCGGAGTTTCTTGTTGCGTAGCATCCTTCGTCCCGATGGGCTACGGATGACTGGGACTTCGGAAGACTTTGAGCGAGTGAGGAAAGAAAAGCTGCCACGGCGTCGGGGTCGTGACTGCTCTGTTTCAGGATGCTCGTCACTTTCCGAGCTGCTCAAGGCAGTCGCTGCCTGGACCGTGTCAATTGCTGAAACTGCCATACTAACTCCAATGCGTGTCGGATCCGATAATCTTTTTGGTGGTTTCGCTGGTACAGGTCTTGAAGGTACAAATTCAAGCGAATCGTCAAAAGACATCGAGGACATCGAGGCCACCGACATGTTTTTGGTGTGCAAGAGATAAGGAAAGGTCAGACTTACAGGTCGCATCCAGCAGGCCGAGAGCCGCCTCTTCTATACGTCGACTGTCCCTCAGATAGATAGTTCGTCTAGTGGAGAACCGGCACCCAATCTGACGTACAAGACGCTAATTGTCACGATAAAACCCTCGAGGATCTCTACGAAGGAAGAGCTGATGCAGGGTCGAGGCCGAATCGGTACGGAGGTGGGGTTATTCCAAGTTTTTGTCCTGCAAACCTCCTGAACGGTGCAGACGTGGTCGATTTGGCGATCACCACGACGTGCGCCGCCTGCTCTTTATCACCCATCACCATCTGCGCGAGACTGTCCAAACATGCCCATGAAACACAACAACAGTTACAGCACCCTTTGACTCAATTTATTCGTGGTATAGGGCTGAAGGTTGGTGAAACCGTGCCGCTCCCGCTGCGCTCCAAGCTCAACCCGAAACTCTGGGGGATTGTCTGCATCTCGGAGCCGATCACTGAAACGCGAAATCTCCTTGGTTGTTCCAGCTGTTTGTTCTTGCAGCCGACAAACGATAAGACTTCCTTGCTGGCCATTTCTTTTTTCCTTGCTTTTATCACCATCGCAACAATGATTGTCTGCTCATAGTGACCAATATGTAAAGAAGATACCTCGATACCACGAGTCTAGACACGACATCTCCGAGAGCATGCAAGAAGCTTTATTGCTTGCCGGCTTTCGACCTGAAAGTCCCACCCTTCTCACCGAGTAGTACAAAGGTACCTGACCTATAGAAATGCACAATGTTCTTACAATGTACGGATTCGTCCAAAGAAGATAGTCGCTCATCTCTCTTTCTATGGACACATTCTGTTTGGGGAAAAGTCATGCATTTTCATAGCTGCTTTGGTCACGGAAGCGTTGTTGAGACGATTGTGCCACACTCTTGTTTGCCCCGCTCTTGTCTCCGGATCAACTCATAGCATCAATACATAGTACTGTCAAGATGCACAATTGTAATCAGCTCAGAGACGTGTACACTGGGAGCTGTCGAACTCATGGCTCTCAGTGGACGGTTGTATGATTCCATAAAGTGTTGCGCAATTTTACAGACGCCGCATAGAGAGGATTCATGAAGGAGATGAGATGATCGCTTGTCAAAGATGAAAACAACCATACATGCATGTTGTGAAACCTGTAGCCGTCATCTCCCCAGCATGAAAATAACTGTCGCATGTCAAAAGTCCATCCAATCGTCCTTCTACTCCGGTCGAGGTCTCTTAGCACCATGAGGATTACCGCTTGGCGACATGCTGCCACCCGATGAGTTACCATTTGCTGCACCTCCATTTCCGAAGAAGCCTGGGTTGAAGTGTCCTCCTTGCGTGTTGTTGCCGAAGCCTCCTGGTAGATGTAAGCATGAGCTGATATCCTGAGCAATTTCGCACTTACCCATGTTCATGTTGCCCATGCCCATGCCCATGGCACCCATACCTCCCATGTTGTTCATGTTGCCCATGTTATTCATACCCATTCCCATGCTCATGTTCATGTTGGGCATCATCATACCGCCCCGGCCGCGATTGTTTTGGAAACCTCCACGCATGTTGCCGCCCATCATACCGCCTCGGTTGTTGAAGCCTCCCATGGCATTGTTGAAGCCGCCCATCATGTTGTTGTTGTTGAAGTTGCCTCCCATGGTTCCTCCATTGAACCCGCCCATCATGTTCATCTGCGGGTTGTTGAAGCCACCACGGCCCATACCACCTATATTCATGCCGGTATTCATGTTGTTCATACCACCACGGTTGTAGCCACCGCGACCGCCACGGAAGCCTCCGCTAGATTGGAAGGCGGGTCCATTGTTGTATGCGCCCGGGGCGACGACCTTGTTGCGCTGAGGTGCGTCCTTCGGCGAGGTTTTAAAAGGATTGTAATCAGGTCGTGCGTAGATGCAAGTGTGCTTCTTAACATATTGCTGGTCTGCGCCGAAAGAGTCGATACGATGTTTGAGTGCTGTTGCCGCCTGCGGCGATGCAAGCTCAACAAAGGCTTCTCTGGATAATCTTGTCAGCTCTTCAAGTCTTGCGTCAACGCACGAGGATTAACCCACCCCTTGCTTTTTCCGTTCACCTTATGCTCGTTGAAGGTGACCTCTTTGAGTTCGTCTTCGCAACCGCATTGGTTGGCCCATCCTCTGATATCATCCTCGCTGATCCACCATTGGAGCTCTCCAAGCCTCAAAGCAGATGTAGCACCTGGATCCACTTCACGAGTGTCTTCTCCCTCTTTGCGTTTGGTACCTTGTTCCGTGGGTGCTTGCTTTGGTGCATTGTACTGGTCGGTTGACGAACCCGTGGTGCTGAGGATTTGTTGCTGCTCTTGCAGACCGCTCGAATCAGCACCGCCGTGCGTCTTCTCATACTGGACTTTCATCTCGTCGGGATCGCCTTCCAGCTTTGGGCCGTCGTCTATTGGGGGTTCCGTCTCGGGCTCGTTGGGCTGCTGGCCGTAGTTGGTACCGTCGAGACCCGGGTCGTAGTCTGTGCCTTGTTGCTTCTGATCTTCCTCGGGCTGGGGCTCGGGCTTGAGATCTTGCTCGTCATCACCGTAGATGTCAATGTCAAAGTTGTCGTCGTCGGCCATTGTGAGGGAGGAGTTTGTTGACGCCAGTTTCGGTACCCGGATGTTTGTGTCGTGGGAGCAGTTTGAAGCAAACTCACTGAAGCGTGTCTTGGTCTGGAGACGGTCAATCAGTAAGGTGAGCATTTAAAGAATGGGAAGCAGAGTGCTGCAGGTGAAGCAGAAGTAGACTCCCAACGACCAGTCACGTCGTCCAGAATAATGAAGTCCAGTCACTTTGGCTTCTGCTTAAGGCCGTTCGACATTGTGGCTCCCTCGACGAACAGACGAACAGACGAACAGCCAAGTGACCGGTCGTTGTGAAGCCCAGGCAGACGATAGGGTGATGAATGATGGTAACCATATAGTGGTGGATGACTGCTACGCGTTGATACGTACATGTTGACAGGCTTCAGCAATAGCTTGAAAGAAAGAATGCGAGACTGAGCTCTTTCCTCAACGCGAGGGTACAGGAATAGAAGAAAGAAGAAGCGTCAGAACGATATGTTGTCTCCTCCGAAGTTTGGCAAAGCGATACAAGAAGTCCGATGAAGAGTACGCTGCACGTCAAGGCCTTGTCCGTGTTTACAAGATGCTTTCCAAAGCAATCAATGTCCTCGAATCTTTCTGCAACTCCTAGTGTCCCTCTCCCTTACTCGGCGACACACAATGCGATGTCTGAATGCCTATTAGCTGTGTGGATGCCGCCCTTGACGCTGATGCCTTGGTGGGGCTCAAGGTCGATGTGGCCAGTGGTGGCGACGGTGCTATTCAGCAGCAACAAGTGACACGATGCGTAGAGGAGCGAATACGTCAACGTCCGCGACAAGCTGCGAGTGTGATGAGGCGATTGAGGAGTGTATGAGGTGGAGAGTAGAGTCTCCCTCGATCACAGCCTCGTCGTGACTCCAGCCAGCTGTTTGCTATGTTTGTTTCCCATGTGACGAAGCCTCGGCTTTTGGTCCCGTCGAGTATCACTTTCAATCAGACAATCAACAAATCAACAAAAAACATCAATTAGTTTCTTGCTATTGATTTCAAAATGCTGGACTCGATAGAACAAAGCACGCAGCCTTCCAATGCACCGACTGAATTTGAAGAAGATGGCATCTTTGTCGCTCTCACTCACGACACTTTGGACGCCGCTGCTATCATGAACAAAGTTCGAAGTCCGAAAGCTGGAGCTATCGTGCTGTTCGCTGGTACGCCATACATATACTGCCATGCTCGATGCCTAACCTGACATCTTTGAGGAACTACCCGCGACAACTTTGGAGACAAGCCTGTTGTGCACCTGGCCTACGAAGCATACGCTCCACTTGCCATCAGAACCATGACCAAGATTGCACGAGAGATCAAGCAGAAGCATGGTCTAAATGGCGTGGCAATGATCCATCGTCTTGGTGTTGTGCCCATTGCAGAGGAAAGCATTCTGATTGCAGTGTCGTCACCACACCGACAGGCGGCATGGCGAGCAGGAGAGGAAGCACTAGAGTTGACCAAAGAAAAAGTCGAAGTGTGGAAGTTGGAGGAGTTCGGTGGTGAGGAAGGCGGCGTATGGAGGGCCAACAGAGATGGACAGGCAGGTGTGAAGATTAGCGACTGAGCTGAGAGCCTGCGAATGAGATGAGGGAAATATTAATGTACATATTATAATACAGGTCATGACACATGAGGGTGGGTGCAAGAATAGCACCGTTGTGAATCCATCGACAGGGGTGGCGGGTCCTGGATAAAACGATGGACGCTTGCATCACAAGTCGAGGTGGTGCGTTCCTAGTCGACTCTGAGTTTCTCGAAGGCGTTCGGCGATCAGTTATTCTCCTCGGGCTTCTGAACTTTGGCGAGTCTCTCTTCCTCCTTTGCGGCCATTGCAGCGACGAGACCAGCAAGACCTTCAGCCATGCCCTTGTTGTCACCGCCTTCTTTCTTGTCCAAGAACTCTTTGACCATCTTCTCCATCTCCTCATCTTGCTCAGCCTCTTCCAAGGCGGTACGCTCGAAGCCCCAGGCCTTCCTAAATTTGGCGCGCATGTCCTCGGTGTCGGTGACGTCCAGGGCGTACATCATGAAGCCGGTGGCCATCATGCCTGCACTGGTGACGTTTGCAGTAGCGAGAACAAAGGCTTGGGCAGCTTCGACACCGCCGTTGACGTTCGTGGGCCTGTAGTTGGAAGGAGTGAACTGTCTGGGAGCATCGGCAAGCAGTTTCCGGGCGACGGCTCTGCGCGTGACGGCAAGACTCAGTCCAAAGAAGGTGGCGCCGGCGAAGAAGAGGGAAAGCTGTCTGACTGTGCGTGCTCTTGGATTGGTGCGCATCTTTTCTCGGAGCTCATCGTCCACTGAGAGGAGGCCNNATTCTGTTTCGGATTTTGGCTCGGAAGCTGGCTGATGGCTTGNTGAAAGAGGAGGTTGCTGTGATTCTGACTGTGGCACGGATGGGCTTGCCTGTTCGGCTTTGGCCTTGTCATCTCCGCCAGAGTACTGGGTAAGAAGATTTGATAGGATGCCCATGTTGTGTTCTGATGATTGGGTAAAAAGAAGGAGCAAACCACCTTGATCGCTGTTGCCTTCTCCGCAGATCTTGCTGCCAGGGCCCAGAGGCCTGTGCGCTCCCCGAGCACTTCCTCCCCCTCCCGCCCTGCTCGACCTACGATTCTACTACCAACATGAGCATACCTTTTCATTAAGGAGCTGCATCTCTGCTTGTTCGCTCTGTTCCTTCTGCTCCGCCCGAGACATTCAACGAACACTTCCAATGCCTTGCTCTCTGCACACCAGACATGTGCATGACATCGCCCATCAGCGCCTTCATGTCTGTTTTTAGCCTATGCAGTGTGCAACCGGCATCAAGCCATCTCATCACCTTGTGCTTGTACACAGCTTGCGCTGTCTCTCACTGCCTCTTTCAACCTTGTTATGGATCAAAGCTCCAGTAGTCTTTTGGTACCAGCGCATGCCGTGTCAGTAGGGCCCAGTCTTCGATTCTTCCGGAATGCATAACCGAGTACTGTACCTGACGTGCTTCCCGTCTCGCAAGAACAACCTCATCATCCTTGCTAGGTCTCACTGGATATGCACCCCACATGCTACACCGGTTTGTTACAGCAAGCCCAGATACCTCCGCTTTTTCTACAACCTCATCTACTGCCTCGACCATTCGTGTCAGCAACAGCCTTGCTCGTCAGTCTTGGTGTACTCGCTGGCTTAGTATCCTGATCATCACTCGTCTGATCAAACGTCCGATCATCCCGCAAGTTGACTGAACTCCCTGGTGTGGATGCAGCGATTTGCACATCGTCTCTGGCAGATGGCCTGTTGACGAATGTGCACGGCATCACGGCATGAGTTGCAGGAACACCTTTCTCTGCCGCTGTGAATATTGAAGCTTCATATTTAAGCTCTGGATCAGAGCTTTGTACACAGGCACGTTGTCTATTTTGAGATGTCCCTGGTACCTTCGCTATGACATCTGCCGTCTTCACCCATATCGAAAGAGTCACGGGGCGTCGATGATCGTTTGCATCACTGACATCTCAGGCAGCACCTCTACAATCCTCCGCCAGACCGCTTTCTAATTCCGTCCTGGTACAATGCAGAGCAAGAAGTCAATCGACAGTATACCATGCTCATGTTGCTCCACGATGCACGCTTCTCCCATCTGCAGGTAAGTCAGTCAGCTCAATAGCGCATCCTCTGCCCATCATTGATGCATAATTGTGAGCGATCTGTCTGGTGAGGTGCCTCAAGGATCCCAGTGAAGCGGTCTATCACCACTTCGACACCGTTCATCCTGTTCACGATATGCTCACGGTATGTAGCGTGCATACATGCAGTCGGTCAGCTCAATAGTTTTTCTTTCTGCCCAGATCGGGAATCAGACTCCACTTCGTCTTCGATCAACATGTTTCTGGTTCGGATAGATGGAAGGGTGCGGTCGTCGCTCGAGGATATAAGAGGCATCTGTTTTCCTCCCTTTCATCTTAATTTCATCCAAGTATCAACAGCAATCAACACCTCTGGAGAAAATTAACTCATCCTTCATTAAAGACAATCTACTTTCGTTCTTAGTCAACGCCAACCTAGTCCTTCCAACATGCAGTTTACTACTATCGTCGCTCTCCTTGCTTCCAGGTCGGCTCTCATACATTCCCAAGATATGAACTTGACTCACAATGAGACAGCGTTGCAGTCAATGCCATGCCAGGTGGTGGTGGCTGGGGCAAAACAACTTCCAGCTGCATTACCAAGTCCACCTGCTCCGTGGCCACAGTTCCCTGGACTTCGGTCATCACCAAGCCCGAGACCTCAGTCTCCACTTGTGTGACCAGCTCCCCAGTTACCCACACGACTGCTGAGAGTAGCGTTTACACGACCACCGAATCCACCAACTCGGTCGGCTCGTCCCAACAGACGATCTGGAGTACCGTCACCGAGACCAATGTCTGGACGACCTGGACTGAGGTGAGTCGTTCTCCCTACCCTTCTCGCACAGATTCCCGCATGTGCCCCTTGCAGACTGAATACTCATGAATACAATAGGTCTGCACCAAGCAACCAGTGGTCAAGACGAACACCTGGGTCAAGACCAAGCCTGTGGTCACCAATGTCCCCTTCACTTCCACAGTCTATGTGACTGAGACCAAGACTACCCAAGTCCCCAAGACTTACACCGACTACTCTGCCACAACCGACTACACGACCATCACCATTCAGAAGCCTTACACCACTACTGGCTACAGCACTGAGAGCAAGTGCAAGAGCACCACTTCTTGGTCTACCTGGGGTTGGTAAGCTAGTCGCTTGTACACTCGAGTCCTGTGCAGGCTATGTATAAGATGGAAATGCTTGGAATGAGTGGAATGATGTTTCATGACAGATACGCTTCTCAAGTCTAATGTCTTTATGCTTTACTTTTTGTCGTTGTCTACACATATCACTCGCTATCTCTGTGGACAATATACGATAAATAAAATCAACTGCGCAATTCCACAGATATCTTTGATATAACACTGCCTTTGAGACCAGAGTTAGTAATGGCCAAGTACGACAGTATGCCCAGATCTCACAGGTATTTACACGAAATGTGATCGATTGCAGAAATGCACGAAACAATCATGAGATCATGGTCATTCTGGCGGGATAACAGACTCATTCTATACAACTCTGTGCATCTCTGGAGTCATAGAGCACGTATCCTACGTCGAGAATCACCGTCTTCGTACACGTGATGAGGGTAGTGTATATCGCGGCGATAGGGCATATATCGCCGACTCCGTATCCCCGAGCGACGACATGTCCTGTTTCAACGTCTGTGATATCGTCTATACCTTCAAAATTAGCAGCTCGTGAGCTTACGATAGTAGAGTAAGAGTTCTGTCGATCGTAATTTTATAGGCGGAGTAGGACTCGGCGACCTTGAGTGTCGAGGCGAGATCGATGTGTCCGGCAGCACGCAGCAGACAATGATTCCTTCCAGTTCAGCCTCGTCCTGGAAGAGGATGGTGAAGAGTTATAAGGAAAAGAGTCTCATACTAACCAAGCTTCGTGTATATACTAACGAAGTGAAGTCTTCAATGCTTGGAATCGTGTTAGCAAATCCCGTGCTTCGGCCAAATCGTGTAAGTTATTGGCACATATTCTGAATTTTCTTCTTCTTTTTCTCTGCCCCTTAATGCTCTATTATAGAATCTTTCATCTAGTGGAAACGATAGAAGATGTTGGAACATTTGGCATACGGCGGATGTGGTTAGCCCTGCTGCAGGAAAATGTCTGCAAGCGAGAATCTTGTCATACATGGACCACAAAGAGATTTCGATGCTTCATGAATTGTCAAACATTTGATCCAGGAATACAAAGAAAAACAGTGGTCGGTTTGCTGCCTTGTTGGCATGGCGGTCCGTCGTCGGCTTCAAGCTCAAAGAATCTGGCTGCATCCAGCATCAGAACTCCGTATCAACCAACAACTCTTACGATACGTCTTGCACATTGTCGACGGAGGATCCAGCCGTCCTTTATAACCATTCTCTGCCCTTTAAAGCATGGATTCAAATTAGTATTGCATTTCAGTACATCCTTGTCAAAGCCACCAGGCTGAAGCCTTGTACCATCAACAATATCTGTTGCGTCAGTCAGCAGATACTTCTCGGTCTCATCTAGCGAGATTCTTCGTGATTCAAGCTTCCTTTCCACATCTTGTTGCACTAGTATCCAAGCCCATGTTTGGTCAGGTGAAGCCCGTGATTTTTCCCCAATCCACACCACCCGTACCCTTCCCTTTGCAGAACCGGAGTTAACGCCGACGCCCCCGCCGGCGTGGACATTGCCTTGACGAGGCAACTACCATTGTGATTATCCTCGAGGAAGGGTTACTGTAGATGCAGACATCTTTGACCAGACTCAGAACTCTCTATTCTCCCGCCTGAGACAGATTCATAATTGACAACGTGCCTTTTGCTCTCCTTGACGGGACCGACGGTTCTATTTGTCCGTCACTGCGGCCTGTTCCTGCCGAGAATCACGCTGTGGGAGTTGCACCTTCCTCGAGCACTTCCCAAAACCAATCTCTTCCTCGTCTCGAGACCATCCTTCTTTCATCCACCTCTATCCTCCCATCATCAATCGCTTCCTTTCCATTGTACGATCGGATAGCTCTTCATCATCGCTTCGTGCTCATCGCGTTTGTTGCATCTTCTCATTCATCGTTGACCAACTTGCACCAATGGCTCCATCTTCATCTATCGCCAGCGACGAGACGGTCTCTCAGCGCCCAAGAAGCCAATCCGATGGCACCATCGACTACAGTGCCCAAGGTATGTTCTCATCATCTTCTTTCATCTCTACCATCCTCGTCATGTTCTGCGTCGTTATACGTCGCTTCAACACGTATTGAGTCAGTCTACCATCCCATTGGGACTTGGTCTCGACCACTCAGCTTGCTGCTTTTCTGCCCATGCTCTTGTTTGCTTACGACGCGTCTCTATCATGGAGCGCGCGTTGTCAGAGAAAGGAAAACTCACTTGCCTCTGTGATCTGCACTTCCACCTACCATGTCCTTCCTCCTTCATCATCAAACATCAACATTACTCTACTGGTCTCTGCACCATGCTAATCTTTGTAAGTTTCGGTTGCAGATTACTCCACCGAGCATGTCTCCTCGGGTCCCCAAACCGAGCTCTCAGCCGACAACGCTTCGTCCATCGAGCCTGCTGCCATCACCACTGACGGCACGCACGAGACTCTGGACCAGAGCATCGTGAGCTACGAAGAGACCAACTTTGATGATGCTTCAGGCGAGTATCAGGCACCTCCAACCGAGCAAGCCTGGTACAAGGGTGTCTTGGTCACAGCCGACAATGCTCAAGCCGTCTTCTCTCCTGCGGCATGCATCTTTGTCGCAAAGTAAGTTAACCGTACATGTGCACGATGGTCTTGACTAACCTTTCAATCNAGTCTCGATCGCACTCGCTCTGGCACCGAGCTTGCAGACGAGGTCAAGAGTATCTTTGGACAGATTGGAGAGTGCTGGGTCAAGGTTCGTTTCGACAAGAAGAACATCCCAGCTGCCTTCGTGCAATACAAGGTAAGGACTCCATCGAACTATCGGTTGGTGTCGAGCATTGGCTGACGCATGCTCCAGACTATCGAAGAAGCCTTTGAAGCAGATGCTCGCTTCCACGGTACCCTCATCTCCGGACGTCCCTGCCGCATTAAGTATGCTCGCGCTCCACGTAAGTTTCTTCCTTATTGCCGTCCACTCGACCCTTGACTGATCCGGGAACAGGTNACCGTCTTCGTCGCACGCCGTGATCAGCATGATCTGCTTCCTGCTGAAGCATGGCACTACCTCAGAATGTTCGGTGCAGTCGACTTCTGGTGGACTCCGTGCCAGACCGAGAGAGCTCTGTACAACTTGCCTGCTGGAGCTTTTTTCCGTTTCTCGTTGTTTCAGCCTTGCCAGAATGCTTTGAAGGTACTTCGTCTTGTCCCTTCCCTTCTGTCCATGTCAATCCTGCTGACCTTCATCAACAGNGCTCTCCGCAACCATGAGACTCTTACCTTCACGCTTGCTCAGCTTGAGAAGCGCAAGCCTGCTCTCACCGCCTTCAACACGATCCTACCTGAGATTACTCCCAACGCCATCTACGTTGGCAATCTTCCCTACAACGTCGACGAGAACACTTTGCGCATGATCTTCGCCCACTATGGATCCATCACCAAGGTCGAAGTTCGCAAGATTTTGCACAGTCAGTGGCCACTTCCCATACGCTTCTGTCAATACTGANNCCAGTTTCCAGAGAGAGTTGCCTTTGCCTTCATCTACTACAACTCATCTCACTCAGCCGCCATGGCCTGTCAGTTCCCTGTGNNAGTCAACCATCCCCACTCAACACAATGAGTCTCTACTTATCTTTTCGTGCTTCAGTACTGTGCTGTCGACGATGATCATCTCTCATACATCGAGCTCAAGCGCGTCAAGCCCCGTCGTCGCAGCCAGCCCAACTACTTCGACAACCTTCCCAATGGCGTGTTTCGCGATGGCAGAGACTACACATACAAGCCGGGACACCCGTCCTGCATCCCTCGCTACATGCGTGGCAATTGGCCTTACTGAAGCACTCTCGCTTCCACCGCATCTATGACCTTTCGCCGTTATGAGATACGATCTTGTCACGAGCTACGCCCGAGATGAAAGAGATACGACCATCGCAGCATGATGTTCCATGCAGCTTGTCCTTTTGTTTGCTTTCGCATGTTCTTCTGCATGTTTTCTGCAATTTCTTTCTTCGCTCTTCCTTTCTGGCATCATGGTTTGCTTCTCTTTCTCGCAATGTCTTCCAGTTGATTTCGGTATTTCACTTGTTGTTGCATGTACAAACAGACGAGTTTCGGTGGATTCTGGCTGCTGGGTTTTTTTTCTTCTCTTTCGATCCGCATCTTGCTATCTCCCTTGCTGTCGAGGCGACATGGTCTCAACTACACCACTGCACATATTGCTAGAGAATTTAGCTAGACCACGAAAGATGTACGAGGCTCACACTTGCTTTTTGCCTTGGATGACTCGTCTTCTAAGCCATCTGATTCGTGCGTAATGCTGTGTTGCCGTGACGAGGCTTCAACTTGACAAGGTATTGATGCATCACAGTAGAACAACCGTTTCATCATGTAGCGACATGTCGCTTGCTTTGTAGAAAGATCAGGTCGCTCAACAGACATTACAGAGATATCATGCCTGCATCGTGGTTGCAAGTCCCGAAAGGAACGAATAGACAAATCTCGGTGGCTGGTCGGATTGCAGGAGAGTAAGCCCGCCACGCTCTCTGACAAGTGGGTCGAGGAGTGTGAACAAACATGATCTACTCTCAGCGGTCACTAACGACAGCGACAAAGTGTTCACGTATTTCGACAGCGACAATCGGAGAAATCACCCTGGGCGGAACTATCGAACGGAGGTGCAAAACAACGGCATTTCTTCGGTTCAACTCGTCATGGCATCATTCATTTCTCTTTGCTGCTCTTCTTGTCGACTTATTGTGATTCTACTCCATGTCCGATATCTTCAACTCCGTCTTTGCTGCCTTGACACCACCCGACCACTTGTCGTCCTTTTTTCCCCATTCGATTGTTTGCATGGCGCTCGAGCGCAATATGTCGGCTTTGAAGCTTGCAAGGCGTTTGCATTTCTCGCCTAGAGCTCCAATTTCGGATTGCGAGGGGAATGTGTTTTCGAAAGCTTTGTGCTTGGGATTCTGGATNNCTGTACATTGGGGTCAGTGGATGTAAGATTGAGAGAAAAGGTAGGTGACACGAACAGCAAGGAAGAATTGCAAGCTTGGGTTTGCGACAATCTCGACTTGTTCGAGGTATTCCTGCGCCGGCAGGATGGAGAGCAATTCCTTCTTGAAGGTTTCGTGGTTGTCGACTTCGAGGGTTGCGTTTAGGACCATCAAGGCTTTTTGCTGCTCGAGGATGGTTCGCAATTGATTCGGTGTCAGGGTGAAGAGTGTCGAGTTTAGCACGCGCAGGCCACGGGGTCGTGTTGTTTCGTCTGTCAGGGCTTTGACGAGGGTAGAGCCGAGAGTCCTGTTCAGTGCCACCACGCCGTCTTTTCCTGCTTCTTCGGCGGATGTGTCGGTGTTGTTTGTTGGATCTTCGGGGTCGTCGGTGACATCTGCTTCGCTGACGTTGAAGGCTAGTGTAACCAGTCCAGGTCCAATCAAGTTGCTCAACTCGGCGGCTTGAATCTTGCCCAAGAACTCTGGATCGGAATGCTGAACCGTGTAGTTGATCTCCAAGAACATCAAGCCTCGTCGCGCAGTCTCCTCGTCGGACGAGTAAGTCACATACGGTCCAATGCTCTCGAAGAACTTTGGCTGTGCAAACACATCCAAAAGATGCAGCGCTCGCAACCCAGGCAACTTTTTGAAAAACTCCACACCATCATCCTGCGACTCTACAGAAACACCCCCAAACAACTGACTATAGATAACCAAACTCTTGAGATTAGGCAGACGATCAGCCAATTGACTCAACCAACCCACGGGATATCCCAAAGTAAACAATTCAAGAGTCAAAGACTCGATATTTGGGGGCAATGGAGGTATCACAAAGGATTCCGAGAGCAGGGTTTGGTAGTCGTCGAGTTTGATGTCGGAGGTTAGGGTCAAGGCTCTGAGACCGCCGGCTTGTGGTGGAAATTTCGGGAGTGAAAAGGTTTGGAGGGGGATTTGGGCTCCTTGGGCCTGTGCTGGGTCGACTTGGTCGCCTTGGGGAATGTTGTTGTTGTTTTGTCCTAAAGTCGCCATTGTGGTCTTGGTTGTTTCCTTCTCTTTCCACAGTCCGGTTTGTGTATATATTTTGAGGGAAGAACTTTTTGCGTGTTGGGTCACGTCTGCTTTTTATTCGACGGAAAGAAAAAACTGTCAATACTCTCGGAGAATTGTTTTTGAGTTTTTGGTTTTGACGGGAATCGTCTGTATAAATAATATTGGACTACGGAGCTGCGGACAAGGAGGGACAAATTGTGGGTACGCGGGGTGAGCAACGCGGGGTTGTGTGCAAGATGACAAGGATGTTTGCTGGCAACAACATGGTGATTTGTGACCCAAGAGCATGCCTAGAATGTTCTTTGTATAGTGAGAGGGGTTGGTGAGGGGTTATTTGATCCTTTGCCCAGCTTGTTCGGCTGTTATTGAGGCTGGGAGGCTTCACCCGGCTTTGCGAGCTTGTCATCTCTTCGGGGTACTCAAATCACTAGACATCTTCTTGCAATGTTATAGATATTCAAATCTTGGCTTTCTGTGCACGGGGAGTAAGCAAGGTAACATCCTTCCCCCTGGGGCTTCAATCGAGTTCCCAGCTGTTCAGCTGAATCGAGAGTTTGATATTGAACACCGCATGCGCTTCCTCTTCGTGATGACATTCATGCACTTCATACCAGGGACAGAAACCATCGGAAACATACCCACCAGCATGCACAGAGCTCCAGCTTGCGTCAGAATTTGAACAGACATTTTACCTCGCGACAGGATAAGACTGTTTGCTGTTCACACATCGTGCGTGAACGCAGAGGGTTCATCTTGTCTCCCGGAAGGTACGAGCGGAACGTGCCTACGGTCAGTCAATCATGGCCCGGTGCGCCAGACTCTCCTCGTGTAGGCCACTCGTGACCTCTGCTGTGTTCGATGTCAGGTATCATACCTACCAGGGACCGGGCATAGTCCCTGGCCCATGTCAGTCTCTTTTGCTCCTCCCATGGGTGCAGAAGATGACCTTTCAAAGGATGTAGTTGCCAGTTATAGCAGAGACGACTGAGTCCAAAGACTCATGTTAACATGGAGTGAATGAGTATAGGAGCACGATGTCCAATAAGAGCCTGTATCTGGAGAGATCTCTCTGAACACCTCACCTACTGAGGAACGATCATGCATTTCGATAACTTATCCACAAGATCTGCATCTTCATTGGAGCAGTGGACAGCAACATTCAATAATGAGGGTCTAGAAGAAGGATCCGGATCGTTTTCGAAGTCTGAGTCGACTAACAAGCCTCGTAACGTGGTAGTCATGATAGGTAATGTTCGGAAGCAGCCTTCGGATGTGGAGTCTTGAGAATGAATTGGAGCGTGAAGTGGAATTGTTGAACAGGTAGATGGCAAGGGTCCTGATAAGAAATACAAGATCGGGCTATACCAGCTATCAGAGCATTCGGATATGTCGAGCTGTCGGACGAGCCTATCTACTGCTCGAGCCAATAGCAATCGCTCGGACTAGCCATGTGTGGCAGTATAACGTCGTGTTACGGCATGTCTCTCGCGATATCGATAGCAGGAGGAGGCGCAGTAGTATACAAAATCGATTGTAGATAAGGAGACGGCGGTCCTGTAGGAAAACCATGACTCAGGCCAAAGCTTCTCAGAGTTTGCCGAAGTTTACCGACTCGACTTCCCCGCCGGTTAAAGAATTAGGGTTCAAACAGGACTGGCGGCTCCTCCCGAAGCAGCTGTTTAGCCCCACTTTCAAGCAACTGCAGCTTGCATGCAACGCAACGACACGACAATCCTACCGACCATCGGCATCTGAAAGAGTATGTTGAAGCGATACCGCAATGACATACAAATAGGTGGGACGTGATGGGGCCGGTCGAGTTGGGGTTGATAGCGACAAGATCCTATGAGTAATGCGGAGTCGAAACTATGAGGAGTAAACATATCCATGACCGGCACCTACTTTCCTTTCCAAAGGTTGTTCATTCTTGCCCGCTCTTCAATATTTAAGCACTCCCAAACGCACCAGTCTCGCCTATCCGCCTATCGCAACTGAACAGGAAAGCACATTCCAGATGGAGGTCATGACCACGCCCCACGAACACAAGCTCGGGCGGAGTGATGTGCAAGACAGAGCTCGAGCCTATAAGAGCAGGAACAAACGACCGTGTGATTTCTGCCGTTACAAGAAAGCTGCCTGCCATCTTGAGACCAAACCACCTTGTGAACTCTGCCTCCGTTATGGCAAGGACTGCACATTCGTAGAGTCTCCAGTAAAGAGACGACGCCCCAATACTCACGGAGAACTTCCTCGAGAACCCTTGCTGCCACCTAGCAGTACTTTTGACCTTGGAAGTGACTTGCTGAGTTGGGAACCTTTGCCCAACTTCATGACAGCAAGCTTACCAGGAGGTCTACCTGGAGAGTTCAAATTCGACTCGCCGATGTTCGCGCCATTGACGTTTGAACAATTTGATCCAGTTCGAGCAGGCCTAGCACCGCCATCAAGTCGATCTTCACGCACGCCTGAGTCTACGGGCTCTCTTCCATCATCTTTCTTTGAGAATGCCCAGGAGCCCTCGTTGGATGTCCAAGGCTCCAGCAATGCTCAGGTCATTGGATTGAGCGGCGAATCGGACCCTTTCTTGCTTCGCCAATATAATTATGATGGCAATAATGAGTGTTTGTTCCAGCAACTTCGTTTGCGAAGGGTCGGAGAGAATGACAATATCCCTGTGCACTTTCTAATCCAGCGCAACAAGTTGGCTGCCAAAGCTCAACCCGCAGAGAACGTCAGCACCTTGGATAACTTCAGGAGAGAAATCAAGGAAATGGTCCATGATGAGGTTGGAAAAAGACTTATCCGACTGTATGTTTGCGGAAATCCGAATCCTTGTGACTCCGTGTACTGACCAACCAGATTCTTCCGCTTTGTGCAGCCTTACTTTCCCATTGTATCTCGAGAACGCAGCATGAGGAACGGGGAGTACGACCCAGAAGCCTTCCCCACCGAGCTACTTGCCGCAGTTTATGGACATGCACTGCCATTCTGCATCTTCGACGACCAGCTCTGTATCGAGGTATACACTCCACCATCCGCCGACTGCCTGTTCCGTATTGCTTGGTCAGCCGCACATCCCAAGTATCACACTCCGTCACTATCAATCGTTCAGACCCTTCTATTGCTTGTTCAAAGGAGACCAACCAACAAGCATGTGGCAGATACACCAGTCAAATGGACGATGGTGACTGACGCTGTGTCTATTGCACAATCACTGGGTCTCAATCTGGATCCTACAGACTGGCCAATTCCTCTATGGGAGCAAAGGCTGAGAAGAAGACTAGCCTGGGCTGTCTTTACTCAAGAAAAGTGGATTGCGCTCAATACCGGTCGCAGCTCACATATCATCTCAGACGATTGGGACGTGTCTCCACTAACACAAGACGACTTTGAACTCGCAGAAAATAGCGGCGACAGAGCTTATTCCGAGCATTTCATCCAACTATCTTCGTTGACTGAGATCGTGGACAATATCCTTCGTAACCTGTTCTCGATCAAGGCCACCAGAAAACTCTGTAATTCTCTCGATGCAACGCTTGAAGTGGCTAAGCCGCTACGCGTACGATTGAGCAAATGGTATCAGGAACTACCGCAAGATCTCTTACCTACCGTCAGATTTGGTTATGGGCATGATTTGAATGCACAAGGCGGGCTGCATCTAGCCTACATTACAGCCAAGATACAACTCTTCCGAGCCATGTTCCGTCCTACGAGTGAGCCAGAAACACAAGCGACGAATGCTCTCCGTACTGGTGCGATAGCCATGGGAAGAGAACTTTTCGACTTTCTAGAAAGCCTCGATGCTAACCATATGGAAGCCTTCTGGCCATCNTTGTAAGTCTCGAACTTTGCGTGAATTCATTTCATCAAACAGTCATGCTAAACAGCGTCAACAGATTCACGCACAAACTTTGCAATAGCAAGCAACTTCATGGTTCTGTTATTTGTCACTTCTCCAACCCAAGCAGACGCAAAAGAATGTCTGGATATGCTTACCTCGTGGAGAAGTCTGCTGCGTATCAAATCTTGCAGCTGCGATCTCTTGAATCTGGCACTATTGAGACTCGACGCTCTATTTGTGGCGGGTCTGGACAAATTGATCAATCTCTCGCCATCTGCTCTCCAAGTCTTTCATGGGCAGATGATTTAGCTCGGGCTGGATATCTAGTCATTGTCAAACCGTTGTTCATTTCTTTCTTTCAATACTTTGGTATATCCATCTTTGCAAAGAGAAGTAAAGCCACAGGTGTAGTTTCTGTGCTGTGTGATCACGCGCCGCTCGGCTGCACGCCAATATCTATCCGGCGTGGTTCTGCGGGAGATGTGGCTATGTGGATGGCAAACACGCGGGCCTGTTCGGGCGAGCACATTGCGTGCTTGCCTCCGAAGAGGCGGTTTCATCTGTAGTCGAATCCTTCACCGTCGTCGATGTCCATGCAAGCGGACACCATGCCCCCGAGGTCAGATCTAGAGAGATATATCCCACGTATAGCAACAATCCTGAACCAGCGGGCCAGACGACAGATATAGTGACAATCGGTATTGTGAGATGTCTCAACTTCTTCCTCGGCTTGGTGGCAAGAGTTGTTATTCAACTTTCGCAACGAAACAATCTCGTCATGAGGTCTTTGTAACGTTGTTTTTTTGCTTTTTGTTCATTCATTCAATCATATTCTTCTATCAACTCCTATCCCAACCCATCAAACCCCCTTCTACTCCTCCCAAACAACACAAGTAACATTCCCTCCACCCACCCATCTAGCCACCGGTTTGCCCACCGTACCCAATGCCACATCCCTCTCAAACACCACAACACTCTTATCATACTGCAATCCCACGGCAATCAGATCCCCCCACTTGTTGAGCGAAAAGTGACGCGGGAACATGCCTCCCGCGGGCCAGAGTTGTATATGCTTTAGTGAACCATCTTTGTTGATGGAAAAGGTGGATAACGAGTCTGAGGGTATGGAAGTGATGTTGTGGGGTGAGGGGTTGGGGATGTGGAAGGAGGTGTTGTTGCGGTTGGAGATGATGAGGAAGCGGTTGTCGGNGCTGTGGTACAGCGAATCAGTATGGTGGTAAGAGAGAATATCATGGGCAAGGGGCCCAGCAAGACTTACAGAAACTGCTATTTCGGCAGCGGCATTGCCGTCAGGAACGACAAGGTCGCCGTACGAGGTTGTGTTGTAGACTTGCTTGAAACTCATGCCGCCGGCAGAAGGATACGAGACCGCAAATGAAGTCACCGTGTTTGCCAACTCGGACACCAAAAACATGAAACTGGTCGATTTCTTGCCAACGACGCCATAAGGCTGATAGAAAGCGACATGTCTGGGCCCAGAGCCAGGAAGAACGGCAAGAGGCTTTTCAGCCTTCACTTTGTCAGTCTTGGCGTCAAAAGAGAAGATGCGAACGAGATCGGCTCCAAGATCGGGAACAACGAGGAATTGGCCGGTGGGATCAAGGACGGCTTCATGCTCGTGAGGAGCATCTTGTCTCTCGGTATTGGGACCAGGCTTGGTCAAATTGAAAAGCATGTCCTGCTCGAATGCAAAGCCGCCGGTGCGATTGACATCCAAATCCCAGCTGCTCAGTGCGCTGCCAGAGTAATGTGCCAATGCGATCGACCGCTTTTCGGCGGGGTTGCCATAGATGACGCCGCTGACAGGACCGCTGATGGTTTCTTCGCGGTGGACTTTGGTCAGGCTGCCATCGTCGCCGATGGTGAAGGACGTGAGAGAGCCATTGGTGACTTCAAGGCCTTCATCAAGACAATACAGAGTCGCGCGATTGGGATCGAGAGTAAGCCATGACGGGTTCGGGGCGCAGCCGGGGTTGACAGAGGTCTTTGACAGAGAGTAGTGACCACCATGCTCGGTAAGGGACAGAGTGGAAATATCGCCAGAGTAGTCCGAGACGAAGAGGTTGGTGGCAGCGGTCAGAGATGCGGCAGCACAAAGCTGCAGTGAGCGGACAAGCATCTTGACGGAGGATATGATCGGAGGGGACGAAGTGACGGGGAAGAATTAGAGGCAGTGTCACCTACCTACTTATATTGGGCCATGAGGAGCCGACACATGCTACCTTCTACATCAGGAGCGCTTATTGTGACTAGCAGGCTGACGCATAGTGCTGTGGACATGATGCACCCAGCCGCCTGTACCAAGACGAGATTGATGATGCTGGTCGGATCAAACAACACAAGGCAAAGAGAGGTCGGAGCGGGGGTGAGAGGCAACCGGGGATCCGCTTGGTGGGGACGTGCTTGGCGGAATGATGATCTGCAGTTCGCTGGCAGAAAGCAGCAACAAGGTTCAATCGAGCGACGCGTCAAGGCACAGGAACAGCATGGAAGACAAAGAATGTTTGATATAGGTTGCTGTCTGTGGCTTTGTCTCGAGAGCTGAGACGTTCTTCTGTTATCGGGCCATCTCACTCGCCCGTAAGACAAGCCGGCACTACCAAGACGACAAGCCCGTGAAAGTTTCTTTAGATGGCCTTCTTCGACTGATCTCTGAGCTGAGCAGTGGACTGGTTCTCGTTGCTTCTAGATTCGAGATCAGCGGCCCAAAGAGCAGCACCGGTGGTGTTGGTGAAGGCGAAGAAGACGCCAGCGATGGGGACAAGCTCCAGCAGAGTAGCAACGGTTCCAAAGCCAGTGTATGCACCCTGTCTCTTCTCGATCCACTCCTCCTGGCGAGCCTTGCTCATACCCTTGAGCTGGAAGTATCTGGCGTGGGCAGCAGGACCAGCACGCTTGCCTTGAAGCAAGATGAACATGACGGTTCCGACGACAGGAATGAAGTTGAGAGGCAGGTACATGACGTATCTGATGATGGCGCTGGGTGCGAATTTGGCGAATGGCTTGGAGACGAGTTTACCGAGACGGCCAATGGCATCACCACCGCGACCAACCTTGCGCTCCTTGGAGACGAGCTCGGCCTCGCCCTTGGCGACAAGGGTACCGTCAAAGGTGTCGATCAGGCTGTCCTCGACGAGGAATGTCTTGGAGAGGGTGTTGAAGATGGTGCTGCTCTCGTTGAGACAGAGCAAGGCAGCATTGACGGCAGCCAAAGGACCGTTGAAGATGGCGAGGATGGCGGCTTGGGGAAGGTATCCAAAGAAGAAGACACTGGCGAGGGTGGTGATGCCGAGGGCGATGGTGGGAAGCAGCTTGGATGCGAGGGGCTTCCAGAGCTCGCGTTTCGAGAGGAAGTAGAAGATGCCNNCTAGACAATGGTCAGCTTTGTCGACAGAAGCTCATAGGTGCGACACTACCCTGATGGGATAGAGGTAGGCTCCAGACTGAGCGGCATCTTGTGCCAGCTCGGCCACTCTTTGAGCCTCTTCGCGGACCGTCTCCTTGACTTTGTCTTGTGCTGCCATGATTGCTGGATACTCGACGTGAAAGGTGAATGTTTCGAGTAGATCAGATGATGCAGAAGCTCTGGTTTTGTTGTCGCGAAGGTTCACTATTGCATCGCGTGCCAATGACATCTGGTGACATCATTTCAGCCACAGTGAGAGCTGCCAGCCACCCACACTCCCGTATCCCACATCTCGATTGCACAACTTATGCAGACACCTCGGGTGGACTCGCCCTCATTAACATTCTCTACCAATTGATACAGCATGCTACTCCTTGTCCTGTTGTCCTGCAGTTCTTAGCTCATCCTGTGCATCTTTCCCAAGGCTCTCTGTACTCCAAACCCAAAGCACCAAACACGTTCTTCTCTGCCTGTTCCATGGTATCCGCTTTTCCATCCACATCAACCACATCTCCAGTCCTTCTGTCTCTGACTCCAGAAGAGTCAAACTTGTAGTTGTACGTCTGTCGAACGTAGCGACGTAAATCGCGTTGAAACGTCGTGCCTCCTGACCACCCCATGACTGCACAACCTACTGTTTTCCAAGGCGCAATGATAATGTCGACTCTGCGATGCGGGTTTGTGTTTTTCTTCTTCGCATTCGAGGGGTCGGGATCAAAGCTAGGATCTTGCCAGACCACGAGCGCCTTGTCCAGTGAGTCGAATCCATGCCCGTGAGCCGGGGAAGTGTTGAGGGGAAGTGTCTGCTGCGAACGATTACTAGTCGTCGTGCTGATGAGTAGGGTATGTGTGATCCAACTCTCTTCCTCCAGACTCGCCACGATATCCGTAATCATGTTTAGCGTTTGGTCTTCGTCTGGGTGAGATAGGATAATGTCCACATCTCCACAGTTCTCTTTGCCTCTGCGGTAGCCACCAACTACTAGACTCTGCATGCCCTTGTCGCGAACCTTGACGGCGTGTTGGTGGATGGTCGAGGCGATATCTTCCACCTCTGAACGAGGAATAGGAAGGAGAAACTCGTCGTAGAACTTGACACCAATCTGCTGGACTCGAGTCAATGTACTCCAGCCGTATTCAACCACATCGTCGAGATCCCTCCATCCTTTCTCCTTGTAGAAGTCTCTTGCGGTGGTTGCTCCTACGCCCCAAATGTTGTAGAACAGCCTCTGGACTTTCAGTGCCTCGTCGTTCTCAGCACTCTCTGCCTCCTGGATCCTGCCGTAGTTTGCATATTCGACATACAGATTCGCTATCTTGGCATCACAACCAGGCAACTGCATAATCTCTCGTGCGGTGCTGAGTTTGTAGGGATAGGCTGCCAACGAAGCGATGCTGGTGCTATAGGCTCGCACGCCTATCTCATCGCCTGTGAGTAGTCTAGCCAGTTTGATCTTCTCGAGTTGGGCGATGAAGGATGTATTCGGCGGATCAGCTGGAGTTGACCGTTGACAGGCGTACTTCACATCGTTCTGAACCCATGGCGGCATTTCTGGAAGATCACTCGATTGGCCAAGATCGTGTTCCGAGGTTGTTTGGTGTAGTAGATGAGCTCTCTTCGTGTGTGGTGTAGGTTGGAATGGTGCAGAGACTCTGCCTCCGCCAATCTGACCAAGTTTGCGGGCGCTGCGTTGCTGGACCGGCGAAGATATGTTCGTCTCACCATCTGCTCTTGCTCGCTCCAAGATGGACTGTGGTGTTTTGGATTGAGCTGTGAGGCTAGAGCCTATGACAGGCGTGCTCATGTCGTTAGGTTTCTCGACACGACGTCCTTGGTAGAGGAGGTATGGTTCGATGGGAAGAACAATGCCTTGCTTTCGACAATCGACAAACCATTGCAGCCTCGAAACTTTGATGTACGAATTGGAAAAGTATGCATCGTTTGGGTCTTGCTTGACGGAAGACTGCTTGCGCTTACGCTTTGCAGGCCTTGACTCGTCCTCAGTGTCCGATTCGGTGCTAATGTCGTGAATAGTCAATCTCTCTGCCTCGCCCTTGCTGGTACTTCCTGCTTGGGAAGTTCTCTGCTTCTTAACACCAGGCTCTCCTGTGGCAAGGCCCGCGGTACTGGTGTCTTTGACTATCTCGACCTCTTCAGTGTAACATCCTTTCGATCGCAGATCAAGCTGAATCCGTCTCTTCCGTTCAGCTTTAGTTAGGACGATGTTTGCTTCTTTCAGATCGTATGAGAGTAGACCTCCAGCCTCGACGACATCATCTTCCAGTTCATGTAGCTCGCAGGTATCCAAATGCGACTCTGATACGAATATGGGCGGCAAAGATGAAAGTTGTAGAGCTGGTTTAGGCATTGGATCTGGCTTTTCCTCCACAAGGGGTTCTGGTGGAGGAGAAGAAGCCATCCAGTGTGTAGAAGACATGTTGATATATAACTGACAGGTAGGTGTTGGTGGTGAACGCGTCTAGGGGTCTCGGAAAGATGAATACCGAGACATTCGCTGTTCATTCAAGGTTCTAGATATCCTCGAGACATTCATACTTGTCATCAATGCAAAACATGTCTTTGGGCTTAGGTAGAATGGTAGAGTTTGGAAGGAATGGTCTTTCTTCAAGATCAAGAGCGTGGCTTTTCGGTGACGCGGTGCTCGGCTCAAGCTTGTCCGAGCCGAAAACAATTCTGAGAGAGCGATCCAAACAACAGAAAGTTTCGAAGCTGCCAGAGGCGACGATATACCTATCTTCGCAACAAGATGGCAGCGAAGTTTGTAGCGCGAGCGGTATTTCCGCCAGTCGAGTCGCTTCCTAGATCGTACTTCTTGGGCCATCATGCTGCAGGCCTCTCCAAGATGAACACGCTGCTGTCGCAGATTGACCTGATTGTCGAGTGCCGTGACTACAGAGTACCACTAACTTCTCGTAATCCCTTGTTTGAACAGAGTCTGGCAGGTCGCGAGCGCATCATCATCTACACCAAGCGCGACTTGGGTAGCACCAACAAACCCGTAGACAAGGAGGTGAGTGCATGCGTCGCATTCTGCCCTGGCTCTTCTAACACGGCGGAACAGAGAGAGAACATCATTCGCAAATGGCACAAGCCTTCCGAGGTCCTATTCTCCGACCACAAGGACAAGAAAGACATTCGCAAAGTCCTGGATTTCGCGCGCCGCTACTTCGAAAACAGCACCTCTCTGACCGGATCGCGCATCATGGTTGTGGGCATGCCCAATGTCGGAAAATCATCGCTGCTCAACGCACTACGCAAAGAAGGAGTTGGAAAAGGCAAGGCTGCACATACGGGCGCACAACCAGGTGTGACACGCAAAATCTCAACAAGCGTCAAGATCATCGACAGTACCGAAGACGGCGAGGGTGTCTACTTGCTCGACACTCCTGGTGTCTTCATACCATATGTCCCAGACGCCGAGGCCATGCTGAAGCTTGCCCTGTGTGGTAATGTCAAGGACACCATCATCCCGCCTGCCACTCTCGCCGACTACCTTCTTTACCGCGTCAACCTCATCGACCCCAAGCTCTACAAAGAATACTGCCCGCCTACCAACGACATTATTGAATTGCTTGATGCCATAGCCAACAAGACCGGCCGATTGCAGAAGGGTGGTGAACCAGATACCGAGGCCACCGCTCTCTGGATGATCCAACGCTGGAGAAATGGTCTATGGGGCCGCTTCCTTCTCGACGAAGTCACCGAAGACGGCCTGCAAAAGAGAATCATGGAAGAATCGAGCATGGGCGGCAGTATGAACCAGGCACGACGAGCTGACAAGGAGGCTCGCAAGATGCGCAATATCAAAAGGCATGCCGGAACCAATGAGTGATGAGCTAAGTTATCGGCCTCACCCACCATAAAATGCTGCTCAAATGTTCTATCGGTACGCGGTTGAACACTAACACTGGATAACGCAACCATCGACCGTGTCAGAACGAAACGTCCTGCCCTGGAATAAATCTGCAAAACGCAAAGGCAGCTTTACGATATTTATCCTAAAAGTCAGTGCAAACCCTCAAATAGGAAGGTGCTCGCGGATACGAAAGGTATCCCAGGGATCTGCATCCTGGGCTGCCATGCATTTGCAGATCCGGAAGTACCAACATGCCGAACCACATGGAATGGGCTCGGAAAGATGCAAACATTCTCATCTGAGGTCGACTTGACCCCACCTCGAGACGAAGAAGAGCATCGCGATGATAGTCTTGAAGGAAGAACGATGCATGTTCCTACCTGTAACACTGGGACACCATTTCTTAGGCAATCCTTTGTGAATCTACAGGAGTAGAGCGCCTCCATGGATTCTCCGGGCTCAAATAAATCAATATCAACACAGCTCTTACGAGTTGCCTGCTTCCAAGAACCTCGACTCATCAAGCTTTGTCTCATCGATCTTGTCTTCCGTTTGGGCTGAACCTTGCTGCAAAGCCGCTTCCAACCCAATGCCGAACCGGAGGGGTGCTCCATCGGAAGCTGCACTCAGGCAATGATCTGCTTCCGAGACCATGTCACCATTTAACATAACCCGTTTCGCACGACATCCTCCGAAAAATATCCAGATCACTCCTTCGTCACACCCTGTATACCAAGAAAAACTTCATACCCGGATCCGAAATCAAAAATGGATTTTCTGGTCGGCACATTCTATACACCCAAACTCTTCACTGTCCGCTTCACACCAAGCAAAGACGATTCGAAATGTAAGCTGGAAATCACACATACTTCCGATGCCATCGGCGGACACTCCTGGCTCTCTCTATCTTTCGACAAAAAGTTCCTCTACACCACCGTATGGGCATCTCCTCCCGCTATTGCCGCATACCGCATTGAACCCAACCACGCACTCACACACTTGAACTCAAAGCCCGTACGAGCAATGAGTGGCTACGTATGCTGCTCAAACACAACACTATACTCCGCCGGCGGACCCACTGGCGAAGTCTTCTCTTTGAACCCAGACGATGGCAGCATTGGGCCCCTCCTCCAGAATTTAGAATTCCGAGATCAAGGCAATCAAAATGATGGAGCTCGAAATGGAGTCGCGCATGGAGACTTCGGGGGCTTGAGACATGGCGCTCACAGTGTAGATCTCTCGCCCGACGCAAAGTCTCTCTACATTGCTGATATAGGCCACAACTGTATTTGGAATTACAGCGTCTGTCCAGACCAAGGAAAACTAAACCAACGACAGAAATGGATCGCAAGCAGACAGAACGATGGCCCCAGACACACCTGGCCACATCCCAATGGAAAAATTCTCTACTCGGTTCAAGAACACAGTTGTCATGTGGATACACTATCAATCTCAAAACAAGCAACTCTGGAGCTCATCTCCGGGAAAAGAATCATCCCTGAAGATAAAGACGAAAAGGATTACTGGGCTGATGAGGTACGGTTGAGTAGACCCATCTCGGGGCATCCGAAATATCTGTACGCGTCGACGCGAGGGCTGGAAAAAGAGACGAAAGGCTATGTTGCAGTGTTCGGATTGGATGAGGATGGGTTGGTGCGAGGAGAGGCGATTGACATGTTTGAGACTGTGACGAGTGGTGGTATTGCTAATGCTATTGAGCCTGCACCAATGGTTGAGGGACAAGAGGGAGTGGAGTACATGGCTATGACGGACAGTCAGGAGGGTTATGTGTTCATATTGGCCTTTGACGGCAAGAAGATTACCGAGGTTGCGAGGACACAATTGTTGGGTGAAGACGGAATGACTCTAGCCGCTGCTACAGCAGTATGGTTATGATCGGGTGTTGGTTTCAAGCAACGCAGTGTTGAAGTCTTGAAGCATGAGAGGCAGTAAATATAGTTTAAGAATAATGATCACTAAGTCCAGCTACTGCTTCGTCTATAGAACAATATCTCCAAGCACCAAGGCGTGCAGCAAGTCCTGTGTAAAATCATGAGCATATCTCGTATAACCTCCTAAGACCCCTATTGCAATGTCTTGCGATCTGATCGTTCTCATGAGCCATGTCCCGTTGCAGGCACTTCCCAAATTCCGGGCAAAGCAACTAGCATATCCCTCGCATCTTCGTTGATCAGGTTTACAATCTTCCTACGACCTGTAAATATCGACAGCTCCGCTAATGTTGTCCACACGCGCCTCCACGCCAGTCAACTTGCTGCGAAGAGTTCTTACTTCGCGTTGAAGATCTTTGACCAGACTGAACAAATTGTTCATGTCGCGGGCAGAAACTTCATAACGGTCGTGGTCTTGATATCTGTCATCTGGTCGAGGCTGGTCGTTGCGCGAATCATAGTACTGGCGGGTGTCGGCATCGTGTCGAGTAGATCGTGAACTGTCACCGTTGACACCGCTCCGCTCTCTTTCTGGCGCCATCGGTCCCATAATGTTTGGAGAAAAGCGAAGATTCGGGGAAGCAGGCGCATCAAATGTAGGCCGCGAAGGTGTAGCATTCAAGCCTCTGCCGCTCTCTTGGATGCCGCCGCTGTAACTCGACAAGCGTGGTCGCTTGGCTGCGATTTCGACAGGAGGGCTACGAGAATCATCATCGTCCATGTCATCTCGTTTGCGGGCGCTTCCAATTTTTAGAAGCGGGAAACCAGTCCGTTGTTGCTACGAGGATGTAAGTCATGGCTCTCGTATCTTCAATGCGCTCGAACTTACGTGAGACTCTCTGGCTTCTCTAGCATGTGAGCACCCGCTCTGTGTGTAAGAACATCGAACACATCCCGTCTTGTCGTGACTGTTCGGCCGCGTCATACATGCCCTGTTCTGTCGCTCACAAGTATCGCATCTAGGATTACGTTCTGTACCGTAGCGCATGCCCTTGGACGCTCTAGCATGACGAGGATTATCCGAATCCAGAAGGTTCCACCAATAGTCGTGTCTTTCGATGTCGAAATCGCCATCATAACGTGGCGGTTCCGGTTCAGCATCACCACCGATGAGTAGTTCGTCGATATCAGATTGTGCATCAGTGTCCGCCGAAGCTGCATGACTTCCATTAGGGAGCTCCACATCGACCTTGTTCTCGGTCCTCTGGACTTCAGGCTCGGCTAGAGGTTTTGATTCCTTTGCGTTGGCCACTGACCAAGTCGGCACTTGAGGACGAGGTTCACCATCCAGTTCGGCTGCAGCTTGAATTTCACGAGAACTACTACGGGCGTCTGCCATGGTGTTGTCCTTCAGTTGTTGTGATAGACCGTTTGACTGGTTCTGTTGCGCAGCTGCAAAGGTATGAGCTTCGGATTCCGATGCGACAAGTGGTAACCGCCAGCGTACCGGCCAAGAGTTCGTGAGCAAACCTACGGGTACCTTCCGACTGCGGGATCGGATATGCTTCCATTTATCGANTGGAGTATGAGTATTGTCGATTAGATTGAAGAGATGGTTCANGGGCGGCGAGTGAGATGAAAGGAGGCGAGCGAAGGGAAATCGACGGCGGGGGTCNNGGGCTTTTTGGTCGCANNAGGCAGGCACGGCCCGGGAGTGGCTTCTTCTCTGCGGGTGCGAGCGTCGCCAGTCAGGAGCCGNAGCGCTCCGACGAGGCATCGAGCTATCGTACCGCCTCGCNNTGGACATCTTTTACCTTCGGGTATTGGTGCTCTCATCTCTAGCGATACCGTGATTATTCTCTTCACTTCCTGTCCCAAGCGCAGAGCTCGACCGAACGTGTCGGTCTTCATGCGGTTCATGGCGCGTACGGGCGGNTCTCAGCAACTTCCGGCCGTTAGCTGCATCAGCGAATGGATCCCCAAAGACGGGCCAGGCNNAACACGCCCTTGGCGCCACGAGCAGGGNCAAAACCAGGCCAACAAAACACCCGGCTGCCCCTCGCACATGCTTGCCAGGTTCCCGGTGTTNTTGTTGCGTTGTCGCATCATCNNCCCTTCCCCCTCGCTTCGACGTTGCTGGGGCGGTGAATCTACGAGGATTTTCGCTGTCGGCGTCCGTNNCCTCCGCTCTCGGCCCCAGCACACGACTGTCAACACGACATGCACGACCGTACCCAAGGATTTCACGTGCTACAGGACAAGACAAACAGCCGCGCAAATTTGAATCGCGTCTCGATGGCGCTTTTATTGCTATCAAGACGACTGCGAGTTCTCAACAACACATGACTGAGGCTCTCTCACTGCTGTCGAAGCGGCATTTCAAAGCTCTTCCACGCAAAGCTTCGCTGTGCACGAGAATCCCTTGGTCCTGCAGGTTGAGACTTGCACCAGCATCCAAATGCTGCAGGCTTCGCAACGCAACGATCCTTGCGGTCGCGAGGTTCTATCGGCAGCTTGCTCGATCTGCCATCTGTTGTACTGCGATGTTGAAGACCCTTCAGCATGGTGCCCTCACCCCCATCGCTCTCTCCAGACCCGAGTACACCAAGATTCTGATATGGTTGTGAGTGCACTGTCTATTCGTGTCCTGTGAAGTGACCGTACTTCTCTGGAAATCNNCACTCTCCATATCTTCCTGGCTTCTTATTGCTCTCGATGAGCTTTCGCAGTTGACGCCGGAGTCGAGACCGACTTCCTGCATTTCGATGTCGATCTCGAAGGCCGGCATTTCTTGACTACTTAATGTCTTGTAGACGAACATGCTTGCGAGTCTAAACACCCACCAGTCCGACAGTGGTGTCTTCCTACAGACAGGTGGTGACTGCGATCTTTGTAGACTGGTCATATTGGATACCCTGTTTGATGTGTGATTCGAGGTTCTTTATGCCGCGTGAGTATTCTGATTGAGGAAGTATGGATGGCAGAGTACGCGTCGAGATTCAAAAAGATCTTGGTCCATGTCACGGTGTGGATATGACTGTGCTTGCAATCTCAAACTTGCTCATACCATTACTGATCTATTCTAGTGCTAAGCTTATCTTGAACAATACAAAACGAAAAGTGCAAAACATTCTGTGGGTCTCAAACTTCAATATCAGAGTCTAATCTCTTGGGTACTGCCTTCTCCACGTCGAGCGGGCTGACACTGTCGTCGACGATTTGCGCTTTTTCGACTCGGCGCAAGAGCACAGAAGGATTCAAGACCGCCAGGACTCCCATGGCAACAAGCATGGGCGCTGCATCCAGTCCGACGACATAGCCCTGCTTCGTGATGAGCGGACCTCTCCAGCCCTGACACAACTCGATGGACCGATAGAAGCCTCTCAAGTTCATCATGGTCGTGCTGATGACAATGGCGATACACGCCAACAATAGTGATCGGTTTGCTTTGATCTTGGAGGCTCCACGAGGAAAGACGATACACAAGAAGCCGGCGAAGATCATCCCAGAGACCAGTTGAGCGATGATGCCAACGACCATGATAGTGGTGCCAGTAGAAGTGCTAGTGCCTTGATCGAATGCAGCACCAGCCAGACCGCCGCCAATTGCCTGAAGACTCAGACACACACAATCAACACTGAATATGACGAGCAAATAGAGCTTAGGTGGGACTGGCGACACGTCTCTGCCTAGGATCTTGACAATCATCCATAGCGCTATGTAAACGCCACTTTGCGTGTATGCAGGCCCCATGATCAGCGAGGCGATTTGCATGGTGTTGACCTCGCCAGAGTAGGAACAGGAGTGTGCGACGGTACGGCCGATCCATCCGACGAGTTCGAGAATGGTGCCGCAGCTGAAGAAGAGACCCATCCACCAGCAGCGAGTGCGAAATGTTTGGATGACGTTTGACAAAGTGTAGAGACCAAAGCAGATACTGAAGAAGATTCCTGCGGCGAGAGATGGTTGGTATCCATAGCTTGATGGGTATGCGCCGTAAGGGGCACAAGGAGGGATGTACGGTGGCGGAGACATAATATTTCGATTTCGTAGTGATGCGGCGGTGAGGGTGGTTTGGTGATCTTGATCAGATATGTTTATTGCTAGACACTGAACGGCATCCACAACATCCTTATATGTCTTTTTACATTCCTCCCAGCAGGTGTGTTTGCTTTGTATCCTGCGTCACCATGTCCTTTTGTATACAGCCCTTTTGGACCTCGCAGTGCGAGAAGGATGCCGAATCGCAGTCGGGACCCAAAGGGGTATAGCGTGCCTGGGATAACTCAAAATCCACCTGCTGCCCACGTGTATCTACAGTACTTACCTATAAGGTTGTCTCGTCTGGACGACGTATAGAAGCTGTTTGCCAGATCCCATAGCTAGATCCCGATCGCGAGTATGGATCAGAATACAGGATCACGTCTACCACGGCCGCAAAATTCGTCCGTCGTCAAGACACTGACCGATTATCCTGAGATGCTTTGCCAATTGTCCAAGCCTATCACTCTCGCAAACCATCTTGAGAGGAGTCCCTGGACGGTTCTTCTAGATCATGCAATACAAAACGATATAGAACTCAATGACGGAGTTGGGGTGGTTGGTTTTTGAAGGATCGCGAACATCGTCATCCGCTGATCGTTTCCGCTTTCGTCACGACTCCGCGAGCTCGAGAAGTTCCTCCGACTCTTGGCTCCTGGCCTTCTGCTTCCTTATTCCAGAACTTGGCATCTTCTAACAATCATTAGCTTTTGTAAGATCGGTCTGCAGTGTATCATTCTTTTCTTAGGAGCAACACGGATTGATCAAACTGAAGGAAGGAAGATTGGAGTAAGGGAGATTGGAGTGATGTAGGTGTTGTCATTGATTATTCGTGGTCGTGCAGTCGTGATGATGTGATGCTTTTAAGCCTTCATCATCTCGATGAACTTGTCCGCCATGGCATTGGCAGCCATAGGGTTCGCTCCACTAACAACCTCGCGGTCGACAGTGATGTATCCGACCTTCTGAGCAACACCCTCAACCATCTCAGCGCCCTCAGCACGCAACGCACTTTCCACCTTGGGGATCTCAGCGCCCAGCATCGTCTCCATCATTGACTCCTCTATGTCAGACCAGCTAGTGATCTTGTAGCCAGCATACAAGAACTTGCCGCTTGATGCCTTGGTCGAGAGGAATGCATACGGTCCGTGGCAGATAGTAGCAGTAGGCTTCTGCTTGCCATGGAAATGCTCAAGAATGCGACCCAACTCCTTGTTATCACCAAGATCCGTCAAAGGTGCATGGCCACCAGGAATAAGCACTCCGCTGAAAGCCTCAAGCTCCTCATTGCTGATGTCTCTGAACTTTCTGGGCGATGAGAAACCGTTCTCCCTCTTCATGCGCTCAAGCAGCTCGTTCTCGCGACGGCGCTCGTAGAAATTCCCGGCAAAGGCGAGGAGAGACTCGCTGTTGGGATCGGGAACTGGCTCTTTGCCTTCGGGTGTGGCGAAGGTGACTTCGTAGCCTGCTTCCAGCAGCTTGGACAATGGCTTTGCGAGTTCCATGAGGAAGAAACCAGAGGGTTGCGAGACGATCTTGCCAGCATCAGGGCCAGAAGTTTTCTTCATGTCGAAATGGTCGGCATCCGAGAGGATGATTAGGACTTTTTGTGAGGCTGCCATGATTGTTGTGTGATGAGTGTTATTGAGGTGAGAAAAACAGATAGGATCGATGTTTGAAGCAGGAAGATTGTGTGTATGAAGAGAAACTGTTGACGAGATGGTGTGTTGGATGTTTTGTACTATGATGTTCCGCCAATATCCACGGAAGTCACTATGACGTCGGGTCGAGTATGAACGAACATGTCCAATTTTCACGTGCAATGGTCGTATCTGAGTCACGGTATACTGACCTATTGAGGTTCCACGTCATGAAGTGAGCTTTTCTCGGCAATGAACAACCTGTATCAGGTCTTTGAGTTCTGTTCTATGTTTGTTGACATGTATCTATCCAGAGCCCATAATGAAGGAAGCAAAGAACTACAGCCCAAAACATGGATGTGATTGCGAGTTACGATGAAAAGCTCTTCACATGATTTTGTTAATTGAAATGTATCCTTATATCATCACAAAGCCTTGGAGTGCTTTCTGAATGTTCTAAAATGTCGGTAGATCCATTTTTTGTTCGATATTTCCTTGCCAGATGATGAGAGCAGGGTTGTTCCAGCAGCAGGCACAATGTTCTGCCGAAGTTTTTCCATCAAACGCGTCTCCTCGATCGCGTCGTCCTCTGATCACGTTCAACCCAACCTTGCCTTTGTACACTCGTCCGAGCGGAAAAATGTCGTCACGCTCACAAACAGGTCGCACTACTCCTTCTTGCACTGCTCCGGTCTTGCTTCTACGTCAACTTCCTTCTTCATCGCTGTAGGTGACTTGGACATCCGTCTTCTTCACAATATGGTCTTGAGATCCATGGCTTTCGATTGAGTCAGCGTCTTGATGTTGAGCTCTTGCCTGCACACTAGACCAGGATATAGGCGGTGGTGGCGAAGGGGCAGCCTCGGTCAAAAAGCGAGAGTGTCGAGTCTTGCTCGAGGAACGCGGTTTCGAAGACTGTCCGGATCTGGAACCTCGGCTGGAATTGCTGACAGGCATCTTCGTGTGGGTGCTGAGGTTGGTGGCGGCACGCTTCAAAGGTTGAATTGCTGTTGCAAGAACACTGTAACCCACCAAAGCAAGTTGCCAGTATAGTGCGGATCCGTATATGATCGTAGAGGAGCTGTCGAGAGCGATATAGTGTTTGAAGGCCGCAAGGAAGTAGGCGGAGATCAGAATAAGNNACTGGGGTTGTCAGCCGGTGTACTGGATGGTAGCTGCAAACCTCACTGACGGAAGTCTCATGCCGAAGATGGTAATGACGGTAGCTTTGTGCTGAATTCTCATGTTCAGTCGACAGAACAAGTATGATGACGAAAAGAAGACCAGCAGCTCGATCATGATGCTGAGCACCATGATCGCCTCTAGGCTTTTGACCTACAACATCGTCAGCAAAACCCGTTGGCTCGCAGCTGCCATTTCGCGTACGTTATTACTGCAGACCAATGACCGAGGTGCGTGTGTAAGCAGAGGATGCGAACAACGAGAAGCCCAGGCAGCGGCAGCAGAGATAACCCAGATACCAGTGAGNNGGCCTGAGGCAGCAGCAAACACCGCGACGTACTTCTTGTCTCGCATGGTGCCTCTGCAGATGATCTTGTACAGCATGGCTATTGTCGACAGTTTCGAGAAGCCGTCTGCAACAAAACACAAACAGGAGCTGTTGATGACCANGCTATCACAATTGTCAGTCGTTGGATCCTCTAGGACTCTGCCTGTACTGACTTGGGCAATTCGAACAATTTGCTCTTTTGGTAAGCTTCGATGTGAAACTCCTAGCCCATCATTCAGTGCCTGATAGACACACCCGAATGAGGCCACAGCNNGAAGACCTTTGCTGTATGTTAGCCAACAAATATGCCACAGGGGAATCTCCTGCCTTACAAACGCAAAGATGAGAAGCAAATCTTCTAATCCATACTCATGACTTCGCACGATGAGTCGCAGGAGCAGAGCCAAAGCACAAAGAACGATTGCCCAAGTGTTCATCACCCAGAGCCAAGGTGATGCATTTAATTCAACGAGACGTCCGTTCATGACGAGAAAGCATGGAGTTCAGGGACATGAACGACGCTGCGAGGTTGGCGAACCTCTACTGGTTGCTATATCTTCTGGTTCATCACGCTCTTCCCCAGGGAGTGGTTCGTCGAATTTCTGCAACTCCAGGAGGATTCTATGATTACCGCTTGGCATGATGCATCGATCAAGTCTCCTCAGAGCATGGTGTTCCCTGTTATGGGCTTGACCAGGGGCACGTCGGGCCAAGACCTTGTCGTTGCCTTGTCGGGATCCCGAACGTCAATCGACCCAATGCGTGGCGGCTGGAAGCGACGTCGAGGATTTGATCTACAGGCTCGTCGAGTCGAGTTGTCCATGAAGTGTGTAGGATGTAATAGCAGTCGCGTGACAGAGATAATGTTGAGCCGCTGCTGTTTTAGCGTACCACTCTGTCGGCATGCATCCCTGCCGCCATCTACCGTGCCCCATCCGAGCTCTTGCAAGCCGGCAAATGATCGATGTAGTCGCTCCTACCATATCGATGTAGATTCGAGTACAGGATTTGGCAGATCTACCTTCGAAGACATTGATGCGAAGCTTGGGTATATATCGCATGTCCACGGCCAGTATACCTGCCAGATCTCCCCGCGATACCTTGGGGTTGTATTCGACGTTGCTGCAACTCTTCACAATTTGGATGAACGTCCGGTATCAGATGCTCAATGCCAGAAGCGATTGTGACTTCTAACCACTCTACACGCCTTACCGCTGAGGGTGTAGAGACCCTTGTTAGCGGGAAATATATACCAGATTGAATCCTTTCCAAAAAGTTGCAGTAGACAGAGACCGACCCAGGAGACCGTTCAACTAACGTGGCGGAGCATGTGGCACAAACATTGTGCCGCGTTGATTGTCCTCTCAGAGCCTTTGAATATGTATGCGCATGAGCACTATTGTATATTAACAAGGCCTGGGCCTAGAGATAATCTATAACCTTTCTCTTTCTGTACCTTCTACTGTCCCGAAAAAGTGGCGTGTTCGCGTCCTTAGTCAAACTTCAGAGGTGATGCAGCACTGAAGACTTTTGGACGCAGATCCACGAAGTGTCCTCTGTATATAAAGCTATCGGCCGTATGCTGCGACCGCCTTTGACCCACTGGATACTCAATCGTCCAACATCAAAATGGTAGTCATCAAGCGTCATGCTTGCCAGGAGGATGGCCCGTCCACTCATCAAGATCTGTCTATCGACGACAGAGATATGCAACGCATGGCGCTCCCCTCAGAGCTTCGCGTGAGTATCGCAGAGGAGCAAATTCGTCCACGGTCACTGAGAAATAACAGNCGTCGCTTCAAGCTTGCTTCTGTGATTGGTTTTGCGTGTATATCCGGTGCAACCTGGGAATGGGCGCTTGTGTAAGTCCTCAATCGCTACATACAGACTTGTCCTGACTTTGCATAGNNATCCAGTCAGGGCGGCCTTACAAACGGTGGCTCTGGAGGTCAGTCGTCTGCCGTTTCCAAGAATCATCCGAGACTGATCAAAGCAGGTGTAATCTGGATCTTCCTGGCCGTGATGATTGGCATGTTTACTGTCGTGCTCTCCATGGCTGAAATGGCATCAATGTATGTGGTCAGATCGATACTCTCTCGCGACCGAACTGACGGGATACAGNNAGCACCAAGTGCGGCTGGACAGTACATGTGGGTTTCAGAACTNGGGCCCCCAGGAGCGCAGCGATTGTTGAGCTACTTTGTTGGTAAGTAAACTTGATCCAGGTACAATGGCGAGGTCCTTACTGGTTGCNNAGGATGGTTCGCGGCAATCGGTTGGCAGGGCGCTGCTGCTAGCAACCCTCTTGTCCTTGCTCAACATGTTGAAGCCCTCGTCGCCTTGAACGATCCGACGTTTGAAATCAAAGGCTGGATGACGAGTCTTCTCATGATTGCTTGTGCTGCTCTCGCAACCTGCGTCAACATTTACGGCATCCGGTTTTTGTCGTCTCTAGAGGCGGTTATGCTGGCACTGCATGTCGTGGGTTTCTTCGCAGTCCTCATCCCATTGTGGCTCATGGGTGAGCGAAGCAGTACTCATGATGTCTTCTTCACGTTTGAAGATAACGCTGGATGGGGAAGCGTCGGCACTGCTTGCCTTGTAGGTCTCCTTGGGCCCATCATGACCCTCATCGGAGGTGACTCGACAGTCCACCTCGGTGAGGAGATTCAAGATGCCTCGCGAACGTTGCCTCTGTCAATGGTGTTCACGTCTTTGATGAACTACGCCGTTGGCTTCATCATGACCATCACTGTCATGTACGTCTCCTCGACGTTTGATCAGACGATTGCCGATGCCACTGGCGAGTCTTATGTGGCGGTGATCTATGCTGCTACCGGATCGAAGACGGCGACGACGATTCTTACCGTGCTCATCTTGATTTTGTTCTTCTGCACAGCCATCAACACAGTCACAACTTCACCGCGTCAGCTGTTTGCGTTCGCCAGAGATGGCGGTCTGCCTTTCTCGAATGCTCTGGCAAAGGTTGATCCCAGGACTGGATTGCCAATCAACGCGCTTCTTACAACGTTCGGTGTTACCTTCGTACTGTCCTGGATCATTTGTGGGTCGAGCATCGCTTTCCAGAACATAACCTCGATCACTATTGTCGGGCTCTTACTTTCTTATGGCACAACTATCGCAACCATGATTTACCGACGCTGGAGCGGTGTTCCGCTACCTGCAGCTCGATGGAGGTACCCGCAAGCTTTTGGCTACCTTGTCAATGTGTTGGCGCTATGTTTTGTCACAATCGCGTTCATTTTTGCATACTTCCCAACTGCACCAGGTCCTTCTGCAGAGTCGATGAACTGGAGTGTGGTCGTCACCCTGGCAGTTGTGGTCGTTGCAACAGTGTACTATTACGTCCGCGGATCAAGCACCTTCGACGGACCGGCCATCAGGATGAAGAAAGCTGAGGATGACAGCATGATCGCCATGGAGAATATCATGATTCACGGCAAACAATGAGGGGATGAACAGAGCATGTTAGATGAGAAGCGTGGCCATAGCCATCATCAACGATTGTAGTCTTTATCGTGCTCGTGTTCCAGGAGGATTGACAGAAGACGCGACGCGAAATGCCCACGTCGTCTTCGGGAAACTGTTTCCGAACCGAGGTTTTTCCATTGCACCTTTCCCGTCCCAAGACGTTATCGTGGCATTGACCCCTCACATAAATCATACACCATGAATTGCAAGCATGTCAGGCACACGCAGTCGCTCTGGCTGTATGGAATGTCGACGTCGAAAGAAACGATGTGACGAAATCAAGCCAATTTGCCGACGCTGTCAAGTGGCTGGTGTATCTTGTGTCTATCCTAACGCAAGTGGAGCGTTCAGTGAACGATACCTTATCTCGTCAGCTTTGGATCATTACACCTTGCCGGGAGTCTCTGCTGAACGACACTTCGTCAACCTCAATCAACGAGATGTTGCCCGTTTATGCCTGTCGTACGGCGCATCTACATGTAATCCTAGTGTCGAGATGATGATCGAGCAACAAATACCGAGGCCCTTGTCCATGAGTGGTACCCTCATCAATGTATCGGAGAGACAGTTACTCCAGTATNNTGTAAGCAAGCATCACTAGAATTCGATCACACTCATGGGCTCACATTCTATAGACTCCGAAGTGGTCAGTGCAAGCAGAGTATATGTCACTGGAGATGAAAATCCGTTTCGTTCTTTGACCATGCCTATCGCATACACTCACCGTGGACCTCTGTTGTACACAATTCTTGCCCTAAGTGCAGCCGAAATGGCAAATTCTGGCGATGACTATTCCGATCGCCTCGTGTCCAAGGCTTCCACCTATTACGATAGCGCAATCAATCAACTACAGCTATCACTGGCCAACTCCAGCGATGCTGAAGAGAACATCTTGGCATGTGTGCTCTTGTCTTCTTTTGAGATATCCAATGGACATCGCCCAGCCTGGTTGCAACATGTCAATGGTGCTGTAGCTATACACAATCACTTCGCATCATCCATCAGTCGAGAATGTGCCTTGTTTGCTTACCAATATTTTGGCTTTAGATGGATACTTCTTGAAACGACCATGCCGCCGGGAACCTATCCACTAGAAGAAGTGACAAGCGAAACCTCGATGACAGCCCAGATATTACAAAATCTGAGCACAATGCTCCAACAGACTATCGATACAGTACCCACCCTTGCAATGCAAAACATTGACAACAATTTTGGTTGCTCCCTGGAATACCTCCAGCTGGTCAACAGAATATCGACCTTGTCCGCTCTCAAATACCATTGCCAGGCGGATGAGATTGTTGCAGAAGAGACTTCTGATCTGTACTCTACAACAGCATTGGCGTTCGACGATGCGATGAGCGATATGGTCTTTGTTGCCAAGGTTCAAGACAGCTACCTCGAGCACTGTAGTCGATGTTTCAAGCTTGCAGGAAGGGTATATCTTCGCCTGATCTGCCTCGATGCCAGTCTTACCCAGTTGGCTTTGACTGCGATGCAGACCGACTTGCTGCAAGCATTGCGCCTGGTCATCAACGAAGATCAGCAACGAAGGGCCTTCCCAATGTGGCCTTTGTTTATCGCTGGTTGCGCGTCTTTTGAGGACGAGCACCGGAAGGCTGTTCTGGACATGTTCCGCACACTCGAGAGCAAGTGGCCGATCAGTAACATCTCCTATGTCCGCAACGTCACGACACAGATCTGGCAAAGCCGAGACCTGAACGGATATGACAATAGTCGAAGACACGATTGGCAGACACTTATCACGACATTTGGTTGGAAGCTCGCTTTATCCTGAGAGCAATGTGCTGCAATGGCCAAGCGCCACGGATCCGCGCTCAAATCAACTCATCCCTGCCGACGGCCAAGACTTCACCGCAGGCGCCCGTCTATCCTCCACCTATCACCAACCCTTATATACTGTCTGTCTTTGTCTGCTCCTGTCCTTAGCCAAGGACGGTGCCCCGCCATTCGAGGTTCGCCTAGTTAAAGGTTCGCTCGAGACCCGATGGCTGAGTTGGCACACTTGGCTGGGGCAGATACCCCGACGCTGAATTGTGCATGGGTTCGACGCCCCAGCGGAGGTCCCCATTTCGCACCAAAGTCGGGAGGTAGTAAACTCCAAGTTACTACTGATAAGATAACTCAAGGATCCCTGGTTTCTTTCCCACTCTCAGAAGGTGGTTTCTTTTTGCTCTCTCTTTGAGCTGCGCTATCAGCCATTCGCATCCGCTCAGGAAAGCGTACGCGCCGACCTTCTGAAAAATTCGAGCCACCTGGTATAAAAGTTGAGATGGAACGACTCTCAGACGCTGTTCACGTCGCCTAATTTGCTGCTGGCCGAACATGGCCAACTCAATTCTGAGGGAGACGCAGCGTCGCATTTCAACGACTGCAGGGGGGACGTACCTTTCATTACACTAGGCGCTACACTGCCTGAATGGATTGAATGTATCCACATTTACGGTCGGGTGTTTTGAGAAGAGCCCGTTTGTAATTTTACACGGCGAAGCATGTTCATGTACAATCAATTTCTACCGACATCACGTCCATTCTCAAATTGTTGGTACATTAACAATACCACCGACCTGGAACGCAGACACAATCCCTAAAATCATGACGAAGGTGTGGAGCTTGTAGGATCTTGTGACGTAGTGCCTATGAGACACCACATGCATCGAAACCAAAATCGGACAAAACATGTATCCATCAAACAGTCACCACAACATGGAATAACTTTCCACCATAGGTACCCTAGTTTGTTCCATCATGGAGCCCATCGACACCTCTCCTCTGAATCTCGACCTCACTCACGAATGGGACGACGAAACAGACACTGAAATCAAAACCAGCATTCTATCTTTCCTGCTCGGCCCCACAAGGTCTGCACATGCAGTAGCACATGATATATCTCTTACTTTCAAGCCCGAACATAACATTGGTGGTTTTCGTGATGGAGTTGAGGACATTTGTATTTATACCAGCAAATTCCTTCCAGCGAACCACATTTCTCAAGACCGTCTGATTGAGATTATAAAAGCATTGAGAGAACTTCCAAAAGTCCTGGCCAACCTCAGTGGCAATATGTCTTTCAGACTGGCTCCTATCTCTTGATAGAGGCACGAGGTGAGAAAAGATGTCAAACCTAAGGCGATTCAGAACATCACTAACAAGATCTGTTTCTCAAACAGGTGCTCAAGATCTCTGCCATCTACATATGGACACACCAGAACATGTCGTCAAGCGCTTACATCTGCGTAATCTGAACGCCTTCATGGCAAGGCTCACCCAAAAGGGATTAGTAATTGCTCTTATCAAGCTCTAGTAGCTTTGACGCAGGCTTTAGAGACAGTGGAGCCACATGACACTACTCGTACGATGGATATGTTGATCGTGTATGACTGGGTACGTTTGGCTGCTGGAGAGCTTATGGAAGCGAAGATCAAGGGTGCTCGGGTTGGGGGTGAATTATGGGATGTGAAGGACAAGCCGGGCTTTTCACAGGAGAGGTGGAAGTTCTGGACGAGTAGACTTGGGAGTATTGTGGAGGATAGAGAGTATGAGGTTGAGGCGAGGGAGGCCGCTAGATCGGCACGGAATATTTTGGAGCAGTTGATAAAAGAGTAGATGAACGAAATGGAAGACCAATGCTTCGTATTGAATGAGATACCTCATGTCTATCTAGCTACAGACGAGCCTGTAAGCTCCCCCTTCTCGCTTCATCAATCAAACTCTTCAACTCTCTCGACTTCCCTATACGCCAACTAACGCCATCGCCCCAATCCTTGCCCCTTTCATCCTTGGTCTTCCAGCACCATCTATCTATATTCTGTTTCCCATCCTCCAACAACTCAACCACCCACTTGCCAAAGATTGGCATCATCTTGAACCCATGACCAGAATCACCAGTCAACACAATGACAGAGTTGTTGGTACCCGGCAAGAAATCAATACAATACTCGGAATCACTGGTATCAGCAAACCAGCACAACTTCTTGTCAACAAACGGTCGATCCGCCATCCATGGAAAAGTCTCTGCCAGCAATCTTCTCAACTTGATTTCGTCTTCTGCGGGTATAAAGTCTTGAGGTGGTGGTATCCTATCCATGGGTGGGAGAGAAGTGCCCTGCTTATCCGTGTTGCTAAACCCAGCACCCAAAGGACATAATTTGAATAACCTTGTAGCGGGATCGGGTTCGAAGAAGAAACCAAGGTCGCGGACATTGATGACGGGTAGGCCACGCAGGTAATCGCATTCTTGCTCTGTGAGCTGGACGTGAGCGACAGACCAACTGCGGGCAGTGACGAAACGGCCTATTTCTGGGACCAGCGAGGCTCCATAGGCTCCAGATGCTACTATTGTTCTCGCAGCGGGATGTGTGATGCCATCTGCTGTCCGTACACCGGTGCAACTGCGATCGATGCCTTGGCCTTCATAGACGAGTCTCGTAACGGTACCAGCTGTTCTACCAAGCACAAATTTGATTCCAAGAGTCGCACAGTGGAGGAAGATGCCCTTCAGAGCGTTCGCAGAATGAGCGTAGCCAGCCAAGCGATTAAAGTATCCAGTGAACCCCTTTAGCGGCCCTGTGATCTGCCAGGCATATTTCTTGAACTCATCGGCACCGTCTAACGCTTCGATCCCAGGGGCGAAGACTGGATGCCTGGAGACAGACGCAAGTGCAGTTTCCAGACTCTTCTTCGCCTTTGGAGGAGCAGACCCAGAGGTCGCTACAATGTATCCAGTCTCGTGATAGTATGGACCGAACAAAGGGTCTTTCCAGGCTTCAATGGCTTGCTTCAAAGAGGTCAGTCCTTCTGTGGCTCAAGATGTGCTGGATGACACTCACAANNGGGCGAGATCTGTGTAGAAGCTCTCTTCGTATTCCGCGCGGACAATTTTGTTGATATCATAGGCCGCAGAATAGCGAGACGGGATAGAGTCAGCGGTCTCAAAGACAGTGATGTTGGTGTGTCCGGTTTGATGAAGATGGAGAGCGGTAGAAAGACCCCAAGCACCACCGCCCACGATTGCAATTGGCTCAGACTTCGACATGACAAACGCGATGGACAACAGAGGAGAGTTAGGAAGAAGACAAGTTGAATCGGAAGTAAAGCTTCATGCCTCCCCTCGGTATTGCAAGCGTAGGTACATGCTCTTATGACATGATTGCAATTCACTGAACGCAGTGCTCAATGTGGTAGATGTTTCCGTCTCATGCAGAGACGGTTAGCGCTTCCGTCTCAAGAGTCATGGCTGTTGAAGTGGTCGGGTCTATATCAAGAAACCTTGATAAGGAGCAGTGGTTAGCGTAGCCGCACCCCACCTCCCCGCCGTGGATGGTGATGATGGCGTCGGAAGCAATGCTGATGGCTAGCGTAGGCGCCTGATGGGGAAAGCTTAACCTGGAGATAACATCTGTATCCGATAACTAAGGTGATCATTCGATAAACATTTCCTGAGGTCAATGAGGTACACATAATGATAAAACAACATTTGGAAGACTTCAAGCGCGATCGACTCATTGTCATTCTACCCTGCTTAAGCAAGGTTACTAGGGTAGAGCACAGATTGTAGCGGAATCATCTCTTCCTTCAAAGTCCTAGGTGAAGTGAATCGCATCAGAGCATTCGCACTTCCAGCCTTGTCGTTTGTTCCACTGCTTCTGCTCCCACCGAATGATTGATGACCAATGACGGCTCCTGTCGTCTTGCAATTGATGTAGAAGTTGCCGGCCGAGTATCGCAGCGTGTCTTCTGCTTGACGTAGAACCTCGCGATCATTTGCGAAGACTGCGCCTGTCAAAGCAAATCCGCCTCCTTGTGTATCGATCTTGGCCATGACTTGCTCAAAGTCTTGATCAGGGTAGACGTACGCCACAAGCACTGGGCCGAAGATTTCTTGATCGAACAACTCGTGATCAAGCGTGTTCGCGACATACAGCGAGGGCTGGATGAAGTGGCCCTTGCTACCATCGTATGACCCGCCAAAGACATTTTGTAATTTACTGTCGCCATTCGCCTTGTCTATGATCTTGGTGATTTTATCGAAGGCTCCTTTGTGGATGACTGGACCCAAAAAGTTCTCGTAGTCTTCAGGCGGGCCCACCTTAATCGGCTCCACCTCTTTCTTGATTTGATCAAGGAATTCTTGTGCCTTACTTTGCGGGATATAGACGCGGGAGCAGGCGGAGCATTTTTGACCAGAATATTCGAAAGAAGCTCGCACGGTATGCTTGACTGAATTGCTGATATCGGCCGAAGAGTGTATGAGGTGGAAGTTCTTGCCAGATGTTTCTCCTACCATTCGCGGCATATCGCGGTACTTTCTGCTGACAACACCTTCTGCTGCCTTTCCGTATAGGCTACGGAAGACGTCCGAGGAGCCGGTAAAGTTCAGAGCTGAAAACTCCTTGTGTTCATATACGGTATTCGTGATAAGCTCTGCATCGCCGGGCAGGAATTGGATGACGTTGGGCGGGAGACCGGCTTCGAGAAGGATTTGGTACACCAGCCAGCTTGTATAGACACCTGTTGGCGATGGCTTCCACAAAACGACGTTACCCATGATAGCTGGACCGGAAACGAGATTACCACCAATGGCCGTGAAGTTGAAAGGTGATATGGCATAGACAAAGCCCTCGAGGGGCCTCCAATCTGTGCGCCTTTGTAGTGTCAGTATCGGTATTCCTATTGTGCTAGCAAACATGACTAACCCAAAGTTGCCAGGCGCATTCAATGTTGGCTGCTTGTTGTAGAGCTCTTCAGCGTATGAGACGTTGAACCGAAAGAAGTCTGCGAGTTCGGCAGCAGCGTCAATCTCAGCCTGCCAGACGTTCTTGCCTTGACCTAGCATTGTCGCCGCTATCAAGTCGTATCTGTACTTTCCAGCCACCAACTCTGCGGCCTTCAGAAAGATTGCAGCACGATCCACGAATGGAACTACCTGCCATGACTTCTTGGCCTCGAGCGCTGACTTGATCGCATTTTCGACATCCTCGACGCTCGCAGCACTGGACCTCGCAAACTCTTGAGCATGCTCCGACGGCATAGTTGATGTCAAAGACTGGCTCGTTGATTTCGACTTGCCCGAAACGTGAAGTGGGACTTGGAGTGGAAGCTTGGAGCGCAATGCTAGCAAGGCCTCGTCGAGCTGTACTCTCTCTGGAGAGGACTTTGCATAATGTAGGTTTTCTTCGTTACGAGCATTTGGCAGCTTGAAGTGGCCACTGGTAGCTACTCCAGCTCTCAATAGAGGCGTCCGAGCAGGGCTTCTGACGTGTTTCCAGGGAAGGACCCGTGGACTGATAACAGAGCGCATCATTGGGAGATTGAAATGAGGTAGCCGGTATGTTTGCAATAAAATATCTCCGCACAAGTGGAAGATGATAGCTTGGAGGACGTTGGCGAGAAAGAAATCGGCTCTCAGGCCTGCACTCATCCTCATCCACATTCACACCAGGAAAGACTGCAGACGCTTACGCTAGCCATCCCATTGCGCCACAGACGGTTGTTATCGGTCCATCAAGGTCCTGGAGGAGAATGAAAGTCCACGGTGGTGACGACGGAGGAAAGAATGAGCCCTAAGAGCCGCAGAGTGGGGAACTTGGCAGGGTCCTCGCGCTTACGCTAACCTCTGCTCACCAACTCATGACAGACCACCACCCTTCACCCCTCTATCTGCTGTCATCCGATCACGGTAGAAGATAGTCCAGCCCCGACCATGTATCTCCTTGCAACCGGATAGTTTGACGGTTTTGGGGTAGCCAGTCCGTAATGCTCGAACATGTATCAACCTCGAAGACCTTGTCTGACCGCAGGATCTACATTGTGTAAACCTGCAGCGATACGGCAACCATGCTAACAGCGGCTCCATCTCTATACTCGTTAAGGACCAGCAAAGGACCTATACAGACATGGTCCTACAAGGCATCAAAACTTCTATCCTATCAACCAGGACTACAACCTCACAACCGTGGTTACACTTTCCTGACAGCCAGGCAGCAAGATGCTCTGAATGTCCCTGGCAAACCTTCTCGACGTACTCTCCAAGCCATACCGACTACCACTCTCGTGCGTTCGCTCATTGTACTTTCGGCCACCGCACTTCCGGCAAAGCTGCTGGCCTCTCTCATCCGCTTGACCAAGAAGCACGTTGGCATCATCGAATCCGTTGGTCCCTTGCGATGGATCTTCAAGAGGTTGTTGTACGATAACTTTTGTATTGGCTTTCGGAAAGACGAGATTTTGGCCAAGACTCAAGGACTGCGTCACATCGGATTCACTGGCATAGTTTTGGCAAATGCTCGTGAAGCCCAGCCTGTCACAGACTCCAATACAGGATCCGTGATTGACGATGCTCAATGCGAAGAGTGGGTCAATAACAATCTTAAGTCCGTACAGCAAGCAGAACCGGGTGACTACATCGGTTTGAGATTTACGGGCGCAGGCACAGCAGCAGCAAGATTTCTGTCCTATTTCTCGGCCACTTGCAAATCCCAAGATCTGGAAGAGGCGAGCAGAATCTACTCTGTTGAGATGCAATACTATGCTGCTCAGGTGGAACGGATATGTACGGCAGCTGGGGCGCGAAAAGTGCGAGTTTTGATCGATGCCGAATCATCGACCTACCAGAAGGCGATCGACTATGTAGCTCTTGTGAGTTAATCCAATCACGTTTCGGGTGGCTTCGCTGACCCCTTTCAGCGCACTATGAGCCACTTCAATACTTCGCACAGAGCCTTGGTTTTCAACACTTATCAGATGTCAGTCCCTGACAAATCCCTGAAGAGCACCGTAACTGACTTTTAGCAGNNGTATTTGAGATCAAACATCGACAAAATAAGGCTGCACCTGGATCACTCGATCAAGCATGGCTATGTTCTGGGGGCCAAACTGGTGCGAGGTGCGTACCTGTCTACGGAACTTGAAAAACAAGCTCTACACATCTCCAAGCAACAGACGGATGAAGCATATGACGATGCTGTTCGTTTCCTTCTGCATGAAGAGAGTGGTACAGCCTGGAAAGTCGACATTATGCTAGCAACACATAATGCAAAAAGCGTCCGACAAGCCTTCGACCTATACACCAGAACTTATATGACCTCACAGCANAAAGATAAGCCTGAGCCTCAAGTTCGTGGTATGACTTTTGCTCAATTGATGGGAATGGCCGACGAAGTCTCGATGGACCTGGTCAATAAGATTGAGCAGGCGAAGAAGGACGATTCAATCAGGTGTTTGACGGAGGCGGACGAGGTGAACTTGTATCCTCGTCTTGGCGTTTACAAGTACACTGCTTGGGGATCTCTGCGCGATTGTCTTTTATACATATTGAGACGAGCAGAAGAGAACAAAGACGCTGCCGCTCGGACTCAGGATACCGCTCTTGCAGTCTTGCGCGAGCTTCGATCAAGAGTCTTGCGAAGGACTTGAACTGTTGTACTGAAGCTTGTCGTATGCATCAGTCTCAAGACACAATCCTATCATTCTTACAAACTAATGTCACAATGCTGATAGTCCGATGATTGCCTGAATTCGTCCGCGATTACCCTTTAGTTGAGTCATGGTAATTGGCACGAGCACTATCTGCTTCAAACCACTATACAATGTGTGCAGTCCTTCTCCGGGCGACTGTGGATCAGAGCTAGTGCAGTCGCCTGTCAGCCATCACTTAAGGTTACCGTGTTCCAGTCATGCCCCGCCTTTTGAGCTCTGCCGATACATGGTGACAGGATGTGCAAGTTAGCGCAGCCGCCCGTACCAAGATGCTTTATGCGGCTGCTATCGTTCTCGCCTTCTCGAAACATTTGAGACTTTATCTTGTGACCATCTCTCGTGAGTGCGTCGTTTGTCTTTTCCTAGACAAGCAGTCGTGTCCCTTTCACAATTGCACGATAGGGTAGATCGAATCATTGCTGACATTCTATCTATGACCAGCAATGTGTTTGATATTAGCGGAGCCGCCTCTGAGCCATGTTATCCATACTTAAGGTCTCTGCTGAAGAGGAGAGGCAAGGTCACTGAACAATCGCATCCTTCTCCATCAGATACCTCAGACATCTTTGTGTATCCCAGCTCATACAACAGTTTTCAACCATGACTTCCTACCTCAATTACTTTGGCTTTGGAGGAGATAAGGCCTCCTCTGGCAAACTCCCAGACGCTCTACCAGCCAAGCAGTCTCCTGTTCGAGCATTGCCTGCAGCATGGTACACCTCCNNCCCCTCGATGTACGAATTCGAGCGCCGAGCAATCTTCACCCGTCGCTGGCTCTTTATGACCCACAGCTCACGTATCAAGAACCCCGGCGACTTTCTTCGCTACACCGTCGCCGGCTACGACATCGTCATCAACCGCGATCGTACTGGCCAAGTAAATGCTTTCCACAATGTGTGCAGACATCGTGCATATCCCGTGGTGGANAAAAAGGAAGGCAATGCAAAGATATTCGCTTGCAGATATCATGGGTGGTCGTATGGATTAAACGGGAATCTTGCCAAAGCACCTGGTTACCAGGATCTGGATGGCTTTGACAAGAGCCAAAACAATCTCTTTGGCATACACGTCAAAGTCGACATCAACGGTTTCATCTGGATAAACATGGACGCAAATGAAACCCCCGAAGTTCCCTGGTCGGAGCATTTCGCAGACGTCGACAAACAAGAACGATACTCGGCATTCAATTTTGCAGACTATGAACTCGATCATGTCTATGAGCTTGAAGGAGATTTCAATTGGAAGGTCCTGGCTGACAACTTCAACGAGTGTTATCATTGTCCCACCACCCACCCTGATATCCCCGACTTTATCAATCTCGAGACTTTTGATTCCGATCTGCAGGGTGGGCATATTCAACATCATTGTGTTTCTACACCCGAGCAAGCGGCAAAAGGGTTGGGAGTGGCCAGCACATATTACTTTCCCGCCACTTCGATGACGGTCTCGTAAGTCTTGCTAATTGCTCTTCACTCCTCAAACACCAAGGTTGAAGACTGCTGACGAATTTGCAACAGCCCTCACTTCATCATGATCCAAAAATTCCTCCCCACCGGTCCTTTGAATTGTACCATGCACTACGAAATCTACCGCAACAAGTCGCCCATCTCATCCCCCTCGGATTTTGACCTCATCTCTTCCATGTACGCCCGCGTGATGGCAGAAGACAAGATACTCTGTCAAGCGGCACAGAAAAATCTCAACACGGGTGTTTTTACAAACGGGCTGTTGCATCCCAAATACGAAAAAGCACCGCTGTTTTTTCAACAGACGGTTAGGGAGATTGTAACCGGACATTATAGGAGGGAGAAGCAGGCGGGAAGGGAGATTTGGGTGGTGAAGAGAGAGGTCGGGGAGCCAGGGAGTATGCAGGATATGGAGGTCTGCGAGGGTATTGGGTGTGGAGAGAAGAAGGAAGAACTGGTTTGGTGATGCGCGTGGAAAAGTTGTAGGTGTTCTCTGTTGAGGGGATTTAGATATCTGGTGTAGTTACTCAAATGCACAATCTGATTCGCATATCGAAGCATATCCACTCAGACGGAGGAGGTTTCTAATTCTCATCGGACAAAGCCTGATATCTTGAATTGTGCCGTGCATCCTCAATAGTGATGTCGAAGTTCATTTTGTCATTGAGGATATGTAGCAGGAGTGAATGAACATGACTTACGGGATTGGAGACCATACTCAGGGGTTCAGTATTGCCGTCTCAGACGATGTTTTGTAAAGTACCCAACTACCGAATTGCACAGATGAGTTGAGATGACAGGATTGTCCAGTGAGATGAGAAGCATAATACGCATCTCAGTGGACAGATCTCAATACCATGATTTTCTTCTTGCGTTGTTATGGCTGGCTCCAGAGGTGATGTTTGCAGGGCAATAATTAAAAACTGGCATTTGGGGGTATCTTTGGTTAAAAACGCGTCTCCTTCTATTCTAGTGTACAATCTTTCATGCTTTTCATCATATCATCAAGGGGAAATGGGCGATTCAAGTACCCAAGAGTTCCGTTCGATGGAGCCCGGCATATTGTTTGCGCTCTGTTTCTTCCTCCATGGCAGTGCGGTAATCGTCTTGATTGAGATCAGCAGTCTCGACCCAGGTCTTCTCGAACTCGTCCTCGTTCACGGCCCAAATGCCCTCTCTAAGTCTCTTGTGGCGCTCCCGGTCCTCTTCGATACGCTGCTCGACCTGTCTCTTTTCCACTCTGACGTTGCCATTGCTGTTACGCACGGCTTCTTCGGGACTTGCAGTGCCACCCACGCCGCCAATGTTATCGCGGTCTTTGATGCAGTCTTCCAGCTCGTCCACGGTCTGCTGCTGCAAATACTTCTTTCCAGCAAGGTTTCTCAGCACCTTGCGCACGACCTTGACATTGGCAGCGCCACTGCCGTCTTCAGGAGCAACGAGATCAACAATGCGGAGAATATCTCTTTCCATCATGCGGACAAACTCGATGTGGTTGGCTGCGGAAGCGACATCGCAGAGGGTTTCGAAAAAGTAGAAGATGTTTGCGCGGTTGTTGAGGGAGTTACGCTCAAGGTTTTCGAGGATGCAGGAGTGTAGGTCTTCGTCCCATTCGCGGTATTTGATTGCCCAGACTGCAGCTTTTTGGGCAGAGGTGACGGATGCGTTGAGGTGTTGGAGTTGGCTGTTGAAGCGCATGCGGACTTCGAAGGGGTCCATGGTGAGGAGAGTGTAAGAGGTGAAGTAGGTTGGATGTGCGAGAGCAGCTTATGGAAGTGGAAAGGGCGAGCAGGCTGAGCGGGTTGATGAGGCTGATGAACCTGGGTGGCAGGCGTGTGCTGCGATTGCCGAGCGAGCTGAGCGAGTTGCGAGTTCTGAGCTTCAATAGCTGCCCACAGAGCTTTCGTTTCTTGCTGAGCTGCCCGAGTGCGTTGGTCGAATTAGGCTGTCTTTGCTCGCCAGAAAGTCGCAGGCTTGGCCTTGTATTTGGCCAAAGTCTTGTTGAGGCGTTACTCCGGAAGGGATACGTAGAAGGGCGAAGACGATCTTGCAATGCGACGAATAGGCGACTGGCACTCGCGGCGAGGACGGAGATGAGGTGTGGAAGGGGGCGCCGTGTCAACCTCGTTGTCGTCGTAGACTTGGTAGTGCCAAGCACCGCGAGGCTACGGTCGTCTCGGGGCAGGATAGCTGATCTCGGCTAGATCCGAGCTGATGAGTTTGGTTCCGGTATCGGCGGGCGCTGCCGGAGGGGGAGCTTTGGTGGGGAAGAGGTTGGTCAAGCTGATTGTCGACAAGCCGCATTCACTCTTCAATCCACTCTACTCATTCTACTCACTCGCTGGATTGGCCGATACGTCTCGTCGCACACTGAATCAGCTTCCAATCCTTCCAACAATACTACTATGGCTTCAGACAATGGCCTCACTTTGACCGTCGTAGGATGTGGTATGTTCAAGAACACCAACCTTCCCGTGTGCAAAAGACAGTCATAGCACCCCTCTCCCACACTGCTATGCAGCGTTGTGTTATGCTATTAGATCGCTTCCTCGACACAGACGTGGCCATAGAGATGTTCAGTGATGCCCTTTCACTATATCGTGCAAAGTACTGTGGATTTCTGCAGCTACACTATGACAATCTATTGCACACGGAAAGGAACAACTACTACAACCGAGACTAACAAAACCAACACAGGTACCATGGGTATCGCCATCCTCGGTGGCATCATGGACTCCCTCAACTCCTCCTCGCAATCCTCCGAGCAAGAACAAAACCTACCACCCCGTTTACCCAACCGATTCAATGCCACATGCCGCAGCGACCGCAGTGCCTCGCGCATCAAGAACGAGCTGGGAAACTACAATGCCACCCTCAATGTCATCCAATCAGACAATGTGCGCGCAATGAAGGAGGCAGACGTGGTTCTGCTGGCCTGCAAACCCTTCTACGTCAAGGATGTCCTTCAAGCGGAGGGCGTGCGTGAAGCTCTAGAGGGTAAACTGCTCATCAGCATCCTCGCCGGAGTACCTGAAGCCCAACTCGAAGATCTGCTATACCCTGGTCTGTCGCACGAGCAAGTAAGAGAGAAGATCACCATTGTGCGCACCATGCCCAACACAGCATCAAAGGTGCGCGAGAGCATGACCGTCATCAACCAGTCCACACCTCCACTCCCTCAAGACACCAAAAACCTGGTCCACTGGATGATGTCGCGCATTGGCAAAGTCGTCGAGATTGAACCCAAGAACATGGATGCCTGTACCGCTCTCTGTGGCTCTGGCCCCGCATTTGCCGCTTTGATCATGGAAGCACTCGCAGATGGCGGTGTCGCCATGGGTATCCCCAGAGCAGAGGCGAATCTCATGGCTGCCCAGGTCATGAGAGGAACTACTGGTTTGGTTCAAGATGGCGAGCATCCCGCTATATTGAGGGANAAAGTGTCGACACCTGGTGGTTGCACTATTGGCGGTCTTCTTGCGCTCGAGGATGGAGCTGTGAGGAGTCATGTTTCGAGGGCTGTTAGGNNGGAGGCTACTGTTGTTGCTAGTCTGCTTGGCAGTGGAGCGAAGAATGTCAATGGAACCAGGCATTGAAAAGGCTTGAGCATCATTTCTAGATCATAGATTTTCTCGAGATACCCCCATGTACACACAGCTTTCCATTGTGCTTTTATGCTTTGCGGAGCTATCACACTGCAATGTGAAAAAGTCGATTATTCCCCATCCTTTTTGATCTTTTTTTTTCTAGCTCATCTCAACCTCAATCTCTCCACCCATTTCTCCAGCAACTTCCACGTCATCCTCTGCGGCCTCGATTCTCTCCATCTGCTTCTTGGTCAGTGGCCTCTTCTTCTTTCTTCCTGATGGATCCACTCGTGGCGCCGAGATGGCGTCTAGATAATCCTCATTCTTCATCTGACTCTTCAACTCCATAGCAGCCTGCGTATCGGCATGGAAAAGTCGGGAATGATAAGTCGAATAACTCGCCTCCTCATCCTCATCGAAATACTCCAGTCGCGTCCACTTTTCCTCTGCCGCTATCAAGAGGAGATTTTTGGCGCGCAGGGCTTCTAGATTTTCGACATCGCGGTTGTCTTTGTAGGTTTGGGCGAGTGCGAGGGCTTGGGGTTGTTTTGCTGCTGTGGCGGTGTTGGAGGGATTGGAGGTCGACGGGTTTCCTTCTGCTGCTTCGGCGCGGCGGGCGGCGGTTTCGGCGTGGGTTATTGCGTCCACGTGGTGGAATTGGGGGCGCATTTGGACGACGCCGTCGACGCGGGTGAGGTGGAGTTCATCTGGAGGTCGAGGTTAGGTATTTGTGGATTTTAGGGAAGGGAGAGATCTTTTTCGGGGTGATTCATGGTCTTTAAGGAAAGATCGAGAGACTAGAGGTGTAACAAGTGCAGAACAACGCCATGAGAATGGTGCTGAGGGAAAGAAGAGAAGAAAAGAGAGAAGCAAAAGAGAGGACTTACCACCACGGAAAGCGCCCAACATGTAGTTAGGGTTACCTGCCTCATCCTGCAAGATCTGCCCTCCCAGCGTCTGCTTCTGAAAGACCGCGTCCCTGTTGACAGCATCCTGGAACCTCGCCAATCCCTGATCAACACTCATCTCCCCGTTCTCCTGCTTACCCCTCCCCTTGCCACCTTTCGTCGGCGCAAATCCCGCAGCAGCACCAAACGTCGCACTCCCACCATTGACCTTGGACTTTCTAATCGCCTCGCCCCAGACCAGACTTTGAAATTTGTTGAAGTTTGCACTGGGGTTCATGCCGATATCCATTTCCATGAATCCGGCTTGGGGTTTGAGTCGAAAGTCCGTGGGGCGTGCGCCATTGCGGTCATTGTAGGCTTGACTGCGGTTGCGGTTGGGGTATTGCAAGAGGTAGATTTGCTCGAGTTGGCGTGGTGTGATGAAGACGTTGTATTCGGCGATGACAGGGTCGTCGTCTTCCATGTCTTCCGCTCGTGATGCTGGAGGTATGTGAGCGTCTTGTTTACTTGTTGACGCGAGGGGTGAGTCTGCAGAGTTGCTTACGTGACATTTTGATGTTTTTGTGAGATGTGATGTCGAGGAAATGACTTTGATGGTCGCCCGGATTTATTTTTGATAGAAGCCGCCCAGCGGACGAAGATCTCGCCCCGCGTTTCAATCTGGTCTGTGCTCAGACTCGACTTCTACTGTGACCCTGTCTTGATGTTGAAATTGGCAAAAGGCCTGCTTCCACTAGCAGAATATAGACAAGAGCTCGAGCTAGACAAATCGTTATATTAGAAGAAAGTCATGGTCTTAGCGACGCTCCATGAATCTTAACCACACGACAAATGTATACAGTTCGCTCTTTCTGGCCTTCTTCCGAAGCAGAGCTATCACACTGCGACGACTTAATGTTGTATGTCTTAGGCAATCTATCGGCAAGTAGCGGTCGGAGCCAGTCAGTTATTTGCCGCATCCTCGAAGCTGAATCTTAACAATGCACTTGCAACAGTCATCAAAAGTTGACCATAAACCGAATGTGGCAGGACAAGATAAGCTTTCCAGCTTGCCAGCCAAGCGACGAGCAGAACGAAGCTAAGGTTTTCTTCCAACACAAGTCACCGAGTCTCTTCCTCCAACACATCAGCTCGATGCCGATTCGCAATGCGGGCAGCAATGTACACCTCTCATTCTCGAAGGCGCTGCGATTTGATCGCGAGAACATATCCCGAGTTGCGCTGTGATTCGGTGTAGGACAATACGTACCGTTGCGAACGCGATCGGGAATCCTTCCTTGGCAGCAAGCCTCTCAATTCAATTGGGTAGGCTGCCACATTCGAACACCGCTGGCGAACGATAAGGAAAAAGAAGATGATCTCCAGCCTTAGGCAGTCGAATAAACTTACACCCCGCATATAATGTAGGTGCTTGTCCGACCACAATGACTCTGGCATACTGAGACGCATATATCGTTTGCACTTGACATTGGATTCCCGCCGGACACTCAGCTTGGTCATCACTTCAGATTCTATCCCTCCAGGGCTTTACCATGTCCTCACGAAATTGTGATGACGGCACCACAGGTGTCTGTCATGGTGGTCGCCCTGATCTAACATTGGGTCTTGAAGACTATGTCATGATCCTTATACCAGCTGCATGTTTATTGTTCATGGCTCCCTTGAGGCTGAGGAGGACATGGGGTCGAAGTCGCAAAGTCATGTCGCCCACTGCTCTTTGGTGGGCCAAGACGGTGAGTTGTCGATTTTGATACACATTGTGGTTATGAATCAATTTGGACTGACCAGTCAAACAGATATCCTCTACCTCATTCGTCGGTCTAAGCCTAGCAGTTCTCATCAGAGGATGTATGCGACCACATTCGCCGTCAGCAGAGATTCCCGCAGAAGTCTTTTCATTTCTGGCCTCCCTTGCGGCCGCCGTTCTGTCACAATGGGAACACATACGATCCATAAGGCCCAGTGCACTGCTACAACTCTATCTGATGGTAGCCTTGGTCGTACAAGCTGTGCACCTTCGCTCGCTCTGGCTTCGTAATGACGACACAACCATGAGAGGTTTGGGCCTTGGCCAGATTGTCGCTTGCGCTATCTTCCTCGCTGTCGAAAGTGTGAGCAAGGAGTCCATACTATTACAACGTCAGAAACGCAGTCCTCAAGACACCAATGACATGTTCAGTCAACGCCTATTCTGGTGGCTCAACAACATGTTCAAGCGTGGATACACTTCCGTTTTGGCACCCAATGACCTCGACAAGATGGACGAGGATCTGTCATCCACCGACCCACAACGAAGGTTCAGACTTGAATGGCGTAGGCATACTACGAAGAACCCTAAAGTCAACATGCTCCGCGTAGTTTTCAGCGCCATTGGTTACGATATGATGTTTCCGGTCATTCCGCGGCTGCTTCTGCTCGCAATCCAGTTCTCCCAGCCATATCTGATCATGCGTTTCGTCGACTACATCGACAATCCTGAGAAAGGCGGGACTGAAGAGGGCATTCTACTTGTGCTCGCCACTGCAATTGTTTATGTTGCCATTGCTACCTTTCAAAGTTGGTATTGGCAGGCAGTCGTTCGATTTCAGACAAAACTCCGAGGCTGTTTGATCAGTCAGATCCACGACAAAGCTTTGCGCTCGCGGGTCGATACAAACTCCAACCCTCTGATGCTCATGAATGTCGACGTCGAAAAAACACTTGTTGGCATCAGACCAATTCACGAGTTCTGGGCTTGTGGTGTATCGATCGTGATTGCTCTGGGACTCTTGTATAACCAAGTCGGATTGCCTTTCCTCGCACCACTTATCCTTCTTGTGGTTTTCATCACAATCGCCTCCACGAACGGTAAAAAGATCGCTCCGAAGATAAAGATCTGGCTGGCGACAACACAAGACCGTGTTTCTTATATCACCAGCGTTATAGGATCGATGAAGAACATCAAGCTACTTGGTATCGGAGCCTCAGTACTCAATAAAGGCAACAAGCTTCGCGAGAGGGAAGTCCGTGCCCAAAGAGCCATTCGAATATCGTCCATGATCAATCTGATCATCTCACTCACCAATTTCCAAGCAGCCACACTCGCCATGTATGGAGCGTTTGCGATCAAGACACATTTCACTGGAACGCCTCTGACCAACTCAACTCTTTTCACATCATTGGCGGTGCTGAAGCTGTTTACCAATCCACTTCTTATGACTATCCAATACTTGCCATCGTTACTGCAAGTGTTTTCTGCGCTTGCCAGAATCCAGGAGTACCTTGTTACTGAAGATCACACAGATCAACGTACCATAGACTCCGAGGCTATGGCACATGGACGCCATACAAAAACAGGCGTGTCAGTCTCAGAGTTGAATGATATTGCGCAAACCCGAGGGTTAAGCTGTGGTTACTCGGAAGATAATACGGTTTTGGAGAATGTTGAGCTTAGCTTACCTCGTAACAAGCTCAATATGGTAGTCGGGAGGTAAGTTGCGCGACCCAGACAGGACTGACCATTGACTGACACATGACATAGTGTTGGCTCGGGCAAATCCACTCTACTCAAAGCTCTCCTAGGCGAAGTCACTATCCACTCTGGCTCAATTACTGTGGCAGACGACGAAATTGCCTATTGCAGTCAGAACCCTTGGCTCTGGAATGGTAGTATAAGAGAGAATATCATAGGAGCCGACATCCCCGACGATGTCTGGCTGATGAAGGTATGCTGGGCATGCGGACTTGATCAAGACTTCCAGGAGCTTCCGGACGGCATCGATACTCTTGTTGGCAACGATGGCACATCATTAAGTGGCGGCCAGAAGAACCGTATCAGTCTAGCACGAGCAGTCTACTCCCGCAGACCGCTGGTTTTGCTTGATGACGTTCTTTCTGGCTTGGACACTCGAACAGAGCGGCTTGTGTTCAACCGTGTCCTGGGTCCTCAAGGCATCCTACGCAGGATGGGGAACACAGTTGTTTTGGCAACTCACGCTATTGGTTGGCTGCGCTATGCTGACACAGTACTTGTGGTCGAGAACGGCAAACTGGTTTATCAGGGTGGTCCGGAAAATGCACCTGCCTCATTCATACGCAAACACGCGGAGGTACCACAGCACGAAGCCGACGAGGAAGACATCGAGAACACGAGCCCTGCTGAGATTCCGATCAAGACATCCCGATCATCAAGTGTCTCCTCCTCAACTACCAAAACTCAGTCCAACTGGCAATTGTACAAGACTTACTTCAAATCCTTTGGTCTCCTCGGCTTCTCTTCTTTCACCCTTCTCATCATAGGATTTTCTGTTCTGCAATGTGTACAACAGCTGGTACTCAAATGGTGGGCTGGTGCTGAAGTTACAAGTCCATCTGGACTCGGCAAATGGGTGGGCATCTTGGGCGCCATCACTGTTTCCTTCTTGGCCGTTGTTTTCTTGACCCTGTACATTGGCTTCATATACATGTTCCCTCGGTCTAGCTTGTACCTGCATGTCAAGCAGTTCTCAGCACTGGTCAAGATCCGCTACTCCGCTTGGGGTGGTAAAGAGACTGGAAGTATCGCCAATCGATTCTCGCAAGACATCGCGATTATCGACATGCAACTCGGAAACGCTCTTCTCAACGTCATGGCAGGTACAACCGACGTTATAGCGATGACATCGATCATCATTGTGGCCACACCCTTCATCGCTGCAACGCTACCTGTTCTTGCACTGGTCTTCTGGGTCATCCAAAATATCTATCTGCGTACTGGAAAACAGCTGCGAATCATGGATCTCGAGGCAAAGGCTCCCCTATGTACGCACTTCCTGGAGACAGTGACTGGTGTTGCAACCATCAAGTCATTTGGCTGGGCCAAAGCCTACAGGGAAAAGAACGAAAGACTTTTGGAAAACAGTCAGACGCCATACTATCTTCTTGAGTCCGGTAAGATAACTCTGTTCTTAGCACTGCACCATCGCTAACATACGAACNNAGTACAAAACTGGCTCTCTCTAGTCCTGAACCTCGTGGTCGCTGGTCTTGCGACTGTGACGATGGCTATAGTCGTCAAAATGCGATCAAGCAGAGATGGTGGTTACGTTGCCTTAGCATTGATCAACATCATGGACATTGGACCAATCCTCGAAATGCTCGTCGTAGCCTGGACACAGCTCGAAACCAGCATGGGCGCCATCGCACGCATGAAAGAGTTTATCGAAAGCACACCAGAAGAAGAGCAAGGCCAAATTAACCCTCCATCAGACTGGATGACTGAAGGCAACATCTCCATCACAAACCTCGAAGCTTCATACTCAGACACCGCACCCTCCACAATCAAAAACATCAATCTAGACATCAAGCACGGTCAAAAGATTGCCATCTGCGGCCGCACAGGCAGCGGCAAATCGTCTCTTGCCTCCGCCGTATTCGGTCTCTTGCACATCAGCAGCGGCACNCTCAAAATCGACGGCATAGACATAACGACCGTATCCCAAGAACTTTTGCGCTCGAAAATGATCGCACTACCCCAAGACCCATACTTTACCTCTGGGACTGTGCGCGAAAACCTCTCTCTTCGCAGTACAGACGCCAAACGCAGCGATGCTGAAATGCTAGCTGCGTTGTCTCGTGTAGGCCTCCTCGCCAAATTCGAAACACTCGCTCAAGCAGAAGGATCGACTTGGCTTACTCCTCTGGACGTTGCGCTCAACCCTGAAGACATGCTCACGAAAGGCCAAACGCAGCTCTTCGCCATGGCACGCGCGATGCTGTCTTCAGGCAGCATTGTGCTTGTCGACGAAGCCACGTCAGGACTCGATCATGAGACCGAAGCTGTGGTGCAGAAATTGTTGAGAGAGGAATTCGAGGGTAAAACTGTTATTGCTATCGCGCATCATTTACAGACAATTGTGGATTTTGATGTCGTGGTTGTGTTGGATGGAGGCAAGATTGCCGAGGTGGGTGTGCCTGGAGAGCTGATGACAAGAGAAGGAAGTTTGTTTGGAGAGTTGCTTAGAGCTGCTAGTTGATTCGTTGGCGAGGTAAATAAAGAGCCTATGTATTTTCTTGATTATGGTGTGGTACAAAAGGTCCTTGACGATATTGTATTGGTTTTTCTTACTTTTTCTATCATTGCAGAATCATATGCGATTGTTCAACTAGGGTATACACATGAGGATCTTGATCTATATGGCACATTGTATCCACTCGAACACCATACACCTGTGAGCTAATCATCAGATGATGGTATCGAAGCCCGCAAAGTTCTGCAACGGATCATCACAGATCAGAGCGCGTCTTTCGAATTGCAGCAACAGTTGTTTGTTCTTAGACTGTGGTACGGTGTTCAACTGGTGGTAGAAACAAGAAAAGCCATGATGGAGACAAACTCATGGTCGTTGTTTCTCGAGTCTCAGATGTTCATCCCAAGCTGCGCTTCCATGAACTCCGAGTGGGTCCCTCGATAGCTCTGTCATGCACATGCACAGATTGACCTACTTGCTGCAACTGTCGTGTGTATTGCTTGACACATTCGCAATCGAGCCATTGGCAAGGATCCCTCAGCAGATGGACTCTACGAAGAGCCGGTACCCAATCTCTGTGATCTGCAAGTTGGGAAAGCTCCTCGAATAACTCGTGGGCTTTTTCGTAAACGTTTGTTTGGCAAGACAGATCGCGGAGATCTAGGATACGATCCTCCAAGACGAATTGGTTGTTTGGTAGAGCGTATGAGTGCTCAAATGCTTGGTTGAATGGCTCCCTCGATGTAACAACCAATGTCAGTCCTTCTAGGCATGGGGCAAAGTTGGTGTAGAATGTGTGATTGTCGCGGCGACTCATCTTGCCTGCAGATTGCGAGACTATCTCAAATGGGATCTGTAGACGTTGCAGCTTTGGGTAGAGTGTAAACGCATGAGTTTGACAAGGCTCCATTGGTTGGGAAAATTGTCTGACACCCAATCCTGGATGTACCCAATGATCGCTGGATCCTGGATCGAACTTGAGCTCCACAAGACTATGCCGGACTGATGCAACTGACTCGAGGGCTTCTTGTATACTAATTGGATTGTCCATACCGTGGCGTTTATTGTCGGGTGTTAGGTGGGATGTGATCTTCAGGCTCTGGAGATCCTTCGGCATCTTGAAGACGTCAAGCATGTCATCAACGACAGGTCCGCAGTTCTGGAAGCTGAGATGAGTGATACTCCATGTGGCTGGCTCGTCAAAGTCTTGATCCAGCCCCCAAGGACAGTCCATCATTTGCCAATCTCTGAGCTCCAGAAAGCGAAGTGTCGGTATTTCCTTGATCAAGTTACTCACTTCAGGCATCCACTCGTGTTCGATACCCTGATCATCTTCCATGGCCAAGGNACAAGTGGGAAGATTGGTCTCCCAGAAGTTATCATGTATCTGCATATATTGCACTGTCGTGTGGAAGAAGTCCAGATTTTTACAAATAGAAGCATCGGTGAAAAGATACCCGAGGTTCGAGATGGCGGCCACATCTTCAGGATAGCAAAGATTGTCATTTGAATCTTCAGTGTCAACTATGAGTAGTCAGTATAGTTCCTACTATCTCCTTCTCGTGACTAACGAAGAGTTGCTGTCACCGGCCTAATCTCGTATCTCGGAAGCATAGGAATCAGGGCCTTGTAAATATGCATGATTTGACTTACGGCATTGTACAAACACTCGATGAACATGTGGCTTCCAGTCGTCGCGGTCTTTGTGCAACCTATAGAAGAGTTCATAATCACGACACCAGGTCGCGTCGTAAGCTTTGTCCTTTTCAAACCCAAGATAGCCTTGGTCTCCAAAGACTAATGTGTAGTATAGCCTCTTTGGTGTGGCTTGTTGGAAAGCGCTTGAGAGCTGACTCATGATCCTGTGGACTCCAATCGAACTGTGTTCCAAGATCCGTAGCCATATCTCGAGTGGGAAAGTCTCAGGTTGTGTAGAACTCGACACCAGATATGACTGATATGTTTGACTGTGGCAACGACGATGGATGTTTTGTGGTTGGAAAGATGGTAGCCAGGCAGACGCGGTGGATGTTTAGATGAGGGTTGCCTAGGTGGCTCGTGCGTGATGGTAGCTTGGCTACCGAGTAAGGAAGGGATGAGGAAGCAAGGAACAAACTCACTCCTTGACAGATCTATGATTCAGATGGAGTCGACCTACGTACAATGAGGTTGACAAAGGTTTGATAGATTCTCTGTCAGTAGAGCCCTATGTTTGGCCCTTCAAACGGCACTCAATCCGCCGTCAAGATTCAGCACGGTATTGTTCGCATACTGATTCCCACACAAGAATACCGCGGCATCTGCAATCTCATCGACAGTGCCAAATCTGCCAGCCGGGATTCTTGCCATAGCAGCATCTCTGGCAGTATAAGGCATAGCTCCTGTCATATCCGTTTCGATGTAGCCCGGACAGATGACATTGACTCTGATACCCCGAGTACCCAGTTCCGCTGCTAGAGAACGAGTGAGACCCAGAATGCCCGCTTTTGACGCTGCGTAGGCCACACTTCCAGCACCGCCATGTGTCGCAAGCAACGAAGAAATGTTCAAGATATGCCCAGCACCCTTCTCGGCCTCTGCAGAGTTCTTCAGCATCTNTTTGACAGCAAATCTGGAAGCTTGGATAGTAGCACTCAGATTTGTGTTTAGGATGTCGTCTACTTTGGCTTGAGTGGTTCGCAGCAAGAGACTCGAGTGCGTTATCCCTGCTGCATTGACCAGAACATCAAGCCTGCCATTCTCGGGTCCCCAGCAAGGGTTCTTGTCGAGAGTAGACCAGAAATTCGAGTCGTTGATGTCGCCGGTGATAACAAAGTGGCTGCGGCCGACTGAGCCACGGGCGGAGGTGCAAAGCTCGAAAGTTTCTTTCAAGGCAGCCTCGTCGCGACCGACAAGAAGACAGCCAGCGCCTTCGCGCGCTAAAGCGACTGCGATCGCACGACCAATACCGCGAGAAGCGCCGGTTATTAGGCAGGTTGATCTGCGGAGGGCGTGTTTTGAGGAGGCGAAGAGTTTCAAAGATCGAGTTTGTGTGAGAGTTGGAGTGGTTGGCGCAGTAAAAGTCTTGGAACTTGAACCAATTGCTCGTACCACGGAAGACATCCTCGGAGCTGATAGAGTTGAGGAGAAAAAGCGAGACATGTTTGTGGAAAGTGATGATAGGGAAGGAGCTGGAGGAAAATGCTCTCGAATTGCCTTTGGAAGAAGCGAGGACTACGGAAACACTTAGCCTGGTATTGAATCTACGTCGAGTCATGACAGCTCACTTTTTGAATAATCGAGTGTTGTTGGTGAAAGAGAGGTTGTATGGGTAAAGGTCGAAGTCAGTGGATAGGGGAGCTCGGATCAACAAAGGCCTTGGCATGAGCGAAGGCGATTTTGCCCACAGCTTCGTTGGATGAGTTCTTCATCTTTCCTCGATCCACGCGCATCCTCGCAATATACGATCGACAATGGCAGACACAGAGCAGACTGAAGCGCCCGACTACGTTACACTCGTCAGCAATGATGGCTTCGAGTTTGTAGTCCAAAGAAAGTCGGCCTGTCTCTCTGGCGCCATCAAGAGGATGCTCGANCCCAAACAGTGCGTTTCCTCGCTCTGTCGCTCTTCTCTATCCTCTATTCTGTACTAACAATCTTCTGCAGACGGCTTTGCAGAGTCTAAGACTCACAAGTGCACATTTGAGAACATCAACGGCATGGTTTTGGAAAAGGTCTGCGAGTATTTCTACTATAACGAGAAGAACCGCGACTCCACCGGTGTCGCTGACCTCGACATCCCGCCTGAGCTCTGTCTTGAATTGCTCATGGCGGCCGACTACCTGAATGGTGTGTACTCCTGACCACCTCCTGACTGCGTGCTCGACTAACACATCTTCAGTCTGATGAACAAGCCACGCACCTGCACGACTCTCCTCTGTCTTCCTNNTCCTAGCATACCAGCCNNAAGGCGTTTACGGCGTTTGTTGCTCTCTCAACAGAGTCATCTTTCACATTCATCTTCTCACGCTACCATCACCTTCATCGGCGACTCAGACAAGTAACACCATGACCATACAACGACTACACTACATCCTTTGGACCACGAGCATATACGCCGCCATCTACACTCCTCCACGATGCGGCGTCTATAGTTGGTCCTACATCGACTTCCGCATTATTCAGTCCCTCTCTTCACTCACATGGATGAAGGACTTTATTCCAGTCGGAGACATCCAAGAACAATACAAACACAACATCCACCCTTTTGTCCCTTTCCCAGTGCCCTCCCCTGTGATTTACATTGTTCAGGAACTTCTATTGTCACGCTTGTCTCCCCATTCTCTCTGGGAGTTTTCAGGCCCTCATCACTGTTCCAAGATTGAATTTTGACACGTTTAAATTGACTTGCAATGTCTTTGTATCCGTGATGTCTGCGAGTCTCATTGCGTGCCTACATTTTTTCTTCTTCTTTCTCTTTCTCGTCCCTGGGGAATTATGTAAAGTCTACTATCTTGTTGCCAAATTTACCATGACTTTTGACCACAATTGCCTTATCCATCATCGCTGTCTATGACCTTTTTGCTGAAAGGAACTTCTATTCTTGAACTCGTTGCATGTATAAGCCATGACCTTTTTTAGTCTACGGCCGTGTAGCAAACAAAAAAAGGGGAGCCGTATATATGCAGCTAAAGCACACGATCTTCTTGCTAGCTCATCCTACTACATTCCTTCGACTGCATATTTCTCATCTTTGCCACCCTTTTGCCTGTGCTTTGCAGAACACTAGAAATCAAAGTTGATCCTTTTTATGCAGTGTCGTCTGAGCACCTTTTGGCCTAGTATCAGAGCAATGGGTGTGCTGTTCATTTATTTTGGTTTTTGCACTTTGGATAGGGCATTGGGTTTGCGTGCTGCTTTTATGCTTCTTCTTTTTTGTTTTTACCAAGAGTTGGGAATAGATTGTTTGAGGCTGGGTTGTTTATCTTGCATATTTGTGTACCCAGCCGTGTGTTTCGAGATTTTGAAATCGATGGGTTGGGTAGGGTAGCTCGTGCATGCTTTTGCTGCTGCAATGTTGTCTAGTTTACTTTTCTTTGAAGGGAATATCGTGGTAGCGTAGGGCTTTGATACTTGTTTTTCTGGTTTTTCATGATGGCGGACTCTACTGACACGAAATAGCACAGCAAAGAAGACTAGCTTTAGTGCCAACAGTCTTGCCTTACTGTCTCTCTGGAAGCGTGGTCCCCACATGGTGTTGCCTTTGCTTCTCGCAGCGCGTAAAGGGAGCATGGAGCACCCCCCCCCCCCCCCCCCCCTGTTGATCCATGACACGCCAAACGTGCCTCGGAATAACAGTCGGCAGGCTTTTTGCGTTCATGCAAGTAGAGCAAGTGTAAAACGTGCTATATCCGTGGCTACTAGTCAGAAAACTCGATTCAGGCCTCACAAGGCTGGAATAGATTTGTCAGAGTAGACGACGAAATGCAAAGAGGTTGGTGCGCGGGATACCGTATGCCCGAAGACCTGGTTTGGGTGTCTGCAAGCGAAGTCGATCTCTTGGTACCTTGGGAGGAAAAACGATATAGATTAATTGCAAATCGTCATGGTAGATCTGGGGGTGGGGTGGGAAGGTGTGCGTGGATGTGGAAGAAAGAAAACAGTAGAATAGATGTTGTAGTATGATTTGTCTGTTCGAGTTTCGTAGATGCTAGATGCTGAACAGAGAGAAAGGGAGAGGTGAGTAAGGGGGAGGGAAAGTTCTAATTTCTGTACTTCATGATCTTGTGACGCTGATACATCATCGCTGGAGTAGAAAAGCAAAACCTGGTATAAAGACAGTGGCATGATAGCAAACCAAACAAAGAAAAGTAAGAGATAAAGGACAAAAAACATAAGGATAGAGAGAGTGAAGAATGAAACCCAAAACCACAACCAAGGAAAAAGCCATCATCAACCCAGCCCTCCATCCATCTTCCAAACAAATAAAAATACTAGGCATGTAACATTATATAATGCAGAAAAAGAAAACAGATAGGAAAGACAGCACCATCAACAAATCATCAACCATGCTCGTTGGCATTTCGGTCATAGACCGAGCAACTTTGTCAGAGTTGCCTTCTTGAACCCGCTCTTTCTTTTATCTTTTTCCTTTTCCTTCTCCTTCTCCTTTTCTTTCTTCTTGACTTCTGCTGAAGAGACTACTTGCCTAGCTTCGCTCTCTGCAGCTCCAGCAGCGACGAGCGCAGCCGTTTCTTCCTTCCAAAAGTCGTCCCATCTTCCTGGCGCAGCAGGTTTTAGCTCCGCACGACCGAGCAAACTACGATGTCTACTAATGTCTGGCTTCTTCGATCTCAAAGCAACGCTCAAGGAAGATTGGGAGCGAGGAAGACCAGCGGATGAGATGGAGGTAACAGAAGAACCTGCTGGTGACGCCCCAACGCTAAAGTCAAAGGACTTACGAAGACGGTTGCGGTGAGCAGAAGGAGGACGGCAGGAAGGTGCATTGATGACAGGCGCTGTTGCTCTGACTACAGCATCGTCCTCGTTTTCCTCTGGGATCCGAATCTTGATGAAGGAAGCCCGTTGCAGCGAAATGGGCTGCTTGGCTAGGGACATCGTCTTCGGTATCGTGGTGTCCACGTAGGAGGCGCGGAGGAAAGAGATCAGAGCTCTAATATCCGAGGCTGTGGACATGCCACCAAGAGATACGCGAACCACGCCTGTGGCTTTGCCGTCGACAATCTCCATAGGATTGCTGCAGCGGTGACCAGATGCAAAAGCTGCTTTCATGTCTGCTGGTGTCCAGTTGAGGTAAGTGGCCATGCCACCAGGGTTGCACAGAGAGCCGCTACGAATGTATATGTCGTGGCCGTTGGCCAACTTCTCGACTTCTGTGTATGGGATAAGTGAACCATCAGATTTCAGCACGTTGAACGCGATAGTGGCGCCTTGAGTTTTGCTGTCGCCGTACACGGTGGAAGGCTCTTTGTAAATATGAATCACAGATTTGCCATTTCTGTGTCGGAGGTTGCAGAGGTTGTCGTGGAGTTGCTTTGATAGTTGTGCTGTGTGGCGCGAGATGAACTTCATAGGCTCATATCCGTAGAGACGTTCGTGAGCGTTGATGGCGTGGTCCAAAGCAAAGATCGAATGGAAAGGGAGAGTGCCATCCTCAAGCGCATCATGGATGGTGGCAGTCTTTTTCGCATGCCAGGTATCGTTGATAGTCACGACCATATCGACTGTACCACCTCCAAAATATTTGCGGTTAGTAAGCACGTGAGCCGATGACTTCTGCACAAGTAGCGCTCCAATGTTTGGGAAGCCAAAAATCTTGTAAAAGCTGAGAGCCACGAAGTCGGGACTTTCACGGGTATTGCTCAAGTCCAGTTGAGCTGTGCTGGCAAGAGCAGCCGCATCAAGGAGAGTATATGTGTTTGCTCGTAGGACTTTATTTCTGATCATACCCGGCCATGCAAGAGGGAGACGACGACCAGTCATGTTCGATTGGCCGGGATAAGCGAACAGACCTAATTGGCGAGGAAGAGGACCACCAGTACCACCGCACTCGATCCACTTCTCTACCTCGTCATCGCTTCCGAAGCATCGGCTTGTGGTCGTGAGCTCACGGATACCGACGAGACTAGTGTGAGCGTCACGATGGTACCCATACCATAGTTGCTTATGTGTGGCGGCGGAATGATCCTTGAGACAGTCGATAGTGAGCTTGATGGCGGCAGTAGCGTTGGCGACAAAGACCAAGTCCCACTCCTCAGGATCAGCTTTGAAGAAGCGAAGGGCCTTTTCGCGAATGGCGTCTATCCGGTGACCAGCGACAGCCGATGGTGTAGAGTCCGAGTGCGGGTTGCCATATAGGTTTGATATTAAGTCGTTTGAGAAGTCTTCGACCATTGACTTGGCATAAAGNNCTGGGATTGGTCAGATACTTTGTACGTAGGAGCGAGTGTGTTGGTGGGGTAAGCTTACTGTTGATCCTCCATGATCAAGATAAATCTTGCCGGCGAGTTGAGGGTACTCTCGCGCTCTGAAGCTCTCAACCTCTTCGTTTTCATAGTGCTCTCCAGAACATGATGGAGCAGGTGTCGTGCAATCGGTTTCATAATCGTAGTCTTCGTGACCGCTGAAGGACGACATGTCGTCGTCTGATACTGAGGGCGTCCTCGACATGGTGTTTATGTGTTCCAATGATGGGTCTTGCCCGTTGTGTAAGGCTCAAAATAAGATCGCCCGGCAATCTGAATCGTGAAACGGTTTCCTATTTCCCGGAAGAAGGGGGCAAGGTAATGAGATATGAAATGGTATCCGGCTGGCGGTGTGATGGGCGATTGGAGATTGGAAACAAGAGGACTAGACTTTTGGAAAAAGGAGCAACGGTGACATACCAAACAGAAAAAGATGAAAGAGAAGGAAGAGGCAAAAGGTACAAGAGTAAGGGACGGACGTGACGTATATAGGTATGCTTCTGCAGAGCAGGGGAGAATGATTGCTCTCGGGTAGTGGGTGCAGATGGCATGGCGTCCGATCTGCAGCAGAATGATCCATTTGTTAGGCCAAAACACATGGTCTCAGTAGCCACTCTACGCAGGTAGCCAGAACCTGAAGGCTGTCAAAGCGGTAGAGACCCGTCCACCTGTCAACGGTCAACTCACAGGCCAAGTTCAAACTAGAGATCATGGATGTTTGACGAATCAACGGCTCGCGTAGTTATTTTCGAAAGAGGATGCATCGATCGCCAATCAATCCTGGAGGCGAAACTGGATATCTCGAACAGCACGGCGCTCTGTCCACTGCCGGGGATGCACGTCAACTCTCTCTCGATGAGCCTTTCTTTCGAAAATGCAGGCGTATCCTGGATGGCGGTAATGCGACAAGCTGTCCAAAGTGGAGCTTGTTAGGCAGTTGCGAGACGGATGATCTGCTGGACGCGCAGCAGGAAACCGCAATCCGGGTTCATGTTTCCAGCCCATGGCAGCACAGACACCGGGCCTGCAGGAGGAAGAGGAAAAACTTCTCATACGCAAGCATCCCTGGCGCCATCACGACTCAGAACGGCCCTGATAGATTGGATGTCACAGAGTTTTGGGCTATCCCACAAGCGTTGTGACGAGCGGGAGAGGGACGACGCGGGCGGCCCGCGGACAGCAGACGGTATGAAGCCTAAAAATCCTCCGCAGACTTCACGTCAGGTCGTGTCTTTGCCCACTCGGTATCCACTGTCGAGCCGTACAAAGCAACGTGTGGACGAGAGGTCAGCAGCAGCTATCCGACTATGTCAGGTGCTTACTGTGTAACTCGTAAGAATCAGTCTCCACGTAGTCATCGTGTCTCGGCGCTCCGTTGCGGGAAGGCAGGACGACGATGATGAGAGGCTGGCGAGGACTTCATTGTTTCACAACAGCGTTACGACGGTACCCGTTTTTGCTCGCTTGAAGGAAGCCGGAAGGTGTCACGACTTTCCGAGCTGTGAGCACCTCATCGCATTAACCGATAGACTCTCATACCGAGACTCATCTCCAGTGGTGCTGTCCGCGGCCGTGACATCGAGCTCATCCTGTCAGATCTCAATCGTGCTCGTACCGCCATGCCGGCGCATCTTGATACAGACGCCCGAACGCCCTTCTTCGAACCTTCCAGCAGCACTGAGGTCGCCATGGCTGAAGCCACCGAACGACTCCGAGACGACTACCTGGGTCCCCGCAAGTACCGACCATCTCGTATCAATATCCTAGACACTCGCTATGACCGCCAATCTCTCGCAGGTTAGGGTTTGAGAGAGTGGCCTCTAGGCGACAGAAGGATCGAGGGCTGAGCGCGCGCGTCGCTGGCAAAAAGGATGGCCGCAGTCTGTGCGAAAGCGCTCGACCAGTCACCTCGGGCCAGCAGCATTTTGTAAAATGCAGCCTTCCGATCAAGGACAGAAGCCGTCACTCTGTTAGACGAGAAATAACGGCGTCTAGTGATAAAGAGGTGGAGATATCAGGATTGACAAAGGAGAAGGCACGAGCAACCATTCGCGAGGGAGGTGCAACCGTAACAGCCAGCTCAAGAGTGCCAGAGTGGACCGCTCACTCGTGGCCAGCGATAGCATCCCTCGTGCGCCGATACCATACGTTTTCTCGTTCGAAAACGCTCAGACGATGACGACCTATCGCATTGAGATTCGTCGTGTTTCAGGTTGGTTCTGTCAAGGTCAAGAGAGACAGCTGTGATCCTCAGCGGGATCGGATCGCTGACAGGTTTTTGAAGATCCGACACGTACCTAGCTCCTGCCACCTGCAGACCAGGCCAATTTCAATTGACCACAGACCAGATGGTCAAGGTCTTCCGCTTTCAACAGCCCTATACCGGATTCCAAATGGTTGGTTAGATTGCTCTTGATGGAGATTTATTAAGTTGCGATGCTTTCGCCATCTCGAAAGCACGTCACTACGGCCCGCGCGTGTTGGCGGATTGGCTGGAGCCGTCGCGTAGCACGGGGAAGCTAAGTCTAGCTGCATTAGCCTCCTGTCTACAGCCTGCAGGGGCAGCTGCAACGTCCTGTTCTCCTCAAGCCAGAAGATATCTGATACATCCGACTTCATGCACAATGGTCAATCGCGTGGTGACCGGGCTTTTGGGATGCGTCTGAAATTGCCTTCAGCCGCCCAGGATCGACTATCAAGAGGTAGGCTAGAAGTCAGCGCCAGCATGTGATTCGACCGTCGCCTTCTCATGGCCTCTGAGTCGACGACTCTCGCTTGCATGCTGTTTGCCTCTCCATTTCCTTGTGCAGTCATAGCGGCCGTCTGTGTTTGCTCGTCTTCCTGCAGCCAGCCTTCACGTACTCAACAAGCGAAGGAGGAAGCCAGCCCTTCCTAAGACTGCCCTATTGCCCTGCCATTTGTAAACTGCCAGGCCCGGTCTCTTCTGCATCTCTCTTTTGTGTCTGAGACTCCTTCCGCTCGTTCTTTTCCAACTACTGTGGTTGCTTTTCCATATCGTCGCTATCAAGAGAAATCGAATCGCACGTTCGTGTCGTCGCTCAGAGACTACCATCATTTAGCCTTACGACACTTTTCTGTTTGTTCGTCGAGGTCATTGCTTGGCTGCACCCACAGACGCTCCTCCGGTTCCTGATAACCACTTCACATTCCTCCTTCCTCCATACGCGACTTTTATGTTCGCGTCGAGGTCGACAACCATGTCGGACGTCGAGAAGATGATGGGAGATTACTCCCAGCTCACCAACCACAACATTCGCAGCTTTCTCTGGAGAGGAGTCTCTGTCTCTGTCAGAGACCGTCAGACTCATGAAGACAAGCCCATTCTCAACAACGTCAGTGGCATCGTCTACGCCGGAGAGTTGATGGCCGTCATGGGACCTTCGTATGTTTTGTCTAATCTTTCCGTCTGTTCCCATCGCTAACCCGCTCGCAGTGGTTCCGGAAAGTCAACTCTTCTCAACGTGCTTGCCAACCGCGTGCCTGCCAAAGGTGCTCATGCTCAGTCAGATGTCTTCCTCAACGGCCGTCCCGCCGAGGCTGAGACGATGCGCAAGATCAGCTGCTATGTCGAACAAGAAGACGCTCTTGTCGGCTCACTAACAGTCAGAGAGACGTTACTGTTTGCTGCTCGCCTCTCCCTTCCCAAGAGCATCAGCGCCAATGAGCGCATCGCCCGCGTCGAGGCACTCATCAACTCTTTCGGTCTCAACGGCCAAGCTAACACTTTGGTCGGTACACCTATAAGAAAGGGTATCTCTGGTGGTCAGAAGCGCCGTGTCAGTGTTGCCAACCAGCTTATCACCAGCCCCAAGATCCTCTTCCTCGACGAGCCTACTTCTGGTCTGGACTCGGCGGCTGCCTTTGAGGTCGTCGCGTTCGTCAAGGATGTGGCCAAGAAGCATAACGTAAGTTCTGAGTTTCATCTCACACCCAGCTGTATAGACACTAACACAAGCACANNGTTGATGGTCATCTCGAGCATCCATCAGCCTTCCACATCGACATTCGCAATGTTCGACAAGCTTCTCCTCCTCTCGCATGGCAACACAGCATACAGCGGACCAGTTAAGGACGTCCAATCTTTCTTTGACTCATGCGGCTTCCCCATCCCTCTCTACATGAACCCTGCCGAATTCATTATCGACTTTGTCAACACCGACTTTGCTCATAACAGGAGCGAAGTCATGAGCCAGTTCGAGATGGTCACTGGCACCTGGCAGCGCTCCGGCCTTCACGCCGAAAAGTTGAACACCATCGCCCGCGAGATCTCACACGGCGACCCTTCGCCCCAGGAAACCAACGATAACGAGCAGATTGGTGCTCACTGGTTCGCAATCGTGATTGCGCTTATCCATCGCAACTTCATCAAGTCGTACCGTGATATCATCGCTTACGGCATCCGTATTGCCATGTACATGGGTCTGGCTGTCATGATGGGCACTGTCTGGTTGCGTCTAGATGCCTCGCAAGACAACCTGCAAGCCTTCACCAATGCCATCTTCTTTGGTGGTGCCTTCATGTCCTTCATGGCGGTCGCATACATTCCCGCTTACCTCGAAGACCGCGCCATTTTCATGAAGGAACGTGCCAACGGTCTTTACGGACCCACGTCTTTCCTCGTTAGCAACTTCCTGACTGGTCTCCCGTACCTCTTCATCATCACTCTGCTCTTCAGTGTTGTCGTCTACTGGCTCAGTAACTTCCGCGGCACGGCCGCCGGCTTCTGGACTTGGGTCATGTGGCTCTTCCTTGACCTCATCGCCGCCGAATCCCTCGTCGTTTTTATTACCAGCGTCGTTCCGATCTTCGTCGTCGCCCTTGCCGCTACTGCCTTTGCCAATGGTCTTTGGATGTGCACTATGGGTTTCATGGTCCGCCCTGCCGACCTCAACCCCTTCTGGCGCTACGTCTTCCACTACATTGATTACCAGAGCTATGTGTTTGAGGGCATGATGGTCAACGAGTTTGCCCACAGAAACTACACCTGCCCTGTTGATAACAAGGGTAACTTTGCCTGTGCTTACGAATCTCCTCTCAACGCTCAGGGATTGATTCCCGGCACTGCTTTGCTGGATACCTATGGCTACAAGACTGGCAAGACTGGCGAGTACATTGGTATCTTGTTGGCCATCATCTTGGTCTACAGACTTCTTGGCTGGTTTGTGCTGTATGTTCGCCGCACTTGAGAGGTTTCCCCTTCACCCCAGACACAGCAAGAGCAATCTTTGTACTGTTCTTTGTTCTATAACGACTCTCTTTTTCTGTAATTTTCTTTTTCCTGTCGCATCGGTGTATTCGGGGCAGGTGTTCTTTTGGCGCATTCGGTCCCTATTACCCCTTTTTGCTTTGAGTTTTCTACGCTTTGTCTTTTCATTGGGAGTATGACTTTTCTTTTTTGAACACTTTCGTTTCCGAAGAAGGAAAGCAGGGCTTTAACACTCTTGACGAGTTTCAGAGGTTTCGGATTTTGTTTCCTTCCACAAAAGAGCTAATGATGGATGCATAACACTCCCGACACAAAACAGAGAAACCTACAGATTGATGCCCGACTGTTTCTACATACATGAAAGAAATAAAACAACTCTCACGGTCTAATGCTTTTTTTTTGTCGTTTATGTTGTGTTCGTGGATGCGTGTGATAAAATGTCTTGCATATCAATCTCGATTTCTTCTCCTTCTCAGCTTCACCTTTCGCATTTTTACTCCTTCTCTTCTGCTACTTACCTCTGCATATCCAAAGCAGTATCACATCCGCGACCCAAATTTTTGCGACTTGCCATCTGCAATCACGCCCAACGCCAAACAGAAACCTTTGCAAGGATTCTCACTTTCTCAACAACAGCTGGGTACCTTTTTGCTTGTACCCTTGCTTTGAGGGAGGATGCGGCGCTGAAGCTTGCGTTTTCCTGACTATTGTGTAACGTGTGACAAACGCCGCCACCCTTGAAGTGCATAAACGCCCGACTTCACCTCAGGGCAAACGCAAAAGGGATGCAAAAAGGATGCAGTGTTACGAAAAAGCCCTTTTTGCTTTCGTGGGGGCGCATTGCATGAGTGCATTGCAGTCGCCGAGTACGTCTCAGTGCAGTTTTGTAATGGTTATTTCTTTTTGTAAAGCAAAGGGGGAAGGTGATTTGATGGTCTGATATCAGGTGTCCTTTGTTTACATTTGTGGTGATGTATTCGAGTTTTTACAGCTGTGAAAGAATATCTTGCGTATCTTTGTCCTTTTGATCTCCGTTTCTGGCTCTCGTTGCTGTGCGAGATGCAGAGGTCCAAGGCATAGAAGAAGATGCACGTACCCTCTTCTCCAATCCGACCAAGTCTGTCGTGACCAGTTCTTCTTCGCTGTCCTTGTGTTTTGCAGTATTGCTGTCGATATCCTTTCTTTGCGTTCACCTGCCATCAATTCTTGCCATATCAACAAGATGTACGGTGAGACGAAACCTCAGGACTGTGCATTCTATCCCATGCCATCTCCGTCTCCTCGATAGCTCCTCAGCTACACCCAAACGATCGTTGAATCTTGCTTGAATGTTGATATTGCTTGCTCCCGAGACCGCTGAAGGGCTTTCCTGGAGGCAACCACCCGTCAATACTCATTTCTCCCAGACAATGCGGTCAGCAGACACAGAAACCTGCACATATATGTTGCACAACAAGATGCTGTGAAGAAATTATCCCCTGCAGAGCCATCTATCGTTTCCATATTGCTATTGCATGTATGCACTGTATTCGTTATGCTATATTCTAGCATACCTGCACAATTGAGGACTCTGATGGAGCTCGGAGGTTGGTTTGTCTGGTTTGAACATACTCTTGTGAAGTGGTGGAAGGAGAAGATGGAAAAAGAAAAAGAAAACAATCATGGCTGGTCATAGCACCCTGGCTACGACAACTCATCTCACCACAAGGCAGTCAAATACTGTCTCGATAGCTCTTCGGGATTCTATGTTGCAAGTAGTCCTCAGTGAAAGCCATGACACAATAGTGTCCAAATGGACACGTGGTTGTCATCTCGCGGTGGTCTTGTGCTTGAGGTAAAAGACCACAGATGAACATGACGATCGTCTATATTCTCAGGTTCCCGTTGCTATGCTGTTCTGTTCACTCCCCCGCATGCTCATGCACGGATGCGAGCTCAGACACTCCGGGATTTCTCAAAGACGACTCAATGCTTGTGTGCGAACGATAAAAATCAACACTCGAACAAGTCTTCAGACACCATAGCCGTAGCCACCAAGGTCGCGCTCCTTTCGTTTCAGCTGCAGCTGTACAAGAGTTAGCAATGTCCGAGTAAGATAGAGCAACACGAGGAAGGAATAAAAATGCTCGTGTACGTGATGCGCAAGAGAAGCTGTGACACTCACAAACCCAGCCCTGCTTGATCGTCCTGGTCTTGTTCAATGTCCCCGAGACGAACGTTAGATCAAACTTGATACGCATCGGCAAAAAGTCGCTTGTCACGGCTTCACGCCATAACGCAAAACATCATCTTCCATGCTTCTCTTTCTCAAGAACACTCGAAAGGAGTTCATGCAACCGCACAGATTTATACCTTTGCTTGAATGCCGCTGGCTTTCTGATATGCCTTTTCTTCTTCGGCCTTCTGTCCTGACTCGACGCGTTGTAAGTTTGCCTGCTCTGATCTGCTGAGGGGGTTCTCGTTTCCCGTACGCCTTGCACGGCTCTGTTGTGTCTCGACGAGTACGGGTCTACCGCTCTTAGGATTGTGGCCAAAAGTGTACGAACGATATTCCGTATTGGCCCAGCCAGTACCTGGAATTCTGTGAGAATGTGTATGATGATGTATTCTGTGTTCACGATGTGATGAAGAGGGGGACTTTTGCTTATCATGACTGTGATGATGATGATGGTGGTGATGCTGGTGACGTGACGATGGAGGGTTAGGTCCACTCTCGGATTTAGATCGAACACGTTCCAGGTTGACAATGACAGGAGAAGGGGGAGCGTCAGACCGCCGGCGATGACGGTGACGACGAGGGAGAGTGTTACCCTTATTCTTGTCCATCCAGTCCTCGGTGAAGTAATGCAAAAAGCCACCATGGGTGACAACGACAATCTCCTTCTCTGGACGGTTGTATAACCATTCTCTGGCTATCCTTGCACGATCATCGACAGCTGAAGCAGTTGCAGACCATTTGCCGAGTTTGGTGTTCCAAGCTTTGGCCGGAGGAGTGTACATGTAGCTCAGGTCGACGGGTTGACCTTTGAACTCTGACTCGAGATCTTGAACATTACTCCCAGTATCGCAAGGCAGGTCCGATGTCTCTTGGAGTTCCGGGAGGGCGAGAACCTTGAGACGTTTGTCCTTGATGACCGGAGCGAACGAGTGGAGAGCAGTATATACAGTGCGTTTCATTGGAGAAGCCACAACAGCATCGACCCTGTCCATGAAGGGGAAGTTCGCTGCAAGAGCTTTGCATTGTTCCTCGCCGAGTTGTGTAAGCATGGGGTCATGCATGGCATGGTTCATAACGCTGAGATTGTGGTAGCCTTGAGCATGACGCACGCAATGGATCGTGACAGGAGCCATGTTGATGGTTGGGTCGTTGATGTGTCGTGGCAGCTGTTTAGGTATAGAAAAATACAGGTATAGAGGAATAGAGGTAGGACTGAGTTTAGGAGCAGTCAATGGATGGTCGCAAAAGGAAAGGCGTCAAATGGTGAAAGCAACCACAAAGAAAACAAAGCTCTCTCTCGAGTGTGGCCTGGGCATAGCCATGCGCTTTGTCTTACGGAAAGAGCGACTCGACAGTCAAATAGGAATGACACGCTTAACTTGTCACTGGTTAAGAAATGCCTCGTGGAGGCAGGAACGAAAACGTCACAGGACCCTTCATTCTTGCCGATCAGCATTGGCACGACGACTCGGCTTCTGCTGACCGCATCTTGGGACAATTCTATATCATCGCAATCAGCACATTATTACACTATTTTTGCTCGCAATACCATCGAGATTTCCTTGAGTATCGAACAAATAGAACAGTCTGTCTACGAGATCCCAAACAACCCGATTGTGTTTCGTGTCTTTCGCTGTGAATTTTCCTAGGGAAAGCTTGGTATGCAAAGGAGCATCGGCTCTTTATCATCCGGTTACCTCCATAAACTGCGTGCCATAATGCATAGTCAATTCACCATATGGTCCCGTCCTCCTTGACTCCAGTAACCCAACGCCGTCGCTAAATCAACCAAAGTCATCTCTAATTCTAGTGGTTCTTCTGTCTTGCCAGCCATAAGCCCACGGCTTCACGAGCAAGATCTGTTCCCCATGCACCATCCTTGCCACCTCTGCGGAACTCTTCGCCAGCATAACCTTCATCACCACCACCTCTGCCAGCCTCGGCAAGGATGATTTCGAGATCGCGTTGTTGACTCGAGGTCCAACGCTTGACAAATGTGGCTGGGTCGCGGGAGAGCGAAAGCAAGAACTTGCGCTTGGAGTTGAGATGGCGAGCCTTTTCGAGCAGGAGAGCCGTGTCGTCATTGACCTGAGTGATCTTCTTAAGATTGGCCATGTGTCTTGGTGACGAGATGATGGCCTGCATCAGGCGCTTTGTGGTGCTGGGGACCTTGACCCGAATGTCCCAGATCATGTATTCTGACGGCTGAATAGATTCGTCTTCAGGAGCGATGTAGTCCTTGTCGATACGAATGGTGTAGGGAAGCTTGATGGGGTCGAGAGGCGAGAGGTGTTCTAGGATGAGCTCAGGGAGGTTGGGGAAGAAAAGGGTTTCGTGACGGAAGAGCTGCCTGAGGGTCTCGTCGCAAGTGACGCGACGCTCGTCTTCGGGGTCAGTCAGCTTGAACAAGCGAGCGTAATCCCAGATTCCCTGGACAACGTCGGCGCGTGTCGCTGTGTCCATGTCGAGGATCCAAGCGAGCGGTGGGCTCAGTTTGAAACGTTCGGGTTGCTCGTCAAGGTAGAGATTGATCGTGACTTGGAGCTCTTCATCGCTCTTGCGACCAAAAGCGATACAGTCGACGTCGGGCTCGCCGTCCTTCTTCAGCCACTCAATCTTGTTGAAGTCGTTCGATTGCAAGGCAGCGGGACGGTTGAAGTCGACAGTAACGCGTTTGAAGAAATGCGACATCTTGATGGGCGCCATGGGTGGTAGGGTCGACTTGAGCTCTGAATCCTCGGGGATGTCGTCTGAGCCCTCAAGCAGCTTGCCTTCGATCTTGACGCGATAGCGGGCTTGGTTGTTGTCTGCAAAGTCGAAAGTACCGTCCTCGTTGAAACCAGCATTGCCATCGTTGGCCATTTGCCAGGGCTGTCCCTCGGCCGTATTGCTGACGAACAAGCGTAGAACACCTTCAGACGGCATCTGACCGGATGTACCCTCCAGAATATCCAAGCGCTTCTTTGTCATGATGGCATCCAATCTCTTCTCCTGGTCGCGTAGCTTGCGGTATAGGATGGCGGCATCGGTAATGGTGGCTTCGGCGAGGTCATCGTCAATGTCGAGGTCGGTGGGCTTGCGAGCTTGTCTGCGGGCAGCTTCGCGGCGACGGAGCTCTTCTTGTTGTTGCTGTGCTTGGGCGGCCTGTGAGACTGCTGGCGCATGTGCCTGATGGCCTGCTGCGTACATGGGACCTGGGAGCAGTTAGTTGACTGTGTCCCTGCGACACGTCTTTCTCTTCGACTTGCCAGGTCCAGTAGGACGGCGCATCTGGCCTGGAGCTGCAAATCCTCGTGATGATGGCTGCATGTTGTGGATGTGTGAATGCGACAAATGTTGGCACGCGCAATTGATGGTCTATCCACGACGCGACTCGGATGCTTCCAGGTTCCTGCCAGTCCAAAGACCCCAAACGCCGATCCTGTTTTGCCGAGCTTTTTCCACGTCTGGGGAAGGCACTCATCGCTGACGTCCACGATGAAGCCTTCCACTTTCCAACGCGCTCCAGAGCAGAACCAGCAATATGTCTGGTCCATCTCTAGCATCCACAGGCATCAATATCAAGCCTGAATTGGAAGCCGCTCCATCTACAACTGTTTCCGCTTCCGCCAGTCTCCAGCCTTCTGGTCGTGTCCACGATATCCTCAATGTATCCCTACCATGCACTGACCCAACCTCACTCTGGGACGTCAACCTTTCTTTCTCTGGCACTATCCANAAAGTCACTCCTCATAGTCCAGATCTGTTGGAGGCCTTGAAAGACGACACCTCTTCACCATACATAAATGGTCGCGGAGCCTTGCTTGCTCCTGCCTTGTGTCATCCTCACATTCATATCGACAAAGCCTATCTGCTTTCTCATCCCAAATATGCTCATCTACAGATCGAAGAGGGTACTTTCGACGAAGCCATGAACCTGACATCCAAAGCAAAATCGAGCTTCGAACGTGATGACCTGATCGAGCGTGGCTTGCGAGTCATTGATGAGAGTGTCCAATCCGGGGTGACTTCTATGAGAGCTTTCGTCGAAGTTGACCCCATCGTTGGCCTCAAGTGTATCGAGGCAGGAACATCCCTCAAAGACCAGACCGAACTTCGATGCCACATTCAACTGTGCGTATTTGCCCAGCTGCCTTTATTCTCGGGCGAGGATGGAGGCGATGAGATAAGACGTCTTGTCGAAGAAGCTGTTGAGCCGTCATATGCTGCTGATGTGCTGGGAAGTACACCATATGTGGAAGACGATCGCGAGAAGATGAAAAAGAACGTTGAATGGACCATTGACCTTTCTCTTGAGAAGAATCTCCACCTGGACTTTCATCTCGATTATAATCTGGACCCTGACACCGAGCCGCTAGTTTGGTATGTGATCGATACACTCAAGGCCAAAAATTGGACTGGCCGCACCAAGAAGACCATCGTCCTGGGACACTGTACTCGTTTGTCCTTGTTCAATGACGACGAATGGAAACGGCTAAAGAAAGAAATTGCGGATCTGCCTGTCAGCTTTGTTGGACTGCCAACCTCTGATTTGTTCATGATGAGAACAGAGACCGGTGCTCGGGGAACTTTGCCTGTACCCCGTCTGATCAAAGAATATGGCTTCAATGCTGCCATATCTATCAACAACATTGGAAATGCCTTCACGCCACAAGGAAACTGTGATCCACTATCAATAGCCAGTTTAGGCGTCGGTGTCTACCAAGCCGGCACAAAGAGAGATGCAGAGATCCTCTATGAGTGTATCTCTACAAGGGCCAGGAATGCTATCGGCTTGTCCGACGGAGCTGACTCAAAATCTTCACATACGCTTTCGCTAGATCCCAAGCAATCGGCGGACATGCTTCTTTTTGGCAAGCACGATCCGGATTGGAGAACCAGACGTAATATTCCAGAAACCGTGTACCTTTACGATGGGTCTAGCAGAAGGACAGTCATCAAAGGCGGGTTGCTAGTCGAGTAAAGGTCATTTTCCTGGTCTGCAACTTGGGCAAAATACAATGTCGGTCGACATCATCCAGTAGTCGTTCCAAGACATACGCTATATCAAGGGTTGGACTGATCTGAATGGTGTGCCTGTCCACAAGATTCCGCTCCATCGACGACATCACACTGCTTCCACTGCTACTCTGATTAATGCAGTCAACGACACAGTCCAGCTTGCATATATCAAGGTGGGATCTCCTTGAATACCTCGAATGCGGAGTCTTCTGGTCACCAGCAGCACTCCAGAGGCTCCCGTGGCGACGAGCATCGTTTCTCATATGGCCCGTGGCGTATGCTCAAGGTTGGTCGAATCACCTTACTGTCGTCGAGGCGATGCGAGCGATGCCTAGACATGCGAGCAGGGGCCTTGAAGAACTTCACACCCTGTTGATTCGTGAGCTCTCAAGCCAGACTTCCCATCCCCCTTCACGCGATTTCATCAGCTTGACGGCAATCAAGTAACATGGCACAGCCACACAATCAGCAGATACCCACTGCTGGTACGGACAGACTGCTCCTGGATGAGCTCAAAGTGTGTTGAGCTGATATACTCAACAAGTTTGTTGGAGTAAGACTTACACATTACAGGAAATTCTGGAGTCCCGTAACGAGGCCGCTTTCTACTGGTTGCTAAGGGTACTGGACGCCTACTACTTTTCGCGTATCAGTAGCGGGGCCCTCTGGGTCTGGGTCTGTAAGACACTCTACGGCACTGGTGACTATCATCTGCTTGAAAGATGTAAGATCTTCCTGTTCGACGGAGAGGATCTTGAGCAGCTTGACAGTCTTTCGGTTGCGGTCACAGAGTTCGCCTATCAGCCGGAAAGACTCAGGCAATTGGCCATTGACTTGGGTCTTCCACTCATGCCGCACGAATGGGAAGATTTCGACACGCAGCATAGACTCGGACGTATCAGGTGCCAGGAAATTTATCACAGACAAGCAAGAGCCGTTAATCCTCTTCCTCTCACTGAACGATCCACAAGCACCAAACCTTTGACGGCCGCAACCCAGCTTGCGCGCACTGACGAGTCGACACTAAACTCTGGACAGACTCAAGTCGCAAACCAGCCTGCGCACAATGAAAATACGACGCTGTCACGACATCTCGCTCAGCTGACCAACGACCTCAACGTGACACAACAACTCACTGAGGCCCCCAAAACTCGCGTTGAACTGCTGGGGACTCCAACCCAGATCCCACATAACAGAGACGCAGAATCCGCAAAGCAGCCTTATGAGCCGCTGGATCCTCAGCTCAAGCTGACAAGTTTGGGATCCACGAATCAACAAGTTCCTAAGNNCTCGCCGTCGTGTGTCCCACTGCCGCCATGCCTCCAATCACACCTGCTACCACGCCTGCTACCTCGCCTACCACCAAGCCCGCTACGACTCGCAAGTCTTCCAGAACTTCCAAGTTTTCTGAGCCCATCATGCACGCAATTTCCCATCCGGATGTCGCTCCCTACAAGCCTGGTACCTCGATCAGGCTCCCTACTTCAGTCAAATCCATTGCTTCTGTCAAGCCTGTGCCCGCCTTGAAGTCCATTGCCCTCGTCGAGTCTTCGGCTTCCATCGCCGCCGCCTCGTCCNGGTGCCCGCCAGAGACCTGTCTGGAAGTCTCCATGGAAGAAGACCCCGATGCAGCTTGCTCCCCTCACTCCCAACTTCNNTCCGTCTCAGACGTAAGTAGCCTCGTTCTATGCAGGACTATCAACACATAACCTTCACTTACTAAAAACTCGATCACAGGTCCGCAACGAAGGCAAGGGCAAGCAGTCCATGGGACCCCCACCTCTTCCCGAGCACGTCGCCTTCGCCTTGGCTCACGAGGGCGCCTACGTCGAGCCCCTTTACAAGCCCGTCGAGTCTCCCGACAAGTACGTTGAGCCCCTGAGCCCAGTTTCCGCCCCCAAGCTTGATGGTTTGCCTGAGGTGGAGCAGGCTGAACTTGTCTACCAGCAGCTGCTTGCCGTTGGCGAGCGTCAGAAGGCTGTTACTGGCAAGTACAGAAGCGTTGCCGATGACTTGAAGGCTCACGCTCAGGCCCAGGCTAAAGCTCAGAAGAGTGAGGATGTCGGTATGGGCGGTCAGTAGACTGCACTTGCTTCACTGGAAGGGTTGGCCCCATCATTGAAGAGCACCATTGGTGGTCAGGTCACTTGTACAGCAGAAAAGTTCACACAAAAGGCGTACAAGGCCCAAAAGAAGAATTCAATGTACAGTAGTATACAAAGCACAAAGAAATCACAAAACTCAACTCTGATCATACTTCTGTACTCCTTGGTCGCCTTCTTCCTTCCGCTCTCCAAGCTCCGAGTACACTCGACCGTGGCTTCCCCCTCATACCTTCCTCCCTCATGCCTCCCTTCCTCACTACTCCTTGTCACGACAATCAAGCAATACATCGAATACAAAGGTGTGAGCCCAGTAAGCATCTATGAAACACAATAACAAGAATTACATCAAACAAAAATCCCCACGTCAAAAGACGAATCGAGAAAATAACAAAGAGGTGTTTCGAGTGCAACATCCATTGGGGCAAAGGGATGGTGGGGGCAATATGCAAAACCTTTTTCCCTACAAAGATCATGGATTTTCTTAAGATGTAAAAAGAAAAGGATGTGCATGTCCAAAAATACATGACTCTACATGAACACTACATGAACTCTTCTCGCTCCCTAATCATCCGCGCTCCCAAGGGGCAAGCAAAAAAAGAGAACAAGACCAATCCAATCATGATATAGAGACAGAAAAAGGATGATGTGGAAGTAAAGAAGGAAAAGAGAAAAGAGAACACGAAAAGGCTATCCGAAAAGAAAAAAAACGCCGCAAGATTATTCTATCCTGGAAAAGAAAAAACAAATTCATACAAAGAAATAACGATATTGGGTATTCCGATGATCCTCCACCAGTCTTTGCCTATATTCCAATCCCCCCAAAAAGTGTAATAGTTTGTGTTGTTGTTGTATGTGTACTCGTGTGTCCAATCTTGTGTCGCTTGATAGTGGTGTTTGTATGGTCCACTTCCATGTATATATGTGTGTCGACTTGTGCATGGTGTTCGTCATGTTGTTGTTTCGTAAAAGTGGTGGATGTGTCGTCCAGAGTCGCGGAATTGTCGAGAGTATGGTGGTCGCATTTCGTCAAACCCCAATCTTCTTCCTCTCTTGCCTGTCGTAGAAGATGCTCGACTCACGACGATCATAACGGCTCAATGTCATCAAAAGCCATTAAACCGCCCTCAGCCTGTATCCCGTCCTTGACCCATTCCATTTCTTCAATGTCCGCCAACGCCTTCCTTCCCATCCTGACCTTCTTGAGCAAGCCTTCGACGACACCCTTTGCTCCCTCCCATCCCTTGAACTCTTTGGTATCGTTTCTCTTGTCATCCCATTCTCCATCCTCGTCACCAAATTTGCACCACATCCAGTCTGCACGGGCTATGCGGTGTGAAGGTCGTGATCTTTCTGGTTTGCCTGGTGGGCAGTCGAATGGTAAACGGCCTTCCATCAAGGCATATAGAAGAACACCCAGGGCCCAGCCGTCTGTACTGCGGCCGTCGTAAGGTTGACCGAGCAGAATCTCAGGGGCAGCGTAGTCTTCGCTGCCGCAGCGGGTTGTAAGGAGGGGCGAGGCTGGTGGAGCGGGAATGCGGCGGGAGAGACCGAGATCGGTAAGGCAGATCAGCGGGTAAGGATGCGTTTGGGGGTTCTCAAGATGCGAAAGAGCGTTGTAGGGTGGTACGACCAAGACGTCNNTAATATGATGTAAGCAAAAGAAACAAGAACAGAAAAATCAGAGGGAAATCTTACTCTCAAGCTTGATGTCGCGGTGGACAATATAATTCTTGTGCAAGTAACGGGTCGCGCTTACCAGTTCAGCGAACATGCGTTGGACCAGGTTGGGCTGTAGAATGTTGCGGTGTTCACTGGCCAATTCGAACAAGTCACCTCCTGGACAGTAACTCAGAACAAGCAGAGCTCGTTCATCTGTGTACTCGAGTGCTTTGAGCTGCACAATCGAGGGATGTGACACGCTCTTCAGGATGTCGACTTCTCGTTTCAGAGAGACTTCGATTCGCTCTTCGTCAGCACCTCCAGCTGGACCATGTTCGACAATCTTGACGGCAACCAGTTTTCGCGGGTTCAAGTTCTTCTCATCATATGGCGTACCCGATGGCAGTTGTTGTGATGTGGCCAGCATGACCTTGCTGAAAGTACCCTGGCCGAGAGTTCGTACTGAACGCCATCTACGCTTGTGGTCTTCATGCGCTGAGCGAACAGTGAAGTACTCGACGTCGGGGTCCTCTGCCCCACCCACACTCTGCATCTCTGTGTCTTCTCTCTCTGCTTCCAACATACCCTTACTCGAAGGAGGTGGTGATGGCAGAACCTTTGCAGAGTCGACTGAAGCTCTCATCGTGGACTGAGTATGCGAGTGATCGGGAGTCCTTCGCTCATTGTCCGAAGAGGCCGACGGCTGTACATAGCCACGCTGCTGAGCGAGGTAATGCTCCCTCTGCATTGGCTGCTCATTTGGTGGAGTGGTCGTAATGTGCAGACCTGCAGGCCCAACCGTGACATTCCTCGGCCTCACGTTGTGCATGGCTTCGGGCACAAAGTCACTAATGCTGCGGTTGCGGTTGTGCTGCTTGCGCATGACCAGATCGATGCCTTGGACGTGTTGACCCTCGACAGCGGCGTGTACCAAACTTCCATATCCCTTCTTTTTCTTGGGCGGCGAGCCGGGTGGTGGAGCCATTGAGGATAACATACTCGTCGTCGGGGGAGAAGAGCCGAGTCTCGAGGGTGGTCTCATTGAGGTATCGAAATGGCCGCTTCGTATCCGCTTCCACGGGCCAGGAGAGCTGGGGTCGTTGAGCATGATGGGCGAAGGTAGGGGAGTGATATCGAGCATGGCAGCCAGGGCGGGCGAGGCAAGAGCGGAATTGGGACTCAAGCTGGAGGTAGACAGATTATGGCGCAGTGCTGGTGTCAGCAGAGGAGAGGCGGCCGTGTGGCTTGAGCGAAACGAGTCGGGGAGTTCCTGCTGACTGGTCGACAGCTTGCGATTAGCAAAGGCTGACGGGATGTCGGTCCTGATCTGGAGGCCGGCGCTGGCAGCGTGGTTGTGTCGGAAGGCCAGCGCGTTCGAGGTGAAGGACGAGGACGGCAGGGTAGAAGGAGTAGAAGAGACCGAGGGCTGACGAGTGTGAATTGACGGCAGCGGCGGCGCGGACTGGCTGGCAGCCACTCTCCCGTCGTCGGGGTCGACGTGCATGGCAGAAGGGTCGTTGGTAGGGTCAGCCATGGGTGTGGTAGTGGCACTCGTACACTAGAACACGGCGCGTTGGTGTGCGTAGCCGAGAGGGTCCTTCCTCAATATCCCTCGCATACAAGCCAACCTCGACTGTTCGTGACGGGGAAAGAACAAGAAGAATAAAGAGGAAGTCGCCTTCACGTCAGCGACCGCGCTTTCTTTGTCTGCCCTGCCCTTTGCTCCCTTTGACTCTGTCATGGCTTCCGTAGACACATTCCCCACTGCCAGCCGGCGGGAAAACGACCGTGCCTGCCACTCTTGCCCGTTTCGCGGATCAGCGCGTGCCACGCTCCATCAACGTGCCTCCAAGCAAATCTGTCACAAAGTTTGAGCATCCAGGCCTCCCCTGCTCCTCTCATCGTTCTAGAGTATCCTTGTCGTGATATCAGTTCTCCTTCCACGCCTCGCCCAACAATACAAAACATCTGGGGGATGCGCTGTCTCCAAACACCATCACGTCAGCACGTCAACATGTCAAGAACAAGAGTCATGATGATCGACAGCACTTTCAATTGATTGTATCGAATTGCTAAAACCACCGCTAGTCATAGTGATCCTTCGTGAACCGATTCCTTGCTTTCGTATCTTGTTCCAGCGCATCCTTCTTTTTTTTCTACCAAGTTTCTCACCAATTTGAAAAGCCAAGGTTCAATTCCAATCTCCGTCTTCTTGTGCTGTGGGTATCATTCGTAATCATTCTTTCGTGGTCGTGTAGAAAGTCGTGGTTCGTCGAGTTCATTGCGTGGTGGAATCCCCGAAGAAAAAGCCAAAACCGAAACCAACCTCTTCCCCGCTCGTTGCCCAAAAACGCCGCAATCGACCGTTGGACATTTGCCCTCTTCCAGCCTCCAATCGAGGAAGCCAAACCATCAAGGCAAAAGATAACAACTCCAAAGCAGATCGAAAACATGCGACGATGATGCAGACAGTACACGTTTAGCGCTTGGAAGGCTCCTCGGTGTACTCGGCGTAGGGGTTGCGGAAACCTCTGGAGCTGGGTGAGAAGAATCCGTTGCTGCTGGGAGTGAAGTGACCAGCAGAAGAGGCAGGAAATGCACGAAAAGCGTTGCCTCTGGTCATGTCGATACGGGCGAGGATACGCTCAGTATTCATGTCATCCTTTTCGTGACCTCTGACGATCGTGGGGTGGATACGTTCGACAATCTTATCAACAAGGTGGTCGAGCTTCTCGTTGTCGAGAACGTGCTCAGAGATGTCAGAGAGAGACTCGCGCATCTTGCGGTTCTCGGCGAGGACGCCATCAAGAGTCTCGCGCTGGAGGTACTGGTTGGCAGCGATGACATCGACAGCCTCACGGTGCTTACGGTTCTCAGTAGAGATGGCGTTGATGTCCTTACGGAGCTTGCGGTTTTCGGCGAGGATGGCATCGAGGTCCTCACGACTCTTGCGGTTATCAGCGAAAATGTGATCGACAGCGTGGCGAGTGGCGTTCATGATATCCTGGTTACGGAATCCAATGTTGGCGAGGCGGTCAACCTTGCCAGAGACAAGACTGATTCTGTGCAACTGGTGCTCGTGAAGGTTGTACATGGAGTCTCCCATCTCCTTGTGGAGCTGCTTCATCAAGTGGTCCTCCGACATGAGAGGCTGAGAAGTGGTGTCAAACTTGCCCTGCTTAACGTAGTAATCAGGAGATCTCATGAGTGCAGTCTCGCGACCTCTCTCGAAGTTGCCGTCGCCGTCAACACCGAGAGTGGTGCCGTTATCGTGGTTGTAGTAGTAATCGGCAACATTCTCGCTGAGCTCAATGCCGAGACCACCAGTCTCCTTGAAGCGGTCACGCAAAGTGAGGTCACGCACCGAGCGGCCAGAGCGGCCGGAAGAACTACGGCTCGAGTTGTCGCGAGAGGTGCGACGAAGAGGGGTGGAACAGCACTGGGGTGTTCGTACTCGAGGCCACCGTAGCCATTGTACTTGTTGGCGGGGGTCTCGGTGTTCACACGACGGGCAGCAGGAACGGCCTGCTTTTGCTCGGCGCCGGCAGTGGCAAAGTCGTGAGTAAATACACGTGTCTCGCCACGGTAGCGGTTGAAGACGTGGTCCTCGGGACGGTAGACGTACTCGTTGTCTTTGACAGCCTTGACGTACTTGATGGGCTCAACGTGGGGACGAGAGAGGTCGGTGCCGTCTGACTGAGTAGGCGAGTTGGGAGGTGCAGGGGCAGCGGCAGTAGACTCCTGAGCAGCAGCATCGTAGGAACTGGTCTGGTAAAATTGTCAGTGATCATGCTTGCTATAGGTTGATGGGCCGATGAAGGATGGGAATGGAGGGCCAAGAGGGTGGGAAGGGAGAGGTTGGCAGCTCGAGGGAAGAACTTGTGTAAGAGAGATGGAAGCAAGGAATAATGGAAATAGATGTTGAGAAACGTGGGGAATGGTGGAAGTTATAGAGCAGTGGAAGATACAGAGCAGAGGGGAGGCGCAGAGCAGAGGAAAGTGCAGCGCAGAGTCCGAACACGAAAAAGGAGAAAGAAGACTTACGCGGAAGACATCGTGACCATTGGCAACACTGTAGAGAGAAGGAGAGTAAATCTCAGTCTTAGCCTTAGCCTTTTCTTCAACCTTAGGAGGCTGGTAGGTGGTGGCAGGAAGCAGACCACCCTCAAGCAAACCACCAGCGATATAGCGAGGAGTCTTGGCCTTTTCAGCGGACTTGGGCGAGTGCTTGTCGATCTTGGGGCTGCGGAAGAGTGCAGTAGGCATAGGGGGTGATTGGAACTCCTCGTCAATCTCCTTGACGAGCTTGGGATCAGCTTCGAAGACAGCCTTCTGGCCAACAAAGGGAGAGTAGGGCTGGTGGGTCATCTTGACGACACCAGACTTGACGGCCTTGATAGGGCTGCACTCATCATCACCGAAGGCGACGGTGATGGTCTCGCGGGACTTGTTGTCAGGCTTGTTCTCAGCATCAACACCCTCGGCAGTGGCAGCGAATCCGTTACCAGAGTAGGCGTCAGAAGGGCCACGAACATCGACAATGGTAGCGGACAGCGTGGGATTCTCGGTGACAGGAGGAGGAGTGTCCTTCTTGGGGAGGGGAGGAGGAACATCCTCGCGCTTGTGCTTGGGGGTCAGGACGTTCGACAAAGTACGCTTGAGGGAAAAGTCCTCCTTCTTGGGAGAAGCGGTGGACTTGGTGGGAGAAACAGAAGACTCGCTAGGGCTCTTGTTGGAGAGAGCACCAGCAGTAGCCTGCTCGGTAGGGGAAGGTTGAGCCGACATGTTGATGTGTGCGCTGATAGAAGGACGTGTACAAGAGTGTTTAAGGGGAGAGGAAGAAGAAGAAGAAGTTGTGGTTTTGCGTGAGTGCGAAATTGCTGTGTGGTGCGAAGATGAAGATGCGTGTTTCAGAGCTTTGCTATGCGCAAGTGACGAAGTGGAGAGCTTTCTTGCCTTGGTGGGAGTGAGCAGACTGGACAATCTGGATGACGCGCTGTGTCTGAGTGAGTTGACAGATTTGCCTTTGGAGTGAAGAGGAGACTGCTCGACGGTCGTGGAGTGGTGCCAGTCACTGTTGTTGTTGACGGCCCGTGGAGAGCCAAGAAGCTGCTTAGCCTTGGGTGGAAGACGAACGGTACTGGCGCCGAGAGGACGGTTCAAGTTCGATCTGCGGATGGCCTCTGCTGCGTACTGAGCCTCCTTGGGCGACAGATAAACAGGAGTTCTCTTTTCCTTGACACTAGTCTGTTCATACTCCTGCTCCTCGTAGTACTCTTCAATGATGCCACGAACAGTAGGGACTGCGTTCTCACTGCCCGGAGGCACAAGGCAAAGATCGTCGTCAGCAGTGGTGCGAGGAACCATGTTTATGTTGTTGGTATCCTCAGGGATAGATGCTAGGACTCGAGGAGGTATGCGTCCAAAGACACGCTTCCACGTCGCGTCAAAAGGCTCTATTGTCGCTGGGATAATGGGCTGCTGCGACCGGCCAATAGGCAGGGCGGCGGTGGGAGAGCGGTGGAGGACATGTCTCCGGGGTCTTGGCGTCGACGGGCCCGGTGCGGTGGGCGGAGCGGGAGGGGCGGGAAGCTCAAGCGGCAGCGGCTTCCGGAGGACCTTGGGCGCATGTGATCCCGGCGGCAGCGGAGGACGAGGAAGCCTCCGGGCAGGACGACCTCTGCTGGGCTCGATGTCTGGGATCATGCCCATCAGGCGCATGTAAGCATAGTCCCGAGCCCATGTCACTCTCTTCTGCTCCTCCCAACGACGGAGAGGGTTGTCCTCTTTCAGGACACGATGGCCAATTAGCATACGAGGGGGGCGGGGATTGAGGTCCCTGACATGGGGTATGTGGTATGGCATGGTGCCGGCAGAGAAGAGAGGAAGAAAGGGGTTGGTACGCAGAGAAACAGAAGTTCGAGATGGAAATGAAAGAGAATTACATTGAGGAATCCGCAGAGCGCCAGCAAGCCGTAGCTCGAGAGCGCGAGGAAGCCATAGCTCGAGAGCGTCAGCAAGCCGCATCAAAACAGGCCGGTGGCCTCTGTTGACAGTGAACCTAGCTTGATATGGTCGACGACCACTCCTTCGTCTTTACCACATCCGTTTTCTACTGTGCGAAGTGCTTTGCAGTCTTCTGCTCAAGGGCGACGACATGGTGGAGAGAGAAGAGCAAGACCAGGCTTCGTGGGTAAGTGACACCAACGAGGTAGTCTGATACAAGAGCGCGTGGTGGCCAAGCCCAATGATAATGACGACAACCACGATGAGATGCTGACAAGACCAAGAGTGTAGAAGGAGATCCACTATGTTGTGCAGACTGGCTTGACCTTGTCGATAGTGTGTCAGCAAGCATTCGAGGAAAGTGTCATAGGGACTCACCTGACCATCACACTGTCATGTTGACATCGACGCAGCAACATCTTCTGCTAGAAGGATGAGTAACCAGAAACCCAAGATCTCAGGCGACAACATCTGGGTGGAGCGATATGCTTCATATCATGATTGCCAGCATGGAATCGACAGCGACCAGTGAAAGAATATCAACACCACCAGGACAACCAAGGAACCAGGAACAGGAAAACATTTCAACCGACTCTTGCCGTGTGCATTTCTATGGAAATCCATCTCCACCTCTTTTAAAAGCGATTGGAAACAGCCACGGGAAATGTGCCCCTTGCACTTGCATCTGCAGCATGAGAAAACATCCTAGAGATCTTGTCGATACAACAAAATGACTCTCAGAGCTGTCGTGGAAGAAGAATAGACTAAAAGGGGAGTCAAAGAAAACTTGCAGACGGAAAATCTGGAAAAACAGAAGACTGGAAAACCCCCGCGCTTCTAAAGAGAAAAAGACGCAACCTACAACTGTCTTTGGGGGTAAACACCAAAGCAGAAGTGACGAAAAAGCAACCGAAAAACTGCGCCTCATTGCGCCAGACACCATTGGACGGCGACGGGAGATATCATTGGGGTGGGTTCCGTGCCGGATGCGCTGTATCGAAGGAGATTGAACTGGATTGGGCCGTAGAGGTCGAATTGGATCCTCAAGTCGTGTTTCTCGTTTAGAGAATGACACACTTGTGGTTCTTCTTCTTCTCTTTTGTGGCAGGAGGCTCGAGGGCAGCAACGATGGNCCTGTGGTGTGTCAACATTCTAGACTTACGGACTGCGGCACGAGCACGACTTACCTCGTCAAAGACGTCCTTGAGCCTCTCTTGGGTCAGAGCCGAGCACTCGACGTACTTGACAGCACCGAGCTCTCTAGCCATTCTCTCACCGTCTTCCCTCTCGACGGGCTTCATCTTTTGCTCACGGAGCTTGCGGAGAACGGGGTCCTGCTTGTCGTCGCGCTTCTCCTTAGGTGGGCGCAGATCGAGCTGGGTACCGACAATCAGGCAAGGGACACCAGGGCAATGGTGGTGGACTTCGGGGAACCACTTCTCGCGGACGTTCTCGAAGGAAGCAGGGGAAACGACGGAGAAACAGACGAGGAAGACATCGGTCTGGGGGTACGAGAGGGGGCGGAGACGGTCGTAATCCTCCTGACCGGCAGTATCGAAGAGTCCAAGGGTGTAGGGCTCGTCACCAATNNCCTGCGACTCGTCAGTCGCCAAATGGGCTATGGGTGACATGGGTCTAACTCACATGACAGTCACAGCGTAGTTGTCAAAGACAGTCGGGACATACTCGGCGGGGAACTTGTTGGTGGTGTACGAGATCAGCAAGCAGGTCTTGCCGACGGCACCGTCACCAACGACGACACACCTGGACGCGCACAGCGAGGTTAGCGGGTGCAGCAGGGATTGGAGGGAGCGGCAGCGTACTTGATGGTAGCGACGACCATCTTGTCACGAGAGAGCTGGTTTCCTATGCTAGCTGCGGGCGACGAGGCGTGCTATGGTTGAACGAGAGGCAGCTGTTGGAGGCACAGCGAGGGCTTGCGATCGGTGAGGATGCACTGCGAGGGCGGTCGGTGGAGGCGATGCGACAAGAGCGAGTCGACGATCTGAGGACGCGGACGGCGGAGGTCGTGAGCGCTGCGGTGAGGGAAAAGAGCTGTCAGTCGTTTCGTCGGCCTTGGTGAAGATGGACTCGCGGCCGTCACTCACTCGGAAGCGTCACAAAAGCCAACAACCAGACTGAGGCTCGCCCGATGGATGCAGCAGCTGGCAAAATTGTCGTGTCGAACCCGCAATAAGGTCGACCCCGGGTACGTGAGCTGGCGCTGGGCAGAGGTTGCGGGTGTAACGGGGTAAACACGCAGACGCGGGCCAAAGCGAAGCAGAACAATCACAGACCCCTCGGCCAAATGCGTTGCAGCAAGAGATGCGCTTTGTCAACGGCCAACGACAACTTGTCCTCAAATACTAGCTAATTACTATATCTANCAAGAGGCACGCCATCCTTAGCCTGCCGCGCCCGCTACCCACTCGCTCNNTCGTGCTCCCCAAAGGCCCTTCTTCACCGAGCAAAAGACTCTCCACATCAAAAGTCGCAATCCTCTGCGTTCCAGATTTTCCCATGATTGCCTATTCAGGCCTGATAANTGCCGATCTCCTTCATCCAATCTTCCCAAACAAGCAACTGCCAAAGACTCCTTCAAAAGCCAAAGCTGCCAAACATCTCCAATGTGATCCCTCTGTTTCAGACCTGCAATCCACACTGTNCCGCTCGTTGTTTTGTCCATGTTCAATCTGGAACAATGCCGCCCTCGTGCCTCATTCAAGCTGCTTGCAGACAACGGCCATGCTGTGAGATTCGTAAGCCCTCAATGTCTCACGCCTTGTCCGGCTGTCACAACAAAGAAAAGGCCGACTTCTTCGGCCTCTTTCCACCAGCTGCAAAGCCATCTTGACCAAACCTCACCTGAGAGGTGTTTGAATCGCTACCGCTGAAGATTTGTGTCCAGTTCGAGTCGAACAGACTCCACATGATCAAGTAAGACCTTCGCACACCGCAATCAATCATTAAACTGGTTCCTGCTAGAGTAGGCCGCCAGCAAATCTTAGCAGCTTTCAATCACACCGCCAGCCGCCCCTTTTGATATAGTCAATACGGTCTGTGCTGAGGGCACCCCTTCCGACTCTTGCTCGTGTACCTACTTGGCGTTATGCTCCTTGGTCTTGTAGCTGATACTCAAACGGCTTGTGATCTTGTGATGATTGATTGTTGTGGAATGTTGTGGTTAAGCGCTTGTCAAAGTAAGCAATCAATACTCGCTAGGCGCGACCCTACCTTAAATTCATGACTCGTAGCCCACGACATTATCCTCGATCAAAACAACACAGAATTCACATTGTCATATCAGATAGAAACTATGGTCGATGTGTAGGTAAGAATAGGTAGTTGCGCATATGTACGGTGGTATCTCTGAAAATCCAAAACGCCTCTTGACCCAATCAGCCATCACTCATCAATTCGATGGCCATCTATATCTCTAGTCGTAAGGTCATGTCATAACATGCTTTCTCTTCCATCAGTATCACATCAGTCGTCGTTTAGATGCAAGCTTGCATTCGACTTCCACGTCCGTAGACCGTTATTACTGGCCACGCTTCTGATTGTACGGTCGTAATCGTAGTCAATGTCGTCTTCACTATCGTAACGACGATGACCGGATGACGAGGCAGCGAAAGGCTCTCTCTCAGAAGGATCGCTAGCTTCGCTCGTGTTGCCAATGACAGTGCCCTTCACTTGTTGGTTCATCTCGTCCAGCTTGTAGTTCTTCATCAGGAGAGAAAGAGGAATAAGAGGTATACAGACCAACACAGCGACCGTCAAGATCTTGGTCATTGTCTCTTGGTAAGCGCGGTTGATGGCGATACGTGTAGGTGTGCCCATTGCGTATTCAGTAGATGCGACTTTGACGCTTCCGAAGATCTCCTTGGCCTGATCGCGTGTTTCTTCTGGCAGGTATTGGGCGAGCTTGAGTGGCACGTTCGCAGACCAGATGGCGCCCGAGATTGCCGAGCCGACGGCACCACCGATCTCGAGAATAGTGAGGAAGGCAGCTGTGACTGCACCAACTTCACCGTGGCCGACGGACGCTTGGACACCGAGTTGAGCAGGGACGTGCAACATGCCTCCGCCAATGCCGACACAGACTTGACAGCCGATGAGGAAAGCGTCTGATACGCCCTCTGTGCGATACCGAAGCATCATTACGACACCGAGTAGGTAGATGCAGGCACCTGCGGTGACAAAGTATTTGTAGTGCTTGGTGTACTTGATGGTGATCGAAGTCAAGATGGACGTGACAGTCGCCGTGAAAGTGAATGTTTGAGTAATGTGGCCGGCAGCCGAGACAGACTTGCCCTGCACAACCAAGAGATAAGAGTAGAAGTATGGTTGCACTGAAAGGTAGTACACCANCTGTCGGTCGTTAGCCAGGACTTTTTCTCGGGAGAGGTTGGACTTACTGAAGTAGAAGAATGCAATAAGCACACCAGCGATTACAGTGGTGCTGCGGAAAAGATGAGGAGGAAAGAATGCCCTCGGTGCCAGACGTGGGTTGCGCTCCCAAAGGGGGAAGAGGCAGAGGCAGATCACACCACATACTAGCATCGCAACGATGCTTCCATTACTCCAATCTCCTGGTGCACTAGCCCCCAAGGTAAGAGGGATCAGGAGGAGAGCCACACCGACAAGAAGAAGCAAAAGTCCAAAAATGTCCATCTCGAACCAGAGACTCTTGAGAGTATACATCCAATCCTTGCCAACGAAAGGTGATGGTGGTAGAATGCCCATTTTCGAGGCCTTCCTTTGATTCAGCGACAGAGCAAGCGCTAAAGGTAGATAGGCGACAGGCAAGATGATGGCCCAGATGCCATATCCCCATCTCCAACTCAGGTTCTTGAGGATAGAGTTTGCGATTGGTGGTCCGATCCATACGTTCAGAAGGTACGGAATATCCGGGATCGTTGAAACAATAGCTCTGTTCAGAAGGTCGCTCGTGTCTGCAATGAAAATTTGCTGGAGAATTTGAAGTCCAGTGGCACCTGCTGAGTAGAATATCTGGGCTGCTGCGTAAGTCTTGACGTTGTTGGCAGCGGCTTGCTGAATATATCCAAGGGTAAACAGAAACACGCTGAAAGTAAAGGCTTCAAAGCGTCCCCAGACATCTGCCACTTTGGCCATGGGTGGTTTAACAATNNTGCTATCTCTAGTCAGCCGGGGAAATTCAGATGCGTTTTGCAATCACATACATAGTACGACTCCCTGAATGACCGAGACTGTTGAGATGAGTGCATGTGCCTTGAATGAGCTGGTGGCGAACACAGTCAGGTTGGTGGTGACTTGTCCTTCAAGCGAAGTGGCATATGCCATCATATAAAGACTGGAGCATATCAGTTATATTCACATGGACGTTCTACCATAAGTCAACCTACCNNCGCCATATGCGAACACGAGAGACCACTTTGACCACAGAGCAGCGGTTGCCTCTAGTCGCTTCACACCAGCTTGTGCACTCAGATGACTTGCGACATCAGACTCGGAGTCTGTGTCTGAGAACACATCATCGACAGGAGATCTGCTCATCTTCTCCCTGCTGCGACGAGGGAGAGTTTCTCCTGCGCTGGAGAGTCTCCGAAGACCTGGCATGACTGCTATCAGAGATGCCGAGGACTAGAAAGATGTCGTTCGTCGCATGAATATGAAGGAAAAAGGAGAGATTAGAAGCACGAGGCTCTCTCACTTGTGAAACGACAATAACCAAATGGCGGTGCGTACTCTTGCTGATTTTGTTACCAACGTTTTGATGCAGGGAGCGGCCTAAAGTTGGCTGGAGCGCGTCAGGGCGAAGGTTTGCGGCAGGGCTCTGATCTGCCGATGATGCCAAGATGTGGCCACCGTCCTTAAGAATACTGCAAAACTAGGGCCGTGGAGGTGATAAGATGTATAGGAAGGACAGAGAGACGACAGAAACGAAAAGGACAGAGACGGTACGAGTGTTGGAAACCAAGCACCTATTAACGCAAATTGGCGGCCGACGAGAATCGTAAGAGAGTCATCGGCTGCCCAATGAGGATCAAGATCTGATAAGTTTCGATCTGATAAGAGGGGCTGTGTGGGGCCGTGCCTTGCTCGGTTGCGAAAGTCGGCGCCAGCCCAACGACCTCGGGGCCCTCATGACCTTGATGAACCTGTCGTTCTGCATCCTGCTCAAGAGCCTTTTTGGGTGCGAACAATCATGCATCAGCATCAATACCAAACTTGAGGTCGCTGGATCGCCACGCTTTGCTGTCATTAGCACAACTCCTGGCACAGGTCACATCCTTCGAGATCATGGCGGCTCGCCGAAAGCTCTCACCGCAAGCGACTAAGCCAACACTAGGCACGCCCCATCAAACTGATTACAGGCGCTTGTGACTGCTTGCATATGAGTAGGTTGGTACCTTCGATACGAGACAGTTGATGTCCTTCGAGGGCTCCTAGGTAAAGAAGATTGACATGAATGCGACGCGCTGAGCTGTATGGCACCGAGAACAAACATAGAAATCATCGTTAGGTCAAGATATAGCCCAGAAGACCAGCATGGAAAAGAACAGAGGTTTTGACTGCATGTGTACTGCTGTGGTAAACAGTGAGAATGTGAGCAAAATCCGAGAGACAACCCCCACGACTTTTATAACCTCTACCTATTGGCTTTGTTTGCTGCACTGGTCTGTGAGTACCCGAGTACTACAAAACTTCGACACTTTTTAGGACTCAACACAAGAAAGTAGCTAGCGGAAGGAATTCGTAGATATGGAAATTGCAGACTGACTCTTCTTGATGCTAACAACTTCTTGCGCATTCCATCTTTTCGCACTTCTTTGCAAATATAAACGAAAAGAGACTGGAAGTATATCTTTAATCCTATCACTATCAAATCATCTTATCATCGTGCCTTATCCCGTACCCCAGCATTCGAGACCTGGGATTGCTATCGAAGGAGATCTTTCATCTAGTTATGGCTTTAGCAATTCTTTCTTCGTGTCATCTGTATTGCATTCCCAAACATAGAAAGCTTCCAGATAGCGAGTGCGTCCAAAACTCACTCTGCCTGCCATCTCCCATCCACAACGATGTTCACCGGCTCCCCTCTGACAAACGCCTCAATAGTATCCCTCACGCACTCTTTGGTTCCCAGGATCGTCCTATCTGAGAACCAAGCCAGGTGCGGTGTAGCAACCAAGCCCGGCACATCTTCTGCCAGCAATGGACAGTTCTCCTTGGTGGCTGGCTCATGCTCGAAAACATCCGTGCCGGCACCTATCAGCTTTCCTTCTTTGAGGGCAGTTGCGAGAGCAAGCTCGTTGACAATGCCTCCACGGCCAACATTGATGAGGATGGAGGTGGAGTGAAGCAGTGAGAGCTCATGATGGGAGATCATATTGTGAGTAGAAGGATCGAGAGGGCAGGTTATGAAGAGTGTTGTGCATTGTCGGAGAACATCTTCGAAGGCTGTGCGAGAAGGTCGGTTCTCATTTGAGCCTTTGCGTTCGGCGATGAGGACGCGCATGTCGAGGGCTTTGCACACTTTCTCTACGCGTTTGCCTGTAGTNNGAGATTGATATGTTAGCATGACTCTTCTCAATATGCTCAAGCATCCGGCATCTACTCTGTTTTACTCCTCCAGAGACAAATCACAAAAAGGTCAATGAGAAAAGGAAAAAGTACGAGACATACCCAAGGCTCCATACCCAATAATGCCCACAATTTCCTCTTCGCAGATTCTAGGCATAACACCCTTGAATTCCGTCGAACTCGTGCCCTGCGCCTTCCATTTCTCTCCCTCCTTCGTAAAACGGTCCAGCTCAACAATCTTCCTCTTGACCGCAAAGTACAAACTCAAGGCATGTTCAGCAACTGTGCTGGTGTTCTGTGCAGGTGTATTTGTCACAGTAACACCACACTCTTTGGCAGCATTGAGGTCAAATCTGTCACAGCCGGCACCCAGGCAAGCCAAAAGTTGGAGCTTTGTGGCAGAGACAAAATTGGCTTTTGTAATGGTGACGGCTGTTCCAATGGCGATTGTGGCAGAGGCGATACGAGAGGGTAGTTCTGATGGTGAGGTGTGGAGGTGTTTCTCAAAGGTGTGAGGGAAGCGCAGAGGAGGAAGGTCAATATGCCCATCTAGTTGGACGATGTGGTGTTTGAACTCTTCTGAAGTGGCCATGATGGAAGATGCTGAGTTTGAATACTCGGTATCGAACGGAGCTTTTATGAAATGGTTCAGTGAGATTGATGTCCAGTTCAATCAAGAGCTGCAGATATGGTCGGTCAGGCGAATTTGTGCTTTCAATATGCTTTTTTCGACACTCAATCGATTGATATCGAGCAAGACAAGAAGAAGTAGCTACAGGATATATATGTCGTCGTTATCTTGAGTACCGAGCACGTTACCTATGATCCGCGCCCTTTGACAGCTCCGATGACCGGCGAGTACCAGAATGCTTGGCATCAACATCTTCTATCAATTCCATACAGGTTTTGTTGTGATGATCAGGAACAAAGTATAGCTCTGTAGAATCGATCGACGGAAGTGTGGATAGGTACAATTTCAAAGGACATGCAAGTTGTCGAACCAGACACCAGTTGACTCTGATCTCCATAGCCCTGGTTTTCTACCCAGACAAGCATCACCAATGAAGCAATGACAGTGCGGAAGCTCAGTTCATAAAGTGAGGGAACGTTTTGTTTTCATTCCCTATTAACAGTATCGGGTGTGTTTGACCTTCCCATGATTTGACGTTGATCCCTCTAGGGGACACTCGGAGGTAGTGAGTAAATTACAGTGAAGCATCAATGGCGTCCCCATCATGCGCTCCAGAAATAAAGGATGTAACGCCTTGCAAAAAGTGTATAAGAAATTTAATCCCAACATAGTCGCCCTTTCACGTCTATCATCTCATCGATATGCCGTTGCAACAACCTTCTTACAGGAGAGCAGCGACACCGAGAGCGAAAGCGCCGAAAGCGCCAGCACCGACCTTGGCAGCAGAGCCCTCGGACGAAGTGGAGGTGGGGAGACCCATGGTGGTCTGGAGTAAGAGTTAGCTTGGTTCAAGATGACACAATTGATGAAGAGCAGAGAGTATGCGCTAGGCCAAGCATGATCAATGCCGCTCAAGGACAAAGCTTCTCTGGTGCAAGACTTGTGTCCAGGAGCGATTGAGCAGGATTGAGCAAAGCGCAGACCCCGCAGAAGTAAAGGTCGAGATTACGTACCTCGTAGCTGGCGGTAACGAGCCATGACTTGGAGACGGCACCGTGGAATGTGTTGGTAGAAGTGTAGGTGGTGGTGACGTTGCTGACAGTGACGGCAAAGGTGGAAGCGCCCGAAGGAAGAGTGTAGGTAGGAGATTGGCCCTCGGTGACGGTGACGACCTTGCTGCCGAGAAGAGTGGGGGAGACGGGCTTGTGGAAGGTGTTGGGGTACTGGTAGAAGAGGGTCGAGGTGTAGACCGAGTTGGAAGTAGCAGAGCTGTCAGAGTCGCGGTCGCGGTCGCCAGTGGAGCTGGCCTGGCTGGACGAGGTGGAGGAAGCGCCCGAAGAGGTGACGCTGCTACCGGCGCTGGCAGAGCTGGAGCGCGAGGAGCGGTCGGTGACGCTCGAGGCGACGCTGGAAGCACCAGAGCTGGCGGCCGAGAGGGCTGAAGAGGCGGCGCTGGTGATCTGCGAGCCCTGGGCGGCAGCAAGGGCGGCGAAGGCGCCGACGAAGACAGCGGAGAACTTCATGTTGATTTTCCTGGTGTCGATGGACGAGACGAGTTGGGCGTCGGGTCGGGTGGGAGGCTGATGGGGAGGGAAAGGGAAGGAGGGGACGAAGAAGTAAAAAGAAAGCGAAGTGGTGGGTGGGAGGTTGGTTGTTTTTCTCAAAGATGCCCCAAGCAGCCCGTCGTTTCCTTAGAAATTGGCTTTTGGTGATTTGGGGCCTTGCCTCGTCCCGCACGCAAAGCTCTGTAAAACCACCTGAAAAAGCCTCTCCGTCATCCGAGCATAACACACGCATCCTTCCGACTTAACCGTGCATCTACCTAGCTTTGGCCGCTCTTCTTCGTTGCGCCGAGGAGAAGACTGCCCCTTCAGGCAAGACCTCGTCCTATCAAGCCAGTGTGATTGGGCATCCGTTTAATCGCGCAACCCCAGCCTTACTCAACAAGGTAACCAAATCTCGGCAAAGAATCAACGTCAAGAACTATGCAACAGGACTTGAAGAGCCTCGACCGTGCCATCAATCTTTGTAGCATCTCAACAAGAGCCGTCTACTCCAGGCAACATGTCGTCTGCTTGCAGGCTGGCAGCCCTATGCTGTTCATGGTCGTCCATCACAGAGGTTTTGCAATTCGAGTTGCTTGTCCAACCACAAAGTACCCAGGCTACCCATGCTACTCCGCATTTCCACGGAAAATGCGGGCGAGGCCGTGACCATCCACTTGGCTGATACACACCGTGCAAAATTGCAATCGCCAACTGCTACAACGCTTGCAATTTGCTTGCTCTACCATTTGCAGGTCAATGGTCAGTCGTTGTTGGATAAGAGCTACATTGATACTGAGCTGCGCGTCCTCTTTCACTTTTGAAAAGACTCCAATGCGATTGCGTGGTCAGCAGCCAATGTGCCGTATCGCGCGCGATTTTGAGCACGCGACTCACGGTCCGCGAGCACCAGGAACGCCTGCGGCCCTATCTCGGCGCCGTATATACGCCTGGAGGGCAGCCCCGGGGATGGACTCGGCACGAACTTGTTTGTTTGTCTCATCATCCAAGGCCGGTTATAAACACCCGTTGCTGCTCAACTCATCCGAATCTCGGGTGTCGTTCATCTCCAGATTTTATGCTATCTGATGATACTGGGGTATGACAGGTGCTGCTGACGTACGAGCTGGCCTTTGTTTATTATCCTGCTCCCCCGTGCTTTCCCTGCAGCAGTGTCGCAAGAAGGCTGGTTCTGCGACTGGTCAACCTCACCATCATGGCAATCCAGGAACACGAAATTCGTCTCGNNAAAGAGCGTGGCGCCGAGTGCCGGGAACAAGCTGGAGCCCCGAACTCTTGGCTTGCTGGGGGCCCAGCCCAGCCACCTCAACCCACATGCTTTTGCCAAACAATGAGGTTTGTTCAGCCATGCTCAACAAGTCCGGAAANNCATGTGACCCAGTTGCGTATCCTTTGTTATCCTTGGTCTCGCGAAGCACTCATGAAAGCTTCAACTTACCAACAAGATGCCATATCCTCATGGCTCTCATCGCGAGGCGTGGATACGGCTGACTTCTACGGTCGGTAGTTCTGATATCGTGCTCGGAAATTTGCACAACAGATCGCGAAGCAGAAGCGTCGCGCTAGACAACAATGTTGGCTGATCGTCTCTATGAGAGTAGAGCTTGACATTTGGTGTACGAGCGTATCTTGTCACATTCGATGACAATGTTATCGTCTCCATCGAACAGTCCCGCAAGCTTCCAACTAGGCAAGGACCATGGTAAGCAACCCATCATTACTTCCCAGGTATGGCAACTATGTCGAGGCAGATTATGGTATCTTCAACCGTTGGGATCCTGATCTACTGGTTGTAGCGATTGTCAGGTGCTATATTATGAGGTAGCTTATCGACTTCCTCGAGACAAATTGATGATACGATGAGCATCATGATGAGCAAGCTTTATATTCCATCTTAGCAAAATTGCCAACATCAACTGGTTGCGTGGCCCAATGGCAAGGCGCTTGACTACGAATCAAGAGATTCCAGGTTCGACCCCTGGCGTGATCATTGTTTTGCTCGTGTCGCATCCGGAATTTCTATCCTTCGCTTCACCCGGTGGAACCAGATATCTGGCTTCTTGTCCAGTTCTCCAGTCATTATATTTTTGTTGATGCTATGGGAGGATTTCCAGGCTACCGGCTGTTCATCGGCAATTCGATTTTGTCACGAAGTCTGCCTTATCTACCTCGCCTTCTGATCGGTGCTTGGAGTCTGAGCATGTAAGGAACAAGGCATCAGGTCGTCATACGAGGAGAAAAATTCACTCGAATAGTCATTCTTGTTTTGACCGGATTTCTCATGCCAGCCCGATCCGACACCACTGACTGACAAGACATCGTGCGCTGTGCAAGACAGCATACCACCAGAATCATGATTCGTCTCTGTTGTCTTACGGTATACGCAAGACTAAACAGATCAAAACTGCTTCTTCGTTATGCGAGGTATCTGTGCTAGATATATAGATCAAAGGTAGGGAGACCAGAGCAAGTACATCGTCCATCTTCCCCATCAGTCTTGCCACGTCTCTCTTGGAATTCCCGAGAACGACAAACGTGCTATGTACGCAATGCGAATCACGGTGTCTGATCTCAGTGCCGCGATCATCCTGTCAACGTGTCTGGTGCAAGTGGTGTCTCTTCGACTTTCCGAGTTTGAGCTAGTACTTCTGCCAACCACTCTCAATCAAGAAACAGGTTCTCTGAGTCATGTCTTATGTCTTTCTCTGAGTGATACCATTGGGCTTGACTGAAACAACAGAATAGAAACACAATCAAAGGTCATACCTGCAGCTCTGTCTCTCAGTATGAAACTCTCACTCCTTTGACATGTGGAATCATGCCGTGGCTATAAAGACGAGTTTTCAGGGAAGTCGACGTGAACGAATCCGACAGAGATCGCATTGGGCATCGCAACTTTTATTCATTCATCCTTCTTTCAGCATCTAATTTGTCTAAAATTTCGACACAAGACACGGCATCAACATGGCTTGGTTTGGTCAGTACCTGAACTTTGGCAACAGATCGACCTCTGAGGATCCCAGATCCAAGATCTTGCGTGATGATAGAGCATTGAAGTCAAAGCTGNNCAAGGTAAGATATGTATTTTGCTTGCTCATCCAAACATTCGTTGATCAACTTTTCACGACAGAGGTTACCAAACACGTCCCAAGATATCTTTTCAGAATGTGGCATCCAAACTCAGGTGGCAACAAGAAGCTGAACACGACCGAAAAGATCATACCGCTCGCTTTTCTCAAAGGTACAGGCCACAAGAGCGTCTACGACATGTCCGTCAAAGAATTCGTCGACAACACCACCAAACATCTCCATACCGATCGTGACATGGTCACCGAGTTCTCTTCCTGGTCTGCGTCGCCTAGATTTGTCCTTCATTATGCCACGTCTCGTAGAGCAAGCGCCTACATCGCAGTCATCGACACTCAGGGACTCGAAATGGAAAAGGGAAACGCCATGTTCCACGTACCTGCCCTCCAATCAATCTTTGGTCGTCCTGCAGCTCGTCGTGGCTCGGTCTACGAGACGTACAACTGGGAATATCTCGTGCATGGTGTTGTCGAGGGCAAACACTACAAGGCAGTCTCGTTCCAATCCCTCTGTGACGAAGGCTTGACCAAGCATTTTCCAGCGCTGAATGGACATATTCACGCTTGGGGTGCTGAGATGTTTCCACTGCCTAACCTCATCATACCATTCAGTCCGGAAGAGCTACACGAACTGGACAAGATTGCCAAACTTTTTGGACCAGAGTCTGATATGCGTGCTGCAATCACTCTTACGTTGTTTTGCTGCAAGAGACGCACTGACCTCGGTACTCGATTGGAGGAAAATGAGCTGCACGAGATTGTCCAGTACCTTGGTGGCCGCAGCNNAATGTTCCTCACGATTGGTGCGACTCTCGCTTGCTCTGCAATGGCATCTATGATCCCCGCTACGAAGACAACAAGCAAATGGTCAATGTGATGCGTTCCGTCTCTGCCTACTGCTGGGGCAAGGGCGCTCGAGCTCGGTTCACCAACAAGGGCATCGTCTCGACCTCCGACGCCGGCATAGACTTTCTTACTGGTAAGATGTCTTCAGTCCATATCGAATCCCCTTCAGAGCTGGGTGCCAAAAATGTTTCCAACTCTCGTTCCTAGGGCGGCGGCTATGGCTCCTAGAAGTAGGGTAGACACAACGACAAGCAGGAATACAGCACTGAGCTAGTGGACTCATGAGTCGTCTTGAGGCTAGATATGGCAGTGCGTCGGCCTATTTCCACTCTGCGGGTGTGAGCGAAGACACACGGGACATGATCAAAAACATCTTGCTTGTCTCGGAAGATAAGACGTTAGTTGACGTTGCTTAGTCTTATGAATCTATATGTTGGTAGCGTCATCGCGTATAACATACAACCAAGGTTATGAGTCTACCAAATGCTTTTCACTTTTCCTGTATACAACTCTCTCCATGCTGCAGCCTCCAGAAGGAAAGAGACATCTTCCCGTCTCCACAGAATGATCTGGTGTCATCCATGCTTGCTCTTTCCTTTTTCTGTCTTCTCTTCGCGACTTTAGTCCAGATAGGCCACTCGCACCTTCCGTTCCAAATCATGCTCATCTCCAGACTCCAACATCAAACTCCTCTCGCGGAATCCTGCTTTCGACATTCTCTCAAACGCGCGTGAGATCAACTCGCTCCTTCCATCTCAACAATACCAGAACGATAGCCGCACACATCAGCAACCTTTCTCAACACCCTCAAGCCACGATGCCGATTCCACTTCAAACACTTCTTGTTGTTACCTTCATACTCGGTTTCGGCCATTTCCTCATGGTCTGCTTCGAGAACATCATCACCACCGCCGTCTTGGTCTTATATGTCGCCTTCTGGATCTCCCTGGTCATCATCTTCATCTCACTTCGGCCACGACCAACAGACTTCCCTCTCAATCCAGAGTTTGCTCGCATGAGAGCAGAAAGGGCGAGAACAAGACGCAGAGGCTGTTCTAGACACGGGTTCTGCCGGCTACGTGCATTTGGCTACACAAGGCAAAGCGAGAGACTTTGGCAACAAGAACAAAAGCGTAACCTCGAAGACTTACGCCACCATCACCAACCCTCGTCTAGTATATCAGCTATACAATCGGTGTTCATCAAATGGCGTGAGGATTGTCGGACTCTGCTGCAGACACCTGAGCTCATCACCAACATACCTCAACTCCCATGTTTGCCTTGTCCAAAGGGGCATTGTACCTCGAAACCAACTTGCCTGGGAGTGTGTTCTCATCGCTTGAGAAGACTGTACGAAAGCTCGAAAATGGACGAGAAGGACTTGAAGGATGAACTGAGGCTCTGGCATCCCAATGGAGCAAAGATGAACCAAGTGGGAGTGTATTGTAGAAAGGAAGTACTGGAGGTGGCGAATGAGATTGCACATGTGTTGCAGGATATACTTAAGGACATGTGAAGAACCACGACATGGGAGCTGTGAGTGTTATGGCCTTTGCTCACTTCACTATTGTAAAGATAACACTCCAAACAATATCCGAGACTCTGGTCTCTTTCAACATCCATCAAAAAAGTTTGTTGCCATCTTCTAGCAAACAGTCATTCATTCACAAACGCAACTCATTCCGCTTGTTCATTGTACCATCTGCATCTTCGGATGTGGATCAAGATCAGATCACTAGTCATCTCCGGCATTCCCCTCTCAACCATCTGGACATCACTTCCCTAGCTCATACATCTTAAGAGGTGCGTCACTCCTCCCTTTCTCCAACCTTTTGGTTTACCAGTGACTTAACAGCTCCCAGCAACCACGGCAAACTGATGTTCCTCGCCGTCTGCATCCACTTCTTCCGCGACCCGACAGCTTCAGGTTGGCTGGTCGTCATCTATTGTCTTTACTACGATATCAGAGGCATAAGGAGTTGGCTCGCGAGGTTGGCTACTGAGTATCTGGATCATCATCGTCCAGCCGTGTGAGATTGTGACATGAGCTGGCAGTACAAAGAAGAAAAGATGTTTTGCAAAGGAGCAACAGCGAAGGAAAAGAGCATGAGGTGCAAAGGCAAAATATCAGAGATAAAAGAGCTGAGTTTCTTGCTGTGCGCTATCTTCCTGCTCTTGGTGGCTGTCCACCCATCAAAGTTTTTTAATGACTTGAGTCATTCTCTCGCACTTTTGTGGTCTGATGTGCATACCCTCTACCTCTCTACCTTGTCGTCCGAATGAACATTGCATTGTCTCTTCATTCTCCAACTGCCTTGACAGGTTGCGATCCTTGCTCCGCCTCGTGCGGAGTCGAAGATTCATCTTTTAGGTGCGCGTGTCAGACTCAGAAACTTTCAATAGATCAGTCGAGCTACTCTCTGTTTCTGTTTGCGTCCTGTATACCAACAGAAAAACTGTAAGAGTGGGGCCTCGAAAGCTCGGTTTCTGAGCATAGAATGCAACGAGGGCTGAATGGAATGTGGCGATGGTAGGGTAATGGAGATCCTACACCATGGTGGCTCTTATGATATAGAGGCTGGACGGGCTGTCTTTCTCGACACATTTACAGGTGGACGGGGACGCTCTCGTATTGGCCATCGTATCGTCCAGTGCAGTGCCAAAGCCAAAGCCTCTGCAGAAAGGGGTGTCTTATAGGTACATGATGATTGAAGGAGTGGACTAACATGCTGAACACAGGTCCGATCTTTTGTAAAGACGGAATATATTCGGCGGAGGGAAAGGTCCATTTGAATGACGGAAGTTCCGTAGACCCAGTCGTTCGGTCCTCTTGGCAGCCAGATCAACCCTCGACAGAAACGCGATTCGTTATCATGAGGCGTGTCCGAGAAAGAGAAAACGAAGACACTCAGAAGGAATTTTGACATGCGTTGTTCACTTTACACGGTCGCAAAGTGGCTGGAGTGCTTGAAAGACCAGTATTGCCATGCGCTCTACTTCTTGCCTGTGAGGCTGAGGTACTCTGCTCCAGCGATCCGGATGCCAGAAATTACGTTCTTTAATCAGCTCCTTGTGATTGAGCTCAGCATTGCGATATAATGTTTCCAGGCTGTGTACGCAAGATTTGAAGGATGCAAGAGTGTTGTCACAGCCAACTTTTGAGCATGGAATGAATGGAGGTCGTGGTAAATTCCTGATGAGTTCAGACTTTTCAGACATCTTCCAGCATTGCTTGCGCCATTCCTTGAAGGCGTATTTGGGTATAGGTGCAGGGGTAGACGGCTTCTTTGTTGACGGTGCGCGGGTAACGAATTTGGAGTGGTCGCCTCGTTCGAAAGTGTTGTATACCTCATCAAGATGGCGGTACAACTCTGCAACAATGGCTTCTTGCTCGATGGCCCAAGACTCGGAAGCGTCGAAGGTATCTGAATCGTCACAAATTTCGGCTAGCAGGTTGTCCACTCTGCTTCTCTCGGTGTGGACATATTGCCAGTGTTTGATGGCCTCGACACATGGATCTACCGGAGCATCCAAGAGGCAACTAAAGCGATTCCATGTATGATGGTCCATAGAGCTCCAGCCTTGCTGGAGTGTTGTGTGATGGAAACTTCTATGGTTTGAAACGCGGAAGGGGCAAGTAATCTATCCACGGCCTTAACGGATTTTTGGAAGCCGGAGATACAGCAGTTGAATAGATCTTCTTTTTGAGCGCAAATAGAGGTCGCTCTGCACCGATTCGTATAGAGAGGTATACAGATGAACTGAGTCGTACCAAGACGCGACAAGGACGAATGGAAGAGAGCTAGAGAATTCAGGGACAGTCTGACAGGGTGCGTAGTTCGGCTGTGGTGAGGGGCATTTGTAAGCTTTTAGATTACCCCGCGTCATGAGTTCCACCCCACTTTGGCTGTCATCAATCATCATCTCGGTAGAAAGCATGACTTGATCCTGTTGCTCACCTTGATTCTTTCTCTCATACCAAACACTCAATTACACCACCAACCAACTCATCACCTCACAACAACCTCACAATGCCTGCTGGAAGCTCCTCCGTATCACCCTCCTGGCCCATCACCTCTGTCCTACCACAGCAACTGACTCGGTTCTTATAGGTCATCTACCCCAAGGGTACCAACTTCAACATGGACTACTACATCTCCACCCACATGCCCCTCGTCTACAAGAACTGGAGCCAGTTCGGCCTCAAGAGCTGGTCCGTAGTCCAGTTCCCCGACGACAGCGAATACTGCGTCCAAGCCATCCTCAACTGGGACTCCGAGGACAGCTCCAAGAAGGCCCTGACCTCCGACACTGTCAGCACCGTCATGGACGATGTCAAGAACTTTGCAGACAATCAGCCTACTTTCTTGAGTGGAAAGGTTGTTGGTTCTTCGTAGAGTCGAGAGGAGGAAATAAAGCGAAGGACAGATATATGATGTTGCTGGAGCAGGGGCATGCTTGTACATATTCTCATGTCACCTGGCAGAATATTCAATGACAGTATGAGTGCTATTTCTGTTCCTCTGTCCCGGCATTCGAAACGTGCAAAATGTCGCCGCCAACCAGCGTACCCAAGCGAAGAAGAGTAGAAAGTGATACAATATTGCTGGATCAGGGGTATGGTTTCTCGAGTTTTATCTCCTGTCTCTATCATTACAAGAGGTCTAGGAACTCCACAAAGTGTCTCGCATTTCAAGACAGCAGCCACTGGCTGCCTGCACCAACACGCACACACGAATGCCCGACACATTGACTTTCACCAACACATAAAAAAAGGATATATGTTCATCGCAGCTGCTTCTACTCCCCGTGCCCATCAACCAAAAACTTTTTCTCACACCATGATCAAGATGCAACACCATCACACCGAACACATGACCCCGCCAACCCAATCCAACCTCACAAACTCCTACCACATCCTCATCTCCATCATCATCGCCATCTACCTCAACCACAAATGCACCATCTACAAAATCTCCTTCCTGCTTCACAACCTCGACGTCTTTGTCACCTGGAATGACTTTGGCACATACATGCTCTTCATACTCTCAAACCTCTTTGTTTGCTTTGTTTTGCTTCACCAACTTGCCATTGCTTTTACTCCTACGTTGGTGTTTGTTGCCAAGTCAGGTGTGCATGTTTTGGCTATTGTACTTGGCGGTTGCGCTGGAGGTTTGGGGGTGTATCGTGTATACAACCGCAGTTGTTTGAAGCGAGAACAGTGGAGAAAAGACAAAGAGCAGGAACGACGGAGAGATCAGCGCAGAAGGGCAGGAGCAGTGCGTCGATTGCGCCAACGACGATGATTTCTTCTCGACTGACAATCTCAACCATGGCGTGTCTTGTGTCGACAGCTCCTCGCGAATTCCAACCCCATCACTGAAAACTGTTACGGAAGAGAGAATCAAGAAAGAAGGCAAGTTCCGATACCTGAATGACAGGAAATGGAATGAGATTACGGAACCAGCAAGACATGAGAATAAATGTTATACCAGGAAAACTTTTCAAGATGCTATTGGAGTCTTTTGGACAAGAAGAAGAGAGGACAGACTTGGGATATGTTTCTAATGGCAGCAGTAAAAGTCTCTCAGCCAAGACTTTGCAAAGTACATGGTCAAATCTATCACATGCATCCCTCAAAGTTAGCCTTGAACGTCTCTGTCATGATAACTGCTTATCTGCATAAATTCCTTGAACGACCTGGAAGATCTGCGTTGTCATTCTCTCAACCTCCGCTCTATGGGGTTCAGGGACTTGGGACCATCTGTCTGGATGCCAGAACCGATATTCTCTTATGAGTTCTGGAGTTGTCAATCTTGCATTCCTGTATAATTGTGCAAGATCTCGGGATGGCGGTTGTGGTAGCGCAACCACTGAAACCGGATTTCGTGATAGAGCCCTGCATCTGTCGCGCCAGAGATGAAAAGCTTGGTTCAGTGTGTCTCGTTCTTGTTGAGTATCATTGTACTTGTCGTGACTGGACTTGGGTCGAGAACTAGAGGCCTTGTCGGAATCTGCTCGGTGCTTCTTACGTTCACGCTCCTGCTCTTTCTTTTTTCCGGCATGATGTCTTGCATCTTGTTGCTCTTTGTCCTTCTTTCGTAGATTCTCTGCAGCTAGACGTGCCCATTGCTCTTGCGCTTCTGCCTGCTTTTTTGCTTTCTCTTCAGCTAATCGTCTCTGCCGTTCCTTTGCTCTTTCTTCAAGATGTGTTGATAGGACGAAATAAGTGACGCTCATTGCAGCCAGACAAATTACATAGCGTGTTGGTCGGGCGAATACAAGTGTCTTGATCACTGCAACCAGAGCTCGAATGCTTCTTCGTACAGTCCAGCGAAGGATCCAGAAAACTAGACGGGTCGTTGATGCTAATATCTGAAAAGGCAACAGAGATAGACGGTATGCGATATTCTTGACAAGATTTGCAAATCTGGTGAGGAGCGCGTTCATCCATGTTTTGAGTACCAGAGTCAACTTATCGAACGGCAGCCAGTACTGCATTGCGTCGAGGGTTGATTGCGATAGTCGTTTAAGCAGTTCACGCGGCAAGAAGATCATGATGGTTCGTATTCGGCATAGTCGAGCGCCTTCAGATGAGGGTAAGATTGATGAAAATAGACGTTGCTGTAGCTCAGAAAAGATCGTGTTTACCATGGTGAGATGAAAGCTCAGAGAGGATAGATGAGGCGACAGAGGGTATCTCTAGATATAATTAGGCTTGAAGGTACGTTGCTGTGTCTCGAAAAGGGCAGAGCATATCACCGCAAGGCATGGGTGGTGCTCTCGTTGGACAGAGCCAGCGTCAGACCAACAATCATGTGCGCGCGGCACTGCAGGCAGGCGCTTGGTACGCCAATGAGCAGGCACGAATTGTCAACAAAGCACCTTTACCCATTCAAAGCAACAGTCCTTTTGAGAAGCACGAAGGAGGCGTGCGAGGCAATATAAGATAAAAATTCATTTTCATAAGAACTAAATAAAACCCCCCTTGCCACCATGAAAGCATCAAGCTCAATCGAATCGTTATACAAAAGGAGAAAACAAGAAGGCGAAAGAATCATCAATCAAGATGTCTTGCCCTCCCCACCACTAAAGAAAACATATAAAGTAATATCCAAGAAAGAGAAAAGAAGACAAAAAGAAAAAAAGAAAACAAAAGAGGTCGTCAAAAAGAGACATCCCTATCCAGCGGGAAACATTCTTTCTAGCCTGCGACCCTCCTTCCGCAATGTATATACAACTTTTTTTCTTTCCAGAGTAGCCATTTACATGACAAAGAAAGCGCCAATGAAGAGTGCCAACACGCAGAGTCCAATGTCAGTGTGCACGTTGTCTGCAGCACCCTTGGCCACAGCCTTCATCTCCAACTCCATAGCCGAGCGCTCATAAGCAGATGTGCTGTTGGAGCCATAGATGCGGCTGTTGGATGCAGTGCCGGCGGTAGGGCCGGCGGCTGCAACGGCAAGAGCAGTGTTGGCGGCGTCCTGAGCAACAGCAACAACAGTTTGAGTCTGGAGGATGATGACTTGAGATGCAGAAGACGAAGAGACAGCTGGAGAGGAAGAAGAAGATTGGATGGATGCAGGTGTGTATGCGGCGTTGAGGATGGCGGTGCCGCTAGGAGCGAAAATGTTGGCAGTGGCGTTGTTGAAGGCGAAAGGTGCGGCCGAGGCAGCGANTGTGGACGGTATCGGTGAAGGTCTTTGTGGTCTTGACCGTTGTTGTGGTTGTGGACATGCTGTTGGTGTTGGTAGGGATGTAGTTGACGATGGTAGACACGGGGTATGAGGTTGTGTATGTGACGACCGATTGGCGGATAGTGGCGGTCACGTATGCAGTGCTGTAGACAGTCTGAGTGACAACGCTGTATCTCGCATCGTTGGNNCAGCAGCGGGCATGGTATCATCATTGGAGCTCTTTCCACTTTGGTCTGCAGTCGAGTCGGATGAGCCGGAAGAGTTGCCAGAGTTGGCCTTCTTGGGTGTAGCGATCTGGGTGGCAACAGGAGTGACAGTGGTGTAGACACTAACAGTCTGAGTGACATACTCGGTGGTCTCGGCACCTCGAGCGTTGGTGCGAGTCACTTGCTGGACTTGGGTCTGGTAGAAAGTGCGAGTAACGAAGATAGTAGTCTCGACAATTTGCACCTCGCCAGCGCCGTTGGCGTTGTTGGCATTCGAATTTCCGGCGTTCGAGTTGCCAGAGTTGGGTGCAGCGACTCTAGTAGAGACGGGAGTGACAGTTGTGTACTCGTTGACAGTCTTGGTAACGTACTCGGTAGTCTCGGCGCCCTGAGCATTGGTACGAGTGACCTGCTGGACCTGAGTCTGGTAGAAAGTACGGGTAACGAAAACAGTAGTGTCAATGACTTGAACGGCACCAGCACCATTGGCGTTGTTGGCATTGGTGCCAGCGTTGCCGAATCTTCCAGATGTCGAGTTAGAGTAAGGTGCGACCTGAGGGAAGCCGGCTGAAGGAAGAACCTTCGCGGCAGAAACAGGTGCAGTTCCGTAGATAGTTTGAGGAACGACGACGGTCACGCCAGTCCCGATCAAACCACCAGTTCCGGCAGCGGCAGCAATTCCGGTACCAATGGGTGCAATAATGGCAGATGCCGGAGCAGTACCGGCGAGAAGGGTAGAGTTGTTGTCACCAGCGGCGAACTTTCCAGCACGAGAGACAGAGGCGATCTTAGTGGAAGAGCTAGCCTTCGTAGAAGAGCTGATCTTCTTGGAAGTAGAAGACGAAACCTTCTTGGAAGAGCTAGTAGAAGAGATCTTCTTGGTAGAGCTAGACGAGACCTGAGTGCCGCACTTACCGAACTTGGCTTCACAGTTGGCAGTGCTGCAGTAATCAGCTGTGGAACCGCAGTATCCGTACTTGGAGCAGCATGAACCGAAAGCAGAGCCGGCACATGTGTATCCGTTGTAACCACCGCAAGTACCATCCTTGGAGACAGGTGCAGCAGGGCAAGGGTTGGTAGCGGTGTTGATAGAGGTGCCATCAGCCTGAGCGTTCAGGATCTGCTTCATCCAGGTGAGGTAGTTTCTGTTGCAGATGACGTTGTTGGCTGCGTAAGTAGACTCCCAGACCATGATACCGCCGAATCTGGTGTTGCTGTAAACCTTGCTGATAAGGCTCTTGACCTCGGAAAGTTGAAGGTAGTAGCTAGCATCGCTTGAAGCAGCGGTGCTTCCAGGAAGACCAACGAAGAGCTTGAGATCGTTGTTCTTTGACTTGACACCAGTCCAGTCGTTGTAGCCCTTGAAGGTGCCTGAAGAGATAGCCTGGCGAGCAGAGCAAGCAGCAGTGTTGTAGTACTGGACGAAAAGGAAATCGAACCAGGCATTCTCGACGACACCAGCAAAGTGTGCATCGGGAACAATGCACTGAGGTGCACCGGAGATGTAGTAAGGCTTGACAGCATCTTGAGGGAAGAGAGTGTTCTTGAAGGTGGTGATCATCTTGACGTATCCGTTGGTCTTGTAGTTGGTGAGAGCTCTGCCATTGACAACAGGGGCGGAAGAGAGCTCGCTCTCAATGTCAAAGTCGAAACCATCAACAACAGCATCACCGAAGGGGCGAGGGCCGCCAGTCGAGGTCCACTCGCTCTTGACAGGACCAAAGGCACCCCAGAGGAAGTTTGCGAAGTTTGTAGCGCTAGTGTCGTCCTTGATGAAGTAGTTGGTAGGGTATCCACCACCGATGGACAGAAGGACCTTCTTGCCATAGACCTGTTGGCAGATGGCGATGTCGGTACCAATATCGGGGCAGTTAGAGTAGAGTTGTGTCTTTGTGCCCTTGTAAGTATAAACCTCGCTACCACAAGCATTGCCGAAGTTTGAGCCAGGCCAGCCGCCAGCTCCTTGGTCGGGGAAGACATTGATGAATCCGATGTTGACAATATCGACGTTGGGGTTCTTGCAGACGTCCTGAAGACTGCCCTGGTTAGGGCCCTGTCCCCAGTATGTGACGACGTTAGTTTTTGCGTTGGCGTTCAATGCAGATGCCAGGCCTGAGAAAGCAGCTACTGCAGCTGCAGTGCTGGTGATAGTAGATGATGCACGCATATCGACTGAGATAACGATAACGATATGGGTTAATCAAAAAAACGGACGGGTATATCGTATAAGAATGAGTGTGACAGCACAAGGCCGAATAGAGAGGACGCAAACACAGTTTGCTTGAAGGAAAGTGGACGACAACCGAAACCGGCTGCGAAAGAAACCCGAACACGAGATAGGTGATAAAAATGAGTGTATAGCAGAAGGAGAAGAAGCAGATGAGAGGGAAACGGCCCTAGATAAAAGGTAGGCTGCAAATCTCCCCCATTCTTGAATCGTGCCTTTGCGAACCTACCGGCTTGGAAGCATGGCTACCGCAGCCCACTTACCGTTATGCATCACGTTGCGGTCCAAAACGGTATGGACTCGAGATTGAAATTGCGGCGCCACTGTCAAAAGAGGGGCGAGGATGCCTTGGTGGAGGTGATGAACCGCAGCAGGTTGGATGGAGAGAAAGTTGAAGGACACTCCTGAGGTCTGTGCACGGCGTGCCGAGCAAGCGCCAGGGGCTTGATTGGTGCGGAAGATGATAGCCCAGGCACCAAAGTCAATCCTTTTCCCTCTGCACCAACACAAGACTCGCGTCAGTAGAGTAGCGACTCGCGCATTGAGATGAAGATCCGATTGCATGATACAATAGATTGCGCGACTGCCTGAAAAGGCCACTTGCCTGCAAAACTTCGCAGCGGGAGATCCTCAGAAAATCCTCCACACACATTGACTACGCGAGGTCGAGAACGTCGAAAGCAACGATACGAGAGTCGGCTCCCTTTCACGCTGCACCGTTCTTCAGGAGACGACGATGACCATCCGCACAGGGATCGTGATGCTATTCTTTCGCAGGCACGTTTTCTCAAGGCTTGCAGTGCAATCGATAAACAACCTGTCGCAACGGCGAACTCACCTCCTGCTCCTGAACAACGGTCTGGCTTCCGGAGGGTGCTGGGAATAGGAATTTGCGCGGATTTCTGTGCCGACCATAGACTCTGCATTGTACCTTGCAGCCGTCTGGATTCGAGGGTTGCTGCTGATCTGCTCAGTCTTCTTTCCTAGTATGATCATAGATCTACATCTTGGGAATTTGTGGTTCTCGAGTAGAGCGATGTGTTTCAGGGTGATGTTTAGGGGTTTGACCCGTCATGGTGGCTTGAACTCAAAAATCGTCTACCATAGAACTTCAGCTTGCTTCTCTACCGACAACCTGTGCTCCCCAGATATTTTGCGACTTGCATATGTAAAGGCAAGCCAAGCTATGCAATATTCAACATGCTGCATCCGCCAATCTCGTAGAGCGTTGTTGTTTGACGATGCTATCGCTGCTTGCCGAGACTGTTTCTGTCACTGTTCAGCATACCCGGCATCATATCGATAGACGGTGTGATGTTGAGGTAGCCTTACGCCACGGTCTGATGTCTCGGTACTGCGTGCTTCGAGCATGTAGACTCTTCGGGAAAGGTGTTAAACGCTGTAGACAACTGCTCGCGGTAGACAAGAAGATACTACAATTTGATATAAATAGATCTTGGATTGTAATTTGTGCTTCATTTCTGGCTCGGAGCAGCCTATTGCTGCATTTGTGTTGGGTATACTGTTGAAGAAAGGTAGAAATCTTGAATCCTTCCTCTATCACGAAAATCAATAAACGCCTCTTGCAGAAAAGCAGAAAATCCCCATCTTTTGATTTATCCCCCGTGGCTTGGAAACACAGATCTACAGAAGAGTAGAAAGTTAGAATTAGAAGGTAGCAAGCTGGTCTGGCCGCTACTACTGACGAAGTTGTTCGATCAGTCCAGCATGATAGCACCATCGTCATCAACGACAATAGCGCTCTTATTCTCCTCGGCAACCTTGCCACGCTTGGCGATTTGTTCGGCCTCGGTTTCTCCAGCATCCAGCTCGGCATCTGCAGCAGTACGCTTGGTAGATGTACGAGTAGGAAGGTTGTGTCCGTTGAACGGTCCAGCGTCAGTGGTTGTCGAGGTAGGGGCAGGAGTCTTTTTAGGAATGGTCTGGAGATCAGGCATGAGAGTGAAGGTCTCGGTTGTGGCGGCGGTAGACTGATCGAATTNGCCTGAAATCAAGTTAGTCTCAGAGTCAGTGATGTGAGAAACTTCGTAAACATACATGTTGGAGATGGAGAGCTCAAGGTTGACGCGCTCACCCTCATCGTCTTCGCCACGAATGATGACAGTGGAGTTATCGACGATGCCAATGTCGTTCAGCGTCTTGTCGAGGTTCTCGTTGTCGTCCATAGCCATGTCAGGATCATACCAGACGCCGCCGTTGTTGCTGACCTCAAGCTCATCCTCCTTGTAGCCGAGCTTGTCGACCAGAACTTGCTTAACAAGAGTCTCAAGTGTCGTCTTGTCAGTGTTGATGACTAGTCTAGCGTAGGCAGTGGCGCAAACACCACAGTCAGGTCTGGGTGGACGCAGCGACTCCTTGTTGATGACACGCTCAGTCGACTTTGTCAAGAAGACCATCTTTGCCTTGGCCCAGTCACCACGCATGATCTTGAAAGCTTCCAACACACACAGCGCGGCCGTGGTAGCGTTTGTGGTGGCGATAGCAGGGATGATGTTGCCAGCCATCTGCTTGATGTCGAACTCCGACTTGGTCTCGATGCCGAAGGTGATGGAACGGAGGTTTGCTGCAGCGGCCACAAAGTCCAGTGTGTCCCTGTCGTCCTTGTCGAAGGACAGTATCGGAGGAGCGTTGCCAGTCTCTTGTGATGCTCGCAGCTTGTCAAGGCGGTCGCTCAGACGAACCAAGCTGTCGGAGAAGACGGCAAAGTTCTCCTCTAACGACCAGTTCTTCTGGTCGTCTGCTATCGTCTCGCGGTCGACGTCGGCGGCTGCAGCGTTGACGGCTTCGAAATCGAGGGCGGTTGGGGGCTTGCGCGTCTTCCACATGTCTTCCATGCCGAGCAGTCTGTTGATGTCCTGAGTGAAGACCTTGTCAAAGACCTTTTGTGGGAACTCAGTTGAGCCCATGGATGCGCGGATTTCTTTCAAAGCAGCGGCCTCCTTCTTCAGCTCGGCGATCTCCTCCTTGTTGTTCTCATCCGAAGTGTGATCAAGATCGGGAGCTTCATCTTCGCTGATGCCGAACAGCTCATTGAACAGATAGCTCTTTGCCCAGACGATGCAGTGGATAGGCTGGCTCGGAGTGCTTCGGATGGTGCAGACGGGGAACGACTTGGGTGTTTCTTTCGGCGCGCAGTCGTAGCATTCGGTAAGGCGCTTGCGAATGGGTTGGACCTGGCCGTTGAAGCCGGTAGTACCACTCTCGATCAGTGGTACGTCTGCAGCGAGGCACATGCGATTGACGTGACGGCGTGCATCGAGGTTGTCGAGGGCGTTGAAGACGATAACGAATTCGCGGAACCAATCAACATTGAATTGCGGATCCTTGATGTTCGCATGGTGTGCCTCGATCTTGACATTCGGGTTGAACTTGGAAGCGGCCTCGCGGGCGACCAGAGCCTTGGACTTCTTGATGTGGGCATGGCGGAAGAGGAATTGGCGGTTGAGGTTGGAGAGGTCGATTGTGTCGAGATCGACGAGGTGGATCTCGCCATAGCCAGTGCAAACGAGGTTCTTGAGGAGTTCGCAGCCGATGCCACCGGCGCCAACGACTAGGATGCGCGCATTCTTGATGTTGGTGAACTGCGAACCGAGCGACTGCTTGAGGAAGCGTTCGCGCGTCATGGTGCTGCGCTTTGATTGTGGTCTTGTGGTGGTGATGACGAGGAGAGGGGCTGTCGGCGAGGTGGTGGCATATGATGGAGCGGACAGACGGCGTGTTGACAGTCAGATCAAGTGAGGGACAGGAGCGTGTTGTTGGTCGAGGTCAAGGTTGATTCACTTGTTCAATTATCCACCCCGGATCAAAACTGTCGGCGATGACGCGCCAACTTTTGCTTGCAAGACCGAGGTTCGATGCAGGCCAGTTGCAGCCGGAGTTTCTGTCGCCTTGTTTCTTCACGCCAATCAATGCTTGTACAGAGATAATTGAGAAAAAGGCATCACCTTTCCACAATGGAGCCTTCTATGCTTTTTCTCGTCGAGCAAAATAGATGGACAAGTCAACAGCTCCAAAATCGACGTGTCGCAAGCTCTAATTGGAAAGAGCAACTCTTGACAGCCAATCACCGTGCTTCATCCCCTGCACTTCACTCTTATTCTTGCCCTTTCTACACCACGAACCATCACTTCACTTCTCTTGCATCCCGTGTTCCGTCATGTCCGACGACGAAGTCGACCACGAACTGCTTGAACTCCTCCGACAGTCGCTACTGGGACCCAAGCCGAAATCCGACGAGATCGGGACCGACACAAAGGTCCTGCGACACGCCGAATTTATCTATGACAATAGTATTGACGTGAACATTGATGCCCGTGGCACGAGAGCTGCTGCCCAGTTGATCTGGGAGCAGATGCAGGAGCGCAGTTACAGCACTGAAACTTGGTCCGCGCATGATTTGCATCCGAAAGCAAAGGACGAGGCCACCCTCAATTTCATCTTTATCATGGACCTTTTGAACTTTAGCTTCTGGAGCGAAAAGCCTGAGAGCGAGAGATATGCCGTCGAGTACCGTGGCAAGACGTGGACTGGTTACTGGAGTCTAGTTGCTTGTCTACAAAGAGCTCTTGAAGAAGGCAAGTAACCCTGTCGTTCTGATGTCCTCACATTCCAGTCGAAGTCTTTCCATATGTCATTCTTATACCATTTCNNAGGTATTCCTATCACGACTCCTTCGTTCTACGCCGATGAGCTGGAATGTCCAGACGAGAAACTCGCCTATGTTTTCCGATCCTCGACCGGAGAGGAGATACCTTTGCTACAAGAAAGAATCAACTGTCTCCGTGAAGCCGGTCAAGTACTCGAAGACGTAAGCATTAACCACGTTCACTCTGGCTCTCTACTAACCCGACCAGAANNCTTTGACGGCAGTGTAGCTGGCCTTGTCAAGGCCGCCAACAAAAGTGCGGGTAAACTTGTCAACCTCCTCGCTCACCATTTCTCGTGCTTCCGTGATGAATCTGTGTTCGAGAAACGCACAGTCCGCATCATGAAAAGACCTCAAATCCTAGTCGCCGATATCTGGGCTGCGTTCAACGAAGAGAGCTATGGCGAGTTCAACGACATTGACAGCATAACGATGTTTGCCGGTAAAAGTTCTTTGCATCTGCCTTGTCTACGAGCATCACACTGACTCTAAAANGATTATCGAGTACCTCAAATCCTCCACACACTAGGCTGCTTGACGTATAGCCCACCCTTGGACAGCGCGATACGTACACAGCAACCGATTGCTCACGAGTCTGGCTACGAGGTACAGTTACGTGGCTGCAGCATCTGGACCGTGGAGATGATTCGCAGAGAAATCGTGAGAAATAATCCAGGTGCCAAGGTGAATGCCATCTTGATCGACTTCTTCCTGTATGACCTGGCCAAGGAAAAGGAAAAGGCTGGTGAGCCTGCCATCCCTCATCACCGTACTAGGAGCATCTGGTATTGAACCACAAACACTATCGCAATTCAGCTATGGGTTGCACGCCTGAGAAATCTTTTTGGTGCTGTTGCTGGTGCAGGTGTCGGTCCGACAGGAGTATCTTCGGGAAGCTGAACGCACCATGTCGCCCGGGCCTCGACCTCGCTTTTTATCTAGTTGGATGTGGCCTTAGGCGTCAAGCACATATCAATTGGTTGCGTGGCCCAATGGCAAGGCGCTTGACTACGAATCAAGAGATTCCAGGTTCGACCCCTGGCGTGATCATCGTTTTGTACACCTGTATCTTTTAATCCCAGGCTGTTGATGAGGCTGCTATTTTGCAGAACATCTAGCGAGCTCGCTGCATTTTTGCTATTTGGCTTAGAAAGATTGGACTACGCCGTGAACACAACTGCTGCTATCATTGCTCCATCCGTTTTGCTGATGCTAATGGCAGTTTTTCTGTTTCGTAGACCTTCTCGACCAGGGTCGCACGCTTAACCATGACTGCAAACACTTTTGGTGACAACAGGCCTCTCTATTGAAGTATTTATCTTACCATATCTTCTTGACGTACTCTTTGTATACTATTGAAATGGTTCAGCGGGTCAATAATGAGAAATTCGTGCTGTTTTTGCCATAATCATAAATTTCGTATTTCTCCAAAGTTTTCTCTTGATACATCGCGTAAAAATCATGATACTGATGTGTGTTCTTTCCGCAGAAAGGAACAAATGCTTGGTTCTGATATCGAGCATGCTAGAGGAATGCTCTACACACTAAGTCATCGTGGCCGCTTGAATACCTGGCTTTCTTGTAGTCAGAAGGGCATGGTAGTTTCATGAGGCGTGAGAACGAATAATAGCGCTAGTCATGATGAAACTTGATTCATATTTTGCAGACTCAGAAAATGCTCCAACCATTGGTTGTATAGTGTAATGGTTAGCACATCGGATTCTGATTCCGGTAATCCCAGTTCGATCCCGGGTACGACCTCGCCTTTTTGCCTGCCTGCGCTCCTCTACCCGTTGCAAAGTGGTGTCAATTCTTTTGCAATTCTCCCTGCAGAAGCGCGCCAAGACCGTAGAGGCCAGCCAAGCCACCAGAGCTGACGTCTCTAGATCGTGTTTCTTCGTAACCATCTCTCGTGAATGCATTTTGTACTCTGCCTCGAGCCTGTCTATGAATGCCGTAAGAGCACACCGCTACGGTGAGTTGGCGGTTGTGCCGAAAGGACGCCCAACAGCAAACAATGTTTTGCAAAGCCACCGCCTCTCGGCACGCGACTTCCGAATGACGCGTGCCGACTTCCATTGAAATGGCTTTTGGTGAACGAATACAACAAACATCATCTGCCCGGCAAAGAGAATGCCGTTTTCGCTTTCATAACTATCGGAGTTTAGGACTTTAAGCAAAGTCCTCTCCGAGAATCATTCTAATAAGTACTAGAGCATTGCCATTTGAGGGAGTTTCCTTATCTTTGAGACAATTCCCAAGGTTATATTCATTCTTCCCCTCCCTCACACACACCGGTTGCTGCAGTCATATCGTCATGGAGGACGACAATGAGACCACAGTGCAGCCCATCCGTACTGGGCGCTCAACACGGCAATACTTATCACGAACACGATCAAACAAGTCGAACAAATCATACAAGTCACGCTCACGGTCTGGTTCAAGGCCAAGTCGACCAAGCAGCCCTCTGCAACGACTTACCTCGGCGAATTTTATCGACGATCACGGTATCTATCACCACCACGACGAATCAGACTATGAAGAAGAAGTAGAAGAGCAGGAATCACAGCACGATGGCAGCAATGGCCTATCGACACAATCGAGCTCCGAGTTGGAGAAGGAAAAGCAAGAGCCGGACGAGATACCTATGGAGCCATTCGGCGCAGAAACAGCACGCGACCTAGAGGCGCAATCCGAGAAAGAGGATCCCCCTGCGCTGTCGAGGAAATCGACATCCAAGTCCGTCAAGGACCCGAACTTAGTGACCTGGGACGGGCCTGACGATCCAGCGAATCCCAAGAACTGGGGCAAGGGAAGAAAATGGGCGGCTACGCTCGTCGTTTCTTCCTTCACCTTCATCTCACCAGTGTCTTCCTCGATGGTTGCGCCAGCCATCGATGTCATCTCGCGCGACTTCAACATCACGAGCACTGCCGAGCAGCAGCTGGTCCTGTCCATCTTCGTGCTAGCGTATGCCATCGGCCCCCTGTTCCTGGGCCCCATGTCCGAGCTCTACGGTCGTGTCAGAGTACTCCAAATTGCCAATGCCTTCTACTTCATCTGGAACCTTGCCTGTGGTTTCGCTCAGAACAAAGGTGAGATGATGGCCTTTCGCTTCCTTGCTGGACTGGGTGGTAGCGCTCCTCTCGCCATTGGTGGCGGTATGCTTAGTGATTGCTGGAGACCAGAGGAGAGAGGCAAAGCCATAAGTATATACTCACTCGCTCCTTTGCTCGGGCCCGCTGTTGGCCCTGTCGCTGGAGGTTTCATCGCCGAAAACGTTACCTGGAGATGGGTCTTCTGGTCGACCTGTATCGCGTGCTTCTTTATTCAGCTTTCGGGCGTTTTCTTCCTGCAAGAAACCTACGTTCCGGAGTTGTTGAAGCGTAAGAAGATGCGTTTGATCAAAGAGACTGGAAACAAGGACCTGCACACTGAATACGATGACCCGAACCGCAAGTTGTCCGTCCACCTGAAAACAGCCTTCACCCGTCCATTCGTCATGATAGGTACACAACCAATCGTCCAGTTCCTGGCTATCTACATTGCCTATGTGTACGGTCTTATGTACTTGGTCCTCTCAACTTTTCCAGGTCTCTGGACAGGCATCTACGGCGAATCGACCGGCATAGGCGGCCTGAATTACATTTCTCTTGGTCTCGGCTTCTTTCTCGGCACCCAAATCGGCGCTCCCTTCAACGATTATTTCTACCGTCGCCTCAAGAAGAAGAACAACAATGTCGGTCGCTCCGAGTTTAGAGTACCACTCATGTTCCCAGGTTCCGTCCTTATCCCCATTGGCCTCTTCATTTACGGTTGGACTGCAGAATACAAGACTCACTGGATAGGTCCCAATGTTGGCGCTGCCATCTTCTCTGCTGGTAACATCCTGGTTTTCCAGTCATGCCAGACTTACATAATCGACTCTTATGCCAGGTACGCCGCTTCTGCGGTGGCTAGTACGACTGTCTTGAGATCTTTGGCTGGCTTTGGCTTCCCATTGTTTGCACCTTCTATGTATAATGCTCTAGGCTACGGATGGGGCAATTCAGTGCTTGGGTTCATCGCGGTCGGTCTTGGTCTGCCGGCACCATTTATACTCTGGAAGTTTGGTGAGAGGTTGAGAGCGAGGAGTAAGTTTGCTTCTGGTGGTTAGAGTGGGGTCATGTTGCTTTCTTTACGATGCATATATCCACGTAATCATTAATATAACATCACAATATCACAAAGCCATTTTCCATGATCGCATGGTGGCCCCCTTGCCTACCCACTCAAGACGCGGTAGTAATTTCCCCTCCAGTTAGTAGCGCTGGAGTTACTCATTGTTGATATTGCCAAAGATCAGCTTCTCTTCTACGTACGGCCACAGTCAGCTGAAAACTGGGCATCCCGTCCGCTCTGCCATACATAAGCAGTTGAACGGCAGATTAGTACTACGGTGGGTGACCACGTGGGAATCCCTGCTGCTGTACGTTTTGGTTTTTTTGTCTTCTTTATCGATTCTATTTCACTCAGAGAGATGAGATATTATGTTACTGCGTCGCCATTTTCACACGTAACCGATGCATGTTTGGAAGGAGAGCAAAGCCGCGCGTGATTGCTGACTGGCTTTGGCAGATCTCGTTTTTGACAAGCATGCGCGGGTGGGTGTATGTGATTGCACCATGGGGTCCTGGCACGCTTGATTGAGTCTTGGAGGGGTTGATGTACTTGAATGGAAGGATGAAGATCTGCTCTTCGATGATCAGCAGTTGTGGAGGTATTGACTTGTCCCCTGCCGTTGATCGAAAGCTTTTACAGTGGCAGTCTGGCACTTCTGACCTGTGGACAAGACTCGACGCAGTTTGCAAGGGGTGCACATAGCGATTGAACGCGAAGGAGAGTGAGGTGGAAGTATGGGTGAAGTTGGTTGTATATAGAGTAAAGATGTCAAGTCTTGATATCATGTAAATATGCTCTGTATACCACTGTGGCCAACAAAGGAAAGTGCGACCGGAGACCGAAGACCAAAAACGCCAAATACCAAATCATGTCGTTAGTCATATGAACTCTTGTCTTTCTGGCACTATCGTACGTGCTGAGATGGCAACTGTCCAAGCTACTTCCTGCCCGCAAAGCCTTGGACTCTTTTCTGTGTAGGCTTCCTGGCCAACTTCTGCTTTGCACCGCCTTCAGTAGATACTTCGTCAGCATCATCACGACTGACGCTCATCGAAGCCATAGCTCCAACAATGTCCTCCTCATCAACCTCAGTCTTTGCAGTTCTGGCAGCATACCTCTTCTCATTACCTCTAGCACCCTTGCCATAACAGTGAGTGTACAGTGCTTCCATGAGATTCTGGACCTGCTCATTGGCATCCCAATTCTTGGGGTAGACGTTCTTGCTGAACACGCTGCGAGAGCTGCACCAGTTGTGGGGAATCTTCTCCCAGCCACCGAGCACTGTGATGATGGTGTCGAGATCAGAGGCGCTGAGTTCAGACCAGTATCCAGGACGCTTCTTGCAGCAGAAGAGGACGATGGCCATGGGAAGGGAGAATGTGTCGCCGTAGGGCAACGCAAGTTTTCTGAGTTGGCGTAGCTCGTCGGTCGTGTAGTTCTCTTCTTCGCCGGGGAGAAGACGAATGTCCCTGTGGTCGAAGGCGTCGATGCCGCTCTTGTTGAGTCCGGGCAGTTGCTTGAGCAGACCAAGGTTACAGAGCTGGTTGTAAGGAACGGCCTTGTAGAACTGTCCCTCGATCACGCCGTGCACGAGATACTCCTCTTCGTACTGGAAGCTACCACTTCTTCCAAGAGTCTTGCCTAGAGCAGGCACGTGGAAGGCCGGGTTCGACTTGGCCAACTCTTCAGTGTCGATGATGGCGACGTGAACAGTGCCAGACGAGCTACGCTTCTGGGCATAGTAGAATGCAAAGTACGGCGAGTGTGACCAGGAAGAAAACTCAGTCACGACGTCGTAAGAGCCGTCCAGATGCATTGAGCTATTTGTGATGAGCTCGGAGCGAGTCATGTCATACACTGACTGATGACCCGACGCATACGAACGGTCGAAGGCCAGGGGTGTGATTCGCTTTGTGGTGTTGAGTTTGGGACTGCCGCCAGAGCTTGCATCCCACATGCGAAAGAGATACTTGGGGACGTTTCTGCTGGCCTNCTGTATATCAGGTGTGTTAGTGACAATCATATTCAAGAGAGGAGACCTGTATCTCGCACGCTTCAGCTTTGTCCTCAGAACTTGGTCGTTCTTTATAGGCGGCTCATCAACATTGTTTGCGGATATGAAGGCATTCTCTCTGCCGTGGACAATGGAAACGAGGTTGTAGAAGTATGACATGGGGTAGATGGTGGGTATAATGGACCAATGTGAGATGAGAAGGGCTGGTCGTAGACGGATGACAGTGATGATTCGTTCTGCTCATGCTGGCACACCATGTCCTCGGATTTTATACACCTATTACAATCCAGCATTAACAACCAGGACAAAGAATTGCGAGTCTCATCTTTGCTCTACTGCTGTGTACAGCAAAAGACAAGAATGAATTTGAGAGCATGTTTCTGGTATGTCAGTGTCTCAGACAGTGAGAGGTGTCTCTGTCGCACCGTGGCACAACAAACTTCTCAGACACCTCATGCATGTCTGACCGAGTGGCTGTATCCCGGATACCACTTTGCTCATCGGAATATTTTGACGACACTATGGTCTCTCAGGATTCATTACTCGTCATGATGGTTGGTCAACGTCGAGCTGAGCTGACACAAAGGATGCGGAATGATGATATGTGTAGGATTGATCACCAAAATTGATGTTTGAAAATAGCAAACAAAGAAATCCTCAGACAATATTTCGTCGTGAAAGTGGAGTCGAGCAAGGCGATTGTAGGTTTGAGCCTGGCTTTGATCAACGCTGTCATACTGGTCAGAAAGAATATCATTCCTAACCGGTATAATTCGTACAGCGGTTTTCGACGATCTCTGATGGGAGTCGCCAATAAGATTTCAAGTATAGGAGGATGCGCGATGGCCGTATATGGTAGCTCTCAACTGACGTGAGTGGAGTCTTGCGATAGACCGATAAGGTTGCGATTGACAATCTTGCAAAGAATCGGCCCGATGGAGCATCAAAGGTTTACAACCACGACCTCTTGCACTTACAAGAAGATTTGTGTTGTTATGCTGCAAAGCAATACTGCTCGACTATTTCATCTGAACCTGTATGTCTGACCTACCAATCTGATACATCATGAGCCGTTCGTGATTCAACAGGTGGTTTCCTCGATGCCGGTCTCGCGCGTGGCACTGCCAATTGAAATGATACGAACTCATGTGCCGTTGAGGTACTGTACAACGATGTCAATGATCGGAAGAACAACCCCGCTATCATGCATGCGAGCTGTGTGTCGAGTCCATGTGCGCCCAAAGCGAATGTACGCGTCCTACCTGGGGAGCGTTTTCTCACGAGGGCTTGATATTGGCAGCCTTCATGAAGAGGTCCCCACATTGTACGGTCATTGTGGAGAAACTCATCTGATGTGAGGGAATGTGGTGTGCCTCGAAGTAGGTGCCTGTCCCAAAGGGATACATGGCAAACAGGATCTGGCAAGGTGTGCTTGAACGGCCTGATCGGTTGTGCTTGCCATGCGTTGAGTCCCTCTTGTCGAGACTGTAGATCTTCTGCCTTATGCCCTGCGAGCGACCTACTCATTATTCCAATAGGGTAAAGACGGACGTCCAGAGCAAGTAAAAGCCACTCGGCTACTCCACACTGAAGCCGTTACTCATAACGCTCCGGGCGTAGTCTAATAGACACGTTAAGAATGTGAGACCAATACTTGATGCGCTTTTCGCGTCAAAAGAGTCAATCTTGCAAGGGCTGGAGCCACAGAGTACGAGGCTGAGTAGATAGCAGGAAGCGAATAACGTGGCGGCCGCGCAGAGGGAAGTGAGCGAGGAAAGGGCGTTCTTGCTCGCTTTAATTGGCCGCTTGATGAGAAACGTCGTAGAAGCGAAAAAAGCCTCTGGTGATATCATCACGAAATCATACAATGCGCCAGACGACATATTCCATGGTAGTAGGTGGACAAGGTGCCCTTGGTGTTGAGCAGAACACCTTCAGAAGCGCGTGTCGTGTAGACCAGTGGCCAGAACATGAATGTAACTTGGAGAGGATGGCTAGCCTCTGACAGTTGGCCGTCAGAAAGAGACATGTCTCTTAGCATGCGGGCAGGAGTTGCTCTGCGCATTGTGTTTCTTCCGTGCGCGCAAGTGCCGTGGACCTAGATAGGCGGATTGACAAGAAGACCCTGATATCGATAACGGTATTGTAGCGCCTCGATTTGGTGACGACTGTGGATGTTTGCTCAGTTGAACAGAACCGGTATTTGCTTGGTGGAAAGGGAAAGCGGTTGGAGGCTGGACGTTGACGCGGATTGGCTATTTGAGGCTTCTGCGGCGCATTTGCGGACAGCGTCCTCGGCGTTCCAATCCACACATTACCTGTTCCCAACAGCATCTTGGTTGCCCATGGTTGATTGCACCTTCCCCCAGATGCTAGAGTATGGTTATGACATTGGAGCATTCTTATGAATCTGATGAGACATTCGAGGATTGCTCGAGTTCTTCTTTATAAGCAGGGACTGATAACATGATATGCAACAGATATCAGAACTCGACCTGGCGCCGGAGATATTCCCGGAGCACGGACTACACACATGAACCGAAGAATAGGCGGCTGCCGGCGCACGAGGTGATCTGCGAACGCTGCCAGGGCGGCGAGCTGATGAGAACGTCGTCCATCGAGGATGCCACTGCACGCCCATCGTGTTCATCCCCTTCGTTTTCTGTTATCGACAAGATCCCGATTTCCCGTACAGACCCGCGGTACGGATTGCTGTATGCGGCCGCGTTGTGCAAGCAATTAAAGATGAAAAGCTGAACACGAGCAAACCTCCAGCTGAGCTCAACTTCCAAATTCTACATTCCAAGTCACAACCTCGCTTGTATCCACCACGCTACCATCTCAACATGAGAATGCTCATAGTAAGTTTGGTAGGCAACAAATCCATTATTCCACTCATACGCACTATGAACATGGCAAACTTTGTCTGGGTAGACTTGGGTATGCGCCGTTGCAACGACGCCCCGTGAGCGCCATCGACCGTTGTACATATCGATAATTGCCGACTCAGCTATTGTGCGTTTTGTTTTGGAGAGACATTCCCTTTATCAGCTCAACGATCTTTTTCATCTCCAGTCTTTGCTTCCTCCAAGGTATCCGAACATTTCTATAAGTACACTCGACAATCCGTGTCTCAATGCTCTCTCCAGACCGCAACGATCTCGCCTACTAATCACAGCTTCATCTTGTTCGTTCATCCGCTTGCGGATCTAATACCTTGTACCTTTGTTTGTTTATAATATTTCATAATGAGGTCCTTCGATTTCAGCGCTTCGGCGCTCACTCTTCTCGCCCTGGCATCGTCTGCTTCGGCATTCTGGCGCATGCCCTGCCCTGGTCGTATCGCTACTGAGCGTCTCGACCCTATCGTTGCCCCTGGCGGCGTTTCTGGTCACGTTCACACCATTTCCGGTTCAAACGTAAGCAGTCATACGGTCACTACTCCCCATGATCCGATCTAACACTTTGTACAGGGTTTCAAGGCCGAGATGACATATGCTGATGCCCGTGGAGGTGCATGCTCTTCATGCCCTATCAAGCAAGACATGTCCAACTACTGGACACCCAAGCTCTACTACCAGTCCGAGAACGGCACATTCATCGATGTCCCTCAAGCTGGTGATGGCCAAGGCGTCTTCGGTGGCATGACTGTTTACTACCTGCAGAGAGGTGGTCCCAACAACGACAACCTCACCGCCTTCCCTGAGGGCTTCCGTATGCTTGCTGGTGATCCTTTCAAGCGTGCGGCGACCAGCGACTTCGCCGGCCAGGCTGTCAGCTTTGTCTGCCTCGATTACAGCGGTACTTCTTCTTACTCCAGCGGTCTTCCTAACAAGGTCTGCCCTGATGGCCTGCGTGCCCAAGTCTTCTTCCCTTCTTGCTGGGATGGCAAGAACCTCGACTCTGCCGACCACAAGTCTCACATGGCCTACCCTACCAAGTACTCTTACGACAACGGCCCTTGCCCTGCTGACCACCCTGTTCACATGATATCCATCTTCTACGAGATCATCTACTCTACTGCTGGCTTCGATTGGTGGAATGGCACTACCCAGCCTTTCGTCTTCGCCCAAGGTGATCCCACCGGCTACGGATTCCACGGTGACTTCATCAACGGTTGGGATGTCCCCACTCTGCAGAAGGCCACCGACACCTGCAACAACGACTCTGGTCTCATCACTGATTGCCCCGTGTTCGACTTCTTCACCAACGCCGAATCTCAGGCCTGTGTCATTGCTCCTACCATTGACGAAGCCGTCACCGGAGAGTTGGACAAGCTTCCTGGTTGCAACCCCGTCAGCTATGGTCCTGGCAGAGCTCCTTACTCAGAGGCCGGCTGCACTGATACTGCCACTCTTGGTTACTCTCCCGTCTACTACCAAAATGTCACTGGCTGGGACTACGTCGGTTGTGCTCCTGACTCTGTCAGCAGCCGTACCCTCCCCAACTCGACCTACATGTCCAGCGATATGACTGTTGAGAAGTGCATGTCGTACTGCAAGAACAAGGGTTTCAATTACGCCGGTCTTGAGTACGCCACTCAATGTTACTGCGGCTCCAATCTTCCCACTGCTCTCGAGCCCACCAAGGGTGTTCTCGGAAACTGCTTCTCACCTTGCGCTGGTAACTCATCGCAGTACTGTGGTGGTTCTAACCGTCTGAGCATCTACTATACCTCCGCCAACTTGGCAGAGTCGACCATCTCCTGCCCCACCGGTAACGGCCAAAACTACACTACTCCCAACAACGCTACTTTCAACGTCAACTGCGCTGGTGACTCCAACGGCAAGGATCTCACGATGGTCTATGTCAACAACGGCATTCAAGAGTGTATCAAGACTTGCAGTACTACTGCTGGTTGCGTTGCAGCCTCTCTCTCCGGAGCTGCCTGTTACATGAAGAGCACTGTCGGTACTATGAGAACTTCTTCTGGTGTCCAGCACGCCCAGCTCATGTCCTCTGCCGCTGGCTCTGCCTCCTCCTCTTCTTCTTCTGTCGCAGCATCTTCCACCAAGGCTTCGTCGACCAGCTCTTCTGCCTCGTCGACCAGCTCTCTTCCCAGCTCAGCCACCAACTCTGCCGGCTCTGTGTACAACCTTTACTACTCTTCCGACTCTGGTCAAGGATCGTTCACCAACACGCAAGCTAGCAGCTCTTACACTGACTGCATGAGCGCCTGCGATGCCAACACCAAGTGTACTGCCTTCACCTATGTCGGTGGCAAGAACGGCGCTGGCTCAGGTCAGTCATCCTTACTTCACATTTCTGTTGATCACCAATACTGACATAAGTTCTANGGTACTTGCTGGCTCAAGACCCAGATGGGCAACGCCGTCTCATCCAACAACAATGTTCTTACTGGCTCTCGCGTCAGCCTCGGTAGCAAGGCTGCCGTCTCATCTTCTGCTTCTTCATCCTCGTCTTCTGCCATCTCTTCTGCCTCTGGCTTCGTTTCTGCTTCTGGCTCCAGCGCAAAAGCTGCTTCGTCCACCACTTCCTCGAGCGCCACTTCGACTGCCACCAGCACTGTCGCTGCCTGCCCCAACTCAGACAACACCATCTACACTGATAAGACTTCTGGTGCTCAATTCCTCATTGAGTGCGGTGTCGACCATGCTGGTGGTGACTTGAAGATGGTTTACGTCAACGACTTTGCTAGCTGCATCCAGACCTGTGCTCAGACAACTGGCTGTGTCGACGTTTCCCTCTCGGGAACTGCCTGTTACATGAAGAAGTCTGTCGGCTCTGTTGTCAAGTCCAGCGGTATCAAGGGCGCGAAGCTTCTTTCCTCAGGCACTCCTTCTGCCAACGTCAACGTTGCAAACAAGGCCGCTTCCACTTCAGTCAAGTCGTCTTCCACCACCCAGAAGCCTACTTCTACCTTGAAGACTTCTACCAAGGCTACTTCCACCTCTACCCGCAAGGCTTAAACATCTTGTGTTTCTTTCATACATCTTTCTACATGTCTTAATGATCACGGCAGGGCCAACTACTTATTCAGAAAGAGGAGGACAAAAAAGTAAGAACTATCGGGCTCACCAAACACCATGAAAAAGCAAAAACAACGATAGAAGAACGACTATCTAATGAAGGGATGAGGATCTTGATGATCTTAGAACTGCCAGGCAGTGCCTGTCTATCTCGACTACTTTCTTGTTCATATACAACAGGTTGTATGTACATGATTCTTTTACATTGTCTCTAGTAGACAGTATAATTTTAATTTTAATTTTACACTGAATATCCTCTTGCCAAATTTTCTGTTCTCTCAACTGTGTCAGTGCTCTTGGACGGTTGAGAAAAACAGAACAACGTTTTGAGAAAACGACGCTTGTTCAGGATGTGGAAAGAGCTTCCACAGACAAGTCTGCATCGAAAGATCAATCAGTGGTAGACCCGCTCCTGCTCTGTCCTGTGTCATGGTACAGAGGCTTGTGAAGCCTTGACTGCGAACCCATGGTTAATATCCGATTAGCATGTTCTCTAACCTCCACCTTGAGATCTCTCCATCTTGGGACGTTGAAGGTATACAACCGCCATGTCTCAGCCACAGATGAGAAGTCCAGCATATCCATCATCGAGGTCCATTATTTGCAATGAACATTCGCTTACCAGTATTCCTCTTACCAAGATATTTGAGTGCCTTGATGGTTGAAAACATAGAGCAATGCTTTGAGTGGATGATGCATGTTCCGGATAAGGAAGGAACAAGCACAGGCAAGTGCAGTGATAGGCCAAGACACAATTTCCTATTCCGGAAGCGGTTGAGCACAAGTTTGCATACTTGTGCACATTTATGCACGAGTCTGCATGTCTTGTACCTCCTCCGCAAATCCCTATCTTTGCCATCCTATCGCATCTCCTTCTATCCACCTTGCCGTCGTTGAGGCTCGGAATCCCATCGAACAAGCAAGTTTTACCTATAATGTAGTCGGCCAAGAGGTCCCAACAGCATTGTGAAGGATTGCATGCCGTTGGCCTCCCTCAATCCTTATCTCTAGTCCTCTCAAGTAGTTGAGTGCGAGATGTCCGCTCCTACCCCAAATCGTGTCATTTCCTATCTCTTATCAGATGCATCAGTCTGTTGGAGTTATACCCCAAGTCATCTTCGAGTACATCATCAGCATGTTCCCGTCCGATCACTTTCGACTCTCTTGACTTTGAACAATTGTGCCTTGAGACAATTCTGCCCGCAAACATGTCGTTTGAACACAAGAACGACGTCAAAGCCACTACTTTACCAGACGAGGAGTCTGACACATCGATTGGCCAAGTTCAAGAAATGGGCTATGATGTCGAAGCAGAAAAGAAGGTGTTGAGGAAGTTTGACAAGTTCCTGCTTCCTCCTCTTGCCGTCATCCTCCTAGTAGCATACCTGGACAGATCGAATCTCGGAAATGCAAAAGTCTTTGGATTTGAACATGGTAAGCCGATCTGGGAGAAGTTCACATGAGAGTAAACCTTTCTAATCATATTNTCAGGCATCGGTCTGGTCGGAAACCAATTCAACACAATCTCTACACTCTTCTATCCATTTTATGTCCTCTTCGAAGTCCCTTGGACGATGGCCGTCAAACGTTTTGGCGCGAATCATGTTCTTGGTATTGCTATGGTCGCTTGGTCGTCCATAACCCTTGCTACAGGCTTCATTCAGAATTACTCGCAAGCCATCGCTGTCAGGGTGTTGCTCGGAGCATTCGAGGCTGGATTGGTGCCATCGGTAGTATTCATCATCAGTACTATCTGGGAGAGGGAGAGACAGAGTAAGAGAGTGGCTATCGTCTACGCTTGCAACTGCCTTTCGGGTGCCTTTGGAGGCCTGATTGCTGTAAGTCTTGCTTGCTCCGCCATGATCGTCTACGGAAAGCTTACACGATACAGNTACGGCATCGAGAGTATGGGCACGCGACACGGTCTCGAGTCCTTCCGATGGCTATTCATTGTCGAAGGCGCCATATCGATTGTCTTGTGTGGTATCTGCTGGGCTTTGTTGCCTAAGAACGCAGAGACAGCTTGGTTTCTGAACGAGGAAGAGAAAGCCATCATGATTGCGAGGAAACAGCGCAACTCTGTTACTAGAGGCACGGAAGAGTTCTCATGGTCCCACGTTCGTCTGGCCTTTACGGATCCGATCATCTACATTGCCTCGGCTAGCTTCTTCTCAGCTTCCATTGCTCTGTTCGGATTCGGTACTTTTCTTCCGACCATCATCAAGGGTCTTGGGTAAGCATCATACTGCTTTCTCGTCTAGAAGTGCCCACCTACTGACATTCGAAATAGGTATACCTCGCTGCGAGCAAACTACCTAACAATCCCTGTCTACGTCTTCGCAACCCTCACCCTCATCACTGCAACATTCACATCAGACCGTCTGAAGAAACGAGCAGCTGTTCTGGCCGTCCTCCCCATTGCACCCATCATAGGCTACATCATCGCCTGCGGTACAGCCAGCCACGCAGCAGGCTACTTCGCCATGTTCCTCTGCGGCGGTGGTATCTATAGCTACAACTGCTTGATCCTCACGTGGATATCAACCAATCTCGCTCCCGACTACAAGCGTAGTATGGCTATGCCGTTTTTCGTCTCGCTTGCCAATGTTTCCGGAATCGTTTCTTCAAATATTTATCCAAGTGTTGATGGCCCTCGATACTTGATGGGTAATGCTGTCAGTGCTGGTATGGAGACACTGGCGCTTTGTGGTGTTGTGACTGTGTGGTGGACATTGAGACGCAGAAACCTGGAGAAGGAAAAGCTGAGAGCGCAAGGTGTGGAGGATAATGGCGAGGACGGTGACCAGGGCCTTGATTTCGTGTACAACCTCTAAGGGGCAGGACCGTATAACATGAGTCTCGAAGATGCAATCTTGTTGGACAATCTGGCAACGACCCAGAAAGTAAGATCATTTCCGTCACAAGTTTGTGTCATTCTCGCAGACACAATAATCTGCACTGCTTTTGGTAGCTTCTTTCCGCCTGCCATTGCTCTTAGTAGTGAGAATGTATGGGACAGGGCAAAGTGAGAGCGCAGATTATTGAAAGCAAAGGCAAGAATGGTGAGCAGACCTTTTCGTATACTGGTCTCGACAGGCATGCCTCCACTAAGGATTTGATAGTAATGACACCTTCTAAGATGCAACCTCGCCACCTCAGGACGCAGGCGAAGCAGTCGCAGTCTCAATCCTCTGCTGCANACCCCTCTCCCTATCCTTGAACCTACAACAACTCTCCTGACACAAACAAATCTTTGGCAAATTCCTCCAATAAGCATCCGAATAATCCACCGTGATTTCCTGACCGGCTTCAATACCCCTACTCACAAGAATAATTCTTTGCGTGCCCAACCACACAAAACGCTGGAATTGGGAGTTGGGACGGCAAGAGTGGTTGACGAAACGAGTGTAGTTGCCTTCGCGGCCTTGGTAGATCTGGTAGCGTTGCTCGGCTTCGGCTTGCATGACGTCCATGCCTTCGAGGCCTTTTGTGATGAGACCGGTGAATTCGCCGATCGCGACGCCGCGTTCGAAGGGCTGGTGGCTGGTTAGCAAGTGGATTCAAGAAGCCCGGAGTGTTTTGGTGGCAGAGAACGACTTACNACAACATGCCATGAGCCCGTTATTGCGTCCATTCTTTGTGCGGAAGATCTGGACAGGGGCCATGGGTAGATGATCACTGCCGAACAGGTTCGGGAAACAGCGACAGGTGCTTTCCGTCACATCTTCTGATTGTTTTTCTCCACATACGCTGCAGATGTGCGCTGCTTGGTGTGAATTTACTGCAATTTGGCGAGGGTCATTGGCGCCAAAGGCATATGGGTCCACGACGGATGAGTCCAAGTGTGTAAAAGAAAACTGCGGATCATACTGTAAGTATGTTTGTTTGAGTGGAACTGGATCGTCGTGGTCTGAGACAACCCAGTCATGGGGATGGCCAGTGTAGACGCGAGAGGACGGGTCGCCGACAATTGCAAGCAGGTCTCGCCAATACGGGTGNNCTATATCAAGTCAACGACGAGTTTGAAATGCATGCAGAGGAGAAGCTACACGAACCAATGTATCAGCGGCCACTTCAAACCTGGCACGTGACCGTCTGAGGATTGCCATAGACTCTGGGTCAAAGCCAATGCGATATTTGCAGAATCTGTAGATGCCCATTCCTGCAAAAACCAGACATACCCATCCGCCATGGTCTTTGATCTCTTTGTAGCCACGCCAGATGGCCCTGAAAGAGGACTCGTTAGCATGGGACATGAACAAGGATTACATGAGGTCTCACATCTTGTTGCGAATCTCCTTTTCACTCCAACCAATCTCAGAACACGCTTGAGCAAGTGCTTTCATCCTTGCCTTAGTAGCTGATAGTTGAGGATTCTCCTTGGCAATCTCCTGCACCTGTCTGTCGAAGTGCTCAATCCAAGAAGCCTGTACCACAACTTCAAGTGCTCGTGAGCATCGGCTGGCTTGACTGATCTTTCGACACAACAAGTTCATCCGGGTAAAAGTCCTCTCCGGTGCTGTAGCTGGCGGCACCTGTACCGCGCTGGGTGGTTGACCTTCCTGAGCCATATCCGTGATGAGTGATCGATGGGCGTTGAATCCAGTTGTTCGCCATTCGCTGGACACGACACTGATATCGAAACTCATGCTACTAAACACCTGCTCCCAAATACCCACGATCAATTTGCTCAAGGTAGAAGGCCGCAAGGCAGGTTCGTCTCGCGTAGTCCGTCTTTGTGGTTTTTGTGGGACATCTGCCTGGAGACGGCGGACGGGCGCTTGCTCGCTCTCTCCACGCTCAGGAGACATGCTCTGGTTTGCTGATCCAGCTGGTCGTTGTAATCTCAGTCCGCCTGTGATCTTACGACGCTTCGACGATTCCGAGTCCGAGTCATTGTTCAAAGCACGTCGTGACCGGCTACTTCGTCTCGGGACATGATTCTCAGAAGGCTGTACTTCATTGCCCACATGAGTCGGCTCGGTCTGCCTCAGCTCAACCGAGGATTCAACATATGGTTCCGTAGCGGCAGCAGAAGAACCCCTTCCACTCTCAATCAGTGGCGAGAGGTCGAANNAATCCCCTGCAAAACACCAGAGTCAGCTATTGATATTTTCTTGACCGGACTATTCTCCGCATTGGATTGTCTTTACAAAGTCAATAGACGACGAAACATCACCGTCAATATATCCTTTCAAGTCGAGCTTGCACACCGCCGGTGGAGCTTGGCCTGACGCGCTAACCGTCGCGATTTGCTGCGTGATCGCTCTGGCAATGTGAGCCGACAGCTTGTCCAGCGCACTCAAGTCACCATTCATTGCGAAAATAAGGATCGACCATAAGTATGCGTACTAAGAAGTATACAAAAGTGGTTGTCAAAGTCAAAGATGCGTCCGGGGAGAAGTGACGCGTGCAGAGTGTGACTTTCTGAGCGGTGCAAACATCTGTACACCGACTCGGCGTCTTGGCATCTTGTCTGCGCTGTGATCAACGACTTTTTCGTTGCAGCTGGTTGTCAAACGAAGCGATATCAGTGGTTGTAGAGCATTGCAATTGCTTGTTCTATCGATCGCATCATCATGGCGTAGCAAAGAGCCCTTCCGGAGTTGACTGCCGATTGGATACTCAGGCCGGTGGCTTATTGGCGCTACGCCGCTAAAGCGGCTATGCGCGAATTCCCTACTGATCTTCACTACGTGTGAATAAGACAGTCTATCTGCACAACATTCACGATTGGAGTACTAGAGTAGGACGGAGAGAATGATCAGTCTATCTTTTTGAGTACCAAGATTATGTGTTGAGAATAGGAAAGATCTGAAAGTAAGTATGGTTTATCCGCTCAGCTGCCAGATACATCCCCAAAGTTATTTGTTGTATCGATTGCCAAATGTCAAGATACTTAGCAGCTGGCGCCAGAGCCGCTGGGGATACCAGAGCACTTGCTGGACTTCTTGCCACCAGATATCTTGTTGCCAGACCACTTCCAGCCCGAACAGGCACCGCTAGCACATAGGATATATGTGTTCGTACCAGAGCTAGTGACGCCGACGGTGTTACCGGTCATGGTGAGGCCAGTGATTGGGACACCGTTGGTGGGCTTGCCAGTGGGGGAGCCGTTCTCGTAGTCTTGCTCGATGACAACACCGTACTTGGAGATGCCGGAGAGAACATTGCCAGAGTAGGTGACGCCAGAGACCTTACCGGTAGCACCGTAGACAGTCTTGATACGAAGACCGTTCTGAGAGTTGGTGACCTTGTTGTTAAGGAACTTGACGTTGGAGACAGTGTTGTCATCACGACCACCGACAGAGCCGATGGAGAGACCGTGGCCTCCAGTGCAGGTAGAGCCCGAGACAGTGATGTCGGAACCAGAGTTCACGGCCACACAATCATCCTGGTTATGGATATTAGCTTGGTCGATGGTGATACCAGAAGAGCTGCCGATGTCGAAAGCATCGGTATTGTGGCCCTTGTTCTCGCCATCACCAGCAGAGTTATCGACGGTGACACCGGTGAGGGTAAGCTGCTTAGAGTTGTTGATGGAGAAGACCTGAACGGGCGAGTCCTTGATCTTGATGTTCTGGATCTTGGAGTTGGTCATCTTGTGGGCGTAGAAGAACTTGGGCTTCTTCTTGCCACCGTTGGTACCCTTGCCGTCCCACCATCTGCTGCCCTGACCGTCAATGACAGAGCCAGAGGCACCAATGACGGTGATGTGGTCACCAGAAACGGAAACGAGAGGACCGGTCCACTCCTTGTAGCCAAAAGTGGTGGTACCTTGGAAGGTGACGGTAGTTCCGGAAGCCAAGTTGGTCAAGTCAAGGGTGGTGCCGGCGGGAACAACAGCGTCCTTGATGATGATGCTGGAGCAAGATTTCTTCTGCTTGAGAGCATTGGAGGCAGCAGAGGAGCCAGAGAAGGTACAGCTACCACGCTCTTGGAGAGTAGGAGCGGCAAGAGCTGCACCGCTGAGAAGAGCGGCAACGGCGAGGCCGGAGAATTGAACCATGGTTGCTTTTCGAGAGGAAAGAGTCTTAAGGAAGTAAAGAGTGTGAAGACGAGACCGGCTCGAGAGTTGGAAATGCGATGAGAAAGAGAGTGTAGATGATGAAAGAGACGAGTCGATTGTGGAAGGAAAGACAGCACTACTTATATGGTTATCTCTGCCCTTCTAGATTGTATGTTGTAAGGATACGATTGGCTTCGATGCCGACTGACTACTTTGTGCGAAGTTTGCGAAGTGCGCTGTGACTACCCACGTGTCACTGCACCATTCTGCATCCAAGCTGACATCAATATAGAGCTCAAATCGCGTCGGGAAGCACTTTACAATGATTACAGGAGTCAGTTGTGGCGGCCATGAGGCTAGAAATGAGGTCGGCAGGCTCGGGACAGGTTTCTGCAGGGACGCTTTGATCAGGGGGCTGTCAACGCCGCCCCACGACAACCTCTGGTAAGCACCACGGCCATATCTGAAACAATGATCGGTCTGTCCATCCGGAAGACCTCAAAGCTCAAGAGGCCGTACTAATCTGGGAAAATCATCTTCCGAGCTGCAGACAGCTGATTGAAGAAGAGGTTCGGCGTTTCTCGAACCAGCGGTCCTGCCCGCCCAGTGTTAGGGCATGGCAGCTGTAGTGTTTCAAGAGACGAAGCGAAACATCAAAATTGATGGAGAGAACATCAACTCGAACTGCCTATCGTATTCTGCAGCTCGAAAACTCTCGCTACCGTTAATTGAAGCCCTAGGTACCCTGCAAATATCATGGTAGATCTTGATCGCATTGCTCGTTCGCTCTGCTGACTGTCGCTTTTGCCCTGGTGTTTCACAATACCTGCTACGATCAGATCGAGAGACCGATCTGCGCAGGATGCTTGATAGTCCCCATACGACTTTGGATGCCTTTTCATATCGAGATGCAACAATGCATACTGAGCCCTAAGTCTTCTCGCAGGTCTCAGAGCCAAATTGTTGCATCAGCTTGACTCGAACGATCCACGTGCTTCTATAATCCAGAGGACGGAACATCCTCGTATGGATGTGCTAAAGAGGCGGAAATTATCACTTGGCGGTGGAGGGCAAGAAAGAGGGCAAAGATGAACAGTGTTTTGAGAAACAGATGTGGCAAGATCAAGCACTCTTGTGAATTCGAAGACAACTCTTGCCACTCTTGTACCAGCATTACGAGATGCTGTAGGCATATATACGAGTCAGACAGACTCTATAGATCACCACGAGTCGTCAGATCAAACTTCACACCACACACTTTTGATCCGCATCGCTCACGGCACATCTGTGGCGACAGACGCCACACCGCCAATGTTCGCCATGACCATCGAGCGCCATCAAGCCTCGTTAAGCTCATCATCCGACGCACGACCCTTTGCAGCACGAGCAAGGATGTTTTGCTAATCTGATCTTGGAGAGTAGGTCATATAGCCCTACTGCCACATCTGCCGAGCAATGGATTAACGATTATCTACCACGCACATAGAATCCGAACAGAAAACACTGCCTCACAGAACCCCAATCGAAGAGGTGGCCTTGAAGTCTCTGCTGCTCAAGCCGACCGAAACCCCAATCTCGCCTCCTGCAATAACCCATTCTTGTTGGAACACGCTCCAGTAGCTGAGATCACGTCTGGTGAGATCAAAGTTGACTACCGTGCTCTGCCCTGGCTGAAGGCTAACCTTCTCGAACCCACGGAGCACGTAAAGAGGGGTGGGGTCCTCACCGGGGATCTGAGGAAGTGACAAATACAGCTGTGGGACTGTAGCTCCGGCGACATCACCTGTGTTTGACACAGTCACCTTGGCTTGGTAGAGGACATCCCAGAGAGTAGGGTTACCGCCAGGGATGGTCTTGGCAGGGGGAGGAGTGCTGCTGATGTTACCGCCACCGTACACGTTCTTGACGCTAAGGGCTGAGATGTCGAAAGTCGAATACGAAAGACCGAAGCCGAACTCGTACTGGACGCTCTGGTTGTAGTAATCAAAGTGACGGTAGTCAATAAGCAGACCTTCCTTGAAGTCCGACTGCCAAGCATTGGGATCTCTAGTGGTTTGAAGAGCAGAGCTGTTGGTGATGTCGGCAAACGAGTAGTCATCCTGTGTTTGAGCGATGGTATAGGGCAGTCGACCACTCGGGTTGACATCACCGTAGAGAATGTCGCCCAATGAGTTGCCAGTCTCGGTACCTGGAAGATGTGCTGCCAAAATAGCAGTGACATTGGGGTTGTTAGCCCAAGGCATGACGTTCAGTCCACCAGAGTGGGTAATAACGATAGTGTTGTTGCAGACACTGGCTACCGAGTTTACAACCGCAGTAGAGTTCCAGTCTGCCAGAAGTGTACTACGATCAATGCCTTCTTGAGCCCAGGTCTTGAGGAAGACAAGACAGACATCAGGTGGCGATGGTGCAAGGCTCGCAAGGCCACGAGGTTGTGATAGCAGAGTGTTATTGAGGATCCACTGAACAAGACTACCATCTTGAGCACCTCGGGCTTTGATTGCCGTAAGTGGATCAACGAGGTAACTCATGCGACCTGTGCCTGAACCACCTCCAACTGGAAGTGTACCATACTNCTATAACGGATATCAGTTGCTGTATCGGTATATCAGTAGGTGTGACTTACCGAAGCCAAGTGAGTTTTGCTGGTATGGAGCAGCAGAGAAGTATTCACCGTTCAGGATATCTCCGGCATCATTGCCTAGCACTGCAATGTTCTTGGGAGCTCTCAATGGCAACGCACCATTGACATTTTTCAGCAGAACCGTACCAGCGGAACCAAGTTCTCTGATCAATGTAGCATGATTTGCACGAACATCGACGTTCGCGACTGAACCAAGAGGGAACTGAACAGTCGAGGCGGCAGCACCGAAGAACCCGCCGATTGAGCTACTTGGATCAATGGCAGGGTAGTCAGTGTTCTGCTTGAGGTGGAAGTATGGTGTCATGATACGCTTGATCATGTCATCGAGACGAGCCTCGGAGAGGGAACCGTTATTGACAGCGGTAGTGATGTTGCCACCAAAGAAGCTGTTGCCTCCTGCAGCAAATCCAATGGTACCGGGCATGTCCATGTCGAGACCTGCATTGATCGATGCCACGCCGCTGTGGGTAGCCTGCAATGGTCAGCACACGAACCATACTGCACATGAGGTTACACTTACACCCCAGTCACTCATAACGTAACCTTGGAAACCAAACTCTTCTTTGAGAATGCCGTTCAATGTCTTGGAGTTTGCACAGCCGTATGATCCGTTGACTCTGTTGTAAGAACACATTACCGAAGCGACACCGCTGCGGATTGCATTGGCAAACGGCCAAGAGTACAACTCGTGCATAGTGCGATCGTCGATATTCGAAGAGACAGCTTCGATAGTTGTTCCGTTGCGTGTGGAAGGGTTGCGTTGAGTCTCCTGTTCGTTTCCAATGTNAGTCTATGAGAAATCAGTATCTCAGCTTCAGGATAGGCGTGGCATATACTTACGCTTGACACAAGCTTGCACTCCTGTGGATTGCATGCCCCAAATTGTCTGCTCGACAGCAACACCACTGAGGTAGGGGTCAGGTGAAAAGCNCTATAGAGTGATCAGTTCAGTCATATTACATCAACTTGAGTATGACCTACCTTCCCAATTACGTCCACCGCGGCCATTACGACCTAAAGNGTCGTCAGTATTCCATTTGCTCATGCGTCGTAGTGTGCATATCCTACCTAAAGGTCCGACAACAGGCCCAAGCGCAACATTGGCACCCTTGCCTCTGAACTCTTGAGCCATATACAATCCTCTGGTGTATATGAGGCCTTTGTCCCATGAAGCTGCAGCTGTCAACCCGGCAGGGAACACCGAAGCATAAGTCGCTTGTCTGATGGCCAGAGGGCCATCCTGCAAGCAGAGTCNCTGTTCGAGAGATCAGGATATGTATTTCGAAGGAACGCGATTGGAATGTCTGAGCTCACCATCGAAACCCAGACGCTCGATAGGGGCAATGTTGCCGACACAAGGTCCAGCAGAACNCTGGAAAAGCAGTCATTAGTTGAAGTCATGATGCCCAAGTTGAATGATCTCACCAGTGACCAGTCCGGCTTTCTCTGCTAATGTCAGGTTGGCCAGAAAGGCTTCTGCTTGAGCCAAAGCAGTCTCCCAGCCAATGCCAGCAGTCTCGGCNNTATGATGTCTTTAGTCCATGTCGCCAATTGATTTTGTGAGTAGCTTCGAAGTTGAACAGCTTCGGGCTTCGTACAAGGTTGACTCACGGCTTGGGTATACTGGTGGACTGGAGGTGTACAAACTAGAATCCCAGCTGCTGTTCTGTGCTCCCGCAAGGCCGATGGCCGCGAGAGCTACGGCAATAGTGTTCAATGGATGATGCATCTTGTCTTACAAGAAGCTGGAGCTGGAGCTGACTTACTTCCCATCAAGGTAGTTCGCGACCTACCTTTATAGCATCGCTAACTCGGAGCATCTCTCTCCACGATCCCGCTACAAGAGGGGTCCGGCAATGCATGGTTGAAGTTTACTCACCAAGAGAAACTCCATACCATTGCAAGAACGCCCCATGATGTAACCTCAGAGGCTTGAAGGAGCTCTCAAATGAAAAAGTAGATTGACTGGTGATGCATCGAGGTTGATCCCCTCATCTTGGCACTGGAGGGAATGAGGGGAAGGCTGGGGAAGGTCATGAAAAGGTCGGCAAGAGCTCGTCCCGGGTGGTACTTAGCCTGTGTACTACCTCACGACTCGAGAAACCTGATTCAGCGGTGATCGGAGAGGACGGCAGTTGTCATGAAGGCGTGCTGTATGAAGTGGAGAGGTTGCCATGGACGGGTCGAAGTGGGATCAAGCTGGACAGTTTTGAGCCGAGGAAGCCGAGACAGAAGCTTAGCTCAACCCAAGCATCTTGACCAAACGGGTCTTGATGACTGAAGGACTTTCAAACACATAACTCCTAAGAGGATCACAGGATCATGGACTCAAAACCAGTGGGATTGAGGACCAAGGTCCATACATGAGTGTTGAGTCGCGATGTGATGCGATACCTCTGACACCAGACTAACCTTGATGGCATCAGTGTTGGCATCGGATAGAATAGCAACGGCTCATCAGAGCCGAGAATGTTGCAGACCAAGACTCATAAACCATTCCAAAATAGCAATCATGATCCGTGTAACGCGCGAAAGTCGGCATCTTCACCATCAAATGTCAGAGATTCAGTACACACAAGTCTGTCCGGTTCGACCTTCTTCTCATCAAACTGACGACTTCACTGAGAGTTACTCACTGACGGTCGTTCTTGTTGTTTGTGTCTTTGGTGTAAGATGCAAGTTGACTCGACTGCTTCCAAACGCCGAACATCCAAAGTCTTGGCATGCCCGAAATTTCCTGCGACCTTGATGAGCGCTGGCATTTATTGGCATTGAAACCAATTCATCACCTTCGACACCTACAAGATGGAGACTTTACCTGGAGTTGCTCCTCCGGAGCAGCAAAACACATATTTCTACATTGGGCAGCATGAGACGAAGAGGACTGTGCCTGTGACCACCGAATTGGGAAACCAGGCGCAAGATGCTGGCGTGAGTACTTGTTTCCTCTTTGCGGACGTCTGGAGGCAGTTTGTGATTCGATCTTGTTTCTTGAATAGCATTATCTTGCTGTCAACAAGATTCTATGCGATAGACTGCTCTCAATATCTCAAGTCCTTCTAAAATACGAATCAATGGAGAGCATGACTGATTACCGTTCTANNGTACGACATGATGACTAGACCCATCACGTCTCCTGGATTCCAAGCACGAGTTCTAGCATCGGTGGACGCTTACTTCGAGGCCGTCTCGGCATCCTCGGATGCAAATGCTGTTCCTTATCCTCTCATTGCACCCCTGACTCCCGAGGACACAAACCTGGTACCTGACGAATACATCTCTACCATGATCTGCTGTACGAGTGCCTGGATTGATCTTGCTTCTCCGGACCCGGTAGTCGCCCTTGTTTCTCGTCAGGTCTTCAACCATGAAGTTGCTTATGCTGCTTTCTGCGGTGTCAACAACATCATGATCCAGGGACCTAACCTTGAGACGTCTTCTGTAATTACCCAATACGCTAGAGCTATCTGGCACTCGCTGGAGGTCGGACCTTACATCAACTTGCAAATCTTGCTCCCTATGCAACCTGCCGAGAGCAAGGCTGCTGAGGACGGACTGAGTCTGGCTGGTCGTGCAAGAGACTCGTTCAAGACCCTGAAGTCAATTGCGACTGACGCACTCTGGTCGTGGGACACCTGGGACCTGATCAGATCGACCTGCAAGTACCATCCAAGACTGACTGTCGCTCTCGAGATCCCTCAAAAGCTGCCTTCTTCGGCCATCCAATCGCGCTGGTTCTCCGAGCCCCTCCGTACCTTGATGATCCCCGAGTCTGCATTTGTGCACAACGCAAAGGGCTTCCCTGTCTTGAACAAACCCATTCAAGCTCTACTCACACGCTATATGCGTCTCAAGACTGTCCCATGGATCATTCTCAGCGACGTTGGTCCCATCCCTGGTCAAGATCACCCCGGCATGCCCGTCAACCTCCCCGACAGATCAGCTTCTCCCGACCTCCCCACTCCTGCTCAATCTAAGCGCAAGCAGCAAACTCAAAAGCCCAAGGATCTTACCCCGTACCTGAGCTATATGCGTCATCTCCAGCGTACTCAACCTCCTCGCCCTATCATCGACCGCTTCGCCGCTGGATACCAGGATTTCCTGCAATCGCCTCTACAGCCGCTCACCGACAATCTCGAATCCATTACCTACGAGGTCTTTGAAAAAGACCCCATCAAGTACGAATGGTATGAGCGCGCCGTTGCCGCCGCCTTGAAGGATCTGCACAAGAAACTGCAACGTCCCATCATTGTCGCTGTCGTTGGAGCCGGCCGTGGTCCCCTGGTCACCCGTTGTTTGAAAGCCTCTGCCAGCACCGGTATCCCCGTCAAGCAATGGGCAGTAGANAAAAACCCCAACGCCTATGTACTACTCCAACGCCGCAACACCACCGACCCCCTCTGGAACAAACGCGTCACCGTCGTAAAGACCGACATGCGCGCCTGGAAAGGCCCCCTCATCGACTCTTCACCCCAAAAAGTAGACATCCTAGTCTCAGAACTGCTCGGTAGTTTCGCAGACAACGAATTAAGTCCCGAATGCCTCGATGGCGTTCAACACGTTTTGGATGCAGAGCATGGAGTCAGTATTCCCACTTCGTATACCGCGCACTTTACACCCATCGCCCACCCAAAGATTTACGCGGATCTGTTGGGCAGAAGTGGTGGTGACGAGGCGCAGAAATGGGAATTGCCGTATGTGACCATGTTGCACCAATACGATGACTTGTGTGTGCTTCCCGACTCCTCAACACCAGACATCCAGACTGCTTGGGAGTTTGTGCATCCCCTGCCTGAATCCATCATTGCGCAATCCAATCTTCGCAGAGGTGGCAGTGTACAAGCTGGAGGTAGCGGTATGGTCGGCGGCGATGGTTGGAACGAACACAATGCGCGCTTCTGCCGATTGAGGTTTACCGCCTCTTCTCGTGGTGTGTGTCATGGTTTGGGAGGTTACTTTGAAACCGTGCTGTACACACCTGCAGACGCGGCAAAGAAACCCATCGAATTGAGTATCAACCCCAACACCATGGAAGACAAGAGCAAAGACATGATTTCTTGGTTCCCCATCTTCTTCCCGCTAAAGGTATGTTTTGCCTCTCCTTGACCCTCCCTTCCCTTCCCTCTTTTTTCTTTGGAAAAAAAGCTGTATACTGACGAGATCCACAAAAAAAAACAGACACCCCTCACCATCCCCACCGCCTCTGAAATCGAAGTCTCCATGTGGCGTCAAACCGACGACAGAAAAGTGTGGTACGAATGGCAAGTCGAAGTATTTGCTTTGCTGAATGGAGTGCGTCAACGCGTCGCTGCTAGCGATCTACACTCGTCGATTAAGAATGGGTGTTTGATGTAGAAAGAGGGTTGCCCTGAGATATTGGTGGTGGGAGGGAAATGGCATTGGTAGAAGAGGGGAAATTTGGAGTGCTGGGGTTGGGTAGAGGCTGGGAAAAAAAGGTTTGATGGGTGATGTGCAGCAGCATAGAAAAGGCATATGAGGAAAATTGCATGGAGTGTATTGTTTTGATTGTTTTTGTGCTGTTCAATTTCGTGATTTTGTGTGTGAGGTGTTGGGGTTGAACACTACACTATAGATTCTTCCACAGCGCTTTATCTTACAAACATGACTACCTGAAGCGAATGCAGCTCAGTCTTGCATTGTGTTATGAACAGCCCAAGAGCAATTGTCGTCTTCAGCCTACCATTTCTGCTTCTGTCCGGTCATTGTCACTTTTGCTAGGAAATGACAAAGCGTGAGAGGACTCGAAGAATGACTTTTCGCTGATAAATACAACAGAAAGAAGGTTATGATATACTACAAGAGCGCGTGTTTCTTTCTTCTCTTCAAGACTCTGATTTTTGGTTGATTCGTCAAAAGTTGTGAAATTGTTGATACAAGTATATGCGTTTGCGTATGTGATTTTGTGTGTGGTGTGTGTGGCTCGTCGGTGGAAGGAATGGAGGGGGTATCATGTAAGAATTTACTCGTTGATCTTGGCCAAAAGCCTGTTGTCATGAATCAGCAAATCTGCAATTTCTCTCTAGTCGTGTTGCAGAAAAACTCACTCGTGATCGCGGAAGAGCGAGTACTCGTCCTCGCCGACCTTGATGGGCGAGCCGCCAAATTGGGGGATCAAGACCTTGTCGCCGGGCTGGACGGAGGGGGCAATGCGCTTGCCATCGCGGTCAAAGGCACCGGGGCCGACGGCGAGGACCTTGGCCTCGTTGAGCTCCTTGACGGCCGACTCGGGGAGNNGGAAGATGCCGCCGGCGGTCTTGGTTTCGGCCTTGATGCGCTGGACCAGGACGCGGTCGAGCAGGGGAGCGAGAGCCTTGATGGACTTGGCGGCGATGGTGGACTGGGGGTTGTGTTAGTTGTGTGCTGTCGCGCATGGTCGTGGGCTGGGTTGGTGAGGAGCGTACCATTTTGACGGTAGGGGTATGCGACAAGAGGGGGCTGACAGAGAGAAAGATGGAGTGTAGTATAGAGAGTGGTTGATGTGTTGCTGTCGGTGGAAAATTCCAGAAGCGACAGCGTCGTCGACCTCGGCCGCCGCGACAGGGTCAAAGCTCGTGTATCCAGATTCTACACTTTCATTTTCTACAAGACACATCGATCCATGGCTGGAGACGCCGTGTCGATAAAATGCGTTGCTTCAACAGGCGACACATATCGCTGCACCGTCGACGAGGCGCATCCCGGCTGGGCTGATCAGGTTCATGGCCTGGCGACACGCGCCGACAAGAACGAAAGTAATTGCTTTCGGCACGCCCTCTTGTCGTCGGATGGCACCGCTGTAGTCACGTATAACGAGGATCTCATTCTGAGGACTTTTGCAGTGTAAGGATACATCTAGTCGTCATTTCTTTCTTCTCTTCAACTTTTCTTCACTTCCATGCCTCTGTCTAGCTAACTTGGACAAGTNCCACTGGCTCACTCGGACGACAAGCCTGCTGAGACATCACCCTACTGTTCCGCTCCATCGCCAGCAAAGCTCGGCTCGCTCACCCTTCACCCTGCCTTCGATGTCACCAACCCTGCAACCACTCTGCTCGCAATCTCTCAACCAGACTTGCCTATACGTCTGACCAACGCTCTCGATCTGTCATACGTCCACGCATCTTACACATGGCAAAACTCCCTCACCGAAGCATACATATCCCCTTCGTCCCTCCTCTTTGTCGACAACAATCGCTTTGTCGCCGGCGCAAAAGACACCCTCGCAGTCTTTGACATCCACAACCAAGATGGTCCTGTCTACGAATGTCCGACGAGAAAAGGCCGCAAGGCAAGGAAGCTCTATGGAGCCGATACCGCTGGCATTGGAGGTATCGTGTCTTCTTTGGCCCTGTCCAGCGACAACATACTCGCCGCCGGCACATACAACCGTCAAGTAGGCCTTTTCGAGAATGCTGGTCAAGGAGAGTCCATGGCTGCCTTCGATTTGACCTACAATGATGCCGACGATAAGCTGCTCAAAGGCAATGGTGTAAGCCAACTCGCTTGGAGTCCGTGTGGGAATTACCTTTTCGTCGCCGAGCGTCAAAGTGACGCTCTGCTTGTTTACGATATCAGACACACCGGACAGCGTCTGAGCTATCTCTCTGGTCGCCAAGCTCTTACTACGCTCAAGCTTTCATTCGACTTTACAACCCATGTAGATGGCAAAACCGATATCTGGGCCGGTGGTACGGATGGCAAGGTCAGAGTCTGGCGAGACGTCACAAGTAAAGAAGGCCGCATAGATCCAGACCTCGCACTGCATGCAAGCCATGGTAAGCATATCTTTTGCTGATCAGATCTTACCTGTACTGATGGCCGATATNNAGCTGCTGTGAGCAACACTATACTCAGCCGCCGTGAACCCATGCTTATAACCACATCTGGTCAACGTCGCAGTCCCAGCGATCTCGTGGGCTTGGACGACTCCAGTTCAGACTCCGATTCGAGCTCTTCGGAATGCATATTGGACGAGGACGAGTCGGAGTCAGACGATGAGCAACACAAACCAGGCGGGCATCAGGAAGCTCAAGGCGAGACGCCGGCCTCGGGCATAGCTTCCAGTGTGGCTGTGGGAGATTCTTGGCGAAGACCCGCTTTTGACAATACCCTCTCCTTCTGGAAGATACTCTGAAGAGAAGAGCCCCAAGACCTTTGTAGACCCTCAAAAACAATTGACGAGTGTATGAACTGAACTAAGATGCAAGCATCTGTGTTTTGAAAGGCCATGAACGAATATCCAAGATACAGTTCTGGGACCGGCAAACACATGCCGACACCTTGATGTTGTGAACCTGTGAGGAGAAAGTTTGGCTTACAAATGGGAGCTCCTCCGCATTCAAACGGCATCTAGACTCAAAGGCCCTTTGGACAACCAAAGCTTCAACTTTTAGGCAAGTCAATGCGGAATTGCTCCACAATAGACTAACACGTGCAGTGTGCGCAGAGCTCTGCAAGATAACGATCGATCAAAAGCGCCGCAGAGATACGAATCTCCAGCGATTTGGACATGCACATGGCGATGATGGCTAACGTGAGTATTATGCCAAGATGTGCTGATAGTCGGGCCTGCGGAATCTTACCGCAAAGGGTCTTTGCGAGATGCGGAGCTGGAGCAAGAGCTCTAAGTTAAGGATCAGGGAGGGGTGTGGTAGGAAGGCTCACAAGGAACGGATCGAGAAGGTATTCCGAGGCTCTGATTGACGATATCAACGAGCTTTCGTAATAATATCTGCCATGTCTGCACTCGGGAGCAACTCACCCGAGCTGTTTCGACGCACTGACACTGTCTGTAATGTCGAGGCAATGCTTCGCGAGAGGATATCATGTTGGTTCTTCTGTCCTCAGGAAGGCACAACAATGGCTCAAGGAGTAACGGATGTCGACTGATCGTTGCATAAGCTACAAATGCTGTGGCTGAATCAAGTCTTCCTTCGTTCTTGCTCTGGCATGGTTCACGGGAGACCGTTCCTTCCCCGGGAACACCAAGAAGAGGACAGCGCGCGGGGTAGCTGCCGCCCATTGCCCCGCCTAAGCAAACACACTCCGCGAGTCCGAGGTCTTGCGGTCGCCTATCATCTCCATTTTCTGTCCCGATGAGGCATGGTTGGCTCGAGGACGAGTGGAGATTGGTTCGGTGGACCCAGAATATGTGAAGTTTCGAGAGGTGAACACGTTGAGTACAAATACCTTGATCAATCCGTCCCTCTCCTGATCATTTGCTCCTCTCTTCTCTTGTTTTCTGTGTTTTGAGATACCCCCCATATATATCCCACAATCATGACTTCAATCCAACTTGAGACCCCGTCCACGGGCAAGTACGAGCAGCCCACCGGTCTGTTCATCAACAACGAGTTCGTCAAGGGTGTTGACGGCAAGACTTTCGAGGTCATCAACCCCTCCAACGAGAAGGTCATCTGCTCGGTTCACGAGGCCAGCGAGAAGGATGTCGACATTGCTGTCGCAGCTGCCCGCAAGGCTTTCGAGGGTGACTGGCGCAAGGCCACTCCCTGTGACCGTGGCAAGCTCCTGAACAAGCTCGCCGACCTCTTCGATGAGCACTCGGACCAGCTAGCCGCTATCGAGTCTCTCGACAACGGCAAGGCCTTCACAATGGCCAAGGGTGATGTTGCTGCCGCTTCCGGCTGCTTAAGATACTACGGTGGCTGGGCGGACAAGATCGAGGGTAAGGTTGTCGACACCAACCCTGACACTTTCAACTACATCAGAAAGGAGNNCCCGTAAGTTATTTACTATCCACAGTCATTGGCTAGACACTGACAACGCTACTAGATTGGTGTTTGTGGTCAAATCATTCCCTGGAACTTCCCCCTCCTCATGTGGGCATGGAAGATCGGTCCCGCCATTGCTTGCGGTAACACCGTCGTCCTCAAGACCGCCGAACAGACTCCTCTCTCCGGTCTTTACGCTGCCAACCTGTGCAAGCAAGCTGGCTTCCCTCCCGGTATCGTCAACGTCATCTCTGGTTTCGGAAAGATTGCTGGTGCCGCCATTGCCTCGCACATGGACGTTGACAAGGTTGCCTTCACCGGCTCCACCCTCGTCGGAAGACAAATCATGAAGGCCGCTGCTGGCAGCAACCTGAAGAAGGTCACCCTCGAGCTCGGTGGCAAGTCTCCCAACATTGTCTTTGACGACGCCGACATTGACAATGCCATCTCATGGGTCAACTTTGGTATCTTCTTCAACCACGGCCAGTGCTGCTGTGCCGGTTCGAGAGTCTACGTTCAGGAGGGCATCTACGAGAAGTTTGTCCAACGCTTCAAGGAGCGCGCTCAGAAGAACGTTGTTGGTGACCCCTTCGCTGCCGACACCTTCCAGGGTCCTCAGGTCTCGCAACTCCAGTTCGACAGAATCATGGGGTATGTATCTTGATTCGTCCTTCTAGTCTAACACAACATACTAACACTCACCAGTTACATCGAGGCCGGTCANAAGGAGGGTGCCACCGTCGTCACCGGTGGCAAGCGCAAGGGTAACGAGGGTTACTTCATCGAGCCCACCATCTTCGCCGACGTCAAGGACGACATGAGCATCATGCAAGAAGAGATCTTCGGTCCCGTCTGCTCGATTGCCAAGTTCAAGACCAAGGAAGACGCCATCCGTGTCGGCAACAACACAACCTACGGTCTTGCCGCCGCCGTCCACACATCCAACCTCAACACCGCCATTGAGGTCTCCAATGCCCTCAAGGCTGGTACTGTCTGGGTCAACAGCTACAACACCCTTCACTGGCAGCTTCCCTTCGGTGGCTTCAAGGCTTCGGTATGTGTACCTCTTCACCCTTCTCATATGACGTGTATGCTGACTGTGTTGCTTAGNGGTATCGGTCGTGAGCTTGGTGAGGCTGCTCTGGACAACTACCTCCAGACCAAGACCGTCAGCATCAGACTCGGCGATGCCATGTTCGGTTAAACGAATTGCTTCGATGACGATGGTGTGATTCTTTTTAATGACTATGGGCTGCTAACTGGCTATCTTACGATTCAACTGTATCTATCTATTCTGAACCTCTTTTTTTTTTTCTTGACTTGACATGATTGAATGTGTCTTGCATTGATATAGTTGTCCAGCTTTCGGGCGTCCGCTGGTGTGCTTATATCGATATCGATATGATTTTACGAATAGTGAGTAATAAGTATTTCTCACTCTCCAAGTCGTGATTTTCTGCCAGCTTTGCTCTTGTTTTCGTGCAGGTTTTGTGGTAATTGCTCCCCCCTCAAAGATCAGGTAAATCCACATGTGCAGAGGGAGAGAGTGACCCTAATAATATCTCAAAGACGTTTTCTCTACTTGGCATGGACGAAGCTCTGCTCTTTATCTCCGCGTCGTTTCTTTGACGATGTCTTCTGATACTTACATCTGGCATTTTTCGCCAAAATGCCTTGCTATATCAAACAACTCGACGCACAAGAGAAGCATACAAGGCCTGGAATCGCATGCCCCGCTCGCTGATGATGTTCATTCAGAATGACGTCTGGTCAAAGACAGCTCAGCATCGATTTAGATGCACGCCTTGTGGATGATTCTATATGTGGTGACGCTCGACAGAAGGAGCAAAGGTGACGCTGAATGTGACGCTGAATGTGACGCTGTTGATTACAAACGACAAGACGAGTACAGATTTATAGACATGAGAAGGGCAAGATTCTCCCATCTTCATCACCATCAGCCCCAAACCACAACCATCCTCAAACAACAACATCCGTCACCAAACATTAAACAATAAACAATGGCATCACGTACCTTTGACTCTTCCCGCTGGACTTCAAAACGCCAACTGCTATCCGGAAAACCCTCTACGCCTACTGAAGTCTCCATCCACTATATTTCCTGCTCTCCCTCCACCAAACCTTCAAAAGGAACCATCCTTCTCATCCACGGATTTCCTCAAACCTCTTATCAGTTCCGTCATGTCATTACCCCTCTAGCAGAAGCCGGGTACCTGGTGATTGCACCCGATTACCGCGGCGCAGGTTCCAGTTCGCGACCCAGAGATGGCTACGATAAACTGACCATGGCCAAAGACTTGCATACATTGGTCACCGAGCACATTGGCATCAAAGAAAAGATCCATGTGGTGGGTCATGATATAGGCGGTATGATTGCCCACGCCTACGCAACCGCATATCCCGCTTCTGTGGCCTCTGTTGCTTGGGGCGAGTGCCCGTTACCAGGAACCTCGTTGTATACATCCTACGTGGCAGAAAACACTCACGGAGGTCTCTGGCATTTTGTCTTTCACCAACAACTCGATGTCCCCGAACTGCTTGTCCAAGGCCACGAAGCACAATATCTCAAATCTTTCTACGATCGCCTGACCCAACATCCCTCGGCCATCTCTCCCACCGATGCACAAATCTACGCAACCCAATTCTCGCAACCCGGTGCCATGAGAGCGGGCTTCGACCTCTACCGCAGTTTCCACAAGGACTTTTCAGACAACGAGACCATGCTCAAAAAAAACGGAAAGAGCAAAGTGCCTTGTTGTGCACTGTGGGGAGAACTGAGCTCCATGATTGATGAGATTGCCGAACCCCAAGCTCGAGAAATGTATCAACATGTAACACTGGCAAAAGTAAAGGGCACGGGTCACTGGTGTGCAGAAGAGAATCCAGAGAGTTTTGTAACCGAGATTTTGGGGTTTGTGGGCGCCCAAGCATTGTAAGTAGTAGTAGGGGGAATATATATTGATGGGAAATGATGTATGCAGTTTTGGACATATGGTGAAAACAGAGAGCAGTATATCGAAGGAAATCCTCCCCGCCTTCCAAAACATTTACTACATAAAAAAAACTTGCTTGCTTGCTTGCTTCTTGTCTCCCTCCTGTCGTAAATCTTGCACTCGTGTATCGTCCCCTTCGGCACTTGTCACTCTCGGCACTTGTCACTCATATCGAACAGATATCCATTGCTTCTCTGTGCAGTACCTCACCCTCTTGAACCACCATATCGTGGATGAACATATCATAATCTGACGTTTTGTGATTCGAGTCGTTTCGCTTCGTGTTTGCGAGAACGGCGTGGAAAGAAGCATGGCCTCGTTATCAGTCCAAGTAATGGTGGGGGCAGGGTGGGATGTGAGACGGGATGTGTGATCTGTTGTGCTCTACGCTACAAAGCTGTAGGACGTGGTGCCCTTCTCTGGGCGAAACGCTTCACCATTCACTCAAGCACACATTGATTCAAGAAGGTGAAGAATAAAAAAGATCCTGGGGGTATCACATTTCCGTCTTTTGTCTCACCTAATCCCCAAATCGCTCAACACAAGAAACACTAATAGAGTTCTGAACGCCTGTTTCGCCTTGACAACAACCCCTCTATCAAAAGCCTTCACTCCCCCTCATCCCTAAACCTCATCATACCCTTATTGATCTCCGTAGCAATCTCTTGGGCTTCCTCCCTCGTCGACGCCTCAAAGTCATAGCGTTTGGTCTCTTTCTCGCGGTACACGAGCACGCGCACGACTTTGGGGTGTTTNNTTCTGCTGACTTTGCACCCGACAACGCTGCTGAGGTGCACGCTTGTTGTCTTGCCGCCAGGGGGCGCCATTGCAGGGTCTGCGTTGGCATTGAGGGGGTCTGTGGACGAGGCAGGCATGACATGCATGAACTCTGCATCCAGAGCAAGAATTCTCGGGTGTGAGGGTGCGAAAGACAGAGGCTGGCGGCGGATGACGAGATAGCGTTTTCCTGCTCCGCCGGCAAGACCCCAGAGTGCAGTGGCGTTAATGTCGTTCGTTGATTTCGCGCTTTGCAGGCCCATGAAGGGTTTCCGTGTCTTGGGTTTGGAGTTTGTAGCGGTTTCGAGGAGGAGAGGGGCGTTGGGGCTTTCGCTGCCTGGGCTGCCTACCGCGCTTACCATACCACGGCCATCACCAACACCGACAAAGCGACGTCGTACCAGATCGAGCGCTAATCTCTGACCTAGTGCTTCTACTGTACGGTCTTCTGGTGCAACGGTTTGTGTGCCACGAACCTTGAGAACATATAAGGCTTTGTCGATGTTAAGCCTCTGACAGGCTGTCGTGAATAGCTCAGCCAGATATGTGTCGGATGTGGTTGGTATAGGTAATAGAGTTGTCTGGAAAGAGTGCGGATCTGTATAGTGTATAGTGACCGTCTTGGAAGAGCCAGTCCTGGGCGTGGAACGAGGAGCCGGTGCAGCGGGTGCATCCATCAAGGGGATAGTCGAGTTCTTCCTAGCCATAGGGGCAAAGGAGGGTGTAATGGGATTGACGTTAGGGATGTAAGTTGGTGCAGCAGGTGGTGCCAGGGTTGATGGCGCGTCAGACAAAGTCCTCTGCATGTTAGCAGGTTGAGGCGTTGCTGTACGAGACGTATCCGGTACAGGTGTGCTTGAAGGAGCCAGGCCAGATGGCTCGCTGAATTGTGGGGTGAGTTCCTCGTTCTCCTTGTATTGTTCTTCCGTCGCTCTCACGAGACCAAACTCATCCCAAGGCTTATCTCTTGCCCTAGCTCGAGGCGGTCGGTTGTTGTTCGAAGTAAAGTCTCCGAGAGGTTTCGTTCGGGTCAAAGCAGGGAAGTCGTAGTCTACTTCTTCATCTTCAACCATGCGTAGAGTCCAGCGATTCACATTCAAGTCATTGCCCTCCAGTGGGGGTTCGATCTTTTCCTCAGCATATCGCCACAGACTGAGACCTATGAGCTCAGCAACAATAGTTGGAACACCTTCTTTCGCGTTTTTGCGGATAGGCACTTGGATAGGCGACGAAGCTTTCTTGGAAAAAGGAGCATATATCTTGATCCACAGAGGAGTGGATTCGCCTTTGCCGGACAGTTGGGCAAACTGCTGGAGGGGATTGCCAGCCTTTTGTGAGGTATGTTTCAAGGCCTTTGACAAGAGACTGACGGGCTGTACGTAGCTGATGGGGCGGCCTGCAGGAAGTCTTGGTAGATCTGGAGGGGNGGCCATCTGCTTCATACGTTTGGGCGAGGTCGAGGTATGAGGAGTGATTGCAGGCGGCATGCTGGGCACGTTTCCTGGAGTAGATTCGAGAGTGTCGACGGTGATCAGAGGAGCACCCATGCCCAGCAGAGATTCCGAACCAGCAGTCCCAGCAAAGTCGTCGGAAATGTCGCTCGCCTCGCCAAGATCAATGTCAGACTCGACGTCTTCTCCCTCTTCCTGGATGCGGTCTTGGATCATCTGGCCATGCTTGACGGCGCGGTGTTGGACTCTCTGTTTGCGGAATGTGACTGGATCTGTCTCGTTTTCGGACGAGAACTCGCTACTGGTAGCAGTATCCCTCCTGGGCCGCTGCTTGATGAAGGAAACCGAGGGAAGGGAGGCGCGTCTTGCAGTCTCCCTGGCNNCAGTCAATTTGGAAGGAGAAACGTTGGGTATAGGAACATCTTCTCCATCTCTTGTGCTGCTGTGGGTTGGAGAGGAGCCAGCTCTGAGGCGGACGGGCATCTTGCTGAACTTGATCTGGGAGATGGCGCTCTTGTCGTCGTCGTCGTCGCTGTCGTCGCTCAGGTCGCTGCTGTCGTCCTCTTCCAGCTGCTCCTTTCGTCGACGCCTCTTGTTGTGGTTGTTTACAGCAATGGTGTCTTGGCTGCCTTGGCCGGTGACCATTCCTCCTTCTTCGTCGTCATCTTGCAGGGCGTAGGCGGGTGCAACAGAGCGTTGTGGAGCTTGGAAGTACTCGGAAGCGATGGCGGTAGGGATGGGAGGAGAGTATGTGCGCTTGATGTCCTGGGGATTGGGTTGCCAGCCAGCAGCACGAAAGGCCGGGTTGTTCAGGACGTTGGTGTTGAGGGTGATGAGACGCTCGCCGACGCCGTCTTTGATGTGGTGGAGGTAGCCTGCGCGCAGCTGGTAGATGGTGAAGTCTTGGTTGTTAAGGAGCGACATGAGGAAGGAGAGTGGGCCAGTCCTGCTGGCTCCTAGTGCATCGCGTCGGTCCTGCCTCCTGAGAGAGAGTGGAAGAAAGAGGTTGACGGAGCGTCTGCTTGTGTCTGGACCTGCTGCTTGTTGCTGTCAATCTGAACCTACCCCAGCCTCGGCCCGCCAAAGTCGTTCGCCTTGGCACTGTGATCGTGTGCTATTTCGAGAAATACCCCGACACTATTGATTGTTAGAACATCAATGCTTAGAAACAGAACAACTTGAACCATGAGATAGGGGAAAAAGGATGATTGTGTTGATCTTCAAGTGCAGTCCCATATCCAGCAAGAGCGACATTGTTATGGTCGGCGGAGTTTACAGGCGGATACTCCGGCTTGGCTTCAATCGCTGAGCTCAGACCCCACTTCCATCATCTTTCGCGACTTGCGTCTGTCAAGCAAGACATACCAATCATTAACACGATTTCGTCGTCTGCTCAACATGGCTCTTGTAGGCTACTCAGATAGCGAGGGCTCCGACTCAGAGACATCGAATGTCGCCCCTGTACCCGCTGCCACAAAGCCCACGGCAAAGAAAGGAAACTTCCAAAAACTAGTCGATCCATCTGCGCCACGCAAAATCAAGGTCGACCTTCCGACAATACAGCCAGACGTCGAAGCAGAAGCTCCCCCGGCAAAGAAGGCCCGTACCGCTGGAAAGTTTGGCGGTTTCAACTCTTTCCTGCCCGCTCCCAAACGCGCCGCCGATGCCAANAAAGGTCTTGGATCTGGTGTAAATCTGAAGACTGGCGCCGAGCCTGCCTTCAGCAGAGAAAGAGTAGAACCCGACCCCTCGGCTTTTGCGCCGGCCGCTATGGGTGTGGAGACCAAGGACGATGCAGACACATCATTACCAGCACCCTTCCAGGATGAAGCCCCGAAAGAGATCAAATCAGTAGGCAACGCTATGAAGTTCAAACCTCTGTCTGTTGCGAGAAAGAAGGCTTCCAAGCAGAACATTATGCCCAATTCTATTGCCGCCGCACCATCACCAGTCGCCCAAGCCATCACAGAGCCTCCAAAAGCCACTCCAAATCCAAAGGTCTCCCTGTTCTCAGTCACCCAGGACGACAACACAACTATATCAAATACCCCAGTGGCAGACTATCAGCCCTTGCTCGCTGAGCCAGCAGCACCAGCTACCGAGACATTCGACTCGACAATGGCCGCAGCGCCCGTACACTCAGACCCTAATTCACTCACTGCCATTGCCGACGATCTAGGCCTATCAGCTGGAGAGCGTAGAAGATTGTTCGGTCGCAACAAGGATGCCGCTGCCTTTGCCAATGTCACACATCTCAACATGGAGGAAGAATACAACAACAACGAGCAACTCCGCGTCCAAGGCCAAGCTGTCGAACACCGAGCCGTCAAGGCCGTTGCTCCCGGAAAACACAGCTTGCAACAACTCGTCAACTCGGCCGCCACCCAAAAAGAGGCCTTGGAAGATGCTTGGGCTCAAGGCCGTAGGAACAAAGCCGAGGCCGGTAGCCATTATGGCTTTTGATATCACATCATGACTTGCAACGATAAAATTAATGAGCATTTTTTCCCCTCCTCTTCTTTTGAGTTTTCTGAAAACCTGTCGGCCTTTTGATTTGTTTGGTCAAGCCAGCGCGTCAAGGTGTGTTTTTTTGCCCCCGAGACTGGCTTTGCTCGCAAACCTGCTTCTTTTGTGGGAATTTCGCTTTTTTCCAATAATGGTTCTACAGTTCACTTGACCATGCAGAGATGGGCTTCACAGCGAGTGTTCGAATCACACAAGGCATCGATTGTTTTTGCAGTTTTGAGCGTCTGCCATGACTGTTTTTTTTCTGATAACATGAAGTGACAGAATTGTAGAGCAAGAGACGGCGCATCTTTTTGAGCTATTTTCCATCCTTTTTCAAGCAAGGGGCTGTGGGTTTTCGAGGGGAATTGAAGTGGGGGGTATAGTCATGCTTCACTTTGTTGATCTATTCAGTTGTGTTGGACATTTCTGATTTGCTTGTGTTATATTCGGTGATGTGCACCTGGTTTGTGGTGGTTGCTTGGTGGTATCAACCTGTTGTCGATCAGGAAACACATGACAAAAAGGCACAGGGCTACCACTCGGAGCTCTTGAAGCAATGGTGACTCTTGATACTCTGGGCCTGGTATAACATAGCTATGTGTGCAGATGGCAGGATCTCATTTCCTGACCGAAGATAAAAAAACGAATTGCAACTGCAAAAGATCCTCATGTGAGTACTGAAGATTAATCTTTCAAAAACATCAACGCAAAGATACTATACATCATGTCTCTTCGAAGGCTCCTAAATCTGGGCCCTTGTAGCGTTTCCTTGCCCAGAATAGCCAGTTTATCACGATGAATATAGCAATCACACCAATCACAGCAGACGAATAGTNCTGATAAGCATTATTAGTGACAAAAGCATCAAACCAGATGGATAGTAACAACAACTCACTCATATTCGATCCCGTTACTGGCAGCACCGAAGGAAGGTTCCAAAAGATGAGGCATATCAGGGCGAAGCCGACGGTGAACAAATTGGCGACCCACCCAAAAGCGTGTGGGAGTTTGAAGGTGCGCGACTTGGGCAGCAACCGAGCAGGCCTTCCCCTGGCGACGAGTAAAGCGGCAGGAAATGTGAATGTGATGAGTTGTAGCATGAGGCCGGTGCCGATGAATGCATTGAAAGCCGTCGACGAACCCAGATAGACACAGCCGATGAGGAAGACGACAAACCCATTTGCCCACAATGCTCAAACAGGTGCTTGATGTCTGTCATTCATCAGAGACAACTTGGACGAGAATATCAAGCCGGTGTCGCGGGCAAAGGCCCAAGTCAATCTCGAGGCAGTCTGGCAATGCATGGTCAGGAGCCATTCACAGAGGATCAAGTGTAGGATAGAACGTACTTGCTGGGATCCAGCTAGAGCCATCAATGCTCCGACAANAAAGAAGGCTACGAAAGCATCCGCTGCAACGGTGGAACGCATTGCTTGACTCCATAACTCAAGCACGGGAAATCTGGTCGACGATTAGCAACGAGACTGTCGTTCACAGCAGTCGATGGACATACCNNCGGTTGGTGTCGATGCGACGGTCGTAAAGTCTTGTGCAGAGTACATCGCTGTAACCGCGACGATGAAAGACGTCACGAAGCCGAGAGACCAAGTGCTCAACAAGGCCAGAGGAACAGCTTCCCGAGCATTTGTGGCTTCCTCGGCCAAGTGTATGGCACCATCGAGCCCTCCATACATGTAGCCTGGTGTGAGAATGCCAATGAAGAAGACAACTCCACGGTTGCCCCATCCACTGCCGTCGACAAAAGTCACCCAAACGGACTCGGCCGACTGGTAAGTAGGTGCGCGCACGAGAGAAATGATCGTGGCTGCGAGGAATGCTATGAGAGACAAGGCAACTAGAGCTTGTCAGCATTTTGTCCACTCGCGACTTGAGCTCGGTCAGTCTTACANAAAGCAATTGAAGGTCCACATCGTTCGGCGTATTGTGTAGATGTTGTGAAGGAGACACAAAATGTTGACGGCCTGGTAAATCAGAAAAATGTGCCATGGCTTGAGAGTAAAGGAAGGATCGTTGTGTATGACCAGCGCCATCAGAGCTTGTGGTGCAATGACGGCAACACCAGCGGAGATGGCAATCCACGAGAAGATGTTGATCATTCCACAAGTATAGCNTCTGCGAGGTCTTAGCATAGTAGTCTCAGTAGGTGAGAGCTCACATGGAGATCGGCTGACCAATCCTCGAGCCCAGGTTGTTGGAGCCAAGATGGCTGTCCAGTGATATCTAGGAGCAGTCCGGTTAGAGATTGTCGGTCAAGTCTTGCAACGGAGAGAAGTCTTGACTTACTGGCCACCCGCAGAAGGATATACGCTTGCTAGTTCTGCAAGAGTGTAGACAACGAAGCCATACATGATGAAAACGAACCAGAGTCCATAGAGTAGGTTTGGCGAGCCACCTTGGATAATGACAAAGGCAAGAGTGGCCATGACACCGACCCAGCTGTTGCAGATACTCCAGCCTACAGATGCGATTTCGAGCATGCTAATATGGCGAGTCGGCTCGCTAACGTGGCCAACCCGACATGACTCCACGTCAGTTCGTGATTGAGTTGTGTTGCCAACTGCTTCAACTCCGTTAGCTGAGTGAAGCATGAGACCGTCAGGACTCACNNGTCGTAGTTCCGGGAAGCCTTTGTCCATTCCGTCGAGGACATTGGTTTCCTCTCTGTGCTTATCCGTCATGTTGATCAATATGGCAGAGACGGAATGAGAAGCTGATGTCTCTGGCTAGTGAAGAGGAGCACCATTCAAGATGTCGCTCGGACTATATAGTTCAGGCCAGACAGATGGCTGGCCTATCGCAGCTGTAGTAGGACGCGTATCATTGGACAGAGCGGGGTGACCTCCTTCATCGTATCTGTCGTTGCGTCTGTCTTTCCGGCCAGTACCATTTTCCAAGCCACAGCTCGTCCAGATGACAGGAACCAAAGAGAGTTCAAGTCTGGGGACGGAATCTGGGGGCGGAAAGCAAACTGCGCACGGGTCACGGCTAGATAATCCAAATCGGGAAGTTCTTGGCTGTCCCTAAACAGACATCCTTGCCATTCCCCACGACAGTCCTCGTGTATGCACAGAGTGATAGTAAGTAGGATCGATGCGCGTGGCTATCTTCACCACTCGAATCCTTCGTGTAGTGCAATGTATCGTCAAGTGAAAACTAAGGCCGCTGCCCGCCCAACACGGACGATATTCGAGCTTCCAAGTCTGACTTGATTTCGTCGTGTGCTCTCAAGCATCTCCCCAATCCTCCGCCGACCTACTGAAACCATGCCTCGGACAAAGGAAGGTCATCAGTATGACAATACCGGTGTCCACAAAGGCCTGAAAACGGATGCTGTCGTTTCAAGCACACTCAACACCAAGAACTCCTACGATGTGATTGTGATTGGCTCAGGTTTCTGCGGTCTCGTTGCCGCAAGAAATCTTGCCCTCGATCGCAACTTGCGTGTGTTGCTTCTTGAAGCACGAGATCGAATTGGTGGTCGTACTTGGACAGCCAAAGCATGGGGTGAGGAATTTGAGATGGGCGGGACCTATGTTCATTGGTATCCAGTTCCTTGTCTTCTCAAAGTGACTGGCTAACATTCTGGACCAGGNCATCAACCTCATTTCTATGCCGAGTTACACCGACATGGCTTGGAAAAGCACATGAAGATGTCGGCCGGAACGACGGCCACAGACACGATTCTATACAAACCCCGAGGTTCGGATGTGATGCGTCTTGATGTGGACGAATACAATCCGAGAATCGCAAAAGTCGCCGATATGGTGTTCGGTATTGATGGTCTAAGTCCACGTCAAGTCATGCCTTACCCTCATGAGCCATCCCGGCCTCAGCCCTGGCATAGATATGACTTCATGAGTGTCCAAGATAGACTCGACCAACTCGAAATTCCCCAAGAGGAAAAGGACCAGTTTGTCTGCCACACGAATTCTTTTGGAAGCTCTACTGCTCGGGATATCGCTTGGACGGACGCCCTGCGTTGGTATGCTTTAGGAGGCTATAGCCTTTCGACCATGTATGACGCTGCTGCGTGCTTCAAGCTTGGTAACGGCGGCACAACCAATCTTGCCCGGCATATTCTTGAGGAGTTCAACGGAGATAGAGTCCTCAACAAGGTTGTGTCTTCTATGAAAGAGGATAATGGAAAAGTCACCGTCTCTTGTGCCGATAGATCCAGCTACAGGGCACGCCGAGTCGTGTGTACTATTCCCCTCAACTGCCTCTCCGACATTCATTTCGATCCACCTCTGTCCACTGCGAAGCAGAGTGCTGTTCAAGCAGGCCACACCAATCTTGGAGAGAAGTACCATTTTGCACTCAACGAAACTCAGGGCAACTGGTTCGTAAACACTAGTGATACAGACAGTGGCTTTCTTTTCGGCTTGAAAGACCATGATGGTTAGTGATCTAGACGTATCTCCATACTCATCATTCAAAGCTGACAATCTCANGGTACTCAATCTGCAAACAGATCGGGCTCATTTGCCATGATGTTCGGCCATAGTGGAAAGCTGACCGATCCTACCAAGAGCGAACATGTTATCAACGAGTTCAAGAAGCTCCAGCCCAGCGGTGATGTGCGCGGTTATGTGTCACACACTTGGTCCGAAGATCCTTATGCNAAAGGTGCATGGTTCTGTGCCTTCCCTGGTCAAGCCACAAAGAGCCTGAAGGCTTTGCAGGAACCTCATGGAAGAGTCTTCATGGCAAGCGCGGATTGGGCCCAGGGTTGGCGAGGCTTCATCGACGGTGCAATCGAGCAAGGAGCCCGGGCTTCCGCGGTTGTCAAATATGCTTTGGAACAGGAAGATTGTATCTCAACTCCCAAGCTCTAGGCGTACGTAGTATCATCAGGTCTGCCGCGATCGTTACCTTGCACTGCCTTCCTACTAGTTGGTGACTTCGTCGTCTGAGTGATCTAGATATCATCCTTTGCGTTAAAATTGGACCTATTTTGCGCTCTTTTTCACCGGAATTCCAGTGTGCGCAAAGAAGCCGTAGTGTTGGACAACGAGACCATGAACTTATGGTTCCTCTTTGCAAAGCATCATGCTCTCAATTGACCTAGCATATACCGGTTCTGATACGGGTACTTCGGCCAACAAGCGTGTCTCCGACGATGATCAGCACGAACTATCCAAGACATGAGCACATGATCCAGCATACTCCGCACTGTCAATTGTGCAGCAGCACATCTAGCCAACTCTGTGTCTGGTATGGAGGATATAGCTCTGCGTCACCGACATAGAGCCATGTTCGCACTTTCCTCCGTCATCCATTCCATGTTTCATCCGGAGGATGAAGGGTCCGGGCAACATTGGCTATCGCGTTCGTCCACAAAGACTAGTAGATACCATGCCCTCCTAGCGTCGCTTTTGTTGAATATAAGTTCGGTAAGCACACAGGCTGTTGTAACTTGTCAAAGCTGCCCCACTGACAGACATCAAAGGCTTGGTATGATTCTTCTTTGACAGGCCTTACACATCTGTTCGGGGCACGATTACTCTTTCAAGCATGGACGAGCGATGAGGGTCTCTCCACTCGAGAAGACCAGCCCTCGCTATTGACACGTGAGCAAAGCTTCATCGTCGGTGCCATGGCCTTTTTGGAATGTTTGGCGTCTATCATAATTGACCAACCAATCGAGATCCTGACGTACCTACGACCATTCTCTACACTTGCCGAGAACCAACGTATCTATCCCAATCCTTGGACTGGAGTGAGCACGCCGCTCTTCATCATGTTGGCCGAGGTAGCAACGCTCATCAGACAAAAGCGAAATTTGACTGCCTTGAGCTCCGCCGAACCGCAAACTGAATCGCTCTCACAGCTGAATACAAGCCTGACCAAGAACGCGAGCCAACTTTTCAACTCGGCCCTTTCGCATCGGGCCCCATCAACTGCGATAACGGATGAGACTAAAGACACCAAAACACCTCTGCATCATCTCGGAAGCATAGACTGTATTTTTCGCTTGATCATCCTGCTAGAGCTTGCACAGATCTTTCCAGATGTTGTCCTAGACAATACCAATGCTGTTCGCGACAAGGCAGAGTTACAGCAAGAGAGCCAGAAAGTGGCGCGGGACTTTGCTATCGCGGCCTTGAGGATGATCTCCGAACTGCCAAAAACGTCTGGAACGCTCATAATGCTGACAATACCCCTCGTCTCCGCTGGAAGTGCCTTGCGAAATCTCGAGAGCCATAGATACGATCACAAGTTCGACTCTCACTTGTTTACTGAGCTACGTAAGGACGTATCCGACCTCATCAATCAACCACTTCCATTAGCGACATGGCGAGATCTAGTCGAGCTGCGAATCGAGCAGCTGGAGCGGCGGGTGGGTTTAGCACCAGTGCGCAGAATGAGGGAACTGTTAAAGGCAGTCTGGCATCAGGCAGATGAAGCAACCCCGAGCGTAGATTCTTCCACGCGAATCCACGTCCATTGGATGGATGTGATGATAAAAGAGAAGTTGGAGACCCTCCTGGGATGAAAAAGTGCAGACCTCCATTGTCTTACGGAAGGAGCGAGCAAGCCACACTGCAAAAGTAGCTCCCAATAAGTATGCTGGCATCACGACAACACCATCGATTTGGACCTCGAGTTGATTCTTGGAGGAGTTCGGTCAACGACCTTGTTATTCAGTCCTTCGGCTGGAACATCTGAACATCAGGGGTTCCTCCCTCCGCACCTGCTTGGCTTCAAAAACATCCATGTGCAAGATGACAGTCGAAGAGTCAAAACATGCCACGGCGCAGGTGTCTTTACATGGCTCCTGTTTCCAACACTGGATTGTATAAGACATTTGGGGTGGCAGGGGATGCTCTAAGAGCTGTACAAGCAAGTGGAGCTGTGCGGTTACTGGGTCTACCAGTGTCTCTTTCTTGTACGGCTCTCAGAACATTCACCGCCACCCTGACCGTTATCACGAGGACATTTCCTGTAATGATCCTTATCCTTCGATTGAGCTGCGCAATCCTGATGCTGCAGGGACCGATTTCACGGTGCACACAAAGAATGTCAAGCTCGAAATTGTATCTTAATGGGTATCAGTCAGTAAGGATATGTATATTGAAAGGGGGTGCGAGGTTCAAAGCTTTTCGCTGGTCGAGTGTTGACCTACCATCTGCTCTATTGGTAGAGCATCTATAATTCACTCTCTTCGAGACTGCAGTTGTATGCCTTTTCACATATAACATTTTTTTGAGCTTGTGATGCCAAGTGTAGGGATGAAAAACTTCCCTTGCCGTTTTCCCAGACCACATGTCCTACACAGCGTTCCTATCAAACTCTCCAAATACTCCTCATTATGCAGACACAGATAAAGAGCATATGATCAAGGGCAAACAGAGAACAAATCAACCAACCTCAACACTCCCCAACACTCAAAACGAAACCCCCTCAAAACGGAATCACAGCTTTGCACCAGCATCCCCACCCCCAGCTCTCTGATATACCTCCCTCTCAAACAAATCAATCATATCGCCAACCCTCGCATCTCCAGGCGGATACACCTGCGTCCCAAACAACCCACAAACACCCTTTTCTCTATCCACAAACCAAAAGTTGTTCGGCATACCACTCCAAATCAACGTCTTTTGCTTTCTGTGCTCGTCGTCTCTAGAATCAACCAATACACCGCCAATGCCCCAATCATAGATGACGGTTTCCGGAAACTTGCCCACGAAAAGCGATACTATTTCTGGCATGGTAAAGACTTTGTTGATGCCGGTTCGTGACTCGGAGGTTAGGTGGGGAGAGAACATGATGGCAGTGCTGTGTTTCGAGAGCAGTTTTTCGTCGTCAAAGAGCAACGATTCGAGAATTTTGAAGTAGGAGGTCAGGTCTGCGTACCCGCCGTGACCGCCAAAACACTCTGCATCTCCCACATCGATGTTTTTGCCGTCTGGCAGGTTGATCAACTCGCCGGTGGGTATCCTTAACGCAATAGTTGCCAACTCCTTCTTCAGGTCCTCGGTCAAGTATGGCGTGAATTTTATCCTGTCGATATTCAAGGGCGAGAAGATGTGTTCTTGCATATAGTCTTGCAAAGATTGGTTTGTCAGTTTTTCGATGACTTTGCCTGCCCAGTCTATTCCTGTTCCATAGGCCCAGTGGGTGCCGGGTTCAAAGAGAAGTGGGTACACGCTTTTGCTCTTCATTGTTGTTCTATCCTTAGGATTATCATTGATGCTTTCCCTGTACTTATCCAACATAGGCACCATTTTATCGTATGCTGTACCCGCAGAGTGGGTAAGTAGATGAACAAACTTGATGGTGTTTTTGCGTTGAGTCAAGATTGGTTTATCGTTCGAGTCGAATCCGTGGAGGATGGGTTGGGAAGCCAGGTCAGGGATATAGGGACCAACATCAGAGTCCAGAGAAATTAAACCTTTCTCGACAATTTGCATGGCGGCAATGGAGGTGAGAAGTTTTGTCATCGAGGCCAGGAAGAGTATGCTGTTGAGTTGGAGTGGTTTGGCATTGTCACCGAGGCAAGTGCTGCCAAAGACTTTTGCATAGTCTAGTTTGCNCTATTCGTTTTATGCATGTTAGTGCTTTGATAGAAAAACGTGGTCGAGATTTCTTTTACCAGACTTGTCTTTGGCCATCAAAATGGCACTAGGGAACACGGCATCTCTAACGGCTTGCTCGAATTTTTCCTCAAGTGAAGACATGATATTTCTTGATATAGATACTGTTAAAGAAAAAAAGTTGTCGCGACGAGACGGTGATTATAAAGTGTAGAGTAGAAGTCTACGTATCTTTTATATCAGAATAGCCGATGTTATGGTTGCCTTGAGCCGAGGCTTCGCGGAGAGGGGAGGGAAAGCCGCTGCTTGCTCCTTCCCTCTCTGATTGTTAATCAACACCTTGGCATACAAATATGTCCGCTCTACTACGTGTCGTGTAAGCTGATTTAAACACTAGATACGTTGCAAAGTCGATATGCAAGGTCTGGTGGCTGTTCTGGTTACCTTGGCGTGCATGTCTGTTTCATCTTACATGTCGAGTTTGATTGCGGCTAGATTTCAGTGAGGCAACAAGAATATTGCATCAAAGGACTGAAGAAAAGTTATATAAACAACATCTGTAAACACCAACGCCAGTTTACCCAGATTTCTTTATCCCTCTCTTACAAATCATTGGGATAGTCATCCTTGACCTGCGCTCCAACCTTGATCCTCCACCCGTTAATGGCATGCTTCTTCTTTCCGACCTTGACAAGATTTTTGAGATGTCTGTATAACGTCTCCTTGACCTCCATGGGATCGTCTCTGTTCTCCGTTGCCCAGACCAGAGTGAAGGTAACCATCAACCCCTGCTTGTTGCCCTTCTTGCCCAAGTTATCCACATACTCGGACGAAATACGGATCTCGGGCTTCTTGAGAATAGTTCTGTGGGCAACATCGTAAAGGTCGTCCTGAACGACACCTGCGGGGAAGGCACGAGACAGGACTAGACCAACTACACCGATGTACTGCGTCCACCATGCTTCTTCATTCGATACCAGGCGAATGAGTGAATCACGGTAGTCGGCCTCGCGTGGGGCGAGTTCACCTTCGTAGCGAGCTTCGAGCATGAGGGCCAGCAAAGCTCTATCCGCATGCGAAGATCCATGTGTCGAGCACAAGATGCCAGTACCCGTGCTGTACAATGCGGATGTAGAAGAAACTTCCTTGTTCATGTTGGCGTGGAAGTAGAACATGTTTGCGAATGCCCTGATCATGTGTACATCAATTGACTCAGGGACGCCAGAGTATCCTTTTGCGGCTGTCGGAAGAGATTGCGTGACCAGGGCTGCAAGTTTTGGTGAGATGGGTTTGGCCATGTCGCGGGTTGCGACTTCCAGGGGATCCTGAGCACGAATTTCGGGATGCAGGCGGTTATAGAGGACACCTTCGCGGACACCTCCTTGACAGAAGTGGGCTTCGCGAATGCCGTGAGGGATAGCTTCGGCAAGAATGCTGACCAGGAAGGATACAGCAGGCACCTGAGCGCGACGACGATCAGAGACGCGGAAGATCTCCTTCGCCTCCTCGGCAATCTGCTTCATCTTCTCCGTATCTTCGAATTCGTCCTTTTGCGCTGTGAATCCGTTGATGATGGAGAAGGGGTAGCCACCACCAGCCACCTGTTCATGGTGCAGCAAGAGATAGCCCCAACCACGGAATCCACCTCCAGTCAAGTAAAGTCTGAAGCCTCCATTCTTTGTCGCGTCCTTGACAAGCTCATGCGGAACTTGGATCTTGCTGTACGCCTCATGGAATTGCGCCTTGACCTGAGCACGAAACTCTTCGCGAGCTTTGTGTGCCTCTGCCTTACTCTTTCCCTTTTTCAACTCCTCAAGCCTTCTGGTCAGAGCTGCTGCACCATATGGAAAACTCACAGCACTGACGGGACTGATCTGTGTCTCGCCTCCCTTGGCAATCATCCAAGTGATTTGCGTGCTGCCACCTCCCATATCCATGACCAAGCCACGGACGGCAGAGAATGAGCTAGCAACGCCATAAGCACCAATTCTTCCTTCATCCTCCTTGGAGAGCAATGTCATCTTAATACCAGTCTCCTTTCTGATCTTGTCACAAAACTCCTTGGAATTGATGGCAGCTCGAGTGGCCTCTGTAGCAACAATCTCAATCTGCTCTGGCGGTACTCTGAAATCCGCGCAGAAGATTTGGAATCTGAGGAGCATGGAAACAACATCGTCCATCACCTCAGCAGAGATGGGGATCTTGGTTCCATCCTCATCGTACTGGGCTTCGTAGAGCGAAATCTTGTTGCGGTATGCGTAGACTGTCGGAAGAACGCGGGTCGTGGGTGCACTTTGGTCTGTTATCGATAGACGGATGCCATTGCTTCCCATGTCAACAAGGCCCCAAAGCCCTCTGTTCCATTGCGGTTCCGAAACAGGCTTCTGAGTCGTAGCATCCCTATGAGGAATTTCGTGTCCGCCACCCATTGTGAATGATAAAGCACCTTGATGTTTGGATGAGATAAAGATCCGAGGTCGCAAGAAGTGTCGAGTCGTGACCAAACAGATGCTGCGAAGTCGTCTCTTGGATGACAGCTTGACTCGAGCTCAGACGCGGAATTGGTATAAATTATGAGACGTTTGGGTGTTAAGAGAGGAAGAAACAAGAACGACCGACTGCGCCGCCGCCGCCCAGGCACCAGCAAAAGAGCAGCTCATCTTCTTGGTTGGGAGGAGCTCTCCCCACAACGGTTTCATTGCGAGTCAGTGGCGCAAATTTCAAGGACTCCAGCCGCCATCATCGACGAGTTTACTGTCTTGCATACTCTCAATGATTGGCATCGGAATGTTGCAAGACCCGCAGGACTCTGGTATGTTTTCTTATCGTACTGTCCACCTAGATGGTAGTTTGGTGGAACAGTTGTCCACTAATGTCACTTCGCTGAAGTCTTGCCAAGGATTCAGCATCGTCACCACAGACAACAGGAGAAAAATGTCAAAAACACAAAGACTGTTCGTCAATTACTGTTCATATACCGTTACAACGTGTGTGAAGTTAAGTCTCTATATCCGTCAATTCTCGACTTGTTCTCTCCATCCAAACACACAAAAAAGAAGGACAAGTCTCCGATCGTGTTGACCAGATAAAGCCTCTTCATGCATTAGCTCATGTCGTCCTGTCTAATATGCTGCCGTGCCAATGACTTCATGTCATGTTCATCCTTCGCGATTGTCCTGCTGAGAATTATCTTCGTCTACATCCGGTGTGTTGTTAATAAGTAGAGGGCGGTATGATAAAGAACGACCCATACACGATGGTTGGTGGAGGTAATGATATGGATCAATGATCACGTGCGGTCGATGTGTCCCACAGGAGCATGGCGTTGTTTTCATTCATTCAGAGCCGAGTGGGTCTTCTGCTCAGCCAGTTGAGCGGCTGATTCGAGCTGAGCTCATACGAAATCGGCGGTGTATGAGAACCCTCTGAACTCTTCTTGCATGCCTTGGGTCAAGACAGATTGTACAGGCGTGAGGACAGGAGTGACGCTTGTGAACTCGGAATCGAAGTTGCTAGTATCAGCCTTACCCTTGATGGTGGGCAAGAATGGCGGAGGTACGCGCTTGTGGTAGATGTCTTCCCAGTTGATGTTCTTGAAGAAAGGATGGCTCATGATCTCTTGAGCATCTGTTGGTCCACTGCCAAGACGGAGCTCGGGTTCGCGGGTGAGGAGTTTCTGAAGAATCGATACCGAGTCGCGCGGCATGTGAATGGGGTAGAGAGGTTCGTCTGCCAGAATGGCATCGTAGATTTCGTCTTCGTCCTCTCCACGGAATGGAGATTGTTGCAGAAGCATTTGGTAGATGAGAACACCGAACGCCCACCAATCGACCGCACGGCCATATTTCTTATCAAGGAGAATCTGCGATGAACAGTCAGCAAGGGTCGTGATGAACAAACAGATGATAAAACATACCTCTGGCGCCATGAACTCGGGAGTACCGCAGAATGTGCTAGTCGTGCTGCCGTACCACATGTCTTCTTTGCAGAGACCGTAATCCGCAATCTTGATGTGTCCGTCCAACGTTAGTAGGATGTTGTCAAGCTTCAAGTCACGGTAAATGACACCGTTCTCATGGAAGTACTTCAGTGCCAAGCAGACTTCTGCAGCATAGAANNTCTATGATTGTTAGCAGTATCCATATTCCATAGAGGATTGTACTTACTGAGCGCGCTTGGTACCGAACTGGCCACGCTGAATGTGCAACATCAAATCACCACCACTGATGTACTCCATGACAAAGTAAATTCTTGTCTCGGTTTGGAAACAGGCATGAAGGTTGGTGAGGAAAGGATGCCTCTCCTTATTGGCGATCAAGAAGACACGCTTCTCCGATCTCGTGCTCTCGACTTCATCGTTCTCGATGATGAACTCCTNTTTCAGGACCTTGATGGCATATAATTGCTTGGACTGCTTCGTCTCGGCAAGCATGACCTTACCGAAGTTACCCTTACCAAGCACAGCGAGGAAGTTGAAGTGATCGAGACCAACACGGATATTGCCACCTTGAGTTTTTCGTGCAGGGGGACCCATAGATGTCGCGGTCTTGGCGGGTGGTGATGTGGGGGTAGTGGTTGGGGGAGGTGTTTGAGCCGGGGCTGGAGGGTATTGCTGGCGAGGAGGTTGAGCTTGCTGAGGGGGTTGCTGAAGAGGCTGAACTGGGAAGCCACTGACAGCAGCATAATCTGCTGGGTTGTAGCCGGCAGGCTGTGGTTGGGAGTTTCTCTGCTGAGGATACTGATCGGCACTGCTTGATGCGGTGGAGCTTCTTTGGCTCGGCTGCTGCTGTTGTTGTTGCGCCTGCTGTTGCTGCCTCTGGTAATCGGTAGAGGAGCGGTTGTAAGGAGGAATTCGTTGTTCTGCAGCAGACGAACGTTTGCCTGACAGAGCAGCTGCTGCGGCGGCTGCAGCAGATTGGGACGAATATTGACGGTGAGCGGGCGGTGGACGAGCTTCGGGCTGTTGAGGAGATGGAGGAGCGGCGAAGGATGCACGAGCAGCATCAACCGAGGAAGTGGCCGGAGCAGCACCGTACTGCGAAGTTCGAGGAGGAGCATCGTAAGCGTCCGACATGCGGTCCTTGCCGTATGAAAGCGGTCTGTCTTGGGGGTTTGATGCCTGGTCCTGATGGGTGGGAGTGGGCATGAACGAAGGCTGAGAGGGTTGAGCTGCGGGCCTAACACTGTTTGCTGTACCTGGGCGCAACTTGCGCTCTGACATGCTGGTGCCCTGGCGACCCTTGGTAGCTCTGCGAATCTCTCCCAGAATCTCATTGGCCTTCTCGTTGGAGATGCCACAAAAGTCCGGAACAAAGTGGATGCAGTTGTTGTGGCAGGTCGAGCTACACTCGGTACACTTGCGAGCTTGTTTTCTTCCAAGAGGCAGCATGTAACCGCAATGGCAGCACCAGTTGGCACCCATGTTGGAAAAGGCCTCGAAACGATGAGGAATGCGATGGTTGATCTTCTCCTCGTCGGGGTCGGATTCGGCGTTGGACTTGCTGATACACTTTGTGACGACGCTTGGGTAGCACTTCTTGTGGCATGTCAACCTGCAGTCTGAGCACTGCATACCAGCCGTGTACTTGAGGAAGTCGCCGCATAGCGAACAGCGCATGACGTTGTAGAAGGTCTGCTGCACAAACTTGTGTCCGTATTGCTCGACTGCATCTTCCTTGCGCTGGCGGACAGCGCCCTTGCGCCCAAGTCCGACGTCGAATGGTCTGCGTTCGCGGGTTTGTTTGACNNTAAGGTCGGTTAGTTTTGTAGGCAGAATGGGGGAGAGGAGCAACGCACCGAAACTCAAGTTCAGCTTGATCTTGCCGACAGGCTCGAGCGAGAACCAATCGTCAATGACAACGGGGTTGGTCAAGGGTGCTGGACCGCCTCCAAAGCCACCAGAGGGCCCTTGCTGACCGGCGTGTGCTGAACCAGCACCTGAGCTTCCAGGGGGAGGAGAGAATTGCATGTCGGGACGTGGGCCCGAGTCGCCCATGTGGTCTGCAGAGATCCAGCCAGAGTTCTTAACCTCGGTCTCGATACGTTTGCGACGCATCTCCTCCGCAATGTCCGAGATGCGCACCCAGAGCATACCAATTGGCATGGGATGTTCGCCGGCCTTATCATATACTGTCAGCTCAATCTCGTTGGCCTTGTCGATGTCAAAGTCGTGTTGCTCGTCTGTCCAGCGGTCCGTTCGTGTGGCCTTGGTGCGGCCCTTGAAGCTGTCCTCGACCTTGAGGATGACAAAAGTCTCGGGTCCGCGCGAGAATCTACCCGTCGCGGCATGGTCGACGTCGGCGATGGCCTGGATGCGGATAGACAGGTATCCGCTGAGGGGCTTGCGCTGACTGGGGATGTTCAAGCTGTCATCGTCTTGCATGTCGGTGCTAATGTCGGCGACATGCAAGTCCTCATGGCGCTTCAGAGCTTGCTTGAGAAGGTGGATCTTCTGGCTACTCTCGATGCGACGGCCCTCGGCCTCTGCCCTGCTCTTGCGGTCTCCCTCGAGCTGGTACAAACGTACCATCTTCTCGATACCATCCTTGTACTGTTTTTCGACACTGAGCTTGAACTCGAGTTGTGACAGCATGAGCTGAATGCGCGGGCCGAGATGGGGTGTTTCGGCCTTGATGAGGTCCAGCCGGCTGTAGTTGGGTCTGTTCTTAATTCCGGATTGGCCGGGGGCGGGCGGGGCGTAGGGAGCGCGAGGGGGCATCAGGCCGTTGCCGCCGCCTTCGCTGTACCCGCCGGGGCCGGGGGCTCCGTAGCTGCCGGGGTCTTGTTGGTCGTTCTGGTGCGAGGGCGGCGGCGGGCCTGCGTCGTTGTTGAGGTTCATGTTGGAGACATGGTCGCCCAGCTTGCGAGACTGCAAGTCCTGCAGCGTCTTTTCGAAGTACTTGAGGTTCCTCTGGGCATCGCGAACCTGCGAGTCGATACGCGAGTTGACTTGGCTGTTGTTTGTGGCCTGTCGCATAGAGTTGAAGCCTGCAATCAGCGTCTTCTCGCGCTCAATCTTGCGGCACAGGTCGCTGATGGCGGCATCCTCGTTGTTGCTCATGGTTGGCGTCGTCTAACAGGCATACACCTCGTAGGTGCAAAGCCGCACGCGATGTGAGGAGATAGGAGCGCGCGCCGGGATAACACCGACCGAACGCGAATGAGAGAAGGTCTCCCTGGACGAAGGCGACAGGGGGCAAAGTCGCGGTCGAGGGGCGACGAGTAGCAATGTGCGGATGTTGTTGTTGTGAAGAATGAAGAGGGGGAGAAAGGGTGTGGCTTGAATGAGGGCTTTGGCTTGGGCTTGCGATGTTTTGGTGGAGCGGAGCGGAGACAGCAGCCTGCGAAGTGGGTGCTCTCGGCTCGACCTCTCTCGTACAAGTCACCACAGAATGTCGGTCAACGGCGGCGAGATTGTTCGCGGAAAGAAAACAAAAGAATAGCTGGGCAGATGAATTGCCGATGTACGTGAGACAATTGCAGGTGGGAATGTCACTCGTCGAGCAGATTACGACGCGAAAACAGACTGGGAAGGATTCTGGAAAGACGACAACCTCAAACACCCGGCACCTTCCAACTCTTGTTGTTGCTGCCGGTGACTTTTGCACTCTTGTTTGTTGGGACTGTTCTCTCCCACCATCATTAATTGCTTCCCCAGCTGCGACATCTCGATTCTTTGTTCACGTAGCTCGCATGCTACCCAGTGATTACTATTGATACGCGTCTTCCCAAGACTCAGAGCCCTCCGCTGTTGCCGTCCTCCTCCACACTCCTCGGCACTTTGCGAGGTGGATGTGATGTCAAGAATAATAATATACTTTGTGACCACCGCTCAGCCACAGCTTGCACATTCAACTGCGCCTCATACTGAGTACTGTAAATACTTGGTCACCGAGACCAAAACATCATAGAACGAGAAGTCTATCTGCAACTCATCTATTCGACAGACAAACGCCTCTGACAGAATGATGCCAGGGTGTGGTCAATTGAAGCCTGAAGGCCGACCACTTTCCTGTCGCCAGACGTGCCTCTGTTCGACAATGCATGCGTCTAGCACCAGCTCTCTTTGTTGTGTCTTGTCGTCTTTTGTTGCCGACATTTCACCATCCGGCTCGACTTGAACCTTCTGTTTTGTACGGTACGGCCCATGTGCACTTGCTACATCGAGTCTGATGGAGATTGGTACCTCAACCTGTCTGTACCTGTCTGTCTTCCCTGACTCAGCACCAAGCATATTTCTCGTTATCAAGCCACTCGACATTGTCCGCCGATCCTTCTCCATACCATCTCAAGCTTGCAATACTATCTTTCTCGCGGTGAATGACTTGTGCTGCGGGGTCCAGCTGCTTTGCAGCCGCCAGCACTGAAGCCGTAGGGTTCCAAATGTCAACCGAGCCCATGTGCCACTTGCTGGCGTCCGCCTGGGCTGCAGCCAACAGTGATGCGATGGCTGCAGTCACGTAAGTACCCTTGGCCTTCTCCACACTTTCATCTGTCGCTGCAGACACTTCAGTGTACTCTGGGTCCTCCACCACGAGTCGAAGGATGTTCAGTGTGTTGTCTTTGGTGTTTTGAGGGTCGCTGTTGTACCATGTGCGCATCCATACACACCATACTCGCCTGCCTTTCTCGCTGCCGACGATAGCTCCCTTGACTTCGGGAGCCTTGCCGTACAGCTCATTTGCAACGAATTCCTCACGAGCATGGTGCCATGAAANAGTCTCGACATCGGGTATGATTGAAGCAATCGTCTTGCCTGAGGATGCTACACTGGCTAGCTTCTTGTGCACCAACTTTAGGTCAGTATCGCAGAGCTCCGCCAGATCGCCGGCATGTAGAAGCTTCGCTTCTGGCAGAGGTTCGTGTTGCAGGGCTGATGGAGGAAGCGAGACGTGAGCGGACGGAAATGGCTTCCATTGATGTGCGGCATAGAATTGNNCTATCGACGTGAGCATAGGAACAGTTACAACAGAATCGCTCATCCATCTTACCTTGCCAATGTCCGAATACAGTACACTAAACAAGCAATCATGCCCCTCTGTTTGCCAGTTGTGCAGCTTCTCTCCCAAGTCTCTGATCATCCTTCCGGCATAGCCCTTACCACGGTACTCTGGAGGACAGAAAACACTAGCCACACCATGACAGATTACTTCCTTGATATGGCCGTTCTGGACAACAAGAGCTTTCTTGCGAATGGTCTCACAGCTCGAGAGGACGGCACGAGGGCTGCCTTCCTTTGTCGTCAATGCCCAAGAGGTGAGACCGCCGTCGCGGATTAATTTTTGCTTGCCGAGGTGCTCCTCTCTACCAAGGTATGCGTCGAGAGATAGAGCGCCTTTCCATTCAGTGCTGTTGAGTCTGGTCTGTTGTATGGCTTCTTCGTGTGTTGGCTGCGTGAGCTCCACATCGGAGCCTTTGGCATCAGGCAGTTGAGCAGACATGGCGCGGTTTATATCTTGATGACTTTGACTTTGTTAGAGAACGGCAGATGAGGTGTTTATGGTCAGCAAAGCAACTTTGACAGGTCATCACGCCAGCGTATTCGGGTGCGTGCCCAGCACTTTTGCAAACAGCGTCATTGTCTCGCTTGGGATTTGGGGAGCTGTGGCCTCGACGACCTCGAACGCTCTTCCGTATGCTTCCCCTCTGCACTCATCTGCATGGAACCACAGTGTTGGGCGAGGCAGGCAAGTATATTCTCAAGGTTAGCCGCTCGTTGGTTCATGTATGCCTGCCCTCTTGCTTCTGCATCGCTGGCTGCCTCTTGTGTGACACGTAAACGCCGTCGTCGGCTGTCGGAATGACAAGGCTCCTCCCAAGCACCTTCCCTGCCCGGTGTCCGCCCTGTTGTCCAAAAAGGTCTTCGAAAGCCTAGCAATACCCCTCATACGTGCTCGGCGTGAAGAAGAAAGTACCTGCCTCCCTCAAAGCGACTCAGTTGTGAATGCAAGTTTCTTGAAGTTCCCGCAACGCCCGGCTATCTCAATGAGCAACCCTCCACTATCAACACTTCCCGATCTCTTCCTGTGCTTTCCAAAGAAACAACCACAACACCTTCGTGCTCCGACTTTCATATACCTCCATCCTATCACTTGTACTCGCTCTCGGATCCTCTGTTGACTGCTTGGTTGTATATCTTTGGTCTTCTCAAATCTTGGCTGCCAAAGGCCCGTCCAACGTCCTTTTCCGGGACAAGAGCGACCTCGTCCTCTCCTATCATAATCTTTCGTGTCGGCGCAGCCCCGAAATATTGACCGGCGTACGCGAGCGATGGCGCCTGTGAAGAGACCTCACGATGTCATCTCCATCCACTCAAATCGTAGTGAGGACCACTTGGAGAGATTCGGACGACCACACAAGATGGCACGCCATAACGAAGCGCATCTGGCACCACACTACGACCTGGACGACTGGATTGCGCGGAACAACATGCAAGGACCTATGTATACTGGTCCAGTCAAGGACGAGCCCAATGCTGTGCCACAGGCTGAACCAGGCGCATTCGCAGCTATCCCGCAGGTCATCGACAGCAGCGACCACGAATTTGGCTCCCCTTTCGAGTACAACTTCAACGATCTTCCATTCTCTTACGAGGAGGCTCCTGATGCTCGAGACGATCCCATCGTGATCACTGACACTGCGCCGACTCCTGAGCGCAGCCAATTCGACCAGATTCTCGATGTCGTGCCCGACGTTGCGCATGATCATGTCACCGAATTACTCAACACTCATTACAACAATCTCCAGCAAGTCCTGGACATCCTGCTGGACGGCGATTACCCGAAGGAAAATGAGAGACGTGCTGCGGAAGAAGCTGCCAGACAAGCAGCACTGCGTGATCAGAAAGTGGCCGAAGAAGCTGAGAAGGAGAAGTTGCTCAATCCTGACTGCACTTTCTCGGGCAAGATGAAGGATGCTATGTAAGGGTTTTTCAATGTTCACCAACTCATCTCCCACTGACGCTATCCAGCNATTGAAGTGCTCAAGGATGAGTTCAACACAATCCCTGTCAAATACATTAGGGAAGTCCAGAAGGATAAAAAGCATCTCTATCCTACCTACATGGCTCTCAACGAAGCAAAGCATACCGAGCCTTGTCCATACGGTAAGACTCCTTGGAGACCACTCAAGAACGTCAACTTCGATCTTCTCCAAGCCACCAGATCGCACAAGGCCAATATCCCCATGATCAAGGAACAGTTTGAGTCTGCCAGGAAGGCTGCTATTGAATCAAATTCTCAGCGCCGCAAAAGCATCGCACAGAAGATCAAAGACGAAATCAAGGCCGCCGAAAGAGCCCGCGAGGAAGAGTTGGCCCTGGAGCACGCCAAAACCAGCGGTACCATCGTCGAGTGGTGAGTCATCATTCCTCTGTCTNNAATTTGCACTTGTTTTATCTGCTGACCGTGTACAGTGCTGCTTGTTATGATGAGTACGCTCCCAACAAAGTCGTCACATGCGGTTCAGCAGACAAGCACCCCGTATGCTTTGACTGCATGAGAACTTATCTTGAGTCTGAGATTGGACAGTCCAGCNTTCAGACTTGTCTGTCCTGGTGGCTGCGATGGCACATTCAGTGAACCTCAACTTCGCCTTGTACCGAACACTGATAAGCTTACGGACAAACTCATGCGCCTCCGTCAGGAGCACGATCTTCGCACTGCAGGCATTGACGATGTCGAGAGCTGCCCCTTCTGCGACTTCAAAACTGTGTGCTTGCCTGTTGACATCGATTTTGAGTTCCACTGCCAATCGCCAACCTGCAACATCACCAGCTGTCGCAAGTGCAAGGAAAAGACGCACATTCCCAATTCTTGCGAGGAGCATCAGCGCAAGCGCGACAAAGACAACGCTCTCAGCCACCGTCACAGAATTGAGGAAGCCAGAAGCAAGGCTCTCATCCGCAACTGCAACAAGTGCAACCAAGCTTTCATCAAGAGCGACGGTTGCAACAAGATCACCTGCAGTCATTGCGGCAACCTGCAGTGTTATCTTTGTGGTGTGGATGTGACTGCTAACTACGCTCACTTCCATGCAGCGGCGTCAAAGTGTATTCTACATGACGGGGAGCTCACTCTTGAGGCCAGACATGCTCAAGAGGTCAAGGAGGCCGCCGAAACTGCACAGGCAGAGGTTTTGCGAGAGCATCCCGAGATCGACGCAGAGGATCTCGCTATCGAGATTGCTGCCAAAGCACAAGAGCCAAAGCGTAACGAGATGCTGCAAATGGTGATTGATGCAGGAGACATTGCTCGTGATCGCCGCCGTCGAGTTCTGCCACATGTTCAAGCTGCTGAGCTCCAAGCTGCTCAGCTGCCAGGTATTGAGCAACTTCTTGTCCCTCGTCATCAACCACCTCGTATAGCTGGCGGTCACAGAGCCGCTTTTGATCCCAATGCCGCAGTCCCAGCTGCAAGACACCGCCTAGCCGCGATCCCCGCCTACAACCCCAACGCACAACGACCCGCCCCAGCTTTCCTCGAATTCCAAGATCCTGCCCTCGGTCAATTTGACTTTGACTTTGGCGCTGAAGCAGGTGCACGCATGCCTGGACACAAAGACAACTACCACAACGGAGATTGGCGTGATGCACTCCACCCGGGAAATGTCAACGCTCTTGAATTTGAGCATTTCATGCTGGACAACATTGCTCGACAGCCTCAGGTCAACATGGCTCCTCTATTCCCTGGTCCAGCCTTGGCCCCGGCCCCTGGTGCTCAGAATGTCAACAACCAAGACAACAACTTCCTAGGCCGTGTTTACGACAGAGGCTTCGATGCTGGCTATTGGTAGATGAGACATTCGGATCGAGAAGGCACCGATCTCGAATTCTTGGATCACTCCCCGACCAAACATGACGTAACAAGGTAACAACCTGACAGTTTCGCCCTGGGCCGACAAATCCTCAAGCCCTCATCTAGAGTGACTTTCCCTTCCAGCAGCACTTCTCTCGTTATTCGAATCCTTCACAACAGCATACAGCCCAGGGGGTTTCCCGTTTTCTTTTTGCTTTTCCTTTCTTCACATTAGCATGGCGCAGGAAGGCGTAGATGATGAGATTCTTCAGGAGGTTTTTTTTACCTGCTACAGAAAGGGGTGGTTTCCTTTACCTTTCCCCTTTTCCAAGGGAGTGGTCTTTACTTTTCATGGTAGAAAGGCGGTGACTGCTTCACGTTGTGGTCTTTTCTGCATTTGTAGATTCCCTCGGCCTTACCGATGGTTTCCTTTTCCTAGACAAGAATCCAATGATTGTTTCTGCTCCACGTTTGCAAGCATGTCCTGTGCTTTGAGGAGGTTTTCGACCGTGTTTAATGCCTTTGATGAGTGATGTCGAGGAACTGAAGTTCAGGTGATTAAGCATATTGTCTGGGAAATTACTCGATCGATACCCGTATTCTTCGCATCAACGGAATTCAATCAGACAGAGCAGAACATGTCATGAAAACGAGCAACGAACCTGCACTATCGATGATTGAAGCCCAAACCCTTTTACATTCCATCCAAGAGCCAAAAAGGCTTGCACTCGGAAAAAAACAATATACTCACAATGCTTCCGACCTGTTCTCTTTTTGTGATTTTTTTCTCCTTCTTGTCAGAGTTTGCTCTAGCCTTTTGATTTCTTCTCCTGCTTTCAACATTCCAAAGTCACAATCGCAGCACTACTCCACGCCACATCCACTTTGATCCCACCTCTGCCATCCACCTTTACAATTTCCCCACTCGTCATGTTGGACAGTCTGACACCTTTGCCTTTATCCAATTCGTAAGCAAAACTCTTTGCATCCCAAGTGATTCCTGTGGTTGCATCACTCCCATTCGCGAGTAACCTCTGCACTGTTCCAGTTTTGCAGTTTTNTGGTAGTGAAAAGCTGTGCTGTTGCACCGGGCGAGGGTATGGTGTGGTGAAATTGTTTGCAGTGGTGTTGTAGGTATGTAGATCCACGATGAGTAGGCGAGAAAGTGTGGCGTTGACGTGAGCAGTGTAAAAGGAAACAAATTCTGTGGAAGCGGGTAAGGAGGTTATTTGGAGCAGAGACGAGGCCAAGGGTTTGTGTAGCATAGCTGCCACTGCGAGGTTTCCATAGTAAGGAGGTTTGACGCCGATGGAAGTGAGGTTTGTGGTTATCGGTTGCCAGGATTGATANNGCTATTTGCGTTTTTTTCTGTTAGTCTTGTTGATGAATGGAAAGAAGCAAGGTAGAAAAAGAAAGAAAAACACTTACCGATAATTGGTGCCTTGATGCATATGCGAGCGAGAAATGTTTTGGGATGCGAGATAGAGGTTCCAATCTACACCCCACAACGCAGCTCCAAAAGTATTAGACAAGCCCGGTCGTCCTTGTCTAGCCAAACTATTGTGTTCGCCGAGGATGAACGGGACTTTGGGGGCCTTTGTCCCTAAAGCAGCAATGTTGGCAGAGACATTCAATTGTTCCGCAGCCTTTGCAACAACATTGGTGTGATTCATCAAGGTGCCTTGCAAAGTGATGCCAGCAGCAGTGGAAACACCCATATAGTTGTGCGAAGAAATGATACCGATACTGTCGTCTGCGTCAAGGTTGTCTTCAAACGCCTTCACTGGATCCAGAGTAAAGAAATCATTAGCGGCCACACCAGCAAAACTCGGCGCCATGAATTTGGTCTTTGCAAGTTGTGGACAAGCTTCTTTGACCACATTTTCAATATTACTTGTTCCATTCAACCATTCTTCCACATAGTCAATTTCACTCCATTCCGCGGGTCCAGGTCTGTATCCAGAAGCGTGGAAGAGATCAGGTTCATTACCGTATTCCCAGAAGAGCAAATTGCTCCCAATGGCTTTGCAGGCATAGGCAGCGGAGTCATAGGTAGCTTGTCTTGCAGCAGAGGAATTGGCTCCCATGTTGAAGCCATGGGTAAACCTCGTTCCATTAGGCATGGTTTTGTACGAGTCGAAAAAGGAAGGGCCGATGGTGATGATGGTGGGATAGTCGGCGGAAATGTTGGGACGCAATACACCAATGAGACCGGTCTTTTGGGAGGCGTCAAAGATGGCGATATNCTCTGATTTCGTAAAGTTAGAAATGTCGCTGTTGGAGAATCGCAAGAGAGGGTCTTACTGTGTGTTGCCTCCTACACGAGCAATAGGCATAGAGCCTTGAAGCTGACCAATATTGTTCATGAGATTATACGAGAACTTGTTTGGGTGAGTGAGGTTCCCTGCNNGCAAATGATGAATGATCAGTAGGCTGTCTGGAAAGAACCATCCAGCAAGCATACCAGCAAAATCGGGCCATGAAGACAGCTCAAACGAAAAAGACACAAACGAGTCCAAGGGTATACCAGCATTGCTAGGTGGGCACTGTGAAATGACAATGGGGTTTGACTTGGAAGGCAGATTGGCAGATTGCGCTTCCAGCAAAGCCGTAAGGGACCATAGGAAGAGGGAGCGTGTATTGAGAAACATCTNTGCTTGAAATCTTATCTACAGAATGTGACCACTCAAAGATGGTATATAAGTGTCGTCGGCAACGGAAGCAGTGGCCGAAACATGGTATGGCGTCTGATGTTGCTGATCTTGACCGTATACCTCGCGTGCCAACTCGAGATCTGCAGATCAGTGCGGAGNGGTGGCTGGTCGCGATTGCGGAGAAGGTGGGGTCACNNAGCCTATTTTTCCGTAGTCAGTTCTNNTCGTCAACCTCGCAGCAAGGAAACGGGACCANNCTTATCAAAAGGAATTGAGCCACTCCATTCCGAAGAAAAAGAGTGGCATAGCGCACAACGCGCTCCAGACAGTCCCTCCTCCACTTTCCGTCATCACACAACATCTTCATTGTCCGACCTCCAACTCCCGAGAAGAGCACGTCTAAGTACCGGAGCGGTGGTCTTCATCCTTGTCATGCCTTGTCCACTGCACACGGCGGCGTTTGAAGATGCGTCACAAGGGAGTAGAGCAGATTTGGACCATACAGCAGACAAGCCGGAACTTTGATCCTCACTCGAGAGAGGTCCCGCACGTACGGCCCAGCACATGCACTTCTCCACCAATCAACATTCCAAACCCGTGGGAGAGTGCCTTGGGATACGGGCACGACTCGAAGAACACCAGAGTGCTTAGATGGTGCATCTTCTCGGAAAACGAAGGCCTTGCATAAGACAGAGGCATGATGGGGTCAAGCTTGAGAAGAACCATCGCTGTGTCTCAACCCTGGTCGACCTTTGTCCAAAGTCCTGTGATTGATCTGATGTCAGCTGGCTCATACACCTCACCGCTTCACCAGACTTTCATAGAAACTCCCATGATTCTCGAGCTTCGGATTCTCTCTCGGTGTGTTGTAGCGTTCTTCTCAGAGACAAGTCTTTGGTTTACCATCCAAGCCAGCAGCANNAAGCCAGCACCGGACAGCATTGTTNGCGTGGAAACGCGAAGTGGACAAAGTACATCCGTAAAAACCACTTCCATCTTCCGGAAGCAGGGTATGCTTGAGGAAGGCATGATGCCGAACAGAGACTGATAAAGATACTGTAGGCGGGTATATCGGCGCTCATCGTTGACTCGGCAGTTGAAGCAGAGACTGATGATTGACGTGGCTGGTCAGAACAATGACCAAAGGTCAACTCTGCNNCGTTAGCTGTTGCTGGTGGCAGAGGCTTTTCGGCTATGGTTGGGGAATGCAGTGGGCGAGAGATGGTTGTGCAAGCACGGTGGAGCTTGTACGNGAATCTTGGTTCGTTGCTCGACAGGTTGTAGACGTACAGAGCACTGAACATTGATGCGTACTGGATTCCACCTTGTTTCGGAAGAAGAGCGAGCATTGGGAGTACATCAACCGCTTCTGAGGTATGTGAAAGCAAACGAGACGTCGCAGAAGCAGGAGACTTTGGCATGCCATAAAGGACTGCACCGCCCTATACCTCTGTGTGTGGCTCGACGATCTTGCTATGCAGACAAGTGCGGTTCCGACAAGTATCGTGCAAGCGTATGCTGAGGCACAAGGACTGGCGCAATCTGTCTGGAGAAGCATAGCCAAGCTCTTTCTGCAACGTCTCGACCACTTCCAAACCACCAAAGTTGCAGGCACCGAGATGCTCATGATGTTTCCCAAGGTCGTCAAGGTCCAGATGGAGATCCAGCATTGCTGAACAGATCTCTGAAGCGCCCTCTGCACGAGCAACAGAACACGTGCACGATCCCAAAGACGATCCCCATACGAGGTGTCCGACAAGCTTTCCCATCCCCTCCAAGCGCAGTCCAGAACAGCAGACCAGAAAAGCAGTCCATAGACGACCAGAGCATGTTTGTCCTCGGAGCAAAATCGACGCGCGCCCTCTCAGAGGGTCTTACCAAAACGACGCATGATGATACCGTCAGACGTCGACAACTCTATTCATTCCCATTGCTGCAGTGTTCCTCGCGAGAAGGCACAAAGCGGCGCCGGTGAATTAATCGAGAAATCGGCAACTTCCTGCAAAGGACCGCGAGACTGTTGTTTTTGAACCGATGTATGGCTTAGGGTTAAGTTCCGAGGGGGATGCCCATTCGAAGTGCTCGAGACCAACAACAGTCAGGGAAACCATGAGACCGTGCTGTGAGGCTCGGGATTGTGACTGCGTCGAAAACAAGCAACGACAAACAGCCCAGAAGAGATACCAACCATGACAGTCAGTAGACCCCCCTCGTGACTGTGGAGAGAGCGAGACGCGTGGTGTGTATTGAGAGAGGAAGACCAGCAAAGCATGAGATGAGAGTTTCCTGAAGGCCCGGATCTACGATGTTAGCAGTAATATGACCAATTTATTCAAGACCGAGAACGATGGCTTTGGCACGGCAGAAATCGAGAAATAGCTTGTGTGAAGAAAGAAGAGTTCGCAACCATCGCGCATCTTAAAACATCACGGTGGCTGGGCAGACGCGCCGGAAATGCCAAGACTTTACGCGCTGCTCAAAGTCACATGCTTGACGACGACAATATTTCACTCTCAAGAAGACAGATGACCATAATGGCGTTTTGAGTACTCGATGGATGCTTCTTAGCAAGAAACAACTGTCAAGTGCTTTTACCATCCCCTAAGGAAGAGATATTCTGATGTCACGCATTGGAAAAAGGTACTATCATTCCAAGAGATTCATCTGTATTTTCAAGAATATGGTACATTACATACAAAGAAGGACCGGTCCTTCCAAGACCAAGAAGAAAGGGTATTGGTTCCGTTCAAAAGAAATGTGAAAACGGAGAAAGAGAGAAAAAAATCTGAGAACATGGAAAAAGACAAAACGACAGAAATGTACAACATGCACTTTTGACACTTCTATAGTGCCATAGGAGGACTGTTGGATGCAGCAGGTTGAGAAGCGTCAGCATCTTCTGGAGCAGCGGATTCAAAAGTCTCTGCAGAGTGCAGAATCCTTCTCTTGCCATTGGACTTGTAGTGCAACAAGACATCACCACCGCCTCGCCAGATGTGTGTGCGGATGGTTGCCAGGGTCATTTTCGCTGGAATAAGTTGATTATTGCAGTAGAGCTCGAGGTATTCTTCTGGCGGCATGGCTGTAGCGGGATCTTGTGCGGGCTCGATACGGTCGGCGACATAGCCTAGGATCTTGCGGGCGCGCAGCATACGGTTAGCGTTTAGTCGGTTATNTGCTGTGAAAGGTTGTTAGTGTTTGTTTGTAAGTGAGAAGGATGCAAAGATATCATACCCGTCTGCAGCAATACTAGGCAATACGTTCTGCCATGGTTCGAGCACGAAACTGATCTTGACGAGATCCTTGAGCGGGATCTGGTTTCGCAATAGGGCATCACCAAGCCACATTGGCGCAACCTTCTCGATCAAGTCCGCCATCTCGGCCGTGCTGCCAACCTTGCCCTCGAAGAGATCCGCTACACCACCAGCTTCTGGTCGTTCTTCTTGAATCAGAATGGTTGTGTTTGGGGGCGGCTTCAACACTGGCGTTTCAGAAGGCAATGACGGTACGATGGAAGTGGGCAATTCGAGCTCTTTTGACTGTCCCAGTGCACCGCCTGCAGCATCTACAGCAGCAGCTCGTTGGCTCTGTGCCTGCAGGTGGTCCTCATAGGCGAAACGAATCTTTTGAATGCAACCGAGGAAGTTCTCGTCAACGACACGAGAGTTGCTGTTGTCAGATGGGCTCTGTGTGTCTGCCTCGGCCTCTTCCTTGGTCTCTTCAACGATTGCGGGCTTATCCTTGTCATTCGTAGGGGCTTTGCCCAACTTTTTCATGTTGAAAGACATGTTCATGCGAAGACGCTTGCCGAATTTCGAAGGTGTATCATTTGTTTCGGTCGTGGAGTCCTCTGGGGCTGGCGTGGTAACAGCTTCTGTGGGGGTTTGAGGTACCAGCTTAGTCTCGCCGTTTGCGTTTGTAGGGTTTGTCGTGATCGAGTTGCTGGAGAAGTAGTCGCCGCCTGTTGAAGATCTGTCTTGTGCGCGTTCGTCCTCTTCAGTAATGAAGCCATCTCTTGTCAAGATTGGAGATCCAACGTAAGATGATGCTGTGTCTGCAATGGACAAGCCAGGAGTCGCGAAGCCAATGGTGTTGGTGTTAGTCGGCCTCAATGTGTTGGTCGACAGAGGAGCTGAGGGATCGATCTTCCAGCCATCCGACATGCCAGGAGGCATCTGAATACTGGTAGGAGCATTTTCACGCTCCAGCTTTTGCTTCTGTGCTTGCTCCAGAAGGTGTCTTCGATATTGCGAGTCTCTGGAGATCTCCTCGCTGATCAAGTTAGCAAACAGATAACGAAGGATCCACTTGCCAAGGTTGATGCGTTGATCCTCCTTGAAGTCGATGTTTTGGTCAATGTCCAGCTCGTCTGCGTACATCTCGGCATCAAATGCTGTGTGCTCTTCCAGGGTGATGGCCAAAGTTCCAGTTCGAGTGTCGACAGAGCACCAGTTAGGCACCGTCTCAACTGTGCTGACCTCAGGCTGGACATCCTCCAAATGTTTCTTGCCGAATGACTTGATGGGTACACACTTGAGCAGATCCCACAGCAAAACTTCACCAGCAGTATCTTGGGTCAGGACACGCTTGCGATCGTTGAGCATAATGTGTTTGACCAAACCGTTCTGCCCTTCGATGGCAAAGTCCGGTGTGTGCCTCAAGGGGTGTGTGTGCTCGACTTGGTCACTCTCGCCGTCTGTGGCATTCTCTCGTGGGACGGGTCTAGGGAAGTAGGCGGCATTGCTCAGCCTGAGTACGTGCTTCAAAGGTAGGCGCTTGCCGGACGGCGGAGGCGAGGTAGGAGAGAGGGGTTGCGGCGGTGAGGCGAGTCGGTCAGAGGACGAGTTGACGGGCGGACTGGGGATTCTTGAGCGGGAGGTGGCTAAGCTGAAGCGCTGCTGCTTGTAAGCGTCAGGCAGATCAATCTCGGCACCATCGATGTTGACATCGGCCCATCTGTTGATGGTAGGACGAGGAGTGGCAGTCCAGATGTAGTCACCAGCAACAGCGAGCTTGTGTACAGCAGTGCCTTCCTGACAAACGGCAACACTCAAGCCCTCTTCCAACTCTTCGCCGCAGCCTCTGGTGTCGGTCTTTGCTACCATACCGCTCTTATCAGACGAGTAGAAGACGGAGAGATCTGGGTGGTCGGACCATAGAGACCAGACACTGGCATCGTGCATGGTCAGAGTGTTTGTGCAGCGACCAGCAGTAACGCTCCACACCTTGACCGTCTGGTCCGAACAGGCAGACATGACAGTCGTGCCATCTTGACTGATCAAGATGTCGCGTACAATGTCTGTGTGACCGACGAACTTCGTGATGCGCTTGCCCGAGCGCGGGTCCCAGATACGCACGTTGCTGTCTGGGCCTCCACTGGCGAGGATCGAATGTGTAGCCTTCAGAGCGTAGACGCTCGCCTTCTCTTTGCTCAAGCCCGTCAGACTCTCGTCCTCGCTAACGTCGATGCTGAGTGTTTGGCCTGCGCCGTTCAAGTCCCAGAGGCGGATGCGACGGTCGAGGCCTCCACTGGCAACCCACGACGCGTCAGGAGAAGGAGATGCCAGCACCTTGACGTAGTCGCTGTGCAGACCAATTGTCTGGGGAGGCATCGAGTCGGTAGCAGCGGGGCGCCATACTTTGACACTGATGTCTGACGAGGCCGATACCAAGGCTTGGTTGGACTGAGCGAGGACGAGGTCACTGATCCAGTGGGTATGCGCCTGGACTTGGTTGTGCAGGGTCGAGGCGGGTGACGNGGGAGGCTTCGCGTCGATGGCTGTGATCTGGTCGGACTTGTGGTTGACTTCGAAGTTGAGATCCCACGCGCAGATGACTCCATCGCGTCCTCCGGAGTNAGCTGTGCGGATAGGGTGTCAGTGACAGGCGTGTGCAAGTGGTGGGCCAGGTACGTACAGGATCGAGTTGTCGCTGTCTACGGCGAGCCCGTTGACGCCGAGACGATGGCCTCCAGCTGAGTTTGTGAGAGGAAGCACATAGCTGATCCTCTGGCGCGCCTTACGAGCCATGTCCACTACTCTGGCATGTACAGACGGTGTCGAGGCATCTCGTCGTCGAATGCCCCGGCCCCGAGCGACCCTCGATCCGCCAAGGCGTCCGCCGGTTTCCCCACCGAGGTCCAGATCGACATGCGGAGAGAGACCTGTCGCTCGGAGCTGCAACTCCCGACGCTAGCCGCTTTGGGCCGGTCTAAAGCACAAGGAAAAAACACAGAACAGAAAGGTCAAGGAGACGTGAGAGGCTTCAGCACGGGGTTGGTAGGTATGCTTTGGTGTATACACATTACGTATCGCCTTTTTGTTCTCTGCTCCTGCAAACGCCTTGCTTTCTTCGCTATCACAATAATCAAAAGTCCATGCCTCGTAGTCTCATAACTCCCTGATCTTACACGTCCGCCTCTCTTTCCAGCGCTACTTTGCGTGGGGTGTCAAGGCCTCTTGGCCCGTCGCTTCGCCAGAGGGAACAGCCTGGAGATAATCACCCACTGACAAGTTCCTCATAGACTCTGTTGGTGGCTCAACAGCCTGCACTCTGCGCTCAAGCTGCACCTTGTGGAAGCGCGACGATCCAACCACTGGCCCGTTGGGCGCGCGAATTCGAAGGCCGTTGTCTGCGGGGTTCTCACACCCAAAGTGGAACGGCTGCGTCTGTCCAGCAAGGTACATCATGTCGTCGAGCACCGGTGGGTGTACCCAAGTTGTCTCTGTTGTAGGAATGCCGTTGCGCACGTATTCCTTGTAGTCGCCTTCGGTTCCGGGGAACTCTCTGGCTGTGAAGCGGAGCGGCTCTCTGAAGAAGTTGGAGTCCTTGGGGAGCTTGGACAGCATCTCGCCAACGAACCACTGCTGGTTGTAGCCAGTTCTACCAGGAATCTCGTCTGCAGAGATTTCCATCAGTTCGTCGCCATTTCCGGTGGGTACAAAGTGTCTTGCTGGGAGGACTTCGATGTCAATGATGGGAAGAATGCGGTGGTAGACGTCGTGGTTGTGGATTTCGCGAGTGATGACTTCTTCGCGGATGTGGTGGACCTCTGGCATGACAGTCTCGTGCACAACAGCTGCGGAGAGTCAGTGAATGTCATTCGTTTGGAGAATTGACCTCGAACTTACCGGNNGAGCCCAAGTTTCGGTCACATCAGTGTCAATCGTGTTCTTGAGATCAACAACGCCTTCAAGCACAGGAGCAGCAGGAGCATCCTTGACAAGGTAGTTGTGGTCTCTGGGAAGGAACTGCCCGAAAGCTGGGTCGTCGCTCAGAGCAGTTTGCTTTGGTGGAGCGGGTAGAGGCTTGTCCATGCTAAGGCGCGATCTCTGCTTGGTACTTGCGACACTGCCCCTTCTGCCATTGACATCGTTAACAGTCTCGGAGCCGACAGCCTTTCGCGAAACAGCCTGACCAATTCCGGGCGTGGGAGCTGTAGAGTACGAAGAGGCTGAAGACTGTCGCGACCTGTTGGTAGACGACTTCATGACATTGAGCGGTGCTGGTGCGTGAGTGGGACTGGGCTTCTCAGCATTCATGATATTCCAATCAGCAACGTCTTCTGAATACCTATCAGATTTGCCAGAAAGTGGTTGAGAGGCAGTGTTGTTGTGATTGAAATTGATCACATTCGAACTTCTGCGAGCTTTCTCCTTGGCTGCCATGGTTTCGGCATCCTGCGAGGCTCTCGGACGGGCGATTGCCTCGTCTCTGTAAGTGCTGGGAACTGCAGGGACTTGTGGTGCCTCGCCAGCATTAATTGCGCGCTGATCAAGACTCTTGCGCTTGCTGTCGAGACTTCTTCTGGCAATTGAGTCGTCTGCGGCAGGGGCAGACTTGCGATCAAGCGACCTTCGCAGCTTGGATCGCGATCTTGCAGGCGACGCTTGCGAAGGCTGATCTGTNNCACCAAAAGTCAGCCGTCTCTGTCCAATTTCCATCACAAATTCACGAGAGCTCGTACCCATGCCTGAAATTGGCCTCTGGCCCTGCTGAGGACTCACTCCTTGCTGCGAGTCCTCATAGCGAGACTTGCGACTGGGGCTGCTTGGAGGAGTTGTCTCATCATCGTGCCTGTGCAACAAGCTCTTGATCTTCTCACGAATCGGCATTGCTTTGACAGGCGGTTATCGCGAGGCGTGCGGGGGAGCGACTGGCCAACTAGAGGGTCAAGGGAGAATGGGATCAATATGGCTGGCGGCTGCGTAAGGTGCTGCGCTGTAGGATGCTGGCGGATGGCGATGTCACTGCCGTACGAGTGTGTTTCGCCCAACGTCATATTATGCCTTTCTCAATAATAGAGGAACTCACGCCACGCGCTAACCCGCCCGTCGCTGCCCGTGCCATCGTCGGCTACGATGGTGTGTTTTGTGCACTCCTTCTGTCTGCCCCTAATGCAACTACGTTCTTATGACACAATCGAGTCCTTTCTGGAGCTATCTGGAGCTCTTCCACGAGCCCTGACAACAATCTAGACGCCTGCTGCAGCCCTGGTTCCTGTTGCACAGACGCCTTTTTTCCTCGTCCGAGAGCTCAAGCCCTGCATCCCCTCCATCGTGCGACCATCACCCGGGGATACGCGTGTTGTTAAACGTTCAGTATTCCCTCATGCAGGAAAGCTGTTGAACTTTCGAAAGCTCCAAAATTTTGGAGCTCTGTCTCGATGATGCTGTGTGACGTCGAAACATTGCAAATTGCGGGGCACTCGCAACCACTCGCGAAAACATGAGCCCCGTGCTTTCACCTCTTCCGCCAATCTTGCTTTGAGGATCGATGATTTGCGCGCCTGGTGCATTTTCCAGCGGTTCTTAATTCACGGGCCGTCAAAGCTTCGATGCTGATACGCAATCACGATCCGAGCTTTGCGTCTGGTTCANGAGAGGATTCGGTGGCAGATGCAGCCAATGGATGGTGTCTTGCAGCGAGCGTGTGCTGAATGCGTCGATACGGGTTGATTGTGCTTGCCAAAGCGNAGCAGCGCAATCAAGGAAATGCTCTCAATGCGAACGGGCGTGTTCTAGACAGAAGACGTCGCAATTNNAAACTATTGGCTTTCATGGTCGATCATTGCATGAATGGGCGCGTCGATCAAGACCCAGAAGCTGGAGGGGCTGTTTGAAGGCCCCTAAAAATGTATACGTATGAGATTATGCTTTGCTCAAACCACTGCACGATTTCCTCGAGCATCCGAGGGACTGACCTTGTAAGACTCTGCAACACTTGGGAAATGCAGTAATCAGCGCAGGATTTGTGCAGTGTACCACGAGTATTGTATGCACTAGCCACAACGTAGCTCAACGTCGGTGCTCCAGCGTCATGTTATGCAGCCCTACGCTGCGAGTCCATCCATGCCCATCGATTGTCCTCTAGCCATCCGCGGGATATAGCGGGGTCGCACCGCCACGAGGTAAACCAAATCGACTCTGGTGTGGTTCGGCTGCTCCGGGTCGCAGGCGTGTAGGGAGGTTTCGGTGTGCTTTGGACCAAGTGTTGGAAGAGGCCGGTGCAAGAACGGGTCTGAGAGTCAAGACATGACAGCTACCTATGAGATCACCAATCGCTTTCGTGAGGAACCCACTCCACACTGTGGCTTCTGAGCCAACGGTACGTACGAGGCCTACGCCAGCATGATCACATGCTGTGGCTCCCTGTCGTTTTAGCCACCGTTGTGGAAGTGAGCAGCGAGCTGCTGGAGCAGGGCAGGCTAGCCTAATCGTCACTTTTGGTTACTGCCTTGCAAAACGACACGGATGATGTCAACACAGCCGAGAGCTCCTTCACTCCTCAACCTTACAAAAAGAGACGTCGACGCGTCTCTATCCTCTTCTTCTTCTCATCAACACATCTTCCATCCAAATAACTCCATCCCATCTTCACTACAACCTTTCCCCATCAACTCACTTCACATCAATCACAATGGACTCAGCCAAGGCCGCCGTTAAGGAATTCATGTAAGCATTCCACTGCCGCTTCCAGGATTTCCATGAATGTTTGCTCACACATCCTCCTCAGNNGTCCAAGTCCGGACACCACGACACCACTGTCCACGAGAAGGTCGCTCCCGCTGTCACCCACGAGAGCCATCAGCTCCAGCAGCACGAGCAGATCCAGACTGCCATCGACAAGGAGGTTCACCAGGACCATTACCACACCTCGATCCAGCCCATCAAGGACCGTGAGGTTCTCCCCGAGCAGCACCACCACAACCTTGCCGCCGTCGAGCACCGCTCGTTCGAGCACGGCAACGACTCTCAGGTCAAGGAGCGTCTCGCCGCCGAGGCTGCTCAGTTTAGAGACCAGCGTACCGAGGTTGAGGCTGTCCACTCCAAGTCCATTGCCCCTACCATCGGCGGTGAGCACATCCACCACCACGTCCACGAGACCATCCAGCCCGTCGTCAACAAGGAGACCATCGAGCCTCACGTTGTCCACACCACCGTCCCCATCCACGAGGTTCACCACAACGCCGCCCAGCACCACAGCGCCTCTGCTCTTCCTGCCGTCTCCATGGCCGACTTCAGAAAGCAGGGTGGTGTCCTGACTGGCCGTGAGGAGCGTTACGATGGCTTCGAGGGTGAGCCCCGCACTGTTGGTGGTGCCCACACCGGCACCCACAGCTCCCACACCGGCACCGGTCTTACTGGCGCTGGTCTGACCGGCTCTTCCCACACCGGCTCCGGCCTCACCGGCACTAACACCACCGGTCGCGAGACCCTCGGTGAGCGCGTCCGCGAGGGTGAGCAGGACCTCAAGCACGGTTCCCACTCCCACTCCACCACTGGTACCACTGGTGCTGGCTACGGTCGCGAGTCCGAGGTCAACTCCAAGACTGGTAAGCCCTCTCTCATGGACAAGCTCAACCCCATGAAGGACTCCGACCACGACGGCAAGAAGGGTATGATGGACTAAGCGTCTCGCCCACTTGTTCTCAATGATACCACCACTTCTTTGACTTTGAGATGATCGTCTTTTCACGACCTCTTTCACGATTATGATGTTCCTTTCAGCGCTAGGGGTTCACAGCAGTCCTGTAATATACATAGCTCCTCGAAAATAATCCTAGTTTCCTATTTTCATCAAACCTTACTTGCCTTTGCCAATGTGATGTCTGTTCTGGTGCTCCCCTTCTTCTTGTCTTGTGTTGTTCATGTGTCTTATCGACTCGCGGTATTGTGGCCGGTTGTCTGATTGTTTGACTGACTCCAACGTTCCTCCATCCTTGCGGTGCGTCCTTGTTGCATTCAGTCGTGAATACTCTTCGTCCGACTTGTAGGTAAAGGTATACTTGTGACTTTGTCCAAGTCCAGCTAAAGTCCTCAAAGCAATCAAGGCATGTCGTCTACGCGGCGCATTGACCCGGTGGCAGTGGTGGCTAGGTATTTGAGCCTCAAAAAGTGTGGCTCCTGCTCCCTTGTGTTCTACTGACTTGTTGTTGCAGATGTACGCGGACTTTTTCTTTCGACAAAATGTCATCCTTTCGATATGTAGCAATTAAAACATTGTACTTTGGTTCTTTGCCTTGAATTTCGACTTTGTGTTTCTCTTCCTGGTCCCAAGTTTCCGGTGTTGTGATGCACATATGTGAATGAAGATTCTGGTAAGCTGCATCGAAATCACGAAACTTGATGTAGCAGCCACAATATCGGTTGTGAGTATTTGTAAACCTCAAGTATCTCGTATTTCATATCAGAGATAACTCTGCAAATATACCAAGTTGTGAAACCATCTGTGTGGTAGAGATATCTCGTCGATGCTCATTTTGATGCTAGCCGAGGGGACAACCCTGACATCTCCATCTCCAGTGTTCTCAACAGACAGCTCAAGCATTGAGAACACCAGATGGTGAGCGATGTCATTCGAAGCCATCCCCCAGCCATCCGAGACCCGTTTCCCAGCCACCCTTCCTCCCTCGTGGGGTTTGCGACATCACATCCTTGCGTACCTTGTCTTCATTGCTGACTAGATCCATATCAAAGCTGTCTCAGAGGAGCTTTCTCGAAACAAGGTCAGTATACTATACGATGCCGTAAGCTCCACAATAATAGAGCACTTGAAGAATTTTGCAGCTCCACTCAGGCCAAAGTCGTCGCAAGTCATCGACACTTTAAAATCGACCACATCACCATCATCGCATTGGTTGCCGTGCTAAATCCGACCTGCCCAACATCCAAGAAAACATCACTTGAGAACGTTCGTCTTGGCTTTGAGTTCGGAAAAAGGAGATGAACAACACGAAGTTCTCTGCCCCCTTCTCCCCGACTGCCGTACGAACGGGTTTCTGCCTCTGCACGCCTATCACAATCAACAAGCTCTCCTTGCAACTCAAACTGGCAAAATCGGCATCATGATTCAAGAGGTTATGCCCGCCACTGCAAGGCAACGTCTTTGATAAAGTATTCGCCTCTTTCTGGCGAGTTGTATACTGTTGTCTCGGTGGTTGATGCTAACGGTGCGGGCTGGCACTGCGTGGTGTCGCTGGGTCTTGGCAATACTCATAAGATGGTCCCGTTGGCAGACAACGGCTTTTTTGTATAACCGTCGTGGTAATCCATGTCCTTTAATCTTGATGCAAAAGGTTCTTTCGGTATCCAATTCAAAAGGTAGGCACTCGTGTTGCTTAACGAACCAATACAGGAAGGTGATAATCATCTGCCACAGCTTTTCCCGCAAGACCGATCGAGTTACTCACTTCTAGGCTTCCACCTCGTATCAACAGACGTTCAATATAGGCAAGCAGAAACCAAGATGGCTGAGGGACACAACTGCAGGGCAACATGCGCCGAACGGCCTCAACGGTCACAACGACCCAAGCCTCTTTTATTCCCTGGGCCGTATCGAGAGAGATTGCTATATAACAAGTGCCACCAACTCACCTCTACTATCTTTTCCCTTCTCATCCACATCCAAAAACATCTAAGCTCTTCATACAACCAACACAAAGAAACTCAAACAAACCTTCAGGAAGGATAAAAGAAATACACCCATCTTGATCAGGATATCAGGATACAACCACAACACAAGATGAAGTTTTCAGCACTCACCTTTGTCGCTCTGGCAGCCTCTTCGGTATATGGCTCGGTCATTGATGTCTCTGCCCTCGATACCGCCGACACCTTTGTCAACCTCGAGACCCGCGCTACATGCTGGAAGTCAGACATGCAAGCCGTCAAGGACCGCATCAACCACTACAATGTGTTCTGCCAGATGTTCAATGCTCAGTATGTGTCTTCTGTTTCACCATTCCCTGAAAAACACCACTAACAACGAATTCAGNNACCTCGCGATTCATCTCCTCTGCCCACATTGACTGCCGCCAAATTGACCGGAGCATGCTCATGTCTCCTGGCCCAGTGGAACAAACAAGCAAACCCCACATCCGTGCCCTCCACCGGCTCAAACACCTGCGCCGCCACAGACATCAACCTGATCAAGAATGAAGCACCCAGAAACTTCCAATCCTACTGTAAATGGTGGGGCTTGATGTAAGCTTTCCCTTTTCCCCCTACTCTCCTCTCTACCAAATCGCATATACTAACAATGTATCAAACAGTNCCTCGCACACGCTCAGCCATCCCCGGAGTCAGCGCCGACCAAATCACTAAATCGTGCAAGTGTCTGCTCGCGTCGACTGGAGCCACTGCCACCACCGCTGCCAAAGTCACCACCAGCACTACAAAGGCTGCAGCCACTTCCACAGCTTCTGCCTGCAAGAAGCGCAGAAAGGTTCGCAGAACCGTTACTGTCGAGGTTGCCGCCGAGGCCACTCCTTCTGTTTAAAGAAGGCTATCTCTTTTTCTCCTTCTGCTTTTCTTGCCTTTTCCACCTCTGTTTCTCGATGCTTCCGAAAGAGACGAGTGGAGAAACGTGAGAGCAAATGCTTTTCTTTGTGCAAGAGACAATCGCGCACGACAACAAAAATTTATCAGGGATTGATGCCTTGGATGCCCTTTTGGATGGGAACAAATTTTTTCTTCTTCTTGTTCTTCTTCTCTATTCTAGAGAGAGAACTTCTTTTTCTGTGGAGGATTTAATGGAGGTGGTGTAGTTCACTGCTTGCAGTGTTTGGAGGAAAAAGTATATCATGGAGGAATATGTCTCAACTGGTTTGAGATGTGCTTTCTTGATTGCTGTTTCTTGAAGGCGGTACAACTTATGTAATTAGATAGAATGTCTGGTCCTTCATGAAGAAGCAGATGCAAATACCAATATCTTTATACTGCCTGCTTTGATGCTTTTTCTTCTGTTCAAATTTATTGTCTCTTACTCGCGCTGCAGGAATGCCGGCTTTGCAAAGATGTGCTCATCCTGGTCTTATCGAAGTGCCGGGGAATATGCATGCGAGGCATATGAGTGGCGGGTCAACGGACGTTCCTGTCGATCACATCAACGCATACCGCATCTGGAGATCTACAAGAACGTTCTCGCCTGCTTGGTGAGACATGATTCCTTGATCAAGATGCCGAGAAAGCCTGGACCGAGCAACGTGATCAATGTGTCCACAGTTGTCAGGGCTGGCACGATCTGGCGAGTCGTGCAAGAGATAGATGAATACTTCGTATTCCTTTCTTCAAGCGAAGAGTGAGAAGAGAGCTTGGAGGTAAATACTGGTAGCCGTTCCGAAGCTATCCATGCTATGCTATTTATGCAGAGCGAATGCCCTGATCGTAAAATGGACATGTGTACAGCTGTACCACAACTCATCCTTGATCTCTTCCTGATACCTCAGGTGTGTATCTTTCTTCCCTTTCAGTTCATTATCGTCAGAATTGACTAGGGCACAGAGCTTCCCATCTGCGGATGGATTCCAGACCAGGCATCTTCGCTTGTTTTAGTAGGTGCCTTATGTCTCCAAGTGTGTAACCACCAACTTCTTCCTTGTCCACCGCTGCTTGCATTACTGCGGTCAAAGGCTCTTGGAAGTCGTGAAGAGGGTAATCAAGATGACACAACGGCTCCATTGCCCATGCATAATGTTCGCAGCCTTTGGGACCTTGTACCAACTCTGTTTTTCTGTTGCCCAAGATACGTACAATCTTTCTCCTCAGATCGATGTCGGCAATGACAGTGCCCCGGATGTCCCCTATATAGAAAAACAGTAGGACTCTCCAGAATCTGAGCGTCAATGGTGAATCGGCGGAAGTGTACCACCAAATCCAAGGTACCAGTGTCTTCTCACCAACCTCTCTTGTCCTGTGAGTAATATGACCTGAACGCCCCGGATGTAGAGCCATTCGGTCCGAGAATGCATAACCACAGATTTGGAGTCTACTCTCGGCAACCAGTGCTTGGATTTCGACACGGGTTTGCTGAGAAGTGTGAAGNNAGAGACAAACAAGAGGGTCGAGGGCTGAGTGCGGTCTGATCTCGTCTCTCCTCTCAATTCTATCGTCGAAGACGTAGTCATAAACCATGAAACGGAGTTCGAGCGGCAAGCGAAAGAAAGGAGAATCTAGGCAATCATCAGCGTCGAGTCACAGAGCGGAGAGGACTCGAATACTTTGACCTTGATTGCGTGGTACGGGCATACTGGTAGAAGGGGTAGTTGTTGCCGAAGCGTTGGAACGAGGATCCATGTCTGTGGTGCGGGCGATATCCGACGAAGAGTCATCGTATTGAAGGGCCATGTTTGTAAAGCGCTTGCGGCGATGAGACGAAATTGTCGAGGCCGAGAGTGAAGAGAGGTGTGTATGCTGCGTATCGAAAGAAGAGACGGAAGCGTTCAGCGAAGCGTGAAGATAGCAGATTGAAGACGGAGGCATGTGCAGAATTGAGCGTGGAGGGAGAGAAAATGGAGGAGGGAATCTCGCAGGAAAGCGCAAGTCAGAAGGGCAAAGTCTCAGCCAATCGATTGTGATGTAATAGATTGTTGGCCGTCACTTCCTTCTCAGGAAGCCTTCCAGCTTTGACGCCAGATTCCACTCTCTAAGTACCGGCAGTGACAGATACTTCATCCTCGATCTTCTCGCCATCCTTGACCTCATCAGCCTTGATGTCCTCGGTCTTGGCAACCTCAGCCTTGATTTCCTCAGTCTTGATGTCCTCAGCTTTAGCGTCTTCAGCCCTGACTTCAACCTTGCCACCAGGCTTGAGAAGCTGTCCATCGTCATCCTCACTGGCTTTCTCATCTCCATCTCCGACCTCTTCAGAGTAGTCTTCCTCATCACTGTACTCGTCCTCGTCCTCGTCCTCCTCGCCGAAGCCGTCGTAGCCTTCACCCTCTCCCTCATCCCCATAGTCATCATAATCATCATAGTCATCCCACTCATCTTCCTCATCCCACTCCTCATCATCCTCACCGAACAACTCGTCACCATCCCAGAAGTACTTGGGACAAGGCATCTCAATCTTATGCAGCAAGTCAGAAACATCTTTGACCACGAAGCCGTCAAAGCCATCCTTGTCGGTAAAGGTCTTCATGGGCTTGAGGAATGCATCTTCAAAGTCTCCAAAGAGATAGTCGCAGTAATTGGAGCTGAACATGCCCATACTATCCTCAAAATCAGGGAGGCTGACCTTGACAGTCTTGTCCTTGAAGTCCATCTCTGCCTTGACTCTGATGATACCTTCGGCGGTGAAGACAATGATGTCCATCTTCCAGAATTTGAGCTCATCGGAGAGTTCGGCGGTGGTTATATCCTGCTTCTTGTTCTTCTTGCTCTTCTTCTTCGTGGACTTGCTGGGAATTGCGACAGTGTGAGGTTCAAGCTTCAGGTCGTAGTAGAGACCAGCTTGGACACGAACCTTGGTCTCGGAAGCGATCAGAGCGGTGACTTCGGAGTTGACTTGTGGCGAGATATTGAGAAGTTTGTTGATGGCCTTGATGGACTTTGGAGGCTCAATGCTCAGAGTCTTGGTACCCTTGGGGTCGAGGAGTTGATGGTAGATCTTGTTGCGCTTTTCGACGGCGAGATGGAGGAAATCAGGGCCGGCGGGATCGATGGGATCAGAAGGTTTGGCGGGATCTGAGATGTAGTCAGTATCTAGACTAGATGTGGGTGGTGTATAGGGAATACCTTGCATCTTGACATCGTTCTTGACATCGTCCACCCGGTCGGGAGCACCTGTGGCTGTAGAGGTATCGCCTTGAGGATTCATACTTGTGGTCATCGATGAATCTTTGAACGAGGAAAGGAAGGCATCAAGAAAGGGAAAGGATATATGAGTAGAGAGGGTGTGGAGAGGATGACAAACGGAAGCTCCTCGCAGCTTCAACCCACCAACAAAGAAAACTGCAGGAGTAGTGAGGACATAATCTGCAACACTGAGACAGCAATCCTGTTGCCTAAACGGTCTTTGAGGGTGCATCATGAAATGTGTGGTGAACTCCGGCATTGAGCAATATTCTGTCTTACATGTAGCCAACTCCATTGGAGAGTTCTCATAATGGCTGTTTGCCTCCAATCACATCTCTTGTTATTCCTCTGCTTGTTCTCCATCACCATCCATGGTCATCGTTTGTTGGTAAGGAGATGGAAACACAGGCAACCATGCACCCAAGCCGTGTTTCACACGTTCCAGACCATTTCTCACCAGGTCAAAGAGAGGTCGAAAAGCCAGGGCACTCTCGCGCAAGGTCAAAGCGCAAGCTGTATCCTCCTCTGACTTATTGTCTTGAAGATCTTCGAGCTCAGCGAACAGCTCCTGTGATGTCCAGAAACCGGAGTGGTAATCGCCTGAGTAGCCCTTGGGGTCGGGTATGACAATTTGTCCCAAGAACCGAGATACGTCTTGTACAGTGACCCCGCTGAACCCATCCTCCTTGATAAACTCCCGCATCATCTTAGTGAGAGCGTGTTTGAGCAAACGAGCATGTTCCCGCCCACGCATGGCGCCTTGAACGGGATCAGGTTTGGAGATGTGGACTTCGCTCTTTCTGAAGTCGATGTCAACGATGACTTGGACCGTTCCACAGATGCTAAGAACAGAGATGCGAACTCTCCAGAACTTGAGTCGGTGCGGCACTTCCATGTCGTCCTTGGTAGTATCCTTGATCTGCTGAGCAGGTATCTCTCTATACTCTCCTCTGCCGGGTGTGCCCGAGCCACAGATTGCTTCCTCTATCTCATTAGCGATTCTGCTGATCTTGAGAGCGGTGGCATAAGACTTGAGTGTGAGGTCTTCGAACACGCCGGCCTTGATGTGGAATGTAGTCACGGCGGTAATCAAGTCTTGAACTTCATAGCGGATCTGCTGAGAGATACCGATCAAGTTGGTCACAGGATCGAGGCCGCTGGCTGGGTCAAGAAGGACTTCCATAGTCATGGTTTTGGTGCCTTTGAGGTGAATGAAGTAGTTGTAGACTTTGTGGCGGATCTCAAGTGGCAGACGCAAGAAGGCCGAATCTTGTTATGTGTTAGTACTTGATAATTGAAAAGGGAACATGCTGTTGTGACCTTGTGTGGGCGAGTTTGCCATGCTGACTGAAGCGTCATCTACATCCGTATTCATCTCCATTTCCATGATGAGACGGTTGGTTGATGTGTTAGAGAAATAAAGAGCGAGATCAAGGAAATAAGAAGGAGCGATGGGAGATGTGACTGCATGAACAGCGAGACTGGAAATGTGTTGGGGCTAGTGAATATGGAAGCTGTGTTGTCATCTCTTTGATCACACAAACGAACGACGACACATATGCGTGCAAAAGAAAGGCAAGAAGATCGACTCGTGTTGTATCTGGATCGGCATCACTCATTGCAGACTGGACTGGTTAATGCTTGACTTTTGACGTGCCTTTCTGACACGATGCCAGACGTAATTTCAAGTGATTTACACAGCGGAATTTGGAATGAATTCGCAACTTGCATTCCAATCTACCTACCTTGTGACATCTGCAGACAGCGTAGTGAAAAGAGCAGCTCTAGTTGTGACTGCAACTGGATTGGAAATGTAGACGAAAGCGATGATGACGCGACGGTTCCTCTGCCTACTGCAGGTCAACACAGACAGGACTGAGCGAGTAAGATGGCGATTACAATAGCATGATGGACAGCGCATGATTGGCGGCGTGTTTTGATAAGTATCAGGCGTCCAAATCGTTATTCTTGCTTGAGCGTGCAGCCTGTTCCCCCGTGGCGCAAAAGCTGATCGGTGATTCCAAGATAAGGTGTGAATATGTAACAGACCATTTGTGAAATGACAGCTCTCACGTACGCGTAGTGACTCGTCCTTCCCCCAGTTGATGTTAGAATTGATCGTGACTCACTGCAGGGAAGCGACCGACATGTCTAGAAATTCATTCGAATGACAGACTGACCACATACCATCCATCTATTGTATCAGAACTTCAAGCTAACATACCTCAACTGCTCGCACCACATTAGAACATGGCATTCAGCACTTTCCTCTCGACATTTCGATCTGCAGCACCTCGCTTGTATTCTACCGGTGGTCTAAAGCTGTCCTTCAACGATGGGGCCTACGATGACTTCCACTACGAGGAGCCCTCGAGCGAAGATATGTTCGAAGCCATAGAGGGTAATAATGCAGATGAAGAGGAAGCTGCTTCCATGAAGTCACCCTGGGGCGAACTTGCATTCTTTGTTTTGCGTCAAGTTACGAAAGAGCTGGATGCCAAAAGACAATTCACAATGGGCTTCTGAACATTCTCTACATATGACTCGAGTCAGGATACGATGTTATAGCTGATCAACTCATTCCAAACTAGCTATCTCAAGCTCCTGAATCTTGTGATCGAGGTGATGTGTTTCTGCCCATGAACACTCTCCTCCTCAGCATGTGCTCGTTGTCGCCGAGCCTAAGAACTGGTGGCAGCAGCCGTTTCGGCAGCTTGACTGGTCTTTGCCGAAGTAATTTTTGCCGAAGACGACTTTACAGTCGTCGTAGCCTTAGACTTTGTCGTCTTGCCACTGGTCTTGCCACTGGTCTTGCCACTGGTCTTGCCACTAGTCTTACCAGTAGCCGATGCAGCATTAACATTGACATAATAATCCGCATATGTCAGGTAATCACTGCACTTCCCCATAGCAGAAGACATGACCGTGCTCATTGAACTCATCATGTCATCCATAACGCTAGAAGTAGCGCTGCTGTATACAGACATGATGTCGCTGGAACTCATGGTCGCAAGATCGACGGTGAAGACGGAGCTTAAGCTTGTGGTATCGGTACTTGGTGTGGAAGTTGTGGTCGAGCTGTCGGTCGAGATGGAGGCGGTCATGGTGGTTGTTTTGGTGGCGGAGTGGTTGTTGTACATTGTCATGGTTGATACGGCGGGGATGGCGAGGACGCTGCGCTGGGAAGCGATGCCGAAGATGGCGAGAAGGATGGAAAGTGTTTTGAAATTCATTTCGTGTTTGTTTGGGCTGGAGCGGAAGATGGATTATGATGGATGTTTCGAGTTGTGTTGACGGCCAAGGAGAAGGCAAGTCGTACTATATGTAGATTCTGATCGCAGTGGCAAGAAACCGTCGTCGTCCTCTGTACGCGATCCCGCCGCGTATACAGATGTGGATTTAGCTCAGGGTACTACCTAGTTGGAGGTTGATACAGTGGACTTCTTGGCAAGGCAACACAAAAGAGCTTGTCCTCCTCCAACGCAGCTAATCACAACCTCGCGTGGGCCTCAGGTTCGTGACGGTTTGTACTACGTGCCATATTATGCTGACATGCCAAACATATCAACGAATAAAGAGCTACCAACACCCGAGTTTTGTGCAATAAAGACTCGCGTATTGACTGGAACATATTTCAGGACTCAGGGCTCTGCCTCAATCATATGTTGGAGTTGTAGAAGTTTTTGAAGAGACTGCGACTGCGCGACTTGGCAATTCAAGAACATACGCGAGTACACTGACCGGTAATGTTGGTTGCCCAGATAGTATGCGAGCAACATGGAGATGTTCTTTCTATGGCAGCTCAACTAGAACAGAGACCCAACGGTATATAGACTAAGAGTCACCACCATCAAAGAGTCTGTCATCGCACTCCTAGATCACCTTGTCAATCAGCAATCATAGCTCAGACACAAGATCCACTCACGATGTTCAAATCACTTGTCCTCCTTGCAGCAGCAATCGGTCCTGTATTTGTCCGAGCTGACTTCTGCAAAGCGACAAATGACGTTCTCTTTTCGCCTGGTAAGTGGACAACTCTCAATTCATTGAAGGCTACATTCTCACTCATTGAAAGGACCGTGAATCTCAGCGGCATCGAAGGTGGTTGCGACGCGACCGTCAATGGTCAAAATTTCCAGGACGTCTTGCAAGGCGAGGGCGGTTGTCTTGCCGTCACGAATTTTGGTTGCCAGGACCCTCAAGGAGGCGGCACTACGTTTACCTTCAACCAGTCCGTCTTTTGCAGTGGTGGGTCTGTGGCGGACGCCGTGAGACGGGTCTTTAATTTAAATGGGTTCAATTGCAATAGCCAAGGTCCAGTCTAGAGAAGACGATGCAGGGTTAATAGATTGACAGGTCGAATCGATTCTGGACATTCTCCAAAGGTGTCGATGGCAGATATGTGTTATGGCACTCCATTGAGAGGATGCATTCCTTCCATATAGCCACTGTCCGGACCTGACGTGAGAAGATGATAGAATCGAGCAAGAGCAGTGATAGACGTTCGAGAAAGTCGTATGTGATGTATGATGGTCTGGAGGAAAGGGCTTGGTGAAGTACTGCTTAGTCATCCATACTTCCCTTGGCGGGCTTCACACACTGTGCGTTCCAGTTGAGCCTGGGGTGGATTGCATAACACCTTTTGTTTGTCGATGACACTCTTAAAGCAGCTTCTTCATTGACCACGCTTTCCTGAAACAGTGCTTTTGATCGGTTTGCGAACCTTATATATCTCTTACGACATGGATGCTTTGTAGCCAGCCACTGCACAGCCGAGTGAACGGCGCAGCGCGTGGCTGGTAGCTCGGTCACTTTACTTCGTCTCAGGGCTGACCGTATCTTGATGGATTGCACAGCTTGTAGCTGAAAGCTGAAAATCCTTGCGGTTTTCACTGCGGTGAATCTTGCGATGGTTCCCATGTCTGGCATACCGCACTGACTGACTGGCCAATCGACGCTTGCGCAACCGTGCGCCAGACGACAGTGAGGCTGGTCAGGCTAATTTGGCTTGCGTTATCGCACATCACCACTCGAACTTTGTGCATCCGGCTTCCTGCTAGCCTCAAAGGATTGTCTGGATGGTCGCCACCATTCTCCCAAAAGGATTTAGCTACATAAATGTGACCAGCCTCGCATGGTCTCCGCCTCCAATATATGTCCAGTATATAGCTCACAGGATCCTGCTGTCCTTGAAACTTAACAAATTCAACGACACGACTACCTCAATGGCTCAGTATGGATCTCGCCAGCGGCATCGTTGGGATCGTTGGTGTCGGCATTCAGATTTGTGCCACACTCTACAAGATTGGTGAAGCGGCAACGAGCGCCGGCGACGAGATACCAGAACTCATTGGACACATCGAATTTACAAACAACATATTGAACACAGTGCAAAAAGAGCTGCAAAAGGCCGAGGTGAAAGCCATTATCGACTCGAACGCGGCAGAATCGGTTCGCAATGCCATGACTAAGTGCCAGGTCGTATACACAAATCTTGGACGATTTTTCGATAAACAGATCAGGAAGTTTGACGATGGTTCTCTGGAAGTAAGATCTTCTGCGAAACTTGTCTGGTTTCTTCGAGAGGAAAATTTTGAGTTACAGAGACAGAAACTGGTGTCACTCAGATTGGATATTCTGATGCTCATGAATGTACTTCAAATCTCTGTGATCTATCGTTTGAGGTTTGTGCCTCCCGTCAGAGCGAACGTGACAAATTCACTAACCCCGAGCACAGCAACGCTGGCATGTCTTCTCAACACATAATCACAGACGAGTCCCCAGGCCACCAAGACGCAATTGAGGATGGAAAACAAAAGCTCCTAGACTTGGTCAAGCGCCAGAAGGAGTCTGAACAGCGCATCGCACTGCTGGAGACGAAAAAAGCCTCTCAAGCACTAGCAAAAAGACAAAGACCACAGCTGAAAACCATTCCAGTTTCACCTCTTGACAGGCGGTCGTCATCAGGAAGCAGGGTTATACTGTCGTCTTCTGGTAAGAACAAAGGTCTTCGCTCTCGCTGGCCAAGAAGAATCAGGATCCAACTTCCGGTCAAGAGGGTCAAAACTAAAGAGCCGTCTTCGAGCGATGCAACCACCCAACGGCTCGGCCAAAAATCTCTTCGAGCGTCGCTCTCGAGGTCTGCAAACAGACTCGTGCGACTCCTTGGAAATCGGTCGGCAGGGTCAGAGACAAGTGTAGCCAGGTCGGTAGAAGACCTGCAGCCCGATCTGATCGTTTTGACGGAGACAGAGACAAGTACGAGCCGGTCAGATTTGAGTGTTAGTGGGTCTGCAACTCCGAGATCAGGGTCGGCTGATGAGAGACCTGGAGCAGTTCGCAATACAGTCTCTCAATCTGAAGCGGTCTCTCTGACCAGACACAGCTCAGACGAGTCCATCATGAAATCAGAAACCGCGAGTCAGACTGGAGATAGACCTGAGCTAGAAGATGGGGATGAGATTACGATACAAGCTCTTCACACAGTAACAGAACAGCTCAAGAATTGGAGGTGTTCGTACAAGACACGAACGGGAAAGCACAAGCAACAGAAACAATCTTGGAGGCAGAATGTGAGAAAGGAAGGATTGCGGAGATTGACTTGCAGCGCGAAGCATCAAGAACGAATACGCTTGAAGCACGACTGAGGGCACTTGAATCATCCGGGGGAAAGAACGGCCCAAAAAGACGTCTGCGCTTTCAAGACTTTGTTGATCGAAAGTTCGATTTTCCGTGGCACTTGGTCAATACATGGGAAGGGATGGCAAAACGGATCAAAACCGTGTCCGCACAGCTTGAGCTCTCCGACTCAATACAGTCTCACATCGCGAACGGTCGCTACCAGATACTCGGGCCGGAAGGACAGATCATTCTACCCGAGTTTTGGGAATTGCTCGTTGAATCCGAATGGCATCTCAGTATGCAACTGTTACCCGTTCCTGATGAAACTGAGACGACACGCGAAAGAACTTCCAAGCAGAAGCACAAGCGAGAGCCATATCAGGAGGCTCGCAGACACAGCAGTGGCGAGGTCATAGTGGCCTCCGATTCACCGAACTTGCCTGACGCACCTGCGATTGCTGAGATGGCGAGAGCCCCGATATACCCAAGGATCCACCAAAAATACCTTGACTTGGAAACCCTGGAACATTACCAATTGCCTTGGGTGTTGGATAGCGTAAGTTTTTGGTCCACTCTCTTCTGAATGTATAGTTGCTGACAAAACAACAGTCAAATAAGGACTACCTCATTATTCTCCGAGAGCTAGACAAGTACGAGACAGACGTGCTATTTGAGCATACCCGTAGAAGGCGTATGGACCAATCGCCACCAAAGGAGCGTCGGTACGCTTGGGTCAGAAGTAAAGGGGTTACTAAGGACCTGGACGACCACCAAAGCATGGGCGCCGTTGATCGCCCAGAACAGACCTCCAAGACGCTGGATGGCGACGAAGCTATCGCTTCGCTCGTTCTCAAGTATACCAACTTGGAAGAGTTTGAAGGATATGAGAGAGGCCATCACAACTCGCAACTAGCTGTTCGCAAGGCCGATATCGGTCTGCAACGAGGAGAGTGACTGGGAAGCTCTGAGGTACTTTCTAACTCCCCAACAACCATCATGTAATTCTGTCACGTCATTTTAATTATGCCAGCTGCAGTATTTCTCCTTTTCAGACTCCTAGATTTCAATGGATTCTCAATGTGAGAAGTTGCTTCTTCGTTTTCACCTGCTTGAATGCCTCGCATGTCTGGCAGCGAGTCTCGGATCAAGGTCTTCTTCTTGTTGTACTCCACAAACCATGTATCGTCGTGGTTACGAACATGGGGTAACAGATCCCACTTGGACATACTGTCTTCTTCCTCATCTGTCAGGTTGAGCCACGCGTAAAGATCTTGACGTCTATTTGATCGTTCGAATTCTCCCTTTGACTCTTTGAGAGATCTCCGACGCAAGATGCCATTTTCTTCCACAAACTCGACATTTTCAGGCCATTCGGACACTCTCGCCTCTAGGCGTGATCCAATTCGACAGGAATACGATGGCGGTGATTCTCTTCCCGAGCCTCCNNCCTTCCAGTTGTAGAACCATCCCGAATCATCACAACCGGCCTTCCAGCAGATGAGTACAGTTGGAATGACAAGCAATGCCACGGTGTATATCTGACTAGCCAGTTTTACCATACCAAGGATAACGATGTGAACGGCAAAAGCGATCCAGCCAAGCCAACGGAATATCTGGTAGAGCCAAGTCGTGTCCGGCTCAGGATCTCGAACTAAGACTGAAAGGATCAGCCGTTGAGGTACGAACATCGTTATCGCCTTGGAGTCCGGCATAATTATCATGATCTTGGCTTGTTTCTGTTTCCAGGGAATATCATCCAACTTCATCTTCTCAGCTGGTCCGGCACGTCTAGTTGCACTTCCTTCATTATGTCTCTGCTTAAGGGTAGATGGGTCGAGATCAGAGTGCAATCTTGTCTTCTCAACAGCGAGGTCAATAGCGTCACGATTGGCTTGAATGATATACGTCCGAACGACTATCGAGACAATCATCGCAACAGCATTCACAAGACCGTACCAGTCCTCTGACAGGATCGCCATGACCAGGAGCAATCCAGTAAAGCAGAAGGAGATGATGAATGCTATTAGACGGTAGAGCCACCATGCGTGCGATTTCTCGACAATATCCCAATGAACAACGCTTCGAGTTTTTGTAAACTTTTGGGCGAGCGTCCATCTCGTGAACCAGAAAGAGAGATCAGTGGTGTAGATGCCATTACTGATGTCGTAGAGGTGGAATGAGGGGATCTGGGTTTTGAATCTTTCGCCTGCAATCACAGAACCCGCTAGTAAAGGCATGTACTCAAACCATCGACTCGGAACTAATCGACCGATGGACGCGTTGACTTCCTCTGAACCCAGGAGAGTCACTAGGCCGAGAGCATCAATGCTGAATGGTTTCCAGTCACGAAGGGGAACCCAGGGGTATACCATTGTCCTGTACTGCACAAGAAGAGAGAAGGTGTGGTAGTGTTTCTGGTGCAAGAATCGTGGTCCGAGACAGGCCGAAGACGACGGTGAGAACGAAGAAGTTTGTAGATACACCCTAGAAATGCGCTCAAGAAGAGGACTTGCTGGCAGATGCATGTGAGATTACTAGCGGTGAAAGAGTGCATCAAGGCTGCATGCCCTGTCTTGTGGCGTCGCCGGCCAACAAATACCCCCACACAGCGTCGCCATGCGATAAGTGTATACTCAGAGTTTTTCAGCAGCAACTCAGAATGTTATAATTCCGCTGTAGACTCCCGAGCGACTTGATGCTAGAACACCTCAATACAGTCTCGGCGGCCTACTCTTATTGTCAACAACATTCCTGACATGCCTCTCCCATCGCGTACCCAACTGCGCCCACTCCTGCGAATCAAGATAATGCTTATCATCCATAGCCCCCAGATCAAACTCCGGCATGTAAAGCCCAACAATCCCCTTCTCCAACACACCATCATCAAGTACACCCGCCTCTCTCAACACCAAGATAGGAAGACCAATCTGATACGCCATCGCTGGCTCAATTTGCGCCCATGGAGAAGTAAGCCATTGATCATTCAAGGGCTTGTCTTTGTAATGACTGCCTACGCGAACTGACCGCGTTCCCTTCTCTATATGCGTGCGACGAAATGCGATACAGATGAGGCCGTTGCATTCGGACATCAAGCCGCGGATTGCTTCCAGTGGTGCTGAGTCGCTGTAATCCGTTATCCCGAGAGTGCGTGGCATAAATCCTCGCTCTGAGAGCCATGAACAGAGTTTTGCGGTGAAATTTTTTTGCTCGTCGTTGATGGGTTGTGGGTGGCTAAGAAATACTGAGATGGGCATGTTGAAGTATTTTGTCCGGCTTCCGAATGAGCTCAAGCTAAACAGAATACAGATTGGTGCTTGTTTTTACCTATTTTGAAGAGGAAGCTTATGTTTTGGGGGAGGTGAATAATGGCGTGGGTGTCTAGACCATCCCGCCTTGACCCTGAAAGAGGGGTGAGGTGGGTGTTAATATATTATCCCAACCACATTCATCATGCATCCTACCGTGTCCCAGCCATTCGTAGGCATTTGAAGAATGAACTAGGACTATTGCGATAGCCCACGTGTGAGTATCTGCAGCCGTCTATCTTTTTCGGCAATGCTTTCGGGGATTTCTTCACGCTTTTTATTTCCTCAATGTGCTTGTCCAGAGCAGAAACATCGCCCGTGTTCTCCTGGAAGCATGGAGAATGGGCACAGGAGTTGAAATCCTTTGATTGTTCGTTATATACTGGGGATACTGAGAAATTATGTATTCGAAGACTGTGCAAAATCGCTAGTAACTGTAGTCAATGTACTCATCAACCTTTTCCTTATCATTCTCGCTTTCCTGCGGCTGAGGCAAGCTTCTACCTCTTCCTCTTCTTTCGGGAGCAGGCGACTCCATGGAGAAAGATGTCGATCTGCTACCAGGAGTCAGAGCTCCAGGCCACCAAAATGGTCCAGGTCCACGACTTCTGCTTCTCTCGTCGGCCTTGTCGGCTAGAGAACTCCTCTTCATCTGCGATTGGTAGGCTTCTCCTTCATGTTCGTCTTCGGATTGTTCCATGCCACGTGCGACCATTCCAGGGAAGACGTCGGGGCCAATGGCATCAGTGGTCTCGCGTACTTGTTTGGCAAGAGCATTACGGTGAGCGCGGAGTTGGGTGAGCGAAGCCGAGGAAGCTGGGTTCAGAGCAACGAAGAGAGGTGGAAGTGATTTGAGGATGTCCATGCCAATCTCGCCGATGCGAAGGGCGGCTAGGGATACGGAAACCATGAGTGCGAAGAAGAAGATGGAGAACTGCCAGAGAGGGACAAAGTCAGGGATGTAGGTGCGCGCATGTAGGTACCAGGGTAGAGTCTGGGTATACTGGCCACCAACGCGGTTGTAGTAGAGCCAGAAGCTAACAAGTGCCGTGTAGTAGATGTACAAGGCAGGTGCCAAAGCCATTGCGACCAGAATCTTCCAAGTAGCCATGACGTCGTGTCCTTGCAGTTTGACAACCGAACCAGCAAGCGCTTTCTTTTGCTTCTTGATAGAGATCATCTTCGAGGTCACAAAGACTGGCCAGAACATCAAGATACCTGGCAGTGTGCCCAAACTCAAGAGCAGCAGTTCTCCCAGGCGGTACAGCAGTGTAGCCAGGCACCACCACCAAGGACGCGCAGAAGCATCACCCCATTCGACCTGGTGGTCTTTGATACCAAGTGCGCGAAGATGACGGTTGTAATCAACCACAGCCTTCTTCAGCTTTCCTACACGTGGATCATCCTTGTACTTGGTGTAGCCCTTAAGAAGACGTCTGTTGAACTCGATGACTACGGGTAGAGGAAGTTTGCGACCAGGAGGGTTGTACAGACGACGCGTAGCCTGGATAAGTTGTAATGTTTCGTGGTCCGGACTGGGTTGCGTCACTGCTGCTAGACCTTCGTAGATGGTTTCCAGCAGTGATCCAATGGCATCGCGCTTCTCGGAGCCTCCAGCTTTGAACGCCTCAACTTGATCAGGGTGGACGTCAATGGGGTTACCGAACTCGATGACTGCTCGCGAGCGGAACTTGTGAGCGTGGAAGTAGTTCATGCCCGCTGGAATGATAGTAAGTCCGCAATCCGGGTCACGAGCCAAACATCCCAAAGCCATTATAGCGACACCAGCTTTCAAAGGTAGCAAATCGCTTCTGTCGTGAGATCCACCTTCTGGGAAGATTCCGACACAGGCGCCCTTGGAAAGTTCGCGGTAGACGGCGTCGAACATGCGGTTTTGGTCAATGTGAGGAGCGACCTTGAATTTCGTGCCCTTGATCTTGCTTCCATCAGGAGCTTTGCTCTCGCCAGTGAGCTGAAGAATTGCGTCCTCAGTCTTGAAAGCCTCGCGTAAACGGAACTCTCTTGGGCCCAAAACTTCCTCGATGTACTGACTCTCAGGTGCTGCCTTCGACCCTGGTCGCTTGGGCATGATGATGCTGCCACCGTGCATATACTGACCGTTGAGGAAATTGGTTCCCACACCGCGAACTAGGGTTGGGTCGTTCTCAGGATCCGGTAGACAGATATAGCCTTGGCCAGGTTTGACATGATCCATAGCTCTGGTCACCGGCAAAGAGCCCATCTTTCCAGCCATAGCACCAATGTAAGGTTCTTTCATCGACTTCTCGGCCACCAGGAAAGACATGCGACGTCCTACATGCTGCTTCAACAGTCGCATAAGGATGATGGAGTCAGCGAACTGGTTGGCATGTGGTGCGCCAACGATAATGACTGGGCCCTTTTTGGGAATTCTGAAAGTGTTTCGCGGATAGATTTCCCTGAAGAATACATCCAGAGCAAGATTGAAGGTCCCCAATCCGAGATCGTAGACCCATGGTGTCAGTACTTTGCCGTTGGACTTGTTTTGCTTCGCGAGTTGCTGCTTGTTGTCGGCTTTCGAATTCTGAGAATGTTTCTCATCTCGCGAGGCCTTTCCGCCCAGTGTTGAGGCCTGGGATGACTTCTGTTCACCCGTTGAGGTCATCTTCGCGTCGAGCACAGCTGAGCTTCGTAGCTGCCTGCTGGCCCACGGGTTGTCTAGAGACACCACAAGTTGTGTTGGTGTACTTCACTGTAAGAGCGCGTCTTCCAGCGAGACACTTGAGGCCGATTACAGCAAAAACGTGCGAACAGCGGGTCACTTTGGTTTTCTGTGAGATATTTGATTGAGGAAATTGGTGCGAGTCAGGATTCCGCGTCTAAATCAGGCCACACAGACCGCAACTTTTGCCGAGGTTACATCACAGTCAGGATTCTTGAAAGAACATCCTTCTCAAGTCTGACAGCAATTGGCTATGGTAAATTGTTGAGGCCTGTATTCATGTCAAGTAAGCGCGGCAGTCATGTCCTACGACTGTTTTGACAAGAAACATGGCGTGTCACATTGCAACCGGTCTGAAGATGGAAACTGCCATTAAAACAAGATGATGCCAAAACGGTTGGCCAAAATGACCAGAACTCCTGATCCGAAACACCCATTCGACCTAAACGCCATCCTTGTGATTGCAAACTCATTCTCTGCGACTAACTTCCGACTCTGATACGTATGAAGGTCTCCGCGGTGCCAATTGTGCATCTGTGTCTGCAAGTGCCGCCTCGAAGCTTATGCCGAAGGACGCGGCCAAGTACGAAGCATAACGCCTTCTGTACGCGTATGATATTTGCGCTGTCGACGAGGCGGAGTCTGCTTNGACATCAGAAGCGTCGCAAACGACGAACCAAGACTGAATCTCACCTGTGTGTGTTGTCGTCTCTGGAGTTGTGGGATATCTGAATGCACTCAAACTTGGTCGACGGGGACTTGACGTCGTTGCATCTGATGTCGGGACTTGCAAAGAGGATGTCATTGAGGCGTTTGTTGATCCGAACATTGTGGTATAGGAAAAGTGTGTTTTCTGTGGAAATATGGCAATTTAGGAGAAGACTGTGAGTGCAAGTAACGTTCCAACCTTTACTTTCCAAGGGGAGTGTCCTCTTTATAGATGAGAAGTGCGGTGTACAGGCACAGCAGCAAGTAGCATCACGTCGTACCGTACCTCGATTACGTGAAAGTACAAGGGATACATCTTCATAGACACTGCCACAAACATTCCTCGAAACTCAGATCTGCATCGCTCCTGCGGCTCTGCGCGATTTCATGTCTACCACCAAATTGTGAGCCATTTTCACACAAAATCACGCAAGACAAATGGACAACTGCAACTTCTCTAGACGACAACAAAACATGTCGCAATGGAAAATTGAGCCATTTTGGACCAACTCGACCGGTGCAAGGTTGAGTTTGGGCAAGTGGCATGCGACCACATGTAACGAACCAATGGCGCTGGTCAGTCAGTATTGCATGTCTACATTCATAACGAGAACTGATCATAAGGTCTATCTGGACCATAATAACATGGTTCAAGATCCCTCTGACCGATGGAAGCTCACACCGCTCGACCAAGGAAGCGCATTTTCATCATGCAAGTTCACAACAAGCTCACAACCGTTCAGCCCTCTTCGAACATTGGCTCTGGACGCCTATCCACGGTCTCTACAAAACTAACCACAGAGAACACCCAACCATTCTGGCAATCTATCTCAGCACACGGATCGTGAGCTCTTCCATAGTTCGGGAGCTGTTCCTGGTCTTGGTGAAGACTCCTTCAATGTCGTCAGCCACAATGCGGGGCCGGGTCGGCTCCTCCTCCAGCCCCTCTATTAGGATAACGCAACAGTGGGTTGCTTGCTCTTCTCTTCGGCCATCGACGGCGGTGATGAAAATTGCATTGCAGATCAGCTCAACAACTTCTACAGAGTAAACCATTATACACAGCAGCAAACCCGATTGATTTGAGCATATCTATCTATCTTGACGATTCCTCTTCCTCAAGCAGATCCAGCCTACGTCATGACCTTGCTCACAGGTGTCAGTGTCATATCTTTCGTCCTTGGACAAGCTCTTGCTCAGTCTGGTATCACCAGTCCTCTCGCTCAAGCATGTTCTAGCTACTCGAACAACACTGATGTCGTCTGTATCAACCGCTATGCCTCAGCTATGCCACCATCGTTCCAACGACAAAGCTCAACTGGAGGAGCATTTTCTTCAGATGACACTTTCGTAGACACCCAGGTGCCCTCCGACCCTTCTTTCCAGCTTGTGAATAATGCGACTTTCGTTGTTTTCGATGAGCGAGGAAGCCAGATCCTCGGACCTTGTCCTAAGCTGGACCATGTTTTTGCTAGCCGGAATGACTCGATCCACGAAGGGCCAGTATATGTTCCGGATTTGGACGCCATCGTCTTCTCGTTGCCCCATCGAGGCATTTACCAGCAACAGATCATCCATCTCAATGGCTCGGCACCTCGCTTGGACAACTACACTACCACTCCTCCGGTGTACGCAGTCAATGGAGGCAAGCTCTTCAACGGCAAGGTTTACTGGGCTGTCGAGGCAGGTTTCTCCTTCCCATCTCCTCAGAATGGGTCGCTGGTTGCCCAAAGACCCGGCATCTATCAGCTTAATCCTTCTACCGGTGAGGTGACCGTCTTGCTCAACAACTACTTTGGCCAGGCTTTCAATAGCCCGAACGATCTCTGGGTTGACATTCAAGGCGACATCTGGTTCACCGACTCGTGGTATGGCTATGCCATCAACGTTACCGAATATCCAGTGCTACGGCCAGCGACCTACCGCTTCAGACCTTCTACCGGACGTGTCTCGATTGTTGAGGACAGCATCGCTCAACCCAACGGTATCGGCATGTCCCCAGATGGTCGTACCATGTACATAAGCGATACTGGCGTGACGAACTTTGCCAACTACCCAGCAGATGGTCCTCTGCCCCGCTACACCTACAACGCTCTCGGTGGCAACTCGCTCTACGCCTTCGATGTTGTCGCTTCGCCAGCTGGATCATACATCACGAATAAGCGTCCCATCTACTTGGCTCAGACGTTCGGAGACGATGGCTTCCATGTTGCTCAGAACGGATACCTGCTGGCGGCCGAAGGTGGTGGTGTGACTGTGTTGAGCGCACATGGAGAAATGCTCTTACGCATTGAGACTGGCTTTACCGTCAACAACATCCAGTTTGCTGGTCCTGAAAGAAAGGACCTATGGATTTTCGGTGAAGGTCCGATCAGTCGTGTGACTTGGGATCTCGTTGGCATGGCAAGTGAGTGAAGTGGGGTATCTGGAGGTACAGAGAGACACATTCTCACTTCAAACGAAAGTAAGCGCGATATATATATATAGAATTTGGGCAGTCTGTAGAATACGAAGCAGGAGCAGACGAGCGATGGAGGTGCAGAAGGATTGTAGTGACCAACAGTTTTGGCCAGTTCTGCAAAGACTTCTGGCCAACCATGACTCAATACAACGTTTCTCAGTTCCTCCTCGAATGTAAACCACAACATCTTTCGGTATCACGTCAATCAATTGAAACATCACCTCTGAATCTTCAAACCAAATCGCGTTATGCTGAAGTGTACGCTGGTAAGCACGTGTTGAATGCGCTCGACCGCCTAGACTTTGAGGCATCCCAAAGAACGTCAAAGACATTGCAACAACAATCGCTTCCATCAGCCAAGCATAACACATACGATGTTAATTCTCATGTCACTCAAACAACAGCACACCATTGATCTGGAAAACACGTAATGTCGTCTTTCTTCAGGTCGGCGGCAGACATTAGCTCTTCTCGTGAGGAAAGCACGTCAGATGAGACCAGCGATGAATCAGACAGCAGCGACCAACAAATTACAAGAGTACGCACCTTAGGGTCAAGTACCGCGGCAGAGGAGCAGTCTGGGCCTGGTGCATCACAAGTACTTGCAGAAGGGTCTCGAAGCTCTAGCTACCACCGCGATCTCTTATTACATGCTTTACTAGAGGAACGTTGCTACAACGAGGCATTGGAAGACTTGAAAGCCGCTGGATTCGAATCCAAGGAGCATCCACGAGTTCAGGCGCTGGCCAAGGAAAAATATTCTCGGCTCTCGCGCCAACTTGGCAGATATGGTCTCGAAACTGGCGACCTGGATTCTGACCAATTTGGACCTCTTCGCCAAACATATCGAGATGGTCTGTCCGTGATCACGCGAAAATCTGTTGATCTTCAGACACCCATTGAGGATATTCTGGCACAGTCTCAAGGCAATGACTTGCCTGGACCTTTACTTCGCTTGATGGGAGGAGAACAGTCAGCAACCATTAACATGAGCCGGCGATTCAGTGATCTCGCAATCGGTGGCTCGGATCTGCATGCTCAACCCAAACTTCTTGGTAACGGCATACTGCCTGGTCACCCTTTGCTTAACTCAACACGCTACACACGCGACTTTGAAGAGTTTGGCATTCTTGGAAAGGGAGGTTACGGTACCGTGTTTCGATGCAAGCACAACCTGGACGGCAGACACTACGCGATCAAGAAGATCCCTCTAGGACCAACAAGGATGCGCAAGATTCAAGAAAACGGACAAGCAGAGCTCGATCACATTCTCGTTGAAGTGCGGACACTGGCACGCTTGGAGCACCCAAATATTGTTCGGTACCACAGCGGCTGGATCGAGTGGGCGCCTCTGATCTCCAGCAAGCAAGCGCTTGAGTTCAATGGCCATAAACTACTCGAAGCACCGAGAGAAACAGAAGAAGAGGATGTCTCGGACAACTTTGATCGCAAAATACCAGCTATCGACGTCCAATTCGGCTATGATGATGATGAAGATGGAGATGAGGGTCCTTTCGAAATGTCAACTGGTCGGACTCAACGTTTTGCGACCCAAGAAGAAGAAGAAGACATCATATTCGAGGACTCCAGAAGATCAGGAACGGCTACTTCTGATACTCAATCTCTTCAACCANNGGGTGAATTGATTGGACTACCCGTAATCTTCAGAGCCAATTTTGCTAATCTTCGTCACAGATCGTATTCTGAAGGTGCACTTCTGCAAAAGATTCAGAGTCGCAGCACAGTCGCAAGCGTGAGCGAAGAAAGCGAAGTCGAAGTCATCACACGCAAGAACGAGCCTTCGGAAAGTAGCTATGACGAGTCATCGTTCAGCACCAACCAAAAACATCATACGTCTTCCTCGCCCTCTCTGGCGCTTCATATTCAGATGTCACTATACAGCATGACTCTTTCCGATTTCCTCGCTCCTGCCACATACCCTGTTGCCAGCGATAATGTCTCGTCCCTCCGCCACTGTTTTCACGCTCAATCGTCGCTCGAAATTCTCTCTTCCATCATCGAAGGTGTTGAATACTTGCACTCAGAGGGTATAGTCCATCGTGATCTCAAGCCTGGCAACATCTTCCTCGCTGTACGCGAAGGGTCGAAACCTCCTCCAGGCGCCCTTTCTCTGCACAATTGTGCCTCTTGCGCCAGTCAGAACATGTCCCGGCCTTTCAACGTCAGTGTCTGCATCGGTGATTTTGGCCTCGTCTCCGCTATTGCAAGACCAGAAGATACACCTCCGATGGCTGGCGTTTCATGCAAAGCAGTAGGCACAGAGATTTATCGTCCTTACACTGTCACTCGCGACAATCATCCCAGTTTGGATGTCTACGCTCTGGGCATCATCGCCTTTGAAATACTTCATCCTTTTGGAACTAGAATGGAGAGGCATGAGATGTTACATCAACTCAAGAAAGGCAATATCTCTGGTAACTTGGATACGAAAATCAGGTGCAAAGGCATGAGGAAATGGATCTTAAGCATGGTGGAAGTGAATGAGAGCCAGTGTCCTAGTTGGGAGAAGCTGAGAGACGAGTTGTCCGTTTTGCTCGAGCAGTGCAAGGTTCTTTGAGCTTGTTCTTGCTCAACGACTCTCCAACCCTGTTACTGGTTAGAAGGACATGCGAAGTGTGGCAGGACAATATCCTACATACACGCCCACTATGATGACGGGACTCATAACTTACTCAAGATGTACATATTGAACGACAAAAACCATGGCCGGCCTTCTCTAGAGAGGTAGAGGCAGAAAGGGAGACCCGAGATTCGCTCTTGCCAAAAACAGAGTCAATACCGAAGGTCATGCACGCCAAGACTGAATATATTGCACTCCACCGAGGGCGGCTTCCTCTCCAACTTCGTTCCCATTCCTATCGTCCTTCGATCTCAGGATACTACTCGCCTCTCCTCCTTTATGTCGTACTTGACAAACAATGTCTCCACCTCTTTAGCGACTCACACACTCGTAATCTTGAGTTCTCGATCAACGACTCGGTGCTTCAACAGAGACATGGTTGTGCCTTGCGCCTTATGCAACTGATGTTTCTGGTCCCTGCGCCTGTGAATCCTTCGGAAACAACATCCACCAATCATTGATTTGTTGTACCGCACTTGCTTATAGGTAATCAGATCACCTCATCTATTCTCTCGCTTCGTTGCCTCAACCGCTGTGTCCTGATATACAATTCTTGCAGGTGCCCAGGAACAATGTAATGATTTTCGCATTTCGGTTAGAGGTTCAAAGGCACGGCCCGTGAAGTGCACGGTGTTTGCTGGGTCGCAACCATGCATGTGGTGTTCAAATCCTACGGCAGACCTCACATATATGACTGGCAGCGTAAGCGCTGAGGAGGTATGTAGGGCTTTCTGCTTCTTGTTCTGCTTCACCCTGTTTCTTGCCTCTTGCTTGAGTTGGGGCCGTCTTTCGTTTAGTTGACTAGAGTTTGATATCGCGACTCCGGTGCTTTGTGTTCCACACAGCAAGATCAAGAAGTCAACAGTTAGGATAATTCTAGGGGTCAACAACCATGAGTGCGATCATGGCTAAGGCATCAGGTCTCGCGATTGCAGTCTTCCTCTTCGCGGCAACCGGCACTGTTGCTTTTCCACAGCGTAAGCTCCTTCGACTTGAACTTGAGTCCATCTTTAACGATATGAAAAGGTACTGCGTTCACAAATTCGACAACATCGAAAGCGACCCAAACCTCCAGTTCAGTGAGCTCGGAAACAACTGTCGGACCCAGTCTTACTAGATCTTGTGGATGGTGGTTGCCGAATGAGATCTTCTTGAACTCTTGGTGGACTGAACATGCCACATTCACTGTCAGTGTAAATCTCCATCAACAGCAAGGAAATCGGCTCATGCTTTGTTACCAGGTTGCAACAGAAACGGACTACTACATCCAATACAACAACACCCTCGTCTTGGCCAACTCATCCACTCGCTATGATGGTTTCACCGCCAGTTACACTAACACAGCAGGCGATAATTCGGGCAAGGTATACACAGAAGTATACACGGACTTTGATCGACTCGCCACCATGGGAGTCCTAGCAAGTATGCAATGGGAGTTTCCGGGCGTTCCTACAGATTTGATCTCGCTGCTTCCTTCCACGACGACAGAGTTCACATATGCAGAGACCAGACTCCATACGTACTCTGAGATTACCACTGAGTGGGGCATCAGCGCTACGAGAACGAAGACTGTGGTGTAAGTTCCACAGTAGCTATAAAGCTCTCAACTGATGACTGATTGCAAATAGAGCCTCACCAACTCCCTACGCCGAGCCCATCCTTGGTATCCTCGATGTCAAATACTTGGACGAGTCTGGAAACGTTGTCGAAGCAAAGAACTATACAGATCTCTACACTCTGGGATACACTGGCGGTGTCTGGTCCAACTCTACTGTTGATTGGCCTTGTACGTCCTTCTCTTAAGCCTCTACTCCAATGATTCGCTAATCACTGCGTCCAAACAGCAAAAGTATTCTTCGATTCCATTCCTCCAGAGTTCATTGAATGGGTTCAGCGCAATGCCAGTGTGTCAGCCTCCTTCCCCTGGTTGAGCGAATGCACGAATTTTGTGAGCAAGCGGCCTACAGGAGCGCCTACTGTGCATGTTGTGGTGAGCACTCTCACACATACAACAAGCTCGATTATCGCGACGAGGCCCGTAAACTTTGGTGGGACTGTTCCTGTTCCTTCCAGTAAGGTGACGACGAAGACTAGTGCACAAGCGACGTCTGATGCATCCACTGAGATTGGCACTTCTACGACAGCCGCAGGACAAACTTCAGAAGGAAATACTGAGCAGTCCTCGGCTACTGGCATCTCGCAAGTCCCCACAACTGAATCTGCGGGAACAACTGCTCAACAAGCTACTACGTCTGATAGACAACCCACTTCTACCGGTGTAGAACAAGCTCCGACATCGATCAATGAGCAACCGACCTCTGTTGAACAGAGCGTTTCCAGAACCGCAGAGCAAGTCTCGACAACCACAGCTGCACAGCCAATATCTCAGGTGCCTGGTACGGCCGAAGCGAGCAGTCAAACAGATAGAGTGCCAACTACGCAGCCAAATAATTCAGCAGGCAACATCGAGCTGCCATCCTTGGCTCTGCCCATCAGTGCAGGGAAAAGTGAAGGGCCACCTACAGGCACGAACGTAGTTTCTGATGCCGCACCACTTCCTTCCGTGACTACAACAGTGGTAGGCTCTGATATCGGCCATCAGGCGTCTTCTGGACTGAACATCCCAACGAGTGGCCAGACACTCATCACTAGTGGAGAATCTACCAAACCTCAGCAAGTGGGTACGACAACCTCGAATGCCGGATCTGGAGCCAACACAGCCTCTCAAGATATTGGAGGAAGTCAAGTCGCGCCTTCTACTGCTGCTCGAAGCAGTCCACCTGCTCATTCGTTCCCGCCATCCCGCACGACTGTCGTAGTTCCACCGGTACTCACTCTCGGCTCAACAACTATAGCGCCTAACCCTTCTAGCGAGTACATCATCAGCTCTCAAACACTTGCCCCCGGTGGCCCTGCAATCACGATTGGAGAAACAGCATACTCTCTCGCAACTTCTGCAAGTGCACTCATCGAAGATGGGCAGACTCAATCTATTGCTCCGACAGTTTCTATATCTACTGTACCACAGATCACAATGGGCTCTATTGTCATCGCACAAGATCCCAGCAACGGATTTGTCTACGCATCTCAGACTATGTCTGCAGGAGGAGGAGCGGTAGTTGTTAGTGGCACTACTTACTCGCTCGCAACTTCCAAATCATCGACTTTTATTGTGCAGAATGGCGTTACTTCGCCGCTTGTAGTACAAGAAGGGACTACCTCTGCAGTCGTTCCTGCCATTACCATCGGCTCAAGCGTTGTCAAGCAGAATTTGGATGCCGAGTTCGTGATCGGAACGCAGACCTTGGCACCAGGCAGTTCTGGTATTGAGGTGGAAGGAACGACTTACTCGCTGTTCACGTCCGCCTCTGCAACTCTGCTTGTTAAAAATGGCGTCACTTCCATTATTTCCATCGCTCCCGCTTCCACTCCCTCCATCGCTTCGTCGCCAGCGGTACATATTATCGCCAGTGCCGTTGCCCCTCAAATTACCACCAGTCCTAGCATCGTAACGCAGACCACGGCTTCGGAGTACTTGATTCCGGGACAGACTCTCTCGCCAGGTGGCTCTGCTTTGGAGATCGAGGGGACGACGTACTCGCTGCCTCCCTCAGCTACTGCCGTTCTTGTCAACGGGATCCCCTCTGATCTTCCCCTTGCTGCCACTTCGCCAGCGGTTTCCGTTATCACTGGCGCTATTGCACCAGAACTTACTCTCGGCTCTAGCGTAATCACCCAAGACTCTGCTTCTGGGTTTGAGATTGGAGGACAAACTCTTATACCTGGAAGTTCTGTTGTCGAAGTGGGAGGAACGACATACTCGCTTGCTCCCTCGGGCACCGCTGTCGTCGTCAATGGGATAACGAGTCAACTTTCTGCTGCCGTGGAGACGGCAGTCGTTGTTGCTGGACAGACGCTATCTCAAGGTACTGAGATCGAAGTCAGCGGAACCACATACTCTCTCGCCCCTTCCGGTACAGCTGTCATTGTCGATGGCAAAACTTCTGCTCTATCAACAGCCACATCCTCTGCCCAAAACCTCCCTCTTTTCGCCATCGGTACCACAACGCTAAGACAAGGAGATGCGGTCACTGTGCAAGGAACAACTTACTCCATTCCTCCTCTCCTCACTTCTGGAACCGCTTCTGCTGAGCCTGTGGTGGTCATCAATGGCAAAACATCTACATTGCCGAATACACAGGGTATGGGAGCTGCTGTGGTTAGTGGCTTGCAGAGAACGACTTCGAGTTCCTTAAGTGGGAGTAGGGTTACGGGATCTGCTACTACTACTACTTCTTTGACGAGGGCGAGTGGAATAGAGACAGGGATAGAAGCAAGCAGTGTGGCTACTACTTCTACTGCAGGAGCCGAGAGATCAGTGAATAGAGAAGTAAAGAATGGGGTTGTTGCTATTGTTTTGGGTGTCGTGGGCATGATTGCTTTCTGAAAAGAAAAAATTATCAGCTAATCTAATACACCAACTTCTATTCATCTTTCTCATTCCTTTTCTGAATCCAGTCCTCTTTTTTAGCTCTCCTTTTTGTATACACAACTTTTTTCTAAGTCGAACTGATTTCTAATGTTTCCGGTATAGGACTGCAAAACGTAGAAAACACAACCAAAGCCAGCCAAGACATGCGTGAGCCCAAGAAAGAAACACTCGCTCATGAACACCTGCCAAAAGAGACATGTCACTTTTTGTAAACAGTGATTGCCGATAGCTTCTTGCCCCATCCCAGGTATTCTTTTTTTCGCCAGGACCCCTTGGAGAAGGATGACTTACTCTGATGGTAAGAAGATTTGGACAATTCAAATCAAAGCATTATTTCCCTTTCCTTCCTTTCCTTCCACATCTTCTTCCAACTCCCTACAATACCTACATCAGCCATCCTCACAATCCCAGAGAAAACAAGGAAATGGAAAGAGCAAGAATAAAAAGTTAGAGAACGAATGTTTTGCTTTCCGTCGTTCTTTTGGGGGACGTTTCCGGTGATCCAGATCACTACTTTGTTGCTATCGGGAATGATTACAGAGCTTTTTTTTTTTTTTTTAATAAAAAGGATTGTAGGAGTTTTTGTCCTTCAAAAATGACACCAATGACAAGAAAAACACACAATGAAGAACAGAAAAAGAGCAAAGAGAGAAAAGCGCAAATCTCCGAGATATGGAAAAAATATTCTTGTATGGTGTCTGTTTGGTGTTTTTTGTCCCGATACACCTTTTGGAAAGAAAGAAAAGGGTTTGCATGGAGAAGCAGATGCAGAAACAGTACAAGTAGTTGGGATGATGAGGTTCAAGCAATGTTTACTCTCTGCTGTTATGGCGGGCGGGGGATGGTAGTTGGGCAAAGTCAGCAAGACATGGAACTTTTTGGGAAAAACACCGACGGACGGGGTCCGAGAAAGAAAGAAGGAAAGAAGTAGGTGGGAGAAAAAAAGCATAAATGTTGTCATATCAGCAATGGAACCGCTCCTAAAACAGCAGTCAAAAAGAAAGAAAGAAAAAACATAAGGATGAGTAAAGGAAAAATTTGTCAGAAAGAGGGAGATCCAAACTCCCCAATGATCCCCGCCTTTGCAGTCCAGCCGCCTCCATGCCACTCAAGAAAGAGAGACTGGATACGGTTTACCTAGACCCCAGGCCCTCGCAAACCAAGAAATGCAGCGATTTTTCGTCTGTCTTGTCACTCTTCATCTTACTCGTCATCCTTGACATTTCCATTAGGCTCCACAGCAACCTCGACCATCTCGCCCACACCCTCACTCGCATCAGTCGTAATCTGCTGTGCCTCGTCAAGATTAAGCCCCAATCTAATTTCCTCTTTCCTTTGCCTAGCGGCTTCGGTTTCTCTTCTCATGGCCTCCAAGTTCCAGTTGTCGTCGTCTTCGGCGTCTGAATCGTTTTCGTCGTTCCAGTCGCCCTTTTCGAACAAGGCGCGTCCGGTGGCTTCCTTCATCTTTTGGGCTTCTTGTTCGGCGGCCTTTTTGTCCATGCGTTCCTTTTTCCACTTTTGGAAGGTTTCTTCGTTGACTGGAGTCAAGGTGCCGGTGAGTTTGTGGCGTTCGCTGTCGAGGAAGTCTTCGAGGGTTAGAGTGTTGAGGGNGGATTTGTCCATGAGGGCCTTTTCGGCGGCGCGCTGTTCTTTTGTCTTGAGGACGANAGCTGTGGAAGTGTTAGTGTGAAGGGTAGGAGATGGGAGAAGAGAGAAAACATACCCTGGTGGTAAACTGTGCTTGTACATGCACTTGTCGCCGCCGTTGGGACAAGTCCAGAACCAACCATACTTGCCATTCTCGACGGCCTCGATGAAGAACTTGCACACCTTGTCCGTCGTGGTCTTGGGGTTACCATGCTTGCTCATGACGACATTGCGCAACTTTTCCTCGTCCCAATCGGCCATGTCATCCTTCTTCCTCTCCTCCTCTTGCTGCTCCTTCTCCAACTCCCTCGTATCGGTATACAAACTCTTCTTCTCGCCCTTGATACCCTGACTCAAGTCATGGCTGAACTTGCACTTCCTCCCCTTCTCACAAGCCCCCTTTTTGAAAAACTGACACAGCACGGTCTTGGGATCAACACCAAACGGCACTTTTTGGATCTGGACGGGCTTGAAGAGTTCGGCGGCCTCGCGTTTGGCGGCTTCGGCGGCGAGCTTTTCCTTTTCGCGGGCCAGCTTTTCGGCTTCTTTTTTCTTCAGGTCGGCGGGCAGGTTGGAGGTTGCGGTGATTTGCTTGATGGCGCGTTGGGCGGCTCCTCCCTTTTTGTTCTTCATGCCAAAGGTCTTGTCGACGGCGACCTTTTTGGGCGCATTGTCTTGCTTTTTGGGCGGCATGGTGGGTGTTTGCCTGTGGGCGATGCGAGAGTGAGGGGGAAAAAAAAAGAGTGTGAAGATGGCAGTCCCGTGGTTGGGTGGTGAAGCGTTGCAGAGCAGTGGCTAACTGTGGTAGAGAGGGCAAGAGCGTGGATCAGAGAGTCAAAATGTGAATTTGGGCAGTCGCTCGGTGTCCCCACCACCTGTCGTCACTGCGGCCGCTGCTTCAAAATGTGATTGAAAGCGTGAAATCTTGGCGCGCCTCGCTGCACCTTCCCGTTCTGGGCGTGCGGGCCACTGTACACGTACGCTCAGGACACCTTGATCTGAGAGCTATACCGCATACCCCGAGTCCACCTTTTACAACCACTACCTCTTCTCGACAATCGAACACTCTACCACTGCAATCCACTCGTCACTCAACTCTCTCGTCTCCCACCAACCACCCTCGTAAGTCCATCCCCTCGACACTCATGCTGTCAACGGCTCCAGCTAACCGACCATCCAGCAACGTCCGTCACAACACACCACCACCCACAATCATGATCACCGACGACCAACTCTACCAACTCGCCATCTTCCTCGGCAGCGTCAGCATGCTCCTCATCGTCCTCTACCACTTCCTCGAAGTCAATGCCGAAGACGACGCCAAGACTCCCCTGTCCGCCGAGCGCAAAGCAGACACCGTACCCGGTGCGAAGCCTGTGAGATCATAGAAGGGTCGAGGGAAGAAGGATCATCATGCTGTGTAGATGCAGCAGAGGAGAAAGATTTCATTTACCATCGCTAGGCGTTCAAGGGAGTTTACATTCACCAGTCACTCGCCGAGTCGGCTGCTTTCATTTCAAGTACAGGGGGGGATACCAAAAAGAGTTTTGTTTTGTTTGTCGTGGAATCATGTCTTGGGTTTAGCTATGCACATTGCGACAGAAGACACCTTGGTCTGCTTCCTTGCAGCCAGGTCCTTGTCAAGTTATCGACGCTTCCTGAGCTATGCCTCCGTGCCCGTTCTTCTTTATATCGTACACCTCGCACTCCCTGATCAAAGATCGTCTGGTGGATAGGCCGGCTCTCCCTCAGGATCCACAAACTCGAAAAAGTCTTCATCGTCCAAAAAGTTGCGTCTACGCTCCTCGGTCCACAAGATGCATCCTGCCTTGGTCAATGCCGGTCCAACGATCCTCTTCTTCTCTTCAAACTGCTGCAGCAGCTTCTCATCGTTAAGTCTCGATCCAGTGAGGTTGCTGAGTCTTCTGGCTGCCGCCTCTGCCGTTTGCTGTTCTCGCCATTCCTTTGTTCCTAGCTTGGGCGGTGCCATCGAGATGATCGGCGTCACCAATCTGCCGCGCGAGTCGGAGAGATAGGCATCTGACTGTTCAGCATAGTGGTCTGATATACCAACGGTTAGCAAGAAAGGGTGTGATTCTTCAAAAATGCATCAAGGGATTCAAGAGCCACCTGAAAGTCCTTGACGGGGTCCATCGCCCAGTGTGCGTGAGATTGGCTTCACATGCTGCGTCTCCATGTGCTCCATCCATTGCGCCATGTCGTCAAATGCAGTCACCTCGTCTTCTTGAAAGCATCCGAACCATGCGCATTCGTAGTCGCCTTCTGATGTCTTTTTGCCGTGAAGTTTGAGAACGTGTTTGCGCAACGTGTCGATGTTGTGCAGTTCTGAATCGCAGTCTTCCCATTCACACTTGTAAACGTTGAACTCGACATCAGGCTCCTTGACTTCGACAACAGGTTTGGCAGGTCTGCCACGCCGCTGCTTTGGTGGCGCATAGCTCGGTGCTGCTTGACCTCGAGATGTTCGCTGAGCCGCTGTTGATGACTTGGGAATTGCGCCTTCGACGCTCTCGCCTGCTGCTGCTGCAAGTGCTGCCTTACTATGGACGCTTTTGCGCCAGCCGACCGGGCGACCTTTTTTCTTAATCGGATTACCGTTTTCATCATACTCGGTGACCGCTGAGCGAAATGCTGCATAGCCGACCGGCTTGTCTGGGATCGGTGTTGCCGACATGTTCGGTGTTTGTTGTTTTCGAGGTGTGTCAGTCGCCATGGACGATGTCGCGCGTGGATGCATGTCGGTATGACGGCGGGTCAAGGGTTTAGCCGGAGATCTGCCGTTGTCAACACTGACAATGACTACAGGCAAACTCTTGCGAGGACGTCCAACCTTGGCCTTGGGGAATGGCTTCTTGGTACGACCTTGGTTGCCCTTGCTTGTGTCGATCTCTACAGCAACGAGTTGGCTGGTTGGTGCGTGACGACCAGATGTCGAACGTGCTGGTGTGTTTTCACTCGTAGAAGCTCCGACAGCAGTGGCAGGTGGGACATCAGAAGTGAGTGGTGCTCCTCCTTCGTCTTCACTTCCACCTTCGTCGTCAGCGTCTGTTGCGTGTCTCTCGTTCGTCTCTGCTTCGACAGTAGACTCTCTATCTGCCTCTGCAGGTTCAATCGGCTCGACTATGGGCTCACCGGGATCAATGAGGTCCCAGCGAATCGTTTCAAGATCGAATTTGTCCTGCTCAACATCCTTGGAATGAAGCTTGAGGAAGTTGTGCATCACGTTGAGATGTTGATTCAGAGGCCGCATGTCGGGATGACGTCCTGTCGCCAGGAGAACATCTCTACAAATCGTTCGTGGGTCATATCTGGACTTGCGCGCCACCTTTGCACGTTTGACAGGCTCCACCAAAGTCTGACCCTTGAGTTCCACGTGTTTGCTGACGATCATCGGACGTGCAACTGCGGCAGCAGATGAAGATCCGGGAGCCGTCATGGGGTGGTAAATGCCATTGAAATAATACTGCTGAAGGTTATGAGGCGGCACAGGAGGGTTGAAATGACCATTGCTGTGAGCGATGGACGCTTGTTCGGTCATCATGCCAGTGTCGTACTGTCCAGTATTGACCTGCTTTGCTGGGGGCATATCCTCATCAGAATCAGAGTTTATCGCTGACATGTCAACAAGTTCGGCAAAATTGCGCTTGCGAGCTGCCTCGCCTTTGTTGGCTGGAGGTGGTCTTGGTACGGCTGGAAGTGTCGGTCTTGCAGCGTTGGGCGCTTGACCTTGTTGCTGGAAGTATGGGCTGGAGTATTTGCGGTGCTGGTCCTGAAGATTTTGTATCGTCGCGCGTTGCTGCTGCTGCTGCTGTTGCTGTTGCTGGTATTGCTGATTGTATTGGGGTGGCGTGTACGATGTTGCGTACGATGGCACATCATCCACAGGGGCCCACTGCGCCTGGTACTTTACAGTGGGCGCGTCAACAGGATGAGCTCCAGAGTAGTATGGTTGCGAGACAGGTGGAACAGATGTCGTTGGAGGCACAGGATCGCGACCCGTAAGATCAACCACACCCTGCTTGTCTTGAAGAGCAGCCAAAGAAGCACGACTGGGCCGACCTCGTTGTCCTGGGAACTTGCCAATGTTGGGATACTTCTTTGATGACGGCGTAAGTTGCGTCACGGCTTGAGTAGGAGGTGGAGGAGCCTCTACTGCTGGAGGCTGTGTCGACATGACAGGAGATGCCGCCTTGTTCTGATTTGCTTTTGCAGCATCGGGAACGACAGATAACAAGGCACGGGCGAATTGAGCGCGATCGACGTACAAGCCCATGCGTTCAAGACTTTCGCACAGAGTCATGTACGAAGGGTTTGGTACAAGCAAAGCGTGAATGGCCTCGACCGAGACCAGCTTGTTAAGATTCTCTTGTCTTGCATTGAGCCACTTGGTAGCGGTCTCGGCCAGAGTTGCCTTCTTGCCAGGAGGCCAGATAGCATTGGGACCTCCTGGAGGTGGGCGCACTTGCCGGGCACTCGACTGCGAATTGTTGCTCGTTCCAGCAGCCGCGGAACGTGGGGCAGGGACGGGTGGTCGAGCAGGAGCAGCAGAGACCATGGGTGCTTGAGGGGCCTGACTCTGTGCCGGCGTAAAGACAGGACGCGCAGGACCTTGTGCTCGTGCTGGAACGGGAGCTGGGGCTGGAGCCGGAGCCGGAGTCGGCGTATTGCCTTGGGATTTCGTGAGATGGGCCTGCCTCTCAGTCTCCCACATGCGTGCAAACATCTGAGGATCGGCCTGATTGAGATCACGCATCTTTCTGAAGATTGCAGTCATCTCGGTTTCGAGGTCACCACCACCGCCNNAGAAGAGCTACCTGCCATAGCAGCAGCCATCATGCGCTGAGTATCCTGGACGGTTGTGACTGCAGGGGTGACAGGCGGTTGATGTTGCTGGGAACCCATGTTTTGCAGATGTTGGTGTTGTCTTCGTTTGGCCTCTTCCTCTCGCGCAAGAAGCAAGCTCTCTTGTTTCTTGGCTTCCTCTTTGCGCCTTTCCTCGGTCTTGTACTCTTCTTCAACCTTGCGTCTTGCTGCTTCTTCAGCTTTGCGTTTGGCCTCCTCTTTTGCTCTTAGTTTCGCTTCCTCCTCGGCCTTCTTACGAGCTTCTTCTTCTGCCCTTTTCCTTGCTTCTTCTTCGGCTTTTCGCTTCACCTCTTCTTCGGCTTTGCGCTTTGCTTCTTCCTCTGCCTTGATCTTTGCCTCTTCCTCTTGTCTTCGCTTCTCTTCTGCNTTCAGCCTTTCGTCGTGCTTCTGCAAGTTTGCGCTGCTGCTCTGGCCAAGGGTCGTAGACCTGAACAGGATCTACGGTGGTGGGTCCAGAACCGGAGCTCTGATCAGGAGGATTGAATTGACGGGCGTATGAAGANNGCTGGCGCGTTGCTGGATCGAGCTCGGAGTGACACTTGGAGCACGTGGTTGACCGACGTTGGCGGACGTGTGTGGTGCGGTTGCCGACAGGTGATGATCGCGAGGGGCGGTCGAGGCGACTGAGGAAATGCTCGAGCGAGGACCACTGGGATGTTGTTGCTGACGAGTAGTATAGGGACTGGAAGGACGAAAGTTGGAGGTAGAGTAGTTGTAGGAGGTCGGCTGATTTGATGTGGTTGTCTGAGCTCGTGGCTGCTCTGACTGGGTATATGAAGANGTATGAATATGTACCAGTATTGGTTGCTGGCTGGGTATAGGATTGCGCAGGGCTATAATTGGCAGCTGTGGTAGCTGGTCGTTGTTCCTGCTGGTAGAGTGGAGAAGGATTGGCGGCTCGTCGATCAGCGTTGTGCCAGGAGGTCGAGGTTGTGGCTGAGGAGTCGTGCTGCTGGGTCGAAGGACGGTCGGAGGTATTCCATGAGGAGTCTGGTCGAGAGTTGTTATCGTATTGGCTGTTTGACTGGCGTGTGGAAGTAGTTGTGTGCTCCTGTGCGCTCAAGTGGCTCAGCGTCTCGGCAGCGCGGCTCTCTGTCGACTGATAGTTGTAGTATGGTTAATTCGAGTAGCCTGCAGTGTATGAGGGCTGGTATCCAGGTGGAGCAGACGGCTGCGGCTGAGGTGAGTGGGTCGTCTGTCGCTGCTGCGTCGCGGGTTGCTGAGAGTTTGGTGTATAGTAATTCTGGTGGTGTTGCTGATTATACTGACTTCCCACGGGGTCGTAGCGAGTGCCGTAGTGGCTGTTGTACGGGGCCATAACGATGCGACAGCAATCAAGTGCCGGTATGGAAGCTCAATCCAGAAGTCGAAGACGCGACCACCGGAACCAGACGAGATGACGCGCCGTATCCGAGACCCTTGGCGGTGAGGCCTCAGGGCGGCTGTTGTTGTGCTTCACTCTGCCAGGGTGAGATGTATACGCATTTCAATATGTACAGAACGTCCGAAGCAGTTGCGGCTTGACATTGTCTCCAGCGCGTGCTTCTGCTCGCCTCGTCAAGACATCACGTATCCGTCGGCGCAAGAGCAACGCGAAGCCTAGGTAGGGAAAGCACAGGCCCGAGCATTATTGCGGCCGGGAAGCACGTTAGCGTGGCTTGGCTGTCACTTGTAAGCCGAGGATCTGCCACACCCACAGACGCCGCGAGAATTTGCGCTGCCAGTCTTGCTCGATCTTTCGTGACGACCAGCGACTTTTTGAACCCGACAGACTATCCGGACTCGCCCAACCACCGACAAGATGACCAAGATCAACACCTGTATGCGCTGTGCTGTCTGACCATGCACGCCCAAACTAACTCCCTCAGCCCTGTCTTCTTCCAGAAGAAAGTCGCGCAAGGCGCACTTCTCTGCCCCTTCCAGCGTCCGCCGCACCATCATGAGCGCCCCTCTCTCCAAGGAGCTCCGTGAGAAGTACAACGTATGCACGCCCTGAACTATTCGACGACGATCGCATTATCGCACAAGAAAGAGATAGAGGCACTGGGAGAAACACGGCACCAAAAATCAGACTTTGACTCGCCCAACACCTGTCGCATGCGAACACCGCCTATCGTCCTCACCGACGACACTGCCACCGGGCATCGCCAACCCCAGCGACACGACCCCGACTCGATGACCCACACGACCATCTGATGCCGTTGTTTCTCTCAAAAGACCTATGCACCACAACCCCCCCTACAAACCAAACAATGCTCGTCGATCGGCTGTCTTTGTATGATGCTAATCTAGTGTCGTTCAGGTCCGCTCGATCCCCATCCGCAAGGACGATGAGGTCACCATTGTCCGTGGCTCCAACAAGGGCCGCGAGGGCAAGGTCACATCTGTCTACCGTCTCAAGTGGGTCATCCACGTCGACCGCGTCGCCCGTGAGAAGTCCAACGGCCAGTCCGTTCCCCTCGGCATCGCCCCCTCCAAGGTCGTCATCACCTCCCTCAAGCTCGACAAGGACCGTGAGGAGATCCTTGCCCGCATCGCCAAGGGCCGTGAGCTCAACAAGGAGAAGACCCAGAAGGCTTAAATACTTGACTGAGTCTGTCGTATGAAACCCGAAAAAGCTTTGCTGTCTTGTTCCAATTCTCTCCCGCATCCACTCTCCGATACCCAAAAACAGAGAGCACGACTCGAATTCAATCCTCCTGCTTCCTTACTCCTCCTTTTCTTCTAGCGCGTTTCGGGGTTTCTCTCCTCATTGGCAAATGAGGATCATCAAATCACATGGGTTATGAAGGAGGTTTTCGATCAATCTGTCGGCGATGAATCAAAATCATTCAAAAGACAATGCAATTCTTTTCGTTGTCCGACACAAGCACGAGGACATGATCACAACTCGCTCTGTACTCGACTCCAGTGACTGACCTTTTTCGTCTCTTGTTCTCTCTTCTCTCTTCTCTCTTTCCCACCGCTAGAATATCTACTCACAAGCCAAACAAAACCATGGCCTGGAAGAGTTATACGACTAGCGAAGATTGAATGCCCGGGGCTGAAAACCCCTCTCGCCTGCAGACCGTCTGCTCTAGATTTCAGTAGGGTAACCGGTTTGATGGTGAGATACATATCTGCATACCTTGCTGATGTCTAACGATATCTACAATTGTCTTTTGTACTGCTGGTGTAGTGATGTCGTCTAACAGAAAAGGTACAGAGTTTTGTATTGATATACTATCAGTAATTTACTTCCTAAATTCCTCTCTTCGATTTCATTTATGATGCTGATCTTGCATGTGATGTGACTTGGAAATCAGATATGATAGCAGTCTTTCACTCCAAGCAGCCAAATATCTACCAAACAGTCCTGCGTTTCACTGTCATTTATCCATCATGTCTTGCGAAGCCTTCTATGCATCTCAGCTGTGTTTTCGCTGACGGGAATGACTCGTGACTGTTCCTGAGCAGTTTAATCTGGTTGAGCAGTGTCTTTAGCCCACAGCTCCTTATATGATGACGTATAATCCATCTATGCCCAGTCTTTGGCTAATATCCTTTCGACGTGGAGTGGCCCAGCAGACATTGTGGTAATTTTCGCATACATGTCCACAGTTTTGTACCATGTGGCGCTGAAACACAACAAAGGAATTCCGTTGCATGGTGACCGTCTTTGTGGCTTCAAATTCCGAGAGCATGGAAAACACAACCTCCGCCATTCATGCACCACTATCTGTTTTGACAATATCCCAAAGGCAAAGCATACTCTATGAAACTTATTGAAACTGCTAGAGCACAAGAACAAGCCCATATCTATCGTAATGGATGGACCAACAATCCGAGAAAAAGAAGACAGGGTCATACCCAAAGCATGGAAACATCGAGAAAAAAAAGAAAAAAAGAGCAACCTCAATTTTTCGGATCGTTAGACTTAGGAATGCTGCAACGACATCGAGTGACAGAAATGTAATACAAGACATCATTACTGTTTATAGATCAGGATACATAACTCTCCTCGAACTCTTCCACTCCTACGAGCAGTCTGTTTGTATCCCGACGATGCAAGAAAACTTTGTGGTCTGAAGCTTCCGCCGACAAAAAAAAAGTCTTCCGTGCCAACGCAACCAACATCTCCGTGAGCCATGACGAGAAATACCTCTATAACTTATCACAACAATGCGACAAAAGAAGAATTCTCCGTTACCGAGGGTAGGCAGGGGAGCAAAATGATCACGCCAGGGGTCGAACCTGGAATCTCTTGATTCGTAGTCAAGCGCCTTGCCATTGGGCCACGCAACCGATTGATATAAGCACAATCGAGTTGTCTGTACATGATCTTACGACTTGCGGTCAATCAAGTCTCATCTCGCATGACTCTGGCCGGTTCGCACGATACGCAACTTGAACCACGGATATGTAGGTAAGTTGACTCGAATAGCTTGTCATAATCAACTCCTTGGTGAGTATAGCTAGGCCTCTTGACACGCGATTCTGCTAAGAGCGGATATTGCCTTAACATCTGCTTGACATAGAGAGGTATCCTGGAAGGCAATTGGATATGTCGTGCCTGTAAGTTGGCCAACGCGTTCAAAAGCACTTGTGGTGGAGAGTTGAGCATGCCTTTATGGTCGAAGCTTCCACTCGCTCTGGCCTTTCCGAGGTCGTATTGGTTAACTCCCTCGGAACGGCCATCAGACTGGCTGACAACAATATCACCAAGGCGTATGTCATGCTCTTCTGGTTTCGGTATACCGGCCCCTATCCCTACCATCAGTCCTAGCCTGGTGTTTGGCAAAGACGAGAGCATCTGTGAGGCAGTGGTAGCGGCGATGTCGTCCTGGAAACGCCAGCTGGAAGCGACGCGATCACCAGACTGTGCTCTCCTATGCGGTCATATTTGTAAACGTTGTTGTCGGCATGTGAGAGGACAAAGTCAATTGGTGGTGCATGCTTCTCGTCCAGCATAGCGGTGGCTGCGGCTAGTTCTAGAGGCAGAGCGGAGATCCATCCGACGGTATACAGATCGCCGCTTTCCAGAGCTCGAAGGTCCGCCATGATCGGGGTTCGATGGCTTTGTGGTGCAAGACAAAGGAAAAGCCCCTAGAAAGATATCTTCGACAAACATCAAGCAGACTGTTGACCGCTGACCCAGAACGGGTCGCGAGGCTGAATCCGACGTGCAGATGGCCAATCCTATCTGTAATCACGCATTGCTCCAAGCCACAAATGCACGTCGAGCCTCGGCGCCTATCAGCTCCACAGCAATAGCACTATCTGATCGTGAGTTGCTCAGATGGTTCATGTTTGGTAAGTACTTGCTTGATTGATGAGCTGTGATAATGAACGAGTAGTAGACACAGTACAGAAGCCTAGAAGGTAAGTGGCCCCAAGGTTCTGGGATTGTAAGGCAACTTCCGACCCGACTCGAACGCAAGCTCTTCGCTGTGTGTCTTCATCATGAGTATATCTTCTTACTATCATTATAAAGATCTCTGTTCACACGAAGCAAGAGCTCAGATATGTTGTTACTCCATCGGTTCTGCAAATCAGCGACAAGATTGGGGTAGTACCCCGAACAGTGGGTCTCCATAATGAACAGGACCCTGTTTTCTACCCCACCAGCCGAGAGCGGGAGAATGACGCAGATTGACCCCTCCACCCCTCACTATATTTCCAAGGATGCTCTTATCGAGGGCATGAGCTCCAAATCATGCGCAAATGAATAACCTCGGCGAGACCTGGGCGATCTGTATTTGAGGACAAGGGCAGCCACTTGTAACTTCCCCAGTCACATTGATTGGTTTCCAACCACCACACTCGCAAACAGTAGACACACAGCAAAGATGGGCAAGAAGAGAGTTTTGGTCAGCTATGGTGTGTCCTCGACGATTGCATCTTGAATGGAGTTGTCGCTGACAAGAGCTCGCNNAGGTGTCGACATCGATGCCGTCGCAGGATGGCTAGGTTCATATGGTGGTGAAGACTCCACCAGCGATATCAGTAGAGGTAAGACTGTACTCAAATTCCTGCTTTGTAAGCTTGCTCTGACTATCGCGGCAGGACTCTTTGCTGGCACAGTCGGTACCCAAAGATTACTCAAGTTGTTCGACAAGTACAACATCAAAGCGACGTGGTTCATCCCCGGACACACACTCGAGACGTTCCCCGAAGATTGCGCAGCGATCAGAGACAAAGATCATGAGATTGGATTACATGGATACAGTCATGAGAACCCGGCCGACATGACAATCGAACAACAACGTGATGTGCTGGACAAAACATACAAGATGTTGACCGAGTTCTGCGGCAAGCCTCCGAAGGGCAGCGTTGCTCCATGGTGGGAGACTAGCCGTGAAGGAGCGGAATTGCTGCTGTCATATGGTATTGAGTACGATCACTCGATGAGCCACGAGGATTGTCAGATGTACTGGCTGCGCACGGGTATGTTTGATAGCCTTGCGAAATAGTCAAGGACACACGGCTGACACTGTATGNNCACAGGCGACTCATGGACCAAGATCGACTACAGCAAGAAGGCCGAAGAATGGATGAAGCCTCTCGTCAAGGGCGAAGACACAGGCATTGTCGAGATCCCAGCAAACTGGTACATCGATGACCTACCACCAATGATGTTCATCAAGAAAGCGGCAAACAGCCACGGATGGGTCAGCGCAAGAGATGTCGAGCAGCTCTGGATGGATCATTTCGACTACTTCTACCGCGAGCATGACGAGTTTGTGTTCCCTATGACGATCCACCCTGATGTCAGCGGTAGACCACATGTGCTGTTGATGCATGAGAGGATTATCGAACATATCAACAAGCATGAAGGTGTCGAGTGGGTGACGATGGGTGAAATGTCGGACGAGTTCAAGAAGAAGAACTCGCCGCCGCCGAATGCACTGATGCCGGCGACGAGAGAGGAGGTTGAGGAGATGCTGAAGAAGCAGAAGAAGTAATGTTCTTGTTGATACTTTCCATTGTAATCTTCGATTTTCTATAAGTTACGGATAGGAAGCCCGCTACGTCTCTTGATTACCAAGTTCTCTTTACCTGATTCGAAGAGCAATGGTCAAGATGCATATAGTCGGCCAGTCTGGTACTGGTGTGTACAAACTGGGGTGCCCAGCTTCGTGGCAACAACCACCACGACCACAACTGTCCTCAGAACTCCATTCACATACTAATCGGCACGAATTTTCCACTGTGTGCTGCATTCGTTAGGAGTCAAAGGGAAAAGTACCGTAATGAATGGGTGGGGGATATTGGGTAGGTAGTCCTGATCACGATCCGTATCTGAAGTCACGGAAGGAGCGACCGGGCGCATACTGAATTCTTAAAGATGATTCTTCTTGACCTCAAGACACGACACCTTTCGCCTTTGCATTCTTTATTTGGTCTTTCGTAATCGCGCACACCATCGAACAAGGCTAGAAGACATCCAATTGTCGCCACGACGGATATGAAAGTCGCTATGGATGGTAGCGGATGTGGTCGTGAAGCATCCGCTTTCGGTCACGAACAATCCTTTGTCGAGATCTACATTCCTCAAATCCGCAGGCAACACTTTCGTCTAGACGACACTGTTTGGCGGCTGGTCCGTCCGTCAAAATCTACAAGCCTCAGTTGATACGGTCCGTATACCACATCTTGAGTTCCAGATGCCATCTAGAACGATCGTGTTGACTTGATCCTCATGTTGCGACGATAGCTCTGTCCAAGAGCAAGTACACATCGAGCATGTACTGTTGAATAAATCCACATATCATGGCTTCTTTGTGTGCATGTTCAACACATACACATCCGGATGCGGATATGTCCAACGCTGTTTTCGACACAACACGCTTTCAACACATATGGAGGTCATGGCACAGGTCTTTCGACCTTCTTTCTTCCCTCAACGAACAAGAGAGAGTTCTGCCGCTACCAACACCAGCTTTCTTCTGATTCGTAACTACTGTCCCGTCGTATGCTATTCTTGTTTTCGGCCCTATCATCCATTCTACACTTCTTTTTCCTTTGCTTTAGAAGACAAGAGAGATATTGAAAAGGTATTCTACCCCTGTTTGGAAAGACTAACAACAGCATGGCGGATCAAGGGGATCAAACCCCAACATCCGGCTCGACAGAGCAGGCTCCCGACAAGGAGTCCATCAAGCACTCACCTCCCGGTATTGTTGTTACGCCTGCCGAAAGCTCGACGGAGAACGAAGTATCCAAGTCTTCTGAAGACTTGCTTCAAGCATCACACGATACCGAGGACGATGGAGCTTTGCCCAAAGTTCGTTCCGAAACAAAGACTGACGTCGTCCCCGAATCGGAGGAGAAGCCACTGGTGTCNCCCGAGGACGACGAATTCGAAGTCAGCGCAGAAGCCCTTCAGAGACCTGTTTCACCTGTCAACGACGAGGAATACGAGGGAAGCGTGACATCTTCGCATTTCTCCTCATCTGATTCGGACGAGGAAACCAGAGGACGCCCTCGCAGGTCCTCTAGAGACCGCGACGCGTCCCCTCCCATCACTTTCACCACTCTGGTTGCTGGGCAGGCCGAGATTGCCACAACAACCGCTGAACGACGTCGTAGTCAAGAAGGCCTCCCGAAGGGTGCCAGGCGCCAAGCAACAAAATCGAGAAGTCCTCTTGCCATCAAGTCCATCACCCGCGACGGCGACAGAATTGTTGTCACCTCTCCTACACATGGCACCATCACCATCACGGACCCTAAGGTTGTCGAGGAACTAGACAAGTCTATGGCAGATGGACAATTCACCTTGTCTCCTGTCAAGAAAGCCCTGGCGCTTTCCCAAGACACTCAGGATGCTCTTGAGCAGGCCTTCCAGGAGAAGGAGATTCTGAGACTCGCCGAGGCCCGCAAAAATGGACCCAAGCATACACCACCTCCTGTTCCTGAGCGACCCGGATCACCACAATTCAACCTGTCTTCAGCTGACGCAGAGGCTCAAGCCGAACAGAACAACCCTGCCAATCAGCGAGGCAGCCTCTCGGGTCTAAGAGCTCCCGCAGAGAGCGGGACCCTTGGCCATCGCAGATCTGGTTCTGCCAAAGACGCCAAAGAGTCTCTGAAAGACAGCAGGTATAGGCTCATACAGGAGGACTTGCGGAGAAATGGAGCCAACAATGACTACGACTTGAGCAGATGGGACAGCGCCACGCTTTGGGAGTTCATACGCAATCAAGAAAATAAAATTCTTTCCATCACCGAGGCTTGGCACAAGAACGACTTGAAGGCCGGTCTCGACGGAGTGATCACCTTGCAAGAAGAGAGACATTTCGCAAGGACCGAGGTTGAAAGGATCAAATCCGAATTTGACCGCAAAACTATTGCCAACGAGCAGAGATGCGCAGAACTTGAGGCAGAGGTTACCAACGCCGAAGCGATAATCGAAGAGTTGCGTGCTTCTCGAACTCAAGATGAGACTCGTGAAGCTATTTTCACGTCGCCCGACAAGCTATCCCCCGAAGCGATTGAGTCTCTCGATAGAGTCGAGAAGCATGCTCAGAAGCTCGTTACTGTACGTGAGACCCTTTCTCAGGACATGGACAAAATTCGTTCCACACTCGATAACGTGCAAGAGCTTCGCGATGAAAACGAACACCTCACAAACGATAATCAGGAGCTTCGCAACAGGTTGTCGCAGCTGCACAACCAAATAATCTTCTTCGAGAAACAGGAGGACAAGACGGAGCAGAAAATTTACGAACAGNNAAGCAAGCCATCGATAAGCTTAACAAAGCGTACACAGCCCTCGACAAGGAAAATACCCAGTTGAAGATTCGCGTACAGAACCTGCAGGATGCCAAAGACCAGACTGAGGTGGAGAATGCCGAGCTTAAGGTCCAACTTGAAGACTGCCAGAACNGCCCGCGCTCAATCAGCCGAGGAGAGTCTCGGTACTGCACAGCCTTCCAAAGTACAGCCTGTTGAACAAGAGTCCAGGGTTGATAGCGTCCAAACATCGCCCAAGATACCCAAGACACCCGAAACACTGAGAGACTCAAACTCCTCGCTTTCAGGCAAGGTTTCTGCTCTTGAGAGACTTCTTTCTCAGGCTAGAGAAGACACTGCCAGATATCGCGAACTGTATACTTCTGCCAACGAACAACGTGTCTGGTCTTTCGCTCACTACGGATCCGTCAAAGAACCATGGCCAGTCGCTACCAGAGAAATGATCGCTCAGCTGATCGTGACCATGGTCAATGACAACAGAAGATCCATCGAAGAGACCACTCAGCCTGCAGATACGGCCATACATGGCCGTCCTGTTCGTGACCTTCAATTCGAACTCAACGGACTTGTTGAAGAGCTTCCTCTTCCTGGACTGCTGACGAGAGACCAAGTTGTATCATGGCTTGCTGGACAGATGGGACTACGTAAGATCTTTGAGGAGATTCGTTCTCTGGGTCTTTACCTCGACAATGACATTGAACAGGAGATTCTGCGTATCTTGATCGAGCAAGGCCTGTGCTATGGTAACTTCGACGTATTCGCTACTTTCGTCTTTGCAGACAAGCCCATCTCTCGTCAGGAGTTCATCACCCGTCTTACCAAACTTATCGAGGCAATGGACAAACTTGACGACAAGCTGATCAAGACCGAAACCGATCTCGAGCTGGCAAGAGACAGAGTCACTGAGCTCGAAGAGTCCATATCATCTGGGTCTGCCAACAGCGGCTCCACTGAACAGGAGATCTGTGGCGTCCTGTCTCATCGTGATCTCGTGGCAAGAATAAAAGATCTGGAGAAGCAGAAGCATGAGCTTGCTGCCGCATTCAGTAAGAAGATGGCTGGAAAGGAGTCATCTTCCGGTTCTGATGGCGGCGTCGATCTTTCATCCGCTTCACACGACTACTGGCAGGAACTCCTCAGACTGAGAGAGGAGAACGATCAGTACAGCAATGTTAAGTCGCCTGACTCTCCAGAATGTTCTTACTGTCCTGCAATGAAGAAGAAGATCACGGAGATGAATGGGAAACTCAGAGATACGAAGAGGCAGGCCAGAGAAGACAAAGATAACGCTGTTCAAATGGCGGAGCACAGGGCTGACGGTCGCACTGGCGAGCTCAGACAGCAAGTTGATGCATTGAAGAGTCAACTGACTCAGGTGCAACCTGCTTCCATTCCAGCTCCTTCACCAGCTGCCACGGCTCAGCCTCCACCCTACTGCGACGACTGTGCATTCCTCTCGAAGCAACTCTCGGATGCTAGACGCCAGAGTAAAGAATTTGAAGAGAAGCACAGGCTCCGCAAGAACCAAGTTCGCGGCTGCAACTACGAAACCGCTGAGGCTAGACGTGACCTTGCTGAGGCCAACGACAAGTTTCAAAAGGCTCAGGACGACCTTGCCGACGCCCAGAAAGAGATTCAAGAACTCAAGTCTGAGCACAACCCTTCATCGCCCAGCAGTATATCTACAGCACCCACTTCCACTGGTGATTCTCCAGCCAAGTCCTCAGAAAAAGATGACCGTATCAGAAAGCTGAATGAAGAACTTGAAGATCTCAAGACAAGACACGCCAGATGTCCGCAATCTCTGAAAGAAAAAATTGAGGCAAATGCAGCTATCAAGATTCCAGCCCCTTCTGCTGATCAAGAGAAGGAGATGTGGGATTCCTCGATCGTCGACGACGACATCAATGCACGCAAACTCGCCGGTGAAAAGGCTCAACTTGAGAAGCAGATTGCCGAGCTCCAAAACAATCTCAACATGTTTGAAGCTGCCGCCAAGGTTTGGGCTGAAGAGGCCACACCTAAGCTTGCAGAGTCGAAGGCCAATGAGGAGGCAGCCCCCAATGCTCAAACAGAGGAGCCTGCCTCTATGTCCTCGCAACCGCAAGCCGCAGAAGAGGCACTCGTTGCTTTGAAGTCGAAGGTCGCACGACAAGGCGTAGCCCTGGTCGCCACAATCGAAAGATATGAGAGACGAGTCGCCGAGATC